AGCAAAGGGAGAAATCTGAGATATCGAATGAAAATAGTTTTCAACAGATTGAAATTTCCTCTGAAAAAAAAAATAAAATTATAAAACCTAGAAAATGATTTTTAAAGAATGATCACCTATCGAGCAGTTTTAAAAATGTTTGAACAGTAAGAATAGCCGAACATGCTAGAAACGTGTCCACAGCTCGAAAGTATCTGGTTATAAAATTATTTATTGTTGATTCCCATAGATTCCTATTTGGCATTATTGCTTTATCACCAAAAAGTTGAGTTATCATATCATTTCTATGACCAATAATGATCCAAACAGCTGTCAAAACTTTTATTCCATCGATGCATCGAATGATTGCAGGATCCTTGTTCAACGTTTTAAGTTCTCTGAAATTTGTAATAATAGAAAAGGAAGACAAAAACGTATTTGAGTTCTTCTGTGATTTTCTCAGAAAACTCTCACAGAATGTTGAAAACAGAACGAGTAACGTTAGTGTCATTAAAATGGACCTGCAAACAATTCATTTGATAACTTCTCATTCAAAAGAAATTGTAAAGTCGAACTTACATAAACACGTAATCAATTTTTGTGAAAGTATAAGGCGCATAACATTGCACGTTACCCAGCTGAACATCGTGTTGATTAATCAAATCCTTTCCAATTTTATGTAACTCATTTTCTTTACAAACGCTAGGAACACATAAACCAGATTTGAAATCTTTTGTTATTTTCGCTAGTGATGTCCAAATTGGATGAGAATCTTCGAAATTAACTTTATTTGTCTTAACTTTCGCTGCCAAAAACTTCGCAATGCAATACTTTCCTCTGAAAGATTCATGTTGATATCTGATACAATCGTTGAACTGTCCGAAATCAAACAAACTTGAATTCATCAAAGCTTTGGAAGGATCACCCCAAAAACTGAGCACTGTGAAATTTAGATTCACATTATGACAATTAAAATAAATATAAAAGTCTGAAATAAATACCGTCTTGTGCCCACTTCTCACTTTCATAAGAAGCATTTAATAATTTTCCCAATTCATTTCCACACCTTGATTGACCATTAAAATACACTTGAAGAGACTTCAAACTCATTTCGTTAGTTGTAAGTTCACTTGAAGACCCAAGATAAAACTGAGAATAAATTGTAATACTTTATTTTTAACTAAATTCGTCTCATTTTCAATTGTACAAACGCAACTGTTCAAACAATATAAAGTTTTCGAAAAGTTTAGTTCATCTGATGTTGTGTTCAATATATAAAAATGTTTCAATTTAGGCTTTTCACACTTTTCAGGAATTGTATTTCTGTCGACTAGTTTCAAATTGAATTTAGTTCATCATCAGGACAATCTACGAATATTACAATAAAATAATAAAATAATAAATAATAAAAAAACTTTTGCACAATATAATTAAAGCGTTACAGAAATATGACAAAACGAACTTTCATCTAAAATTATTTTTGTAAGTTGTCATAACTTTTAGAAGCTATTACAATACCTTTTATTTCAAACTCATTTCGTTAGCTGTGAATTTACTTGAAGACCCAAAATCAAACTAAGAATAATTTTCAAACTTTTATTTTATATTAATTAGCTCGTCTCACTTTCTTGCAACTGTTAAAGCGATATAAAATTTAAAAGCTGTCACAGTGGACGCTCTTTAAGAACTAACTGAAGAGATTCAGAATTATTGATGTTTTTCATTTATTGTAGTTTATGGAAATTCTTCTACAGTCTACCAAAATTAAACTTTACGCATTAGGTAAATCAAGTATATACATAATGAAATATATTTTTGTGTTATTAAATCTCAGCACGTAGGAAACCTAACAAAATTAATTCATTATCTTATCGCTTCTTAGCTTTAAAAGTTCTTCCAATAAGTTTCGATGTTGGCGCTTCAATCAGTAAGTAAAAAATCAAACCGAGGCTGAAAGATATGATCACATCAGATGTGAAAAGAAGCAACCTTTGTGATAATGTTCGGACAATAAATACTTTTTGATTGAAATCTGTTAATTCTAGATATTTGAAATGAATTAAATAAATGCTCAAGCATAATTTTGATAAAGGTTGCCAAAACATACTCGAAAGAAATTTTCTTAAAATGCTTCCAGATTCCAGCACATGGCAAGCAAAAATAGTCCAGGATATAGAACATGTCCATGCTTCAACATAAGTAGCTTAAAGTATATGATTTATTGTACTGTTCGAAGTCCACCAAATCCTTGTGAAAGTGTGTATTCCAATAAATCACAATGATAATATCCAACATGACAAAGTGATGACTTTTCCAAGCCTCAATTTCTTTCCGTTGCTTGTGTAAATCAAATATCCAAATGCAATTCCAACCAAATACTCTCCAAGTCGATACTGAGGTTGTTTATAACAAAAACCAGGCCTCAAAGTATTGCTTAAAATAGAATCAAAATGTTATCACACTGAAAATTTGGTTACTAGGTTGGAAATATTTCCTGATATGTACTTTTCTATCATAGAGAAAATGCTATATTGAACTGAAAAGATCACTAAAATTATGATGATTAGAGATCTTTTTCCAAATGCCCAAAGGAGGTAAGCAAACACTGTGGCTGAAGCAAACAGTTGTAGATCAACAGCAAGATACCACGCATAATTCATGCACTGAAAAATATCATTTCAATTATAACATTTAGTAAATACACTTATTAAATATTCAAGCATCTCACACTAAAGCCAACATGCACAAAATTTTGTATAAATAGCAGAGATGACCACCAAGTTTCTGAGCATTGCGTACTTCTAGTTCTATTCAAGAAAAACATTGGTCCACTTGTCAAGATGTGAGGTAAATTGCTTATTGAGAACATCATCAGAAATGATAGCAAAGGAAGAAATCTGAGATATCGAATGAAAATAGTTTTGAACAGATTGAAATTTCCTCTGAAAAAATAATTAAAGTTATAAAACCAAGGAAACGATTATGATAGAATGATCACCTGTCGAGTAGTTTAAGAAACGTTTGAACGGTAAGAATAGCCGAACATACTAGAAATGTGTCCACAGCTCGAAAGTATCTGGTCATGAAATTATTTATTGTTGATTCCAGTAGATTTCTATTTGGCATATTTGTGTTATCAAAAAGATCAGATATCAAATAATTTCTATGACCAATAATGACCCAAACAGCTGTCAAAACTTTTATTCCATCGATACATCGAATGATTGCAGGATCCTTGTTCACCGTTACTAGTTCTTTAAAATTTGTAATAATTGAAAAGGAAGATAAAAACGTATTTGAGTTCTTCTTTGATTTTCTCAGAAAACTTTCACAGAATGTTGAGAACAGAACGAGTAACGTTAGTGTCAATAAAATGGACCTGCAAACAACTCTTTTAAACTGAACTTTTTATTCATAAGAAATTGCAAAGTGGAACTTACATAAACACGTAATCAATTCTTGTGAAAGTATAAGGCTCATAGCATTGCAAAGTACCAAACTGAACATCGTGTTGATTAATCAAATCCTTTCCAATTTTATGTAACTCATCTTCTTTACAAACGCTAGGAACACATAAACCAGATTTGAAATCTTTTGTTATTTTCGCTAGTGATGTCCAAATTGGATGAGAATCTTCGAAATTAACTTTATTTGTTTCAACTTTCGCTGCCAAAAACTTCGCAATGCAATACTTTCCTCTGAAAGATTCATGTTGATATCTGATACAATCGTTAAATTGTCCGAAATCAAACAAACTTGAATTCAACAAAGCTTTGGAAGGATCACCCCAAAATCTAAGCACTGTGAAATTTAGATTCGAATTATGACAATTAAAATAAATATAAAAGTCCGAAATAAATACCGTCTTGTGACCACTTCTGACTTTCATAAGAAGCATTTAATAGTTTTCCCAATTCATTTTCACAACTTGATTGACCATTTATATATCTTTGAAGAGATTTCAAACTCATTGCAACGGCTAAGATATCACTAACAAGCTTAGATCCTGAACTAAAACAATTCTATTAGAATCACGTATGTTATGAAAACTTTTCGAGGGATATAAAATTTTATATGTGCAAGAGTGTAAGTATTTTCACGAACTTTTCATAAATTGGATTCACGTTTAGACTGTATAATTATATAGCCCTAAGTATAACTGCTATGAACAAGAAAGAAAGAACATTTTCAATATTTCTTGTTATCGAATGTTCGTTATTTAAATAAGAATCACTATTTGTTTATTCTTGAAAAGACATTTAATTCATTTTGACAGTAATGTAAATCTGTATCCACATCTCAGTTTTGACAGCTCTTCATCAACTTTTTAAACGTGCATAAATAGAATAATTTTTATGTACATGCTTCTCATTATTCAAATTCAAGATTAGAGCAATTACTGCAGAGTAATAATTGCAGTCTCGAAAATATTATCGTTTTTTATCCATTTGTTTTGAGAAATGAACAATAAACAATACAATTTATAAAACACATTTCAACAAATAAAACCAGTTGTTCCCCATAAAGATTTAAATTTTAATGAAATGTAACTGAAAAAAATAGACGCACAGGCATGTTTCTGATTTTGCAAGCCTTGTGGAAATCGCTTCAATGTTTAATGTTTCTTAGCTTTAAAAGTTCTTCCAATAAGTGTCGATGTTGGCGCTTCAATCAGTAAGTAAAAAATCAAACCGAGGCTGAAAGATATGATCACATCAGATGTGAAAAGAAGCAACCTTTGTGATAATGTTCGGACAATAAATACTTTTTGATTAAAATCTGTTAGTTCTAGATATTTGAAATGAATTAAATAAATGCTCAAGCATAATTTTGATAAAGGTTGCCAAAACATACTCGAAAGAAATTTTCTTATAATGCTTCCAGATTTCAGCACATGGCAAGCAAAAACAATCCAAGATATGGAACATGTCCATGCTTCAACATGGGTCGCTTGAAGTATATGATTTATTGTACTGTTAGAAGTCCACCAAATCCTTGTGAAAGTGTGTATTCCAATAAATCCCAATGATAATATCCAACATGACAAAGTGATGAATTTTCCAAGCCTTAATTTCTTTCCGTTGCTTGTGTAAATCAAATATCCAAATGCAATTCCAACCAAATACTCTCCAAGTCGATACTGAGGTTGTTTATAACGAAAAACACTAATCAAAGTATTGCTGAAATTAAATTCAAAATGTTATCACATTGGAAATTGACTCATAAAGTTGGAAATATTTCCTGATATTTACTTTTCTATCATAGAGAAAATGCTATATTGAACTGAAAAGATCACTAAAATTATGATGATTAGAGATCTTTTTCCAAATGCCCAAAGGAGGTAAGCAAACACTGTGGCTGAAGCAAACAGTTGTAGATCAACAGCAAGGTACCACGCGTGATTCATGCACTGAAAAATATCATTTCAATCATAACATTCAGTAAATATAATTATTAAATATTCAAGCATCTCACACTAAAGCCAACATGCACAAAATTTTGTATAAATAGCAGAGATGACCACCAAGTTTCTGAGCATTGCGTACTTCTAGTTCTATTCAAGAAAAACATTGGTCCACTTGTCAAGATGTGAGGTAAATTGCTTANAAATAGCCAAGTCATAAAATTAAGAAAATGAGTTTGAAAGAATGATCACCTGTCGAGTAGTTTGAAAAACGTTTGAACGGTAAGAATAGCCGAACATGCTAAAAATGTGTCCACAGCACGAACGTATCTGGTCATGAAATTATTTATTGTTGATTCCCATAGATTTCTATTTGGCATATTTGTGTTATCACCAAAAAGATCAGATATAAAATAATTTCTATGACCAATAATGACCCAAACAGCTGTCAAAACTTTTATTCCATCGATACATCGAATGATTGCAGGATCCTTGTTCACCGTTACTAGTTCTTTGAAATTTGTAATAATTGAAAAGGAAGATAAAAATGTATTTGAGTTCTTCTTCGATTTTCTCAGAAAACTTTCACAGAATGTTGCAAACAGAACGAGTAACGTTAGTGTCAATAAAATGGACCTGCAAACATTTGATAACTTATCATTCAAAGTAAATTGTAAAGTGGAACTTACATAAACACGTAATCAATTCTTGTGAAAGTACAAGGCGCATAACATTGCACGTTACCTAATTGAACATCGTGTTGATTAATCAAATCCTTTCCAATTTTATGTAACTCATCTTCTTTACAAACGCTAGGAACACATAAACCAGATTTGAAATCTTTTGTTATTTTCGTTAGCGATATCCAAATTGGATGAGAATCTTCAATATTAACTTTATTTGTCTTCACTTTCGCTGCCAAAAACTTTGCAATGCAATACTTTCCTCTGAAAGATTCATGTTGATATCTGATACAATCGTTGAACTGTCCGAAATCAAACAAACTTGAATTCATCAAAGCTTTGGAAGGATCACCCCAAAAGCTAAGCACTGTGAAATTAAGATTCACATTATGACAATTTACATAAGTAAATATAAAAGTCCGAAATTAATACCGTCTTGTGCCCACTTCTGACTTTCATAAGAAGCATTTAATAATTTTCCCAATTCATTTTCACAGCGTGATTGACCATTTATATACACTTGAAGAGACTTCAAACTCATTTCGTAAGCTGAAAAGTTTACTTGAAGACCCCCAAGATCAAACTGAGAATAATTTTCAAACTCTTATTATGTTTAACTAAATTCGACTCTCTTTCAACTGTTCACACGCAACTGTTCAAACGATATAAATTTTCAAAATTTATTACAGTGAGTGTTCGATAAGGGCAACCTTAGGGGAGTAACAATTATAGAACATTTTCACTTATCGAAGTTTTTAGAAATTCTTTATTCAAAAAGCTTTATAAATCAATTTAATGATGTAGTTAAATAAATATTAATTAATAAAGATACAACTCAATATTATTGATATAGAGATATTGACTGTGGCCCGATAAGCGCTGAAGATGAAAAAATCGGAAAAAGTGTATAAAACTTGAATTCTGAAATGTGATAGAGAAAGTTGTTTTTTAATACGCTTTAATATCATTTCCTGAATCTAAATAAAAAATATATTTTATTTGAATTAAATCTTTCATGTTCAAATTGATCAATTCATTGAAACTTCTTTTAAAAAAATATAATAAAGTATGTAATAATTTTAAAAAAAGCATCACACAATATTTAGGAGAACCTCCTTGATTAGTGATTTTATCATTACATTAATTGGCTGCTAATAAAGTGACCCTCGAAAACCGATGAATAATATATCACAGCGATTAGCAAAGAGTTATCAGAGCAAACAGCTCATTGTAACCCCGAAATTCACTGTAGGGACAAATTTATTTGTAATTTCTGCACTGTGAAACAAGCAAAAGCTAGAAATAAGCAAAATTATAGTAGCATATTTTACGTTGGGTCACAAAAATTATTTTACTGAACGCTAGACACAAACAAGGTTTGAAAAACAATGTAATAAGCTATGCAATTACCCAAATAATATTTATTTACTTATGAAATGCTTTTACCACTGCTTTAAATTGCCTCGCCACAAAACAACACAGATGAAAAAAATAAATAAGCAACGAGTTAAATTAGGAAAAAGTATTTTAGTATTTTATTGTTCGCAATGATACACAACTATTAACAGTACTCTGAGAACTTTTCTGCTTTTCTACCAACGCGTATGTGAAAATTTGCCATAAATTTGAAATTGTTTATTCGAAATTAGCTCTCATTATATCGTTCTGTATCATTTTGGGGGAAAAGTTTCATTTCTTCTAGAATCGAGTTGAAAATTTCAGATTTAATTATAGAAAAGTTTTTTTTATATCTAATTGATAGATTCGCTTAGGAGGTTTCTCTATGAATGTTTGTCTTGTTGCAGACTGAACAAACTTGAAACAACATTGCATTACAGATTCATACGGTGGAAAAACTTAAAGTATTTCATAGTTCAATAACTCAACATCATAATAAGGTTTTCTTTGCTTCCTTCCTGGAATACATAAACAATAAACTTATCACATAATAATTAGAATACAATATGATAATAATAAATTGATTCTAGCACATGAAACGCGATAGCGAGAGTATTTTTAAACATAAATATGCTTGTAACCTTAGGTTTTAATGTCGCTATTTTGCTAAATATTTATTGAATTATTATTAAGATTTTCCGTATCAAATTTCCATACAAATAACGTAACATTATAGCGACAAATTACTCAAGTTTTACTTGCTTAGAAGTTGACAATAAACAACATAAAACAATGTTTGCATATGACGACAAAAGTATTTTCTTTCTAAACATTATGAATATATTATTTCAAGAAGCTTATAACTTTAAACATTTTTACACAACCGTCATTGATGATAACAGTTTGAAAAAATGTTGCTAAATGAAAAGATAAAATTAAAACTTTAAGCCTCAATAAAGCTTATTAAAACTCTTTCACTGAGCTTTCAAAGTTATTTTTAGCCTTCTTAGGAATTTTCTTAAATGATTTTTTCTTTCTTTAGTTTGATTGAGTATTTTGCAAATGTGTTCCTGAGATGCTCAAATAAATCGAAAACCTTCAAAGAAAATTTTTATTTATGTCTCTAAAATTCTATTTTAAAACTCAATGATGTTTATTTGGATCACATTATGTGATCAAGAAATCCAAAAGTGTGTTCATTTTTATTTTGATTTTAATTCGTACAATCAGAGCTCAGTTGACTAAAATTATTGTAAAAATGACATAAAAATTTATGAACATAAAAATAATTCTCATTTTGAATCGCGGGAAAATGTTTTGGTTTACAATGTTGTGGAATTATATTGCGGTGTGACTTTTTTTCTCACTGTCCTAGAAGAGTCAGACAACAATATGAATGCACTTTTTTCTTTCTTTTGTTGTTGTTCATTTCTGCTTTGTTCAACAAATAATTTAATTTGAGTGAAGCTTTTTTAATCCGCGAATAGAATGCGAACAGCAAGGACGATGTGGTTTTTTAACATTCAATTCTCTATTTATGGTAGGTAATCAAATTAAATTGTGTGAATTGAATATTGAAATAATTAAACATTTATTTTTGAACGATTTATTGCAGCAAAAGCTTATCATTTGTTAAAGTATTTAAAATATCTGCGTCAACATAAATAATGTCTCTTCAAATGGTTCATAATTTTTTAATTTCTTTATAATTTTCTTCTCAGTGATAATTGAAGCTCAAAATGATGTTTCATTAAATGTTCTTTTACTTTTATTTCATGTGCGAACAACAGGCCGTGATTGCAGTGATTCTTGAGTTATGAATCATAAAGTTGGAGGGTTGAGAAAACTGCTTATGTTTGGTGAAAAGTTGATAAACTGTTTGTTTTCAGAGAGTAAACAAGATGAAAACCGGAATTTTAATCTGACCAAACATCCAGTATTTGAATTCATGCATTAAAAAACTTTACAACTGAATGTGTGAAACGAGAAGTCAAAAGTTATTTTATTCTCATGTTAAAAAAGCTTCATGCGATTGTATAGAAAAATCTCCTAAATTTAATTAATTTCAGCAAAAAAAAACACTGCATGTCATTGGCCAACACTTGACGGATGAATTCAGCTTTTTCTGTCTGTCTTGTGGTTATGCAAATCTCATGCTTATTTGAACAGTTATCATGTGTTAAATATTTTTCACGAAAACTTTGAAAGCAACCCCAAAAAAATGTTCGCTTAACTTTTTAATTGCGTTTCAGTTTTTTCTTCTTTAACATTCCAAACTGATTATTTATTTGATGATTATCTCAGAGATTCATATTCTTCCTCCGATTTTAAGTCCCAAAAGATTTCAAAAAAATAATGATAAAGATGAACACCAAAAACTTCATCAATTTCCTTCATCGAATTTTCTTTTGGGGATATTTTCAAATTAAAATTTCCACCTGAATTTCAATTATTTTTGAAAACTTGCAATCTTACACTTCTTTCTCCAATGTTTCTGAGATTAACTCTAGAGCCAATGATAGATATCGATTGCATGACATGAATTGCATAATGAACATTTTCTGGACTTTCTAGATTAGAAACGACAAAATCAACGCTAAAATAATCCCCAAAGCTTAATGGTTCCTTTCCAAACATTAATCTAAATATGTTTGGAATTATAATTTTGATATTAAACAAAGTGAAAAATCAAACACTTTTGTGTGAAAACTTATGAGATTGTTACGATGTGACGAGCAGTGATGAAACAATCAAACAATCATTATTTCATATGCAAGCGATTTGCAAATGTAAATACGTGTTAATATTTTCCACACGGAGAAATGTTTTATTCCATTTCTCTTGAGGTGAGCCTTGTACATGAGAAAAGCCGATTTCAGGTAGATTTCTCTCGATAAAACATTAGTTTGAGTAAAATGGGTTTAAAATGGTTCATGTACATCACATTCCTCTGCTTCAAATAAATCATAAGATTTTGTTTTATTGTAATTGCTTCATGAATTTTGAAGATCCGATGGCGTGCTTTAATGTCATGTTTGGCTTACATAAGAATCGTTCTCTTGAATTTCCTTTAAGAAGTTTTATATCAAAGATTTTTGATATTTAATTTGATATTCTAAACGAAGCTTTAACTTCGAATCATTTTTATAAAAGCCTCCCACGCAACTTTTCTTTTTGGTCTTAAAGAAGAGTGCACAAATAAATGTAAAATAATTTAAAGTTTTTGTCATGTTGTGATGCATTGTAAAGAAGCATTTGTCGTTGATAAGTCTATTAATTTTTATTTCGGTATCGATTTTAAAGACTTGTTTAAAGTCATACGACGATCTGTGTAAACTATGAATAGAATGGAACTTCAAACTCGTAAATATTTATCGAGCGATGAGTGTATGTAGGTCTTCTTTGTACTCTTTCCACACCTTGCGCTTCTACATCTGTTTTTGAGCAACTAACTCTGCAGTAGGAAGTAAGATAAGTTTGAGAAAGTATAAGAATTCAACGTGTGTTTGCATTGCTTTCCAGCAATTTATTTAAAAAATTTTGGCGTATAGATTCAAGGAGGAAAAGAATGAGATCGAAGAGATTGATTTAGAATTTTATTTGTGGCTATTCAAGATTTCTTTTATTGATTTTTGGACTTCTTTTTGTGTCAAAGATATCTTTCAGGAATATAAGACATTTAAGAATTTTCCTGCAATTATTTGATATAAAAAGAAAGTTTTTGAATAAATGACGTGTGAAAATATTTTTTCGAATGTAAGACTAAATAAAAATTCGTGTTTTAGTAGAAAAAAAGTTGGCTGTGTGAATAAAAGATGAAGAGAAGAATTGACAACATTCAAAATTGAAAACTTGCACAGTCAAAAATTTAAATGGAATTTGTATTTCAATCAGTTAGCTGCTTATGACATTTTCCTGTGATGCGACAAGAATTTTATTTTTCAAAGCAATTTCTAATTTGTTTGTAAGGTAAAATTTCTCAAGATTTCACTTAAACTTTATTTTACTTCGAATAAACTTTATTTTTCTAGTCAAGCATTCAGTTTTCTTGATTTTCTTAACCTCTTTGTTCATGTGGAAAGTAAGTTTGAACTTACAATGTGAGGTAAGTAAAGTTTGTTGTGGTTTCTGAAAAATGTTTCTTTGTGTGAAGTTTGAGGTGAAAATCTGTTCATGATTTCAATAAATATCTATGCGTGATATTGTAAATCGTATTCAGATCATCAATTTTGATATAAAACAAGCCCAGAAATTCTCTGCGATTGAAAAAGAAATTATTTGGCGAAACATTTAGAACGTGTGGTTGTCGGTTGCTAATCAAATAACACTCTCAAATGCATTTTGACTAATTCTGTGTTATTATTGATAATAATCAATAAATTTTGAAACTTTAAAAACAAAAACACAAATCCCAGAACATGCTTCAATTTCGGTTGTGTTTCTGTCGGAGACGGTTTGTTATTCCGTTGTATTACAATAACTTAATTTGATTACTTGTGTTCTGTGTGTCTCCGCAATTCAGATGCTAAGAGCTGAAGCACACGTAATATGGAAATCGAATAACAGGTTTGATTATTCGGCATTCTGTATATTTTGGAATATTTTTGCATAAATCTAGAATTTTCTAGAATATCTTTTTCATCATTCTATGACACTTTATTGAAAGTATGGGATGGATTGGTCAACGAATGGTTTCACCAAACACTAAATAACATTTCTCTTTACATCCATCTCGTCATTTGATGCTTAATTATTCACACAGATTTAAGTATGAAATGCGTTTTGAGCAAGCTGAAAAGAGATTTGCCGTTTGCTTGCATTAAATATCAAATCGATAGAAAACCGAATTTAGTTCTGACAGATGTTGATGAAGCGTAATTTGAAGGATTATTTAATTTCGTTTTAGAAGTAAATTGTCGCATTCGTGTTGTGAGTGGAGGAAGAAAGTAAAACTTTGAATATACAAAAACACCAACACTTGTTTGAATTTAAATCCAATCCTTGCATATTTGGATGTTGGCCAAAGCAATGCGATAGCGATATGACGATACTGTTATTGTAAGGATTTTCTATAATTCCATTTCAGCATTTGCCTCGAGACAGCAATGAAGGAAGAGAATTGGATATTCATGTTTTATGAACATGAAAAAAATTCTAAATTTTTCCTTCCGCAATTTAATGGAGACAAAAACAGAGCAGAAGAAGTTTGGACAACTCTTTTGAATATTGAAATCTTTAAGCGCATTATCAGTTACATCCAATGGATATCGGATAAAGCATAACACGAGCTATGAAAATTAAATTATATATTTGACATTTAATTCTTTCATTGAGAAGGATTTTTTCAAATTAAATTTGTATTTTCCGAAGATGAAAGATGAAACGAACCGCTTCAACTTAAATCTTTCTTTTAAGTTCTCTTTAAATAAACAAGAATTTCAAGCTGCTTTTGAATGCACGTACAAAGTTTTGCTGATCACCTCAATCACTTTTCTTCTTGAGTGGTCAAAGAACTTTTCCCACAAAGGAACCTCCACTCGATATATTGGAAACAATTTCTCATCTTTAATATTCATTGAACTACAAAATGTTTTGTTGGCGTTCGCTAAAATAAACTTTTAACGTCTGCAACAATCATTTGATTGCTTCTTTGGTTTTTAATAAATCGGCAAAAATTTATTGTGGTAAGAAGATTGAGGAGAAGCAAGCATCGACGTAGTTTTGTATCCAAGAAATATGCATTTGATAACATTGCAGAAATGACGTGACATCAATATTAGGAATCATTTACAGGTTTCAAACCTGAGCTTTTTGTAAGCTTTTTCATTCAAAGAATTATTTTTCACGTCAATTTCAAAAGATATTACAAAACTCTTGAACAAATCCTTTATTAAAACTTTTTATTAAATTTTTAATACATTTCATTTCATTCATAAGCGAATTTCAACTATCTACACAATGAAATATTCTGCTAAGCACATAGAAATTATTCTCGGAAAAATTGAGATGGAAAGCAATTTTCTTAAAATGCTGTCAATTTTTTTTTGTTCATATCCGGAAAAAGAACAACAGAAGGCGTTTTACTATGAATAAGAGAATTATAAATTTTCCCGTAGTCTGTAATGTGTTTTCGATTTCAAACCTTTCAAATTTTACTGGAAATTTTACTGTTTTTGAGAAATTGTCGCCTGAAGCTTATAAAAAGGGATAAAGTTCAACAGCACATAATTGATTGCCGAATATTTGAGATGGAAAATTGTAAAAACAAGCATGGACTGTAATGAATGATAAAAAAAGGGAATCACAACATTTTAGTTCGTTTCCTATTTTATTCGTCACATTGCAGATAAATCCATCGTTACAACAATTGTGTAATTAAGAGAACTTGATATTTGTAACCATCGCAGTTTTTTTTTAAATTTCCAGTTGGCTGGATCTTACACTGAAAATCATTGAAGCTTGGCAAAGGGCACATGCCTAGATCACCATTCGTTACAATGTAATGTAACTTTTCATGCAGCTTCGTCTACAAGCGTCTGCTGGATGTCATGATGATTTAAATCTGTTTTAGACACATGTCCAAAAATTTAAATATGCAAAGCAGGCACATTCACAATCGGTATGAAACTTTTTCTGTTCTCAACCACGCTTCTAATAAGAAGACATTTCTGCGGTCTTCTCTAAATAGTTTCCTAGACTGCTAATGAGTATTTGCATTGCATCTTATACCTTGTCGAATAAAAGCATGACTAACAAAGAAGAAAAAATTAACAAAAAAAGGCGCCTCAAAGGAAAAAGAATTAAAATATTTTATTTTTCCGCAATTGGCAGCAGTGAAGAATGAAACGAAGCGGAGGCAGTTCATCAAGATTCATGAGAATAAGAAAATAAAATCAGTCACAGAAAACTGTTTGAGCTATTGTCGAAAATGCTGAATGCAAATTTTAACTAATTAAGTGACTATTCCATTATACTTTTTTTATTCTTGTTCTGTGTGTGGCGACTGATAGCGAAGGAAAATCGTGTCTACGGAAAATGAAAATAAATTGAAACTAAAAGAAAATTCGCCTGCAGATCTGTTTAAGTTGCTTTCATAACAAACTGAATTTTAATTTTTCTACTTATTATATCGCAAAAATAAAGTTGAAAAATATTTAATTGAATTTCTCTTCTGTCTTAATTATTTGACAATTAATTGTTTGGTCTGTAAATTGTGACAAATTATCAAAATGTTAGGAATTAAAAATTTATGAAACAATCCATCAATTGACATTTCTAAAACAATATTCAAAGTTTCGTTTAATTGAAATGAGAATTCCCAAAACTAATAGCAACTGTTCAAACATGTTGATGGATAAGAAATGAAACAGATACTCGTTTAAGCAGCAAATTTTGTTTGCTTTTTTGTTTGAAAAATATTAAATTGTTGCATGAGAAACTCTTTTATTTGTTGGAATAATAAAGATGAAGGATTGTCTTCAAGATCTATTTAAAAAATTCTTCTTTCTTTCTCTCTCTGTTTTGTTAATTGAATTATCATTTTAGTGGAGTTTCAGTTGTGATAATTTCGGGAAGAAACGACTCAACCAACCGATATTTTCACATAAAGATCTTCCTTCTTTTATTGCTGCATTCAAAAGTTTACCATCAAGACGAATTAATAAAATTGTCGAGAATCGTAAGAATGAACTTACTTCCATCTCTCGATACATAATCCCTTCTACTGAATGTCCCGTCATGATTTAAACCAGAAAGAAAATTTTCTCTTGGAAGGAAAACTTCCGTAAATATTTGTTTCTCTTTTTTCTATTTGATTTTCACTTCGTTTCGTTCTCGTATTTCGAGAGCTTTTTCTTTCTCACAGAAATATTTACAACAAGAAACGTCGAAAACACTCTCGTCACGCTACAATTCTCATATTCCAAAATTCGTCGCTGGAGAACGAGAAAAGCGTGCTTGTCGGAAATGTGCATTCGGTTTTTATCATCGTTTCCATCTCTCAATGTTCTCTGTGCAAAGATAGAAGAGCGAAACGAACAGCATTGAAAGAACCTTGAATCTTCGTAAAAACATGTGTTCATAATGCTTGCTGCGCATAACCAGAACTGCAATAACGAGGATGAGAAAAAAAAGGAAAAGGAAGAAGGGAGATACAACACTGAAAAGCCAGACGAAAACTGCAGTACTGTGTAGAAGTGAACAAGTACATAATCGTTCTACGATGCAAATTGTCGGACGATTGACTTCGGTACAAGCACGAAAAACGGAAAAGCGGAAAAGCGATTCATAGAAAGGCGACGACCGTGTTGGTGTATGGCAAATAAATATTGCACAGATAGGAAGAAAAAGGAGAAAGGGGTGAAGATGTGTGCTGGTGTTGTAGTCAGTAACTGAACACTTGTATGAAAGTGTAAACGCTACATTGGAAAATTGCACAAACAATTGTTAAATAAAACTTCTTCCCACCCGATAATCACACAAATGCATTTACCATCAATGCGATAGAAGAAGATAGGACGAGACTCGGGTGAAACGAGGATCACTGTTCATACACTATCGTCTACATACCCACGTCGTTCTGACACAGTTCAGTTTCACTTTGCTCGCTCATCGTGGCTGTTCGGTCGTTTGCGTTCTCCCTGCTTTTCTTTCCTTTCTTCTCATATTCAGTTGTTTACTTGATACAGACAGATGAAAGTTGCGAGCCTCATTTAGTTGTACAATGGCAAATTCAGTGAATAGAGCAAACAGCACACGAGAACATTATTAATTTATTATTGTTGTTGAAGGTTTTTTCTTTTTTTGGTTGCTATGATGCTCTTCGGTGGGTCGGGATAGTTCGGAGAGGGAGGCATTTTTAGAGGAAGGAAAAGGAAAAAAAAAAGTGTAATTGTGTAGTGTTGTTGCTGTTATTTCATGTAGCTGTGCCAATACACACTATTCAGTTAAAGCTCAACTACATCGGATTGAATTCTACTTCTTCTTCACTCCCTCTTGCACTCACTGTACATTATTTTTATGTATGTAAACTGGGAAATGGTGCTCTATGCCAAGATCCAAGCAAGGTTGATAGGATTGGATTGTCAGTTATAAAATTTTATTTGATCGCGACACTTCGATCTGAAAGGACTTCAACTAAAACTAAAACTTGTTAATTCAAATAAAAGTGAACAAGAAATTATTTCATTTTCGAATGTAGAACTGAGTTGTGAGAATTATTTATTTATGTGAGAAAATTTAGTGGACAAACTTGAATAGAAACGATTTTTTGTGCAAGTGAAGTCAGGAAAGTGTTTGAGTTAAAACTATAACCGAAACTTTTATTTATGGTGAAGAAGAGAAAAGGAAAGAAAGTAAAGTAGTGGAAAATTAATAGAAAACTCTATGAACAGTGACGAAAGCTTTTATGCATCAGAACAGGTGAATATTACTTTACATTACTCTTAATAATAATGAGGGTGGTGAAATGAGAAAATATCACGAAAAGCGATTTAAAGTAATTTCTATGCAAAGTATGAGTAACTTCGTGTCGTCGTTGTTGTTTGCTTTTGAATTTATTACCTAAACCAGCCCAACATACCTAACATTTCCGAAAGAATTTTTCCCTTTTTGCAAGTTTTCTCGTATTTTTTTTACTTTTCTTTCTTCAAATGTAATGCAGCATTACATAATAATTTATAGTATGCAATTTTTCCCTCCATCCTCTATCTTCTCACTTTTTCATTCGTTCCACGGTTACTGTGCATAATATTATACAAACACATGAACTTCACATGGCGAACTCATGCCATTCATTTTATTCCTGCCAACTATTTTTCACTGTGTTTGTCGCTTCTCGTTGAATGAATTTTCATTTCAACATTAGATATTAGAATGTGTCGTTTATGTGACAGTCATATCACTTTGATTGTTCGAAAATCACCACTAAAGTCTGTCATTTAGAGCAGTTTTTTTAATTCAATGAAATGGCAATTGAGTTAATGAGTAGCGATCTAAAGGGAGACATTTTTTCACGCTATCTGCTCGTATAAAAATGAATAAATCATTAACGTGGGATTAAAATTAATTGCTAAATGAAGAGCGTGAGGGAAAAACTATCTTCTGCTTAAAAGTTTTAAGTAACGTCAGCTGATATTAAATAAGTAGATACGAGGACGGCATGCTTCTAAAGCAAGCAGTAAAACAGAACAAAAAAGTGTGAAAATATGTTGGAGCTTTTCTTGAAGAAAATAAATTAAAATTTAATTAATAAGAGTCGAATTTTGTTGGTGTTGTTACAGCAGAAAGCAACTCGAAAGTTTTGTCGTTCCTAAATCGCTTTTAAACGACCATTTACTGTCACCAATTTCTGTTCATTATATGGTTGAAAATCACTTGTCGCAATCACAGAAAAAGAAACTCGAAAGTTGTTGCTGTTGTTTGTCGGAATTTGAATTATGACTTAAATTTCGGGAGGAAATCTTTGCTTTACTTAGTAAATTCCAACTGCTCACCATTTCCTTTCATTATATAAAATATTTTCATATTTCTCTTTATGTTCATTATATTTTAAAAAAAACAAATTCAATGAAAATGGAATAGAAAATAAAATCTTTTGATTCTTGGAAAATTCTCTTTATTGCAGATCTAATAGAAATAAAATTGAATGATGCTTTAGAGGATTTTCTCCTACTTGAAAGGAATCTTGTAATGTTTTGTAGCAACGGAAGATTATTTTCTTTCACAACATTTTCCTGCTATTCGATAAAAATATAAATTTACAAAACATTAATGTTTAAATATCGATATAGATCGCTTGCGTCATAGTTACAATACAACAAGGACACAATTTATGCGAAAATTCAATTTTGTAAAGCTTTCAATGGTATTGAATATCAATAATATTATCTAGAAAAAATCGGCTGAAGACGTCGCAATGAATCAAAATAGAAAAATTGATTTGCTGTGAAGTGAAATATTCAATTTTTTTATTCAAATGAACTTCAAGAGATCATCAGCTTAAACGTTCGAATAACTTGGTCGTATGTTTGACTAGGTTTTATTTGAATTAGCTTTTAGTTGGTTGTTTATTCAAGTCACTCGTGACAGAGTTTGAAGAAACAACTACAAATGTTCTGATAAAAAAGTCTCAGCGATTTTTTTTATTTGAATGTTGTGGAGAAGGATAGAAAAATAGAATTTAATGTTGTAAGTTTGCTTCCATTCTACTTCTCTTTGGTGCGAATTTATTCAATTAAAAAAATATGCATAACATGCAGAAACTTTCAGAACTTGCCCTAAACGAAAGAAACGGCAAAGTCATCCGAAAAGTCTGAATTTAAGAAGAATAAAAAAATATTTGCGACTGTTTCTCGTTTCGTTTGCTTTCATTTTTTCTGACTGAGTGCACGAGTGAATTCTGACTTTTTGGAGGATTCTTTGGTTCTCCACTCGGCTTCAGATTATAACAGAACAAAAAAAATGAAGACAATTTCTTCCTTTTATTATTTCCGTTCGATGCCATTTCAGTAACTATGGAATGGAAAGTTTCCGTTTTTTTAATAACTTCCATCGCTAACATCTCTTTCAAAATCAAATATTTACAGAACGGGAAGTCAGAAGGAATTATTCTCGGAATTATTTGTGATTGAAGGAAAAGGAAGAAAAAAAGAAAAATTAGAGGAAAATGAAGATAGAAAAATGTTTTTACAAACTGATTATCCTCTTGTAATCTTTGTATTCGTGACAAATTTATTTATTTGTCGGTTTTTTGATTTTGTCGTGTTGGTTTTTTTGTTGTGAAATTCAACATTCATTAAAAAATAATTTCTTTTGATTAAGCGATAAATTAAAAGTCAGCCCCTTTTCCTTACCTTTTTTGGATAATAGAATAAGTACTTTTGTTTAATGGAAAATTTATCTTCTTCCTTTTATTATCACTTCGCATGAAATTTATGTTTAGTAGCATCGAGAACGAAAAGTCGTTTCAAAGCTCCCGTTTTTTTGTTCTTCTTGTTTGAAGCAATGAATTAAACTCAAAGTTCAAATTATTAATGTAAAAATCGTGTGCAATGCAAGGAATTTTTTACGTTCATTTGGTGCAGTAATAAATGATTTTAACTGAAAGGTTCGATGCTTACAAAAGAGTGAAAAAGCATTTATTTAGTAACATTTTTAGATGGCGAATATTGAAATGAAATTTGATAAATGATATTGAATACAGTTTCATTCTGTTACATATTTTGTCCCTCGATGTTCGCTGTTGTTTTCTATCACCTAAAAAGTGCATCCATGCATACAAATCGAAAAAAAAAAATGTAAATTCATTGCACATTTTGCAGCAGGTAAAAATTAGGGAAAATTTAGCTTACGATGGGAAAAACGGGAAAACCATGGAGAATGAGTAGTGAAACGCATTACCAACACCTCCCAATAAATAGCATTAATTTTTAGTGACCCAGGAACAAGAAACATTAATATTCAGGCACACAATGAAATGCAACAAACCAAATAAATGCAACTACGTCCTTTGTTTCATGAAAATTTTTGAAGCTATTTATTTGAATATTGCATTAAACAATATTTAACTTCAAGCGTTTTCATTGCAAATCGAATTTTATATGTGGAAATAAATTTCTGTTTTATGAACCACTCGATAATATTTACACCCACGAAAAATTGTTGAAAACATTTTTTCTTCCATTCATCCTTCTGAAATAAACTGCATGGAAGCATGAAAGTTGTTTATCGAAATGTTCGGAAATATTTTACTTCTCCTTACAACAAGACATGTTCGCAACAAGATATAAAATTTATGAAAAAGTTCTATTTGTAAGGCTGTCTTCAACAATTATGAGCGAGCAAAGTAAAAGCTTTCAGATAACTTAGAGGTTAAAATTGTTGTCATTCGTTTTCCGCAACAACAATCTGATATAATTATCTGAATGTAGACTGTCTGGCTTTGCATTCCTTCTTATTTTTCTGTGAACATTACAGCGTCCCACTAATAAAAAACATTAAAGGCTGAAATAAATAAGAGAAGAAGAATCGGATTTGTCGAGGGAAAGAAATCCTCGAGAGAATTTTTTTTTTTACCCCATTTTCAGTATTCAAATGAACATTTTTGTCCTTTTACATCTGAATCGATCCAAAAGCTAGAGGCGAGAGGAGATTAATTTATTTACATTTTACAGTCGAGTATCAATAACAATTATGGTGGATTGAATGGGAAAAAGAGAAGAAAAATTATTGGGAGGCATTAATTAACGTTTGTTAAGGTTGATAGCTGAAATCTAAGCTTAAAAGGCGACTCGGTGAACTTAATGCACTTCGAACTTCTATTGTACATGCTGTGTGTTCGAAGGTTGAAGAGAGATTACGGCATTTAAAAAATAAACAAAGACTGAACTGGCGGAAAATGTTCCTTAATGGCTTATGGCATTACAGATTATGTAATCGAATATCCCTGATGTGCGGGCTAAATTCATTGGACACAACACTGCATTGAAATAACTTTAAGAGAGAATGCAGTAAATTTTTTAAAATGTGAGCATTAATGTGTCGCTATTAAAAAAGCTTTCACAGATAAGAACGTGATTGTTAAAAATTGTTGAGACTTTTCTTATTTACGCAGCGAAAAAATTCCACTGAAGCATAAATCAGAAATTGAAAAAAAAGAAAAACTTTTATAGCTTGTTTGGTTAGAATATCAGACATTAAGAAGATAAATTTGAAGTTGCAGACCAATTTTGATTATAAATTGAATCAACATTACAGTAAATAGATATTTACTTACAGCATTATTATTACTTGGCAATCAACTTGGCAATGATGTTGAGATCTCTAAAATTACATCATAAATAAACAAAATTTATTTTTTTTTATGACTTGGCAATGATACACATTGAAATGTAACTGTTTGTCTTTCTTTCAACTTCTTTCTGCTTGCAGCACAAAAATTTTCCAGAAAGCACTTGTTTGTATCATAAAATTATGTAATTTATTTATGTGAAAAATGATACCAACACATCAGACGTTTTATTATTTGTTGAGAGATCTTGTAGAAGAATCTTCGTCTCTTCTTTACTTCTCATTCCATCTGATTTCATGGCATTTCATTACATCGAAAGCAAAATAATATGGCACGAGATAAAACGTATTTTTGAAGGAATACGGCGTCGGTTGGCTTTCAAACAACAGCAACAACAACGAAGAGCTGAGAGCGGGGAATTTAAAGTTTATTTCTTCATTTATGAGAAAGGAAAAAATCTTTGATAGTCCACGAATCGGGGTTGAACGAAGCAAAGACGGAATCATTAAATTGAAAGCATGACCTAAAACAACTCCTTGAGTTCTATAAAAAGTCGAAATTTAAACTTTCACAGTGTTGATTTCCAAGATAGTTGGACGATAACAAAACTAACAATCGCATAAAAATTACATAAAAAGAAAAACTGAAATTTATTTTACACAAGTAGCAAGTTACCGATCTCGATATTTAACACAAGTACTCGAAAAGACGCTAAAGGAATAAGAGTTCTCCTTACTCAAATGGAATTTATTTCAAAGCCATTTGAGATATGAGAAGGATGTGCGAAAGTTTTTTTTTCCGAAGTTAAAATTTGTGCTTAACTTTGAAAGTGGAGCAAAAGTATTGAATGGAATTTTATTTTGATCTTGTTTGCATAACACTTTCTGTGATTCATAAGATAAGTGCAGAGGAAAACCTTGAATTTCAATCATTGTCTTTGATTCTCTATTGTTACGTTACCTCCCACACATTCTTGATACCTGAAAACAGAAAACATAATTTTCCATAATTTCTCGATGCAGTGAAATAATTTTTTCTGTAGCATCAAAACCTTGCCAATTGATTTCCATCTATAGAACTGCAGCTTAATATTTTGATTCCTCTCCTTTCTTTTACTTGTGTTAACGTTTTTACAACCAACAAATGGAAATTTAGAATGAAAATGAAAAAATGTTCATGAAGTTCACATGGAAATGCTTCGCTCTTCGTCTCATTGCTTTCTTAGCAACAATCGAAAGGTAAACAGCAATAAAAATAAGGAAGCATAAAATGCCATTTTGTATAATGTTTCAGGGTTTTTGTAAACACATAAAATTTAATAAACTCAATTTTCCTTAGATTGAACTTTTATGGCTTATCTAGAATTGACAGTAAGTAACCGTGTTGATCCAAATCAATTCATAAACTTCAATTAATATAAAAAGTTCATCCTTATAGGATTCACATCTAGATAACTAGTTATCGACGATAGCAAATAAAAAATCATTTGTCGAAGGAGTTTCTTCATTTCAAGCCTTTAAATTCAATTTAAAGTTGAAACAATTGATTAAAACTTGTTGAAATCGAAGTTGTTCGTGTTGTATGTAAAGAGATTTTCAATTACGGAAAACTGCCAATTAAAACTACATCAAATAAATCAAAATCAATGAAGGAATGAAGCGGTAAGCAGAGACAAGAATTGAAAATTTTCCGATTTTCCTATTTATGAGGAAAGATGGAAGAAGTAAAGTCAGTTTAAGGTGCAAGATAATTATTAGCAAATAAGTGAATCAGAGGGTAGTTGAGAATAATGTTTCTACTATAATTAATTATTATTTCTATATACATGTGATTTTAATGGAACTTATTGAAACTGTGCAATAAGACGAAGCAACTTAAGACCATAATTGCTCTGCCTAAATCTGTCAAACTATCTTAATAACACAATTTAATTGTCGCTGCATGGAGTGAACTTGAAAATTCGCTTTGCAATTAACGAGTGACTGCATATAAAGTTGTGGAAGTAAATTTCTGAAGCAGTAACAAAAAACAAACTTTCTCATGTAACTCGAAAACGTCTACGAACGAGAAAGTCAGCGAACGGCAGCGATTTTTTTTTCAATTTACAAACATTGCTTATAACGGAACTTAGCGGGGGTGGAATAGCGAAGAAAAAAAAGTATCATACGCCATATGGAGCAGACGATGTGCTTTAATGCCTTCAATTTTTCATTAAATTCATTCCATTGTAAGTTTGTCTCTTTTTGTTATTAATTTTTTCATTAGTGAATTGGAAAATATGAGATTTCTCTATTTGATGTGACATTAATATCCGCCCTTTTCCCACTTACTCACAGGCAATCGTTCTCTTCTTTCAATTCTCATTGAGAAGCATATTGCGCTCTTGCATAATGCACAACTGAACAAGAAAGCGATGAAAATTTTTGCTGAAGTTGACGTCGAAAGTTGGGAAAATAAATTGGAGGCACACTTTGCAAATTTCATTTAGCACAGGATTTAATTTTTTTTGTCACTCGATATGTGTAGACAAAGCGAGATGTTTGGGAAATTTAATCTAATATTGAACACTACAAATGATGAATTCATTTATGATGATAGAATTCTTCGAACGTAGCCAAAGAAAGCAAATTTTCTCGTTTGTAACATTTTTTTTGTTCGTGTCCTTGTTTAGTTGTTCATATAACGATGCACATGTGAAATTTGCTGATGTACTTATGACGTGACAACTTTTCATGTGACATAAGTCAAAAGTGATGAAAGCCATTTACCATTGTTTAGGGTGCGGGGGTGTGAATAGATGGACTACATAAAAGGACTGCAGTTTTAGCGGTTCAATTAAATGAACATTGGACACAATTTTTTTTGTCATCTCCTAAAGTGAGTTGGGAAAAAACGTGAGTAAAAAAAAGCGAAAGGAAATCCTCCTGTATCTATCAACAATGCAACAAAAGTTGTTGATGCTTCTATTCTCAAAATGATTGATTATATTTTCGAGCTTCTAACAATGACATTGTAGATAGATCCAAAGTGAAATGAAATCGTAAACCACATTCTAGTCAGAAAAACATTTTCATAAATATTTTTGTAATTTAATATATGAAAGTAAATTAATTTGAAAGATTCTTAAACATGTTTGCTAAGCAAACATTAACACGTAATGCGAGAAAATAAATATTTGCTATGATTTACAGAATGCAAAAAGTAAAAGCTTATTTATCTTGATCAAACAAATGATTTCTGCTTTATGAGAAAACAAAAAAATTGCTGATTAAAAGCGGAAAAGACTTTTTGATCTTAAACTCAAACTTATTTTGAAGGTGTCGTCTGTAACTCTCCATTAAGATGTTCTTAAACACGTCAAGATGCGCTTAACTCAATCAGTAACAGCAACACTTCTAGAGTCATCAACATAGTGATAAGTAATACAAAGCTTAAGTGATGCAGTGCTTTTAAAACGTAAAGAAGAAATGCTTAGAGAATATTAAATAATTCACTGGTGAACTCTGCTGAAAATTAATTACTTCATAAACAAACATAAGGTGATATGTTGCATGAGCATATAAGACGTCAGTAGTATTAAATAAATGAACTTTGTAAAGATATGTTAAAGGTAAATTTATGAAATAAGAAATATTTCGCTATCTTGTGTCCTTAATGGAAGACAAGGAGTGTTGAGGTTATTTGTATATCTTCATAGAAGTTAAATTAATACTTCGGTATGCTATTTATTGCTAAGGCAACGCCGAAGCTGAAGACACTTTTACTTACAAACATATTAAATGTTTAATGAAGCGTGAAAATGTCGAATTATTCATTCATAGAAACACTAAATTAAATCGTCAGAAATCTGACGAGATGGAAACAAAAATTGACTTTCATCAACTTCATTAAAATTTTCCTTTATTCTGAATACAAATACTTGGAAAGAAATTGTAAATTTAATTTACAAGGATAATCGATTTCATGTTACAGTACCTAGCTTCGGTTATAGACATGTTTCGTATTCTGCTGTTTGCAAATGACTTTTGACTTCTCTGTATGGTTTGTCCGAGAAACTTTCTCTTGTTGTAAACGTCGACTTTTTCCCCTTTTCAACTTCATGCCAACATAGACGAAATTACAGCCAACATTTTTTTTCAAGGATTTGTTATTCCGCATAATAGAGTTTAGGGCTAATGGGTTTTATGACTTGAAATGTATGTAACTCAGACTTTAAGCTCAACTACAATATACACTCCTTTGGATATGTGGTCATGCGGGTGTATAAGTCTGCGTTATATATTTCCAAAGAAACCACAATGCACAACACTTTGGCTTAAGTATTGCATGAAGGAATAAATTTTTATTGCATAATTTTTACATTTTAATTCAACTTTATTTATGCTTTTCAAAAATGTTTGTCTTTTTTTTTGTGCCACAGAAAACTACTAACTGGCTTCTGGTAAAAAGTTCGTCTCTTGAATACCAAACGAAATGGCAAACACTAAGTTCACTTTACATCCAATTCAGTTTTCTAAACAGAAGAAATGTTGTTGAAGTAATATTTGAAAAGTTTTAAATTGCCTTTCGATGATGTAAAGTTTGAGGCTCAATTAGTTCATTTGAGGAACTTCCATCATCGATCAATGTAACATGAACTTTCATGTAACGATTGTAAATTCAGAAGGAAAACTCATAAGTCGAATTGTTTCACATTAAATTGAGTAAATATTGAATTACAATTGATAACAGGTACAAGTTGTGATTAAAGTTTCCCATTTCAAAAACAATCTCGTTTCACAATCGGAATGCAATGATTTACATCATGAAATCGAAATCAAGCACACAAAGGGATATTTATTGAAATTAATAATTAGAAAATTTCTCGCTGACAAATTTGCCCTCTGTAAAACAATTTAAACAAGTTGAATTATTCACTTTGATGTCGACGATGAAAGTGCCTTTGGTATTGCATGAATTACTGAAATGTTATGCAATAAAATTACATGGGAAACTCACGTCGTCATGAAAGAAAGCCTTGAAAGCCGCAAAGGCATGTAATTATGTGTTCATGCAAGGAAATTTCTCATCCATCTCGTTTATGTCAGTCAGCCACTATGAACTTAAATAAATGATGCGATGCTATGAATTTTAATTAGTTCGTCCAATGCTTTACACCCCGCGTTGTTTCGCTTGTTAACTTTGATATTTTTATTCCTCAACATTAGAGAAAGAAAATGAAATTGAATGAATGAATTATTTGACGAAGGCTAATTCAAGAACGAGCTTGTTTCATATGTAAAGTAATCAAATTGAAAAACTGCTTGAGAATTTAATTAATTTTGAACGATCTGGAAATGTAAGCGACGTAATTAAAATTCATTCATTATCAATTCAGTCTTGTAAAAAAACAACATGATGAAATTTTACAACACGAAGTAAAAGAATTTTAATTATGACTTCAGTTACAAGAGTTTTGAACGATACCAAAGTTCGTAATTGCTTAAACCACCAAAGCGTCGCTCCCAAATTAAAATCTCAGAGTGGGAGGAAAAAAATTGGCGTCATTATCATTGCAGATGGGAAGAGAAAATCAATCAATAAAACGACATGGAAATTTACAGAAATTTAAAAACTTTTCAGACACCGATGATGATGATGAAACAGGTCAGATTCAATAAAGAATGTTCACCTGAAAGTTGCAAAGATTTTATATATTGATTGGAAACAACAGGAAGTGATCATTAGAATGTAAAAAGTTTCTGCTCCCTTCCAACAATGCAACTAAAACAACAATAAAAATGAGGACAATAGAATGATGGAATCACGACAAAAAAAAAGAAACTTAATGAGTGTAAAATAATCAATCAATCACATCATCCAGACAGAGATAATTACATTATTAACATCAAGTGACATGAAGACACTCACATAGCATTGTTGTATTCGTTTTCTTCAGGTTATCACGTTGGACTTATCAAACAGCATGCTAACACGGATACAGGAACTGTGCATTGCATTTATTTACATAAAAGCAAACACTTATGCATATTTAAGTAAATAATCACACGGCACATTGCATAATTAGATTCCATTCCATTTATTGATTGACAACACCAAATCCAATCCTCTTGAAGAGATGGCGGAAAAGCAAACAGCAAGAAACGAGAGAAAAACAATAACAGAAACAAATCATTTAATCATTTTGCCCATATTCAGTTTTCAATGTTAATTACCCTTGATCCCTTGTTTATTGTTCTCGCGTCGTTTTGAAAATCATAGCAAAATTGAGTAATACGTGCAAGCTCATTCTCTACATCATTGTGATGAACACACGGTCATCTCTCTGTGGACAATATTTATTAACCATCCGGCGTTGTATTCACCAAAACGTTGCCCTAAATGATAATTTCAATTTTCATATTTTTCGGAGAATGAATTTTGCATGAAAGTATTAAATGTTTTGCGGGGGTGGACATGAATATGATGCAAAAATAAGCTTTACGCTCATGGCTTACATTTAATAAACTAAATACGAATAAAATTCATTTTTCTCTGATTAAAATCATTTCTCAAAAGTCTGTCGATGTCACAAGTTTATTGATTTTGTCTTTTTTAACCATCGCAAATAGAAATTCCAAGTCTTTAGGCTAAAAAACTATTTTTTTCTAATATTGACTTTTGGTAAATTATCTGAAAATGACTTTTTAAGGGATACACAAAATAAAATCCATTACGACTGAAACTGAATTTTAAAATCCAAAGCATTAAATTACAATATTAATCCTTGAATGTATTTTTCGTTTCTCTATTTTCAGGTAATGAAATATTTAATTATTAAGCAGCATTCTACTTGCTCCTATCCACTCAACAACGCATTCTTGGGGGCAAGTTGAAGGTGAGATCATTAAATTTGCAACACTTAGTTTATTATGAAACAAAACTCTTTTGTGCAAGAAGCGTTTGCTTGTTTGCCAAAACAATTTGAAACGAAACGCTTTTAATTCTTTCTTTTTTGTTTTGTTTGGTTTTTTATTTTTCCTTCAATCCTTAAATGTCTGACAAGTTGCAATCAGAAGATTATAAACCGAAATGTAAATGCCGTTAACAACAAAGAACAACAGCAGTTTTAATTAATAAGCATTTTATTTTAAACACAAAGCATGATTATTTGTCTTAACTACGAAAGAGTGAATTTCTATAAAACTATTCAAACAGTGGCGGGTGTAAAATTTCTCACAATAGATGAAAGCAGCAGTGCCGCTGATGCAATGTGAAGATGATTAAAACACTAACGACAACAACGACGACGACGACGACGACGACAACAACTTCTATTATTCATCGCATGCTAAAAATTTTTAATTCTGTTTGTAAAGCGATGGAAAAAGACGGCAAGCTGAGTTATCTTATGTGTGCGGCAATGAAAACACAACAATGATTAAATTAAATCTTTCGGAATTAAGAGTTTCGTCTGGAATACGGAACGAAAATGACAATTAACCTGAGCTTTTTTATCTCCCCTTCCTACCCTCGCTTCCCTTTCGTCAATCTCAAATTCTTGTGATCTTTAGAAGTTGCTTATCATGAGTTCATAAAACATTGTTAAATTCAATGGAGTGTGAGATGAATTGATGAGTTGAAATAACAAAAGATATGCAACAGAAAGTAAGTAGTTGTTACTATAAATCCATGTTGTATCATGATGATGATTAAACAGGAGGGAAAATTCTAATTAACGACCAATGACTTTATACCTTCGATGTTACATAACATCCTGACACACCCAACAGTTGTGAAATTAAAACTAACTCCAAGAAAATTCATCATGACCAAATTATGCAAATCACTTTGGAATCAAGCACCGGATGGTGCGAATTCGTGTCTTTTGTGAGAAGGATTTGACTATCATCCGCTTATTTACACTCGCTTTTACACTGGAAAATCAGAAAATTCACTTTAAGTGAAGAAACTAAAGATTCTCCATAACAACGATATCATCTATCAGAAACTCGTCCCACTGACTGTTAGTTGACATCGTCATCTTTCATCGGAGAAATGAATTTTCTTTCCTTTTAGCTTCTGTTTCCCATTTTCGTTTCCATTCAACACATTCTCGTTCTTCTATCTTAAAGTTAGCAACATTTCATTTCTATTTATAAATAAAGTTTGTACGTGACACTGAATTTTTACAGTGGATAAAAGAGAAATGGGCCGAAGTATCATCTAACTAAGGCGAAAGACGAAGCGTTGTCCGGGAAAAGGAAGCATGGTAACTGCACATTTCATCAATTTGCAGACAATAAAAGAAATGAAGACAAAGCAAGAGGAAAGAGTTGGAAAATTCAAAGAAAGAATGGAAATGGAGGGAGAAAGCAGATTACATCGAACTCGTCACACTGCATTCCGATTATTTATGAAGTTTATTCGCTAACAATGAGATTTTGCAATTGGTGCCAAAGATCAAAAAGCACGCAAAGAGAAATAAAGAAGCAGAGTGAAGAAAGATTTTATTAGAAAACTGCAGAAAGTTTCATATGAAAAGCGCATTTCAATGAATTCGTTTTTCATCTTCAACAATGGAAGCTGATACGTTTTATTTCACGACTTCCTTATAAAATTATTCCAAACATGTGAAGTTTTACGAAATTAACTTATTTACTTTACAAGATCGTCTGTCTTTCCCGACAGCAATTCACTTAAATCTGTATAATTCAGAAGGAAACGAAAAATCACAATTTCATTTTCATGGTGGAAATAAAAGATTTATTTTTTCTTTTCTTTTATTAAAAACTTTAAATTGCATTGGGGATTGTTTGAAGATGATGAAGCTTTATTGATGAAGTAACATAAATTTAAAAGCACGAAGGAAAAAGTTTTCATTGCAGTGAATTTTAAAATACTTTGCACAATTTACTTAATTGAAGACGAAAGGTCGAAGAAAAATGTTAAACAATTTCGAAAGTCTTTACTATAAGCTTTGGATGGAAATGGCTTGCAAGCTAACTTTAAAAGATTTTGCATGAAAATTACATTATTGAAGGGAAGTACTTTACATCTTTTGTTTTTAGAATTTTGTTTGATTGTGAAGTTTGAACAGTTGAACATGATTTGGATAGCAAATATTTTAACCGCTGTAACTTTTCTCAAGAAAACAGAAAGAATGAAAATTCCTCGTCGTAAATTATAAAAATCATTTCAAAGTTAATGATTGTAATTTGACTTCCTTTCCTACCTCAGGAAAAAGAATTTTTTTTTATAAAGATGTAAAACTTTAATTAAACTTTCGTCTAAATTTGTCATTCCTTCTTTTTTTCTCTAATTTCAATGAATGCGACACGACAATAATTACGTTTTTAAATCTTAAATTAAGAAATAAATGATTTCAATTTGAAATGCTCATCTTAGCAAAGCTGCTTCGTCTTAGACTGAAACGAAGCTTAATTAAAGTAACCGATTTCATCCGTACCAAATTTTGACTGCTGTCATTTGTTAAATGCATTTCAAACTTTCCACGCGAAACTTTCATTGAGCTTAAGAAGCACAAGCAGATTTTTCTTTTGATTAAGAGAATCACACGAAAGAAATGAATATTTCCGTCTTTCAACTATCTAAGCTTTTCCCTTGAAATTGAGCATGACAAAGTTTATTTTTTCTTGTGCAAAACAAACAAACACTCAAAATAGAAAAAGAGGAAACTTCTTAAACACTGTTCGTATAAACGTCGAGAATTCTTTCTTGTTCAACCCTCAATCTGATGAAAAAGGAATCATTTCGTAAGAAATTTCTCTTTTCCTTTCCTTCATGTTTTTTTTTGTAAATTGAAAAGAAAGTAGCTGCTTGTAGTTTGCAACAAAAAATGGAAAAAAAAATCTTTAAAATTTGAAATCTTCAGACTATAAAGATCATTTGAAGAGAATGAAACTGTAAGCGACGTCTTTTTATCCTTTTGAATAATCCATATCCCTTTTTTTTAGTTGTGCTTAATAAACAGATTTATTTGCACAACATGCATTACAGTTTCAAATGCGATTACCATTTTTATTCCTTCATCTTCTTATTTTCTTGAGGATATTTTTCAATAAAAGACAAATTAAACGAAGGGGAAAATGTCGAGTGAATGAATTAAAGTGAGAAGAGAAGTGCGGGTATTGTAAGAAGCTATTTAACCAAGTCTACGTTTTAAACACGAGACGAGCATCCTACAGCTTCATCAAGATACCGTAATGTGTCGAAAGCCATTGAACAATCGTTAGACTTTATACAATGAGAAAACGAGTAGCTAATAATTGCCTTTAAGCTACTCAGAAAGCATTAATGCATGGATGACTAAAGAAATGAAGTTGAAAATAAGGATAATTTTGGTAACGACTACGTGCGATGTTAATCTAATCTCAAAGGAATTTTCGCGTTGGAAAACTAACGTCTTAAGTTTACACTTGTTACCAGAAGAGAAACAAAATCATTTCACTTCTATTATTATTATTATTATTTTATATCATGATCTCTGCATAAGATTTAATCTAGATGAAGCTCTTGAATCTCCTCCTGTTGGCCCCACGACATGAATGCTGTGATAAAGTCCAACAACATTGTGTTGTAAATTCGAAATAGGGAAAGAAATTTTCATGATGTACATTGAAGTGGCGCATCGTTGGTTGTTATGCTGAAGAAAACTTAACATATTAGCGGAAGCATGTTGTTGGCTTTCACTCTTACAAATAATACATAAACCACACTATGATGATGTGGAAATTATTCATGTGTTTTCATCTATCTATTCATGTTAAGCATTCTGTTGTAGCTATTCGGTTTTGAATCACGTTGTGCTATTGTGCAGAAAATTTTTATTGTAAGAATAGAACAAAACGTCTTGCGAGGAAATATTTGAAATATTCTTCAAAGTTGAGTTACGTTCAACGTGTTTATTGAGAGTTTAAACGCTTTCTATGATTTTTGATAAATATATTCGAAACATAAATATTTGTAACATATTTAAAACATTGATAAATTCATATAAGAACTCCAATTATGTGGAACTTCCAATGAACATTGTTCAATTTTTTTTCCTTCATCAAAATTATTTATTAAACAAATCGCATAAAAAAGCTGCATTTGGTGTTTTATTTGTGGGTTTTACACTAATTGACGCTTCACGCAGACAACATCCAAACATAATTCGCCACGATTGCCGGTGAGAATTACACAAACAAAATATAAATCTCCATAAAAAAGAAAAAAACGAATAAAAACTTCAATCAATCATTCATGTTGAGCATCGTTCAAGTTTAAATCAATTTTCATTTTTCATCTCGGAGTCTTCATCTCGCTAAATATAAAAAAAGCTCGAAAGTATCCTCATACACACCCACACACAAAATTGATCGGCTGGAGAAGTACCGGTCTGTGGTAGATGGAAACATCATCTGGTGCTGATGTTCTTTACAAAATTGTGCATAACAAATGCAAGCTAATTTCTTTTTCACGCTGTGATTGGTGAGAGATGATGACAATGATAAAGAATACAAAATTACTAATTGCATTAGAATACGAGAAGTTTCCACTCCATCATTTTACACCTGAAATATGAACGATGAAAAACAATGTAAAATGTTATCTCTGTGTCGTTTTGTGCATCCTGACGTGGTTGTTTATTAAATGGTTTTATTGAATCTTTTTTTCTTTGAGATATTTACTGCAGGGTGGAAACAAGTTGAGATATTCGACCACATAAACTATTCAGCTTACGGTCGGTTTTGTGTGGGTGAAAACATCCAATGGTTGGGAAAATCCACTCACTGTCCCTAATCATGGAATTTCCAAAAAATATTTCACCACCAACAAGATTAAAATGTGCATAGTGAAGTCATTTAATTTGAAAACTTTCATGTTACATGTTATGCTTGCCAAGGTTGATGCTATAAATTATTTTAATAACATTGAGAGAGATGTTTAATAAAAGTTTGAAACTAGTTCGTGGCTCTATCAAAAGCTCAAAAGCATGGTCCATGGATTCTCTTAATCAACACGCTCTTCATACCGATCATCACGTTATCGATGCACGTTTTAGATGTTTGGATACTGTTGCCAGGAAAAGAATTTCCTTGTTATGTTTTCCAATTATCTCAGCCTTGATATTAGCAAACATAGAACCACAACTTTCAAAGCTTCAGGCACCCTCAAAGCTTGATAAAAGTTTAATTTTTTTAAATTTTGAAGCTCATTTTAAAATTTTGTAAACGATTTTGTTTTATGTGGAGAACATTTTGTAATTTCAAAATGAAATCAGCAACTGGAAAGCATTTATAATATGAATTAGAAAATGTTTTTATAATCGAAGTCAAGTGCAAATCAGTGCAATTGATTCACATCATTCATTGATAAATTGATAATTATTTTTGTTTTTGTGTCATTAGAAAAATTAAAAGCTCATATAGAAATTAATTGGTTAATCATTATGAAATTAATATTGCAACTGAATGCAATCAAGTTGAACACAAACGATTAATTGCTAAATTGACTTGATTTATTCTCCGTGGGGAAGTTTTTTGTGTCGAATCATGTCAACGTTCAAGTTACCAATTAAATTTGTTTACAACTTAACCACCCACACTTTCAAATTCAATGGAAAAAAGCTTCACACATAATAACTTTTTCATTTCGGATGCATCACTAAATTAATTGTAAATTAAAATCAATTTCAAATTGAAAATTAAAAGTATTTATGCGATGTTTGATCAGAAAATTGTTTCAGATGTTTTCTTTTGATCACTGACACCTCTCGTTAGAATAAAAAGATTCTAAAGCTGTTAATACTTTTTTATTTCAATTTCAAATTTGATTATACAAATGTCAATATTCTCAACGATTTCACAAAAGTGTGATTGATTGCAAGTTGCAACTCAACCCAATTTCATAACTCTGAGGGACCCAAACATGGAGGACAACAACGAGCCCAATTCAGAATTAAATTTTTATTGAAATTTAATTTCATTCACCTACAGCAATGGCATCAGCATAAAAAAGATGTGCATACAGCAGTCAGATAAAATTGAAATGCCAGCCACAAAAGGTGAAGCGTATTGAACTTTTATCAGAGCGAGTGAAAATGCAAAATATTCTGTATACCTGTGTAAATCAATTAAATGCTCTTTTGATTGCCTGGCATACCAAATTAACGCCATAACGCATACACACATATGTGTAGCTTGTTTAAATTGTAATCAAAAATTAATGAAAATTTCTTTCCAAGTGCCAGCCAGTTTTTTAACATCGCGTCAGTCTCAGAATAAATTTTTTCTTCATGTCATGATTCTCATGAGAAAACTTTTGTTGTCAATTTTTTCTCGAATTTTATGTTTCAACAAGTATAAATAGCTTTAGACATCAAAAAGCATACCAGACAGAGCAAAAACAGGATTTGTTGTAATAGATTAAAGTCAAATTTTAAGCGTCTAAAATCTGAAAATATAAATTGGCTTAAGTTTTGAAAAATCTTTGTCTGACCTCGCATCTGATAAAATAAGAATGGAAGATTTTTATTATTCGATTGTGATCGATTGATTGGGTATTGACTTTGTGTTTTCAAAGTCTTCAGACGAAAACAAATTCCTGTTTACTTCTCGTTACAGCTTTCAATGGCTTCTCTCGTTTATAAGTATATAAGAATTATTTATTTTATTTGATTCATATACCATGCGGATATTGACAATAGTTACAATAATACATGGATACATTTCAAAGTGCATTGCTACACTTCAAGGTAGCTGAATCTGAAAAACATTACAAAATAAACTACTTGAAAAGGTTTTGATTTCATGTAAACAAATGATTCACGAAGTTGAATGTAAATAGTTATTGAGATGCTGATTAAACTTCTCGTTTTGATGAAAATTGAACGTTGGATACATAACAAGATATTATTTCAATTACATCCACGTTGTCATAGAAACAATACTTGATTAAATATTAAGACCTACAGATATTTGATTAACTAAAGTGCTTAATAAAAGATAGAAAATAACGCTACATAAGAGCTGTAATTAGTCTCACTTTTCTATCAATAATCTAATGGAAATTATTTCAATAAAATATTAATCATCGTACAATCAATTCACGAAATTACTTTCACCCTGAAATCCATTGAAATTTCCTGGAAAAAGTTCTCAACACAAATGCTTGAAATATTGATAGAGATAAATCCATTTTTTCTGACTCACTTCAATCCTCTTTTGTCAAGCACATATTTCAATTCGACTGTCGCCCTAAACTGTTGTTGCTTCGTAATCCATTAAAACAATAATAATTTTTGAAAAGTCGGAAAGTTTGGGGAAGGCTATCAGTTTCTCCTTTGTACCATGGAAACAAGTGTAAACAATCGTTTTAATTTCGCTTAAAAAACAGTTGGAAACTGTCATTCAAACTCATTCGCAATGTTCGGAAAGGAAGCGTAGTTTGATATTTATGTCAAGATACGAACAAAAAGTCTGTCAAAACATGTCAATTGAGAATTGACTGTGACTTACTATTCTAATTTCGATGCTTAAAACTCTTGTGAGTTTATAAAGCTAGTTTTCAATGCATGAGCTTCTTTCCTTTTGCTGTTTTGTAATGCTTCGACAATCTTTTGGTTTCAACTTGCGACAAGAGTCTTTGTCGTTGCCCTCGATTTCTACCGTTAAGTTTGTATAACGAGCTAACTTAGCTAGCACAACTTTTTCAGTTAATTCATTTATCTTTCTTTAAATAAAAAAAAGAACTATCGAGGTGCTAAATAAGATAATTAGCTTAACAAAAGTTGTTTAATTTGGATGAGAAAGTTTAATTATTCAAATTTCCAAGGATTTTAAATTGTGAACTTTCTATAATTGGAATGAAATATCTGAAAGTTAATAAAAGTAACTTTTGTACATAAATTAGCTAAATGGTCATGTTACTTGATATTATTTTTCGTAAGAAATAATCGCTCATTGTGTTTATTAATAGAAGGTGATGGTTAATGGACTTTGGTATTGTCAATAACTCAAGTAGAGAAAGCTTATTCAGATGCTTTCGAAGAAGCTTCAAGAGTTTGGCTGTTAAAAGTAGCTGTAACTAGGCTACATAGCGTCAATATCCTTTTTTATCTTCTTATGTATTTATTTACATACAACCAATGATGGAAGGAGTTCATAGTAGAAGAATTTTGTCGTGGTCTGAGATTTTATGAGATCGAACAATTTCGATATTAGAAGAAAAAACAAAAAAAAGATTGCGACTTAATCTTGCCTTATTCCATCTAACATAATTTATTTTCTCTTTTGTAGATACTTTTATTGTTTCTTCCACAGTCATTAAAACATGGCAAAAAAATTGTTTCACAAGAGAAGTGCCAAACAATTATAGTGAAATTTATAAACAAACTTGCCTCGATATAAGAACCTATTTGAAAGTTGCAACTAAACAAAACTTTTCATCTAAGTAAATCTAAAGATGGGATTGTTTTATAAATAAAGTCACAAAAAAATTCTCATTTTGAAAAAGATAATTTCATCAGATTTGTCGTTCCTTCTTTGAATCTAATTCAAAAGAAAAGTTCAAAAATTTTCAAGTCGAAATTTTCTGACCATCTTCTCAAAGACGACGTGTTCTATATGTAAAAGTTTTAAATTAATTTCTGCAACCAAATGTGTGAGTGTGTGTGGCAAAATAAATTAGAATTGTGTAAAAACATTTCCTCAACCCAAACCCAATATCTGATAAAATCGAGTAAAGGAAAGCTTTCGTGCTTTGAATTTATAGATCCAAAGCTGGCCCACTCACAATTTCATATCGTCTGTTCAAATGATTCCACAACGAAACCAGTTTTGATTGCCATGTGAACATAAACACGAGTGCAAGTGCAAAAACTATTCGTGTAATTTTCATCCATGTCCCTTCGGAATAATGTTTCATCAACATGAATTTCCCTTGCTGGTGACGTGATTAATTAAATGTAATGTTTTCTTTTTGTTCTTTCTCTTTAACTTATCTTCGTTGAACACCGTGGTAATAGTTTGAATTATTTATCAAAATTATTGTTGCCCTAAATTTTATCCAAAATGCTATAATTCTTCTTATATATTGGATCTTTTGTTGTCATCCATCATCTTGGTTACCCTACCAAGAAATATAATATCGCATTACATAGAGAAGAGTAATTGCATAATTTAATAAAATATTTTCAAGCAATAATTTATATTAGTTAGTTACATAATGGGCTTAACAATTTCAAAGTGAGAAAAGATGGTTAAGAATGTTTCAAACTTTAAATCACTCAGCTCATAAATTTTTGGTTTTACTCAATTGATTTTTTTAATTTTAAGAACATAATGAAGTTGGTTGGACAAGTTGTCGGTTCAAAAAATGTTTTTAGAGGTTTGGGAATTTATTTAAACCTTTTGGACGAAGAACTTTTCTCTTTTTGTTACTTTTTCATGTTTTCCGAAAAGAATTTTCTGGCGCCTGTGATCCTTAACGTTGCATGAAATCTTCCATTTTATGTTGAAATGCAACAGACGCGTTCAGCTTTTATCAACGAGAAATTTGTTGAGAAACTCTTTCTTTTATATCAATGAAATTTATTCAAAGAAGAAAGAAAAAAGTACGACAATCTTACATAAAATAAAGAAGTTATCAGCAGCAAAACGTTGGCTCAATATGTTGTATCAAAACTGTTTTACTTGAAGCTTAAGTAATATTATGCAGTCTTCTCTTTTTTCACAAGAATCCTCTGAAATATTTGTTTTTCTAAGCCAATGATTGAATAAAATAGTTTAAAGAGATTTTTGCTCCACTTTTATCAATGTTTATTAAAACATTCACATGAATCGAATTTTTTACGTTGAACGTTACTTGATGCCTCAAATATCAAACTTTAAAAAAAGTTTAAGCGTAATCTTGCCAATTAAAGGCTTGCAATGAGAAATGAAATAAAATATCCATCTTTATGCTTTTGATTAAACGATTTCGAGTCTAGTTTCAATGTAAAGATTTTTCGTCTGTTTCGTCTACTGAACTGCATCGAACATTATTTAAACTTTTCAAAGTTAATGTAAAACGATACTACTTTTAACTTTTTCTTTATGTTGTTGTGAATCATATCATCCCAAATATCATTCATGCATATATTGTATTAGAATCTAGAAAAGAAAAGTTCTGCAACGACTCAGAATAATTGAAAAGAAATTTTCCTTCGAATATCAAATTTTGATGTTGAAAGCAACTTTTTTTCGGAGTTTCATTCTTCTTTCGGTCTCTGTCACCTTTCATTCTTTCCTTTCCGATATTGTTAGATATTACTTACGAAAGAATTGATTTTTAGGACGAAGCAGAGCACAACAATTCAAGAGAAGAAAGGAATAAGTTCGAGTGTGAAAGATATAAAAACATGAAGGACACTATATTAGCCAGCACTTTTCTTCACTTACAGTTTTTGTTGTGTAATAACTGAAACATTTTGATATTGCAGTTGACAGCAAAGACAAAATCTTTAAAAGAAACTTCAAATTTTATTTTTCTTTCCTTGAACTGACAACATCACAAGACTCGACCTTAAATCCTTCAAGTGTTGAATTTTAATTTTATCAAAATATTAAATTTTATATTCAATGAGATGACATTCAAGCGAATGATGTGAATGTTCTCGATTGATATGCATATTAAAGCTATTTATCAAACAAACTTAAACTACCATAAGAACAGTTTCAATATTGTGTAAATTGATGATTCATAGATTTTAATTTATTATCCTTATTGCTAATCTATTACACTACAACACAAGGCATCTGTATCTAGATTTTCAATTTACATATCTCACAATCTCATCGTTTGTGCCTTTTTATTATGCATTTTAATTACACAAAAACATCCTTTGAGTCACGACATAGAATGCATACACACACTTGTTACAACATCTCGTCTGCAGTTATCCGAACATTGCTTGCATAAATACTGATATCGATAATGAATATTCAATAGAATTTATAATAGGAAGAAAATTTTCGATGCTCCCTTTTTATGCTGCTCAAATATCCAGAAAATTCCTTACAAGCTTCATATGGAAATTATTTTCAACTCTCACTAACTGCTTGTTTTGACAAGATGCATAAATATCAAAATGCCATTACAGTATCAAATGCAATATGTTTTCAATCACAAAATAACAATACGGGACATGTTTTCAAATACAAGAGAAACCAAAGAATTTATGCTTCTCTACTGGAACATCACTCTCCGAAAAGGTTTAATTTCTATTTTATTTCATTCATTTCGAAGTGGAAGTTTAACAAAAAAAAATGAAAATGAATACAATTCATTCGTATGACATTTAATGGAAAATATAATTAAATCTTTCTCTACTGAAACATGTGCCCATCATAATAAAAAGAAAACGAAAAATTGTCCCAAAAAAAAAATGATAGAAAAATGCTTCAACATAGTGAAAATTTAATGTCGACTTGAAACCAAAATGAGTCTGAAAAGGATGTGCTGGCATCTAAATCGCATTTGTTCCACATACGTAAGCCATGGAGAAAAATGTTTTTACAACGGGAAATTAATTTCAATTTATTTAATTGCTTTTCATAATTACATAATTTTTCATTCATTGATTTTTCTTTTTTCATAATTTGGTTCCAAAGTCGTGGAGTAAACAACAATTTACGCTTAACAATGAATTAGTTATCGGAAACGAAACTTTTTTTACTTTACTATGAATCATGGTTTATTTTTTTAGAGCTGAGAAAATATCATTTTTTATAACCAGCAAGTTGGGAGTGTTGCCAGATGAATTGGGAATATATTCGAGGAAAGTCATTCAAGTACTTAAAAATGTGAGAATCTAAACTCTCCAACAAAACAGATAAAGTTTTGTGAGTTTAAAATTTGCTTTATTTCTTGATCGTTCAATAAATCATGGTTAGAAATAAGAAAAGTAGGAAGGAGAAAAAAAGTTACAAAAGCAACAATAAAAGTTAAATAAAAATTTGAAAATTCTGCATACCTACTTATTTACGATATTGTTATTTTTACTCGGTCGACGTTACGATAGCAATTTCATAGAAAAAGTTACAAGAGATATTGTAATGCAGGTTGAAGGACAATTTCGTTTGCATCATAAATCCGAGAAGAACAAACAATTTTATTTGCAATTTTATGAATAGAAGTCCTGACGTTGTTTATCTATTTCGGGAATTTTCTTTTCCGCGAAACATTTTACAATGCATGTTAGCATGTAATTAAATTTTTTAAACATTTTTCGAGTCATTCCAGCACTTTTAAATGTCACTTTTTTGTAATATCTAAGTAAATAGTAAGCTTAGAAGGTTTAAAACATACAATGAATAAATAATATGAAACCCAAACAGCAGTTGCATATCTTTGCAGATTGTTTCACGACGTTATGAGGTGCTTAGGGATTTTTACATCGTAAAATATATGAGTAACGGATTTTCGCAATAATGCACAACAAGAGATCATAAATTATTTGAGAAAGCTTTTGTTATGCGACAATAGCTAAGGGCTTCTCTACATGTCGCGCTTTTCATTTCTTTTTTTCGGTTAAAAGTACATTTATGTATCCCATTTTATTGTATGACAAATTGTGTGTTGAAATCTACGAATGCAAGCACAATCTGCTGTTTAGAAGTAATAAAAATACTTCTCGTCTTCGCTTTTATATTGCAATAAAATTTCTATTTTCAAGTCGATGCTTAATAGCCATGAAATCTAACTTAATGGATTACGTTTCATTCTTTTAATATAGGTCATGGTTGAGTAATGAGGATCTGTTGAGCATTGTGTGCGTTGGTGTATAAGTATCCGAGTGTATGTTTTGAAAAAGAATTATCTCTTAGGGCTTTTATGTGTCATGTGTCTCCTTTCTACTTAAACAAATAATCCTCTTGTCAATTGCTTCCCCCACTTCCAGCACAATTTATTCCTTTTCCAATTGCGATCTTAATCTATTTAAATATTTTCCGACTAAAGTTTTTCTTTCCTTCGACCTTTTGGATTCTCTTTCAATAAAATTAGAAATTATTCGGTTGATCAAATAAAGATTTATATATTTTTACACAACAAACAGCAAATGTTTTCAGCTTTATCTGAATATCTACTGCAGTCTGCAGACAATAAAAAATATTTACCTCACGTTCATACTTAATTTATTTTAATCTAGGAAGAAGGAAAAGATTTCCATATTTAATTTTTGTCAGAATGGATGAACATTTAAACGTAGAGAAAAATCTTTCTACGTTGCTTACAGTCTGTTTAAAATTAATTGTTTATTTTTCAAATGTTTTCCACATGATCAAATCAAAGTTTTTCCGGATTTTTCAACTTTTAACCGAGAGAATTCATTTGTGATTTTATAATTAAAATTATTAGCATAATTATATTCAAATAAATCAATTTTTCAATTCAATTTTTGAATGTGTTGCAAATTTATGGAAATCTCACTTGTTAAAAAATCAAACAATAATAAAATTTCAATTAATCTGATACTAAAAAATTTATTGTTTTTCAATCCCTCACAGGTACATGCAGAATCTCAACATATCAAACTAAACTAACTCCGATTTCATTCCATCGTCAAGAATCAATAAAACAACACATAAAGTGAACTCTATGGACATTGTCAAAAAAACTGAAGTAAGAGAGCCATTGAATCTGACAGTCCCAAAGAGTGATCAAACAGAAAGCGACAAGGAGTTGTTCTACAGACACAAAAAGTAAATATAATATCTGATCTAACTAACCACTTGATGTCGTATCTATCTCATTACATCGTATTTAATCGCATAAATTTTATTTGAATCTATTAAGCTCAATCTTCATTTAATCTACACTGTGTTTGATTTCCCGCAGTATCAAATTTTTGATAGAAAAACGGAAATGCACAGCATGGTTGGTACACCATGTTAATAAAATACCTGGGGGTCTTTTTTACTTTTTGAAAAAGCTCTCCCAATCTTCTCAATCGAGTTGCAGTCGCTGCTGTGATCATATTTGGACAACTTAACTTTTCGTTCCAACCATACTGAAGATTTTTTTCTCTTTCCTAAATATAGAACGATTTATTGTAAACGAATATTCAAGGAACATAATATAACCATGAGCATAATGAAAACTCAAACGAGTTTTTAAGTCTACAATGACGTATCAGCTGATGCTGCTCGCATCAACTCATCGAAATTTTAAAAAAAGAAAGAAAAGTTAAAATATTGCTGAATATGTAACAAACATTTAATACTAGTAGAACATAGAGCACAATTGGCCGAAATGAAATTTTAGTGAGAATGTGACATAAGAAAGTATCTTCGAAGCATCTGAATATGTACAAAATGATTTGAAGTTAGAATCCAAGAGACTCGTCAAAACCAAATGTGATGTGAAAATCGCAGGAGATTAAGAGATGTCGGCTCAGTTGGGCAGAACTTTATCACATTACCGAATTTAATATTTATTACTTACTATTTAACTACATTATCTATCTAAGCAATACATTTCATAATAAACATTTTTGAATAAGTTTAAGGGTTGCCATTAATAATGGACTTCGTAATTTTTCTTCAAATTATATTAAATTATCTACTATTAAGATGGTCAGCAATAAAGAAGCGATTCATCACATCATTTCTTCTATCAGCAATAATATTTAATATTTATTCAACATAATTAATAATTAATAATAATAATAATAATNTAATAATAATAATAAATACGTATACAAGTGCCGACAATAATTAAAAATTGAAGCACATGCTTTGTACATTAAAACATATCATCATCGAGCCGTTTACTTAGAGATTAAGGAAATTTTATCTTCTAAAATGTAAAGCAATATTCTAACTTTCCTTCTTCCGACGATGTTAAAACTCTTCTTTTATTAGAAGATTCAAGATGGTAAGTTGTGAAGCCATTCACATAAATTTATGATATATGATTTGAAAGAAGCTTTTATAGAGAAACCTTATTTTAATATAATAACATTAACTTCTTTGATATTAACAATAATTTTGCACGTAAAAAGATTCTTAAGATAAATAGTTTCATTTCTTATATATCTATCTACTTAACTTCTTAAATATCTGTAAATATCTTCATCAACAAAAGGTTTATTTGAAAGTTAATTATCAGGACATTCCATATCGACACAATGAACGTTGGTATAATGAAAACATTATTTTGTAACCTGATATATGTTATGTTGTGTGTTATCCTCCCAATGTTAACATCTATGTGCGTGTGTATGTAAACCATGTACATGGGCTTTGAAATGGAGTAGAAATCTTATTTCTGCAGGTTTCGACCACTGTTGCCGGCGCATGAATGTTTTGATATTTACGCTGTTAATGATGGTCCAAACTTACGGATGTAACAATCGATGGTCAAAGTTCAGACAAAATGGAAGCAGGAAGTCGAAGAATTGGAGTTTTAATAGAATTTTTCATTGGATAATCGTTAACTTGGGTATTAATATTAATTGAGCATGTAGCCAATACAATGCAAGTAAGTTTTTAATGGTTGGTCCTAAATACGTGTCCGAGAAGTCACCTTACATGTTCATTTATTCCTACGAAGAATAAATGTGCATGAAAGTTTGAAAACTTTTTCGAAACAAAAGTTAATGTTAACTCCTGACTAACAAAATTACCCAAATAGCCTGAAGTACTTGCATGTAATACTGAAGTTTGAGAGAAAATTTCAATATCAATAAGTAATGTAATTTATTTACTAGAGAATAGAAATTCGAAATTAAAGTGGTTTCATTTCTTCAACATAAAAATAAACTTTAGCACAGTAAAAGCTGTTAAAAAAGTAAATAAAGATTTCAAACTGAGCTGGCTAAAATGTTTTTGGTAGAAAATGTTGAATATAACAAAGAAACTTAGCTTGTTACATAAAAAATGGAACGCCTCAAGACATCCGAGACTACTCATTCAGTCTCGCCACAAAGATGAAAAGTAATATTTTTCAATTCTACTCTAGAGACAAGAGAAATTCAGGGTAGTGCAATGTAACAGAATGAAAGAAGGGCAAACTTCTTACATAATTATATTTCATGAGATCTGCATATATGCAAGCACATATCAAGAACTGAAGTTTGGTTTTGTTCAACAAATTCCGTTTTTTCCATTATCAACGACATAAAAAAATATTTTATGTATTTTTACATGATTTTCATTTCTTCTAAGTAGTTCACTCGAATATTTAAAAGATTATTGAAATTGAGGTTGCTTGCATATCTCTTACACATTGCTAAAGATGCAGAAATGAATTTCAATGTTTAATCATTTTATTATTACAAGAACAACACTCGGTTGCGGAAAATTTAATTTAATATATCTGCAGTAAAGATTTCTTATTCATAAGTGTTGTAACATGAAATGTAAGTAAGAAACTTCGCTGTCTCTTTCTTTCTCTCATAGTTGAAGCTTAAATTGTGTTCTGGATAGCAATTTACATGAAAGCGTACTTCTGAAGCGTGTATTTTATATAAACGAATGTTTTCAACGAGTTTGAGAGTTTCAATTGCAAAACTTATTTTTCTCCACATTTTCACAAACATTTTATAGAATTTTTCGAAGCATGATTGCAGAAACGAATTCATCTAAAGATTTAAAAGATTTGTTACAGAAAGGGAATCTTTTTAAACACTACATTCATTATTCAACTGTTCTTTGGTCTCACGCCTTCTGTTGAATGTATCGAATATTTCATTTATTTTTTAATCATGAAAGTTTTTACTTCTCTTGCGGGTTCAAAAATTCTTTCATTCTTCCATTGAACTCTTTAACCTAAAATAATCACAAAATACCATTCGTTGTTTGCGTGTCAATGGACACATTTCTGGTTGCAGACTATCGAAGGAAACATTGATAAGTCTAGGAATTAATGATGTAGATACAACAAATATTTGTAGCAGTTGATGAAAATGGAAATTATCACTTAGCCTCTTTTCCCTTTGAAAACTAGAATGTGAAAATTAAACCTTACACAGAAGACAATCTCCATTAAGACCCTCGTCATATTCTCGCTTATAGTGTGAAACGTTGTGGCTTTAAGCATTGAAGAGCATATGTAAAAGCAAACAAACAAACAAGTTCAAGTACAAAAGGAAAACACCTCAGTGAAAATCTCTCAGGAATTTTCAAATCACAAATGTCATTAGAACAACATCCTGTAGCGTTTTATGTCTGAGTGTTCTTTAGCAAAAGCTGTAAAATACTGACAGATATTTCAAATCAAAATCTATGGTAAAATTTTTTAAACGAAACACGCAATTCTCTCATCTCATTGCGAGAACAAAAAAGTTTTCTGCGACAGATGGACGAATAAACGACGTCAATGACGAGGTAAAAGAAAAAGATTTTCTAGACGAGACCTAAACAAATGTAAATAAAAAGAATGTCGACACAATATTCCCGAGCGACACGATGATTCAACATTTGACATCATTTACATCGAACATAATATTGTTACTATGCAGATACCAACCGTTAGGGTTCTGTCTCATCTCCTTAATGTCGAAATAAATCGGATTCAGTAATCAACGTTCGACTACCTTCACCTTTCATTCCATTTTGTCTACATCATCAGTGGCAGATTATTCTTCTGCTTTCTCTCAACTTTCGATACTCTTGTGGCAGTAATTTTCTCATGGTTGATAACTGTTTTCAAGCCATGCTATGTGTAAAAACTTAACGACATTCATAAACTGAGCTTTTCCACTTCACCTTCGTGAAACTTGCGAACGAAGTGAGAGAGACAAACGAGATGAAAAAGGAGTGGAAAAAAGTTTGACACTCCATTTAAATGTCATTTATATTCAACATTTTCCAGTTTATGCCACCGTCGCTTGTTCACTCATGTACTATCAAACTTAATTTTCCTTCTATTATTTGTCACTGCAACTGTAAATTATGCTTCTTTATAAAGCTCTTACATGGAGCTTTTTTATCTCGTTTCTTTCGTTTAAATAAAATGAGATGACGCCTAACATTCGCCATTTCATGTCGTGAAAACCTGAACTTTGTGTGTTTAAACGTCAAGCGAGTTTTTCGAGATGCTTCTTCGCTTGCTTCTAACCGTGTTATAATTGAATTGTATCTTTAAACTTTTCCATCCGTTTTCTTTACTTTCATTTAGCATCAACTCACGCTCACCTGTTGAATGTTAAACAAAAAATTTTGCTATAGAAATTTTCTAAGTTATCAATTTTTAAGCTATTGCAAAAGTTAGAGACTCAAAAGTTTCGTGTTTTGGTTTCCGTTTCTGAACTTTTATTATTAGGAATAAGAGGGAAAAATTTAAATTTGTTTGACTTGAAATTTCATGGTAAAGCTTAAAGTTGGAAACAAGCTTACTGAAGTAAAGAATATTACAATATCCAGAGGATTATTTGCATCATCATTACTTTTAAATACATGCAAAGCTTTTCTCTATGGTTACAAATATGATGGGAATTTCATGATCTTTTGATTAGATATAATCCCTTTCCTTTCTGCATGATCTATTAGAATTCTCATGGCATGAATTACAGATTTCAGTGCATTGTTGTCATCGTGAGTTATGTTAACACTTCGCTTATCTTCCTACACTTTTTTCCCTATAACGTGACTAGATTCTTAATTAATCTTTCCATCTTGTCGTCCATCCAATGTTGTAACAAAGGAAATGCAACTTTTGACTTCAGCACGTTACATTGTGTAAAAACTTTGAATGACAAATAAGTATTTGGTCAGAGAGAAAAAGAGATTAAATTGTTGTTGACATTCGAATGAATGTTGTTGAAGAAAAATGTTTCTCATCTGCATGAGATTTCAAGTAAAAATCAACTTTTGATGAACAAAATGAAACGAAGATCGCTATAAAAATAAAAAACTTTCCACTTCTAATTTTTCATTAAACTTTTCACATTCTGCTTCACCAAACTATTTGGAGAAAAAGTTTTATTCACATATATTTAATTATATCTCCATGTCACCACCGCAACACATTAAAATGAATGCGAACAAAACTTTTCCTGTGCCATTCTTCAGTCCATGTAAAGCTTCAACCTAGCAGCTTTTATGTCACTAATGAAGAATAAAAAGCTTATAATGTGGGCTATTTAATTGGAGTGCAATTTACTAATGACTATACATGTTCCAGCAAGAAATGTTTGTCAATATTCTTTCATTCTTAAAAAGAAAAAACATTCTGTTTCTGAAATTTATTCTGCCTGTGAAATGGCAACACGTTTGCATCCTTCGGAAAATTTAAAACGGAAAATTATTGGATGTTTTATGTAAATTGACATGTAAATTGCGAAATATTCCGCCTCTATCACCGAATAAAATTTTCCTTCTCTCCTTTTAAGCTCTTTTTCCGATTTCATCTACTCACCAAACATATTTTCAGCCTTTATTGCATAATCGTACATGAAGCACCGACACTATAATGCATTTGCATTTAAAATGTAAATTTTATTTCCTCTTCTATATCTCATATCGTTATTGAGAAAAGATTTATTAGGAAATGAATAAACAACCGATAAAGCGAATATTGTTCACTTTCAATATTAGATTAGATTAGAATAAAATCAATCCACTTGACGGCCAATGGTGTCAAAGTCGATATCAGTCTCTTGTGATATCAGACACAATTTTTCTTAACTATGCAAGATGAGAAAAGCTCTTTAGAAGGTCTCTAATTATTTTTCATCACAAGAGATTCAGATGCGGTCTGTTGTAATGATATGGAAAGCTTGTGAGACTTATTTCCCAACAATCCCAACATTGAACACGAGCTAGTGAAGTCAATCAAGAGAAATTGACTCTTTAATATCCAAGCAATTTTTCATAACAACTTCTTCACTCAAGGAACAATTATTTCATTAAAGAAAATTAATTTCATCGAAGAAGGATACATTAAAAGCAATAACGAAATGATTCCCCTAATAAATCAATTGAGATCATTCTGGTGAAGTTGTTTCCTCCTCATTGCTTCTAATGCATCTTCCACCCACTCCCTCAGTACTTAGCATTTTACCTTTCTTTAAATTACTTATGAGAGCATAGAAAACCACATTTTCTTTTCTCTTCAGAGTTTGTCTCTTATATTTGCTTATGTAGATATCCTCATTTCCTAGTAGGCTTTTCTATTTCGAAAGGAAAATCAAATTATTCTGCACAAACTTTATTAACGTTGCAGACGTTTCCAAAGCCATACGGCAAGAAATTATTACAAGATCTTAAGACAAACATTGGTTGCTGATTTCTAAAATGATGAGTGTGAGAGTCTAATTGAAATAATTTCCATTTTCATCAACAATGTTTTTAAAATATGCGAAAAGAATTTTGTGCAAAAGTTTAACGACTAAAATTTGAAAATAACATTCGCAAGCAATCATCGCATGGTGTCGCATGTGTTGCGTGAGATTCGTGTTGTATTGTTTTTCATTTCTCATCGTTTGATTTTTGCGAGAGAATGAACAAAATTTTTATTATTGAATAAGCGTGGGCGGAATAAATTGATGCTTGGGTTAGTTTCTAATCATTTTGACCACTTCAATCAAATCAACGAAAGAAAAAAATCGATTTGATAACTCTTAATCAAACGAAATTGAAATTGACAACAATTGACAAATATCCAACATGTGTTGATATCATTGTAATAATTCATGTTGTTGATCATTGGCACATATTCGCATTGACTTATCATATTCTTGCGCTCGCACAATTTTCACACGCACGATAGTATGCGTGAGAAATATTTACGTTTGAAACAAGAAGCTTTTTCTTCTTTTTTATGCCACAAAATAAAATGTTCCTGACTGTGATGATCAAAAAATTTTGTAAAATTGAAAAAGGTGAGATGCAAGTATTAAAAATTATTGATTGTTATCATATAGTGCATAGTAGTAATCACAAAACCAGTTTCAAGTGACATTTTGTTAAAAATAAACGGATTAACTTGATTAAAGCAACAACGCCGAATTTTGTAGATTAGAAACGTGAAAAAATATTAAATACGTCAGCAATTTGGTTACCAAACTATATTTTCGGTAAAATTTTCGCAAGAAATCTTTCGTTAATCTAAATTCTTACGTGTAGGTTAAATTTAGATATTATAATCGCATCTGCTGTAAACTTTTGATATCGAAAACTGCTTTGATTCATGTGTGAGTTTGTACCAAGAGAGAATTTTATTTTTGCAATGTCAAATTTATTTTCCGGCATCACGAGTTATGCAATAAAGAGTTATAATTAATTATGAGCTTTTTGCTTGCGAAGTTGACGAGCTTTAAATGCTGTGAGAAAATGATTCTATTAAGGCAATTAGGATTTTATGTGTTTTATTTGAAGCCATTAAAAATCGTTTAGCACGTTGTTAACCATATAATAAGAGTGAAGAATATGAATAAAACAATTGAAAGTGCGTGTGTGAACAACCATCCTTAAGTTTTGTTTTTGCATATCGCGATTTTTCTAATACTTACAATCAACTAACACTCTCGCACTTTTCTTTTCGCAAAACTACAGATGCAAACACAAATCTCGTATAAACACATAAAATCGCTCTCTTATATCAGATGTATGAAGCAATTAGCACGTGACATGTAAAAGTGTAAGCTTACGTTGAATAAACTTTTTCTATTACATTTCCATATTTACATGATTAGGAATCACACATTGATAGAAAGTGCGAAATAAAAATAGAAATAAATATAAAAATGCTGCTGAGAAGAGCGTAAAAAGTGCGTAGAAAAATATTTTATCGTTCGTTGGCCTTCGCATTGCGAATAATATGACGTTGAGTGCTTCGTTCGTAAACATTTTTCAATGTTTATTATTTTATTATGACGTGTTACATAAAGCGCAACAGGTTTTTCTTCTCTCCCTTAAGATCAAGGATATCAGAAAGGAAAATTATTATTACGCGGAAATCTCATTTTCCCCGTCAGCAATATTCAGCTAACATTTGAAATGATTATTTTGATATTATAATGATGGAGACTGCAGAGAAGCATATAAAATGAAGAATGGAAAACTAGTTTCACAAATCCAAGTTGAAGATGAGACGGTAAGAAGAAGATTTTCCTTCCCTGTTTGCACGCTCTAATCCTCTAATGAAAACATCCAAAAAAACACCGTTTTGAAGGCTAAAATGTACAACACATTAATATAACCAGCCATAATTTTTACATCTTCTTTTCCTTTAATTTTTTTCTTTTTGTGTCAAACTAACACACACGCATTCTATTAACTTTCTTAGATAAAGTTGCGAATATTGAAGAAGCAAAAGTATAAAAAAAATTTGTAAACTTGAAATGAAATGTTCATCTGTATCGTCATCGCGTTTCGCACATATTCGCTCAATAAAATGTGATGTTGTGTGTTTGCAAAAAAAAAATATAAAAAGAATTCATAAGCTAAACTAACATCATCAAATGTTCAAAAAATATCGCAGTAAAGCCGAATAAAATTGTTGAAAAATAGAAAAGTTCCTAAAAAATAGAATACATATTGAAATAATAATATTCTATAAGGGCACGTCATTGAAGACGATCTTGTACAGTTATGTGTGGAGATTGAAGAAAAAAAATTAATAATATTAGCAACAACACATGCATAGAAGTATCTATGTTCAAAGTAAAATTATCTTTCGGTTCGCAAATGCTTCTTGTTCCTCTACACTCTTTTCTTATATTTCTTTTCATCATTTGGACTGTTTTTTTGCAAGCTAGTGGTCATTTCAGTACTAATATTCATTCAAAGTAGTTGCTATTTTTTCGGTCTCCGCACAAATTTTATTTTCCTTTTTATTTTTATGTTATTTTTAATTTCTCTGAAGTGAAACAAAACAAAAATAAAAAGAAGAGGAATTGGATCTAAAAGTTAAAGAATTCCTTTAATTAATTATTGTCGTAAAGTTTAATTTGTGGAAAATTTTGTTTGCATCATCAAAAATGTGAAGGAATTGAAAGGAAAGAAAAAGAAACGTAATGAAGAAATGATTAAAACTAAGTGGTGTCGTTGAGAATATGCCGGAACAATTCAAAAGAAAGCAACAATTTTTTTTGAAATAAAAACAAAAAAATATAAAATAAAAATTGCAACAAAGTGCTTTTCAATTGGATATAATAGAAAGAGAGAAAATTCATCCAAGCAGGTAGAAAATCAATTTTCAATCTTTAAATAATTTCGGCTTAAAAAACGTCCATAATCTTTTAAGAGAAATCACTTTCTAATGCAAACTAACACAGCCCAAAAAAAGTAACCGAAAAAAGCTCTTGAAAGCTTTTTAAAGGCGACTCATAAATTAAGCGTGCAACAAGAAGAAAACGAAGATTCTTGTAATGTCTTTATAAACTCTACGTTTATGCAATTTATCGCGTTATCATGACACTTTATCAGAAGTAATTTCAGCATTCGGTTTTCGTGCGGAACCCTTAACTATAGCTTCACTTCTTTTTCTTCGACCGAATTCTTATTATTATCGCACTTCTTATTATTCTTGACGATGCCTCTCGCTCTCCAGCGAAACTACAACCTAAAAAATGCTTGATTATACATTTGCACACTCATACAAACATTAGACGGCTTTCGTTCGCTCAAATAGCAAATATGTAAGCACAAAAAATTTACACAAAATATTTTTTGAAAATGAATATAAATAAAAAAAAAAGTTAGTAAGACATTGAAAAAAAAAGAATCAAAAGGGAGAAGAAGAAGGAAAACGGGTGAAAAACGCAAATACACAAAAAAATAGCGGCAACCAAACAATATCATCAAAATTCATTTTCGCCTTCAGTTTCGCATAGCATTTTCGATTAAAAACTTCTCTCCATCGACTCTTCGTATTCGGCTAAACCTTTTTTTTGTGTTTTTTTTTTGTTGCCAGTTGAAATTTTCTAGTTTCATGTGTGTGCCTTTTGCCTAAAGTCAAAACTTTATTCGATGCTTCTCGGAAGTGATTAAAATTTTGTTAAGTTCCAAGAAGGTCAGAAAACGCGCAGTTAAAAACTGATTTTTGATGTTGCATCTTCAAATATCTTCTAGAAAGCAAGTGCCACGTGAAATGCAATTTTAAGACTATTGAAAGTGTGTATAAAGACTAAGCTAGGTAAGAAAAGAAGAAGAAGCTGATGACAGGTTGCAAAAATAGTTCCGCTATATATTTTTCTTTATTTAACCAATTGGATAAAATCGATTCGAAACCAGAAATGTACCATTTTTGCATAAAGGCTTAGATTAATGATAGGTGGAACTTAGAAAAATCGCATCGTATAAAAAACTTGATGTTTGGCATTTTCTAGGAAAACAAGCTTTCAAGAAACGGATTTCTGTTTGTTGCTAATCTTGCCAATCTGAAGATGCACAACTCGTAGACAATAAACATAAAACATTCCATGATCATATCGAGATAAACGACTTATCTTACAGTTTCTTTCATTTCTTCTTCTTTGTAACATTTATTCTTTTTATCGCACTTCAAAATCGGGATTAAGTAATGCGTATGATTAAAGAAGTTACTTGTTGAATATTTTTTATTCTTTCTTTCTTAAGTTTAGAAAGATTTTCATCTCCCAAGTCAGGAGAAGCAAGAAAGATGAAAAACCTTGTTGCAACTGGTTCTGAAAAATTCTTGATTTTACAGTTTCTTCTTAACTACAGTTTAGAATATTTATACATACAATCTCATTATTTTAATGTACCAAACATTTCTCCTTATGTCTTCTTATTCTTCCCTTCCACGCCAGATTGGTTTCGACCTCTAATACTTCAGCTGAATATAGGAAGTGAGTTTAAATCCAAAGTTGTTGTGATAATGATACGAAAACTGCGAAAACAAAAATGTTTGCAAGCTCACAAGGTTAATAAGATGCTCGTTTTTCATGTTGACATCATTTATTAATCCACCCAACAAGACTGAAGGCACACTTCTCAATGTGTCATGATTATAGCTCAGGCGACTGATTTGCCGGCCGTTAAATCTTAGCGTTAGATTCTTTATCTTATAATGAGCAACAAGAAATGTTTGTTTTTAAGCTTTTTATTTTTCTCCTTTCTCTACACATATCAATTAGAATAAAAATCAATTAAATCTGCATCTCGAGTAAAGCTACTACCACTTTACGACTTTTTAAAAATATGTTAAATATGCTTAATAATACTGCAGAAATTATTATTGCGCGCACATGTTTCATTCTCCTTTCCGTCTATTAGATTCAAGAAAAACTCGTTGCAATCTTAGAGCTCGTGTAATAAATCGAAGAAGAATCGGAATTAAAAATTAATGTTATAATCATCATCATCATCATCAGCATATAGATGCTAGCATTGCAGTCAAGAAAGAGATGAGAAGAAAATGAAGCAAACAGGAAAGAAATTGAACCTTTTCGTAAGTAAACAGCACAAGTTTGGATTCATACAACAGAGAAAAGAATTAATAATGATGGAAAGGTAGTTGCGATTGCGTTTGCGAAAAGAAGGAGAAAGAAAAACTTGTAGCAGTTACTATAAAACTATTAACCAATTCCGTACAAATTGTATCGTCAAACGATCATCTCTTATAAATTTATTTGTGCTGTTCGGTTGTGTTTTTTTTTTTTGCCTTACTCGTAACTGTAAAAAAATGCTATGCATGGAAGAAAGAAATACCTGTATCTATAATTTCTGATAGGATTTTGCATGAAAGTTGTGTGGAAGAGAATTGGCGAAATATGGAAGAAGAAAAGTGAAGAAGATTATTTTGTGATTATTAAAAAGCAATTTATTGGCAAACATCGCACGGTAAACTGTAATGCTGTGTATGATGGGCCTACGAAAACATGTTCGATTGCTTGATTAGAGCAATTTTCAGAAAAACTTTTTTGATGCTTTTTAAACGAGCATTTACAGCTTCAACCAGAAGCTTTCAAATCAAAGAATGATTGCTGTTGATGCACATTGTAGTGATGATTGAAACTTAACGGTTTTGATGGCGGATGAATTTGTAATATAAAGAAATTAACGTTTTCGAATTCATCACAACAAAGTTGATAGTCGACACTAAGTTGTAGGTAACATCTGTTTTATTTAATCGAAATTCCGGATTATTTGAATTGAGTATTTTTAATTTTACCCATTGTGCAAATGAAAATAATGAGTACTTCATCATCTTGAACTGTTTCTAATAAGTAAACATCTTTTGTCACGTATGCCGTCGGAGCAGCTCTTCCTGAAGGTTCCATGTCACTAATCCAATTGAACATTCAATAGGTTTTCTAGCAATTCGCACTTATATGTACCATCAAGGTTATAAAAGGTTCGGATTTGCATGCTAAAGTGATTAAAGCAAGAAGCAACAACAAATTGTTAGCTATCGAAAGTAATAAAACTTAATATCCCAAAATTAATTCAACAATATAAACTGCCAGATATGTGAGCTTAGTTTAGTCCACGTCGAGAAAATAAAACGACACAAAATTTGCAAATTTAAGACCATCCGGAGAGTTTGCACCACGCCCTAAAGCGATACATTCAACCAAATTCGTTTTTTTTTGTTCTCGCGACCTTTTTCGTTTCAAAAAAATAATTTTTGACTGCTTTTTATGCGTCAATGAATTGTTTCATGCCTTTCGAGAAGAAGATGATGATGATGATCTATGTTAGGTTCTTGAAAAAATAATGTTCTGTTTTTCGATTGATACTTGGAGCCGCAAAATTTGAGTGCTTGGCCTTAAAGTGCTGGTCGTTAATTAAGAAAACTTGTAAAAAACCTTCTTGAGAGGTTTTGAACTTGGAGAATGATTTGTATAAGAAAACTACTTGAAACTCGAGTCTCTCCAGAATTTCATGTCACACACCCTGTTATGCCCTTCTGGTTGCTATAAATAGAATCGTTCACTAATCGCAACTTTGCCAAAAATTGAGTTAAAAGAAGACGCGGAATTGTCATGAAATGAGAAAAAGAAAGAACGAAGAAAAATTGAATAAAAAATCTCTGTCGCCCACATAATTGCCGAAATGAAATAAGTATTGTCGCACGAAAGTCGCTTCAAGATGAACCTTTGCGAATCGGTTGACCGCATTTTTATTTTACGAAGTTTGTCTAAGATTTTTTTTCTCGTTTATTTAGAGAGACTAAACGATTACACATCCATGCCGATATCGGCCATTTAAAAGTTTTAACTATCGTTGAAGATCCACCCTACGAATGACCAACAACAAACTTAATTCATTCACATAACTCCATTTCGCTTCAGCCTTAATTAGTATTTCGTTCTTGTTTCAAAAACCATAAGAAAAGAAACACAAAGAAGAAGACAAGGCAATACATGAAATGAATTTTGTGCAAAAATAAGAAGCAAAAGCATGTATGCAACCTTGAAAAGAACAAGAAAGAAATAAAAAGAAATATTTCATTCAAGAACAAAACGAAATTTCTAAAAGATTCTTTCAATCTTTTATTTTATTTTATCTTTCGCGATCATTTTTCTAAACAAATAACTGAATCAAAGCGAATTTCGACCATCTTCGATTTCTCATTTGACATTTTCTTCGATGTAAATCTTTTAAATTATCATCAAAAGTTTTGCATAAAACAAACGAAAAACAACGACTCCGATTTTACAATTCGATCCTCGCCTTTTAAAAGTTTCATCATATTGAGCGAAGAGATTTCAAGGTTCGAATTCATAACAAGGGCCTTAGAAAAACAAGATTTAGTTTGCGAAATCGTGAAACTGCAAACGCTAAAAAACAAACAACCATCGACCGAATTTCCTTAGGCGCTTCTAATACATTTGAGCATGCTGCTTAAAATTTGCCTAAACTCATTCGTAGGAAGGCGGTCAGAGGATCTTCTTCTTAACTTTACACATGTATTTTATTTTCGAAAAAGAAAAAAAGCGATTTTCATAAACCACCAATAAAAAGTGTCTCTCGCGTCGTTCATAGCCTCTAACTAGGAAATAACCACGCAAAGCTTAGAGTTTATTTATTCGAGCAGCGTTTCTTCCAAAATGAAAATAAAAAAAAACCTTCTGAGTAGTCAAAGCGATAGTGTGAGTTCTTTTTGATTTGATGTTCAAGTTCTTTTTTCTTTCGTTATCTTGCTTAGTGTCATACATGCATGGGGTTGTATTCATTACATATTGAAAAGATTACTGGCTTTGACAACATGAAGTCCACTGTCATGATTAGAACTATGATTGTTTATGAAACGTTTTAGAATGTTTATTTTCAATCTGCACAAATTCTTTTTTAACGATGCCGTTACAGTTTAAGTCGCAACAAATCTTTCACTAAACGAAGCGCTCGCGAAATTTTTGCCAAAAAGATTTTCTCTGCGCTTTTTGCACAAAAAGCAAATCTATGTGTGCTGTTTCTAAAATTGCGTGTGTATTTGAAATCTCATGTAACAGGGCCATAAAGTGTATAAGTTTTGTGATTACTCTATATTTGCGCTTGTTACGATAAAATCAACATTTATACCTTTTTATGTAACATTCAGCGAATTTTATTTGATATTATTCACAAAGAAAATTTTTACGAGATTATAATTTATAACAAATGAAGATCAAATCTATTCTCGTGATCATGATAAAATTATAAAAGTTTCAACCCTGACCATTTGCCTAAAAATTTATTACTCTCTTCTTGATTTTTATCCATCACGTTGGTGTTGGTTAACATGCAGAAGTAAATTTGCTAAATTTTTTTTATTAGTTTGAGCAGCCAAAAAAAATATTACAAGAGGTTTGCGAATTTTTTTCTTCTCTTTTTCTTTTCGCAAGTCACAAGTGATTTGAATCGTATCTATTTATGTTTGTGTAATAATAATGAGGGTCAATTATCGATCAGTTCGAAGTTCTTTCCTTAACAATTTCTACGAATTTCCACTTGTTAAGTGTTAAAAGCATTTTCATGTCTGATTTCAATATCAAATGATGGCGTTGTCGACAATAGGACAACACGCCCTGTGCTACCAAATATTTTTGCAAATAAAATCAGCCACGAGATTGTATGCGTGCTGTTACTGCCGCAAACAAACTGGCCCGAGTTGATAGACACACACAGTTTATGTGTATACATTTCGACAATAGTGCTGTCCTAAATTCGGCGAAAAAAAATCGCAAAAACTGATCATCAGCTCACACCGAAAACTGACCTTCAAGTTATAAAAAAAATTATATATTTGAATTTGAACATTGATACACATATGTGTGAACAGCTTTTTACTTTGGTGCTTCAAGTATATGCTACTAGCAGTAAATATTCGAACTTAATATTTCGCAAAATTTGTATTCATGAAGATGTAAAAAAATTTTGTTAAAAAGAATCCATTAAGATAACAGAAACAAGGAAAATACAATAGCAGAGAGAGAGAGGGAGAGAGAGAAGGAAAGAGGGATATAGCAAGTACCTAAGTTAATTAAATCAGATAGTTGTGCCATATATGTATATCGCAAGCAGTTATCATTGTTAAGTGAGTCTTCTTATTTAAGTTTACGCAGATTTTTTCTTTCTTCTTTTTTCATTTTTGATTTTGTGTGCAAAAATAAAGAAACTCTTTTATGATTCGCAATCACGTCTCAAGGTTGTTGATGAGATGTAAGAACGTTAATTGCGTTACACTTTAATGATGATTATTTTTTATTTAAAAATTTGTTTGCACATTGAATTGACACGTTAACGAATGCCGAGCGATGTTATCGACAAGGAGGAAGAAGCGAAAACGCCTCGTAAATTGCTATTGCATAATTTATGTAAATAAGACCTTTAAATTTTTTGATAGAATTCAATGTCAACTTGCTTCACCAATTTTTCCTGATAGCGTTGTGTGTATGTATGTAAGAAGTTTGTAAGTAAGCTTTCGGAATAAACGAGACACATCAGAAGAAAGAGAAGCCAGAAGCCTTTAAATCTCCCTGTGTAAGAATGAAAACTACAACAAAGTACTGACTAAAGATCATTGCATTTAATTAAAGCTTCTTTTATTGTGTTACGGTACATAAATTAAGTCTCAACTTTTTCCGTTCGCTCACCGTTGCCTGTTGCTGTTGTTATTGTTGTAGTTTGACTTATTTTTTTTATTACCAATGGAACTTCTGCTGGAAGTGAATATCAACTGCTAATTTTCGGCAAACTTACTTACAGCATTTTGTCTCACAACAAAGCAATAAATAGGAGCAGTTAAGTTGCACGGTATAAAGCATGAACGATTTTACGAGAATTATGCAAAAAAGCATACAGTGGCAAACGCAATAAATTCTCTCGCTCAAAGCGTCGTTTGGCAAAGAAATATTTATGAGAAGAAACAAGAAGTTAAAAATAAAAATATATGGAAAAAGTGTTACATGCTAACAAAACAATAGCAATAGGAAAGCAATAAGATCTACCGGAACGTTGAAGAAAAAAGATTATTTAAGATAATTTTTATTCAAAATTGCAGTAGCAAGCGGTGGAACATAACAATATTTACTTAAACGTTTATCGCTTGCGGTGATGATTTCTATAGCCTGCCTTTGGTTATAAATCATAAGCACTCAACGATGATGATAAACACGTCGATGTAATACGAAGGAAAAAATGATTAACTGTTTCTGTTAATGCTTAAATTTACTGTTCAAGTGTTGTTTAAAGGAAGGATAAGAAAGAAACAGAAAAGCGTTTACGACGACGATCTTGGAAAGCTTTTAGCATCGAGCTTTTATGAATAATCATTTGTGTTACTTTTATTGGGTTTGTTTGAAGTGTAATTATACATACTTACAATTAAACAGTAAATATTTTATATTTGCAGCATTCATTCATTTTTTTCAAATAATTATTAAAATTTCCTGGAATAAATTTCAGAAATAAAATCTTCGATCATTTTGTAGTTTAAATTCTTTTCTTCTTTTTTATTTATTTAAAGCTGTATAGAAATGGATCAGCATTATTGTTTGCGCTGGAACAAACATCTAACAAATCTAACAGATGTCCTAATATCACTACTAGAGCGGGAAGCGCTCTGTGATGTGACGCTTTCGGTGGGCAACAATAAAACGATAAAGGTTACTTTCAAATTTAATTATTATTTAATTATTTTGATATTTTGTGGGGAATTTCCCTTTAAATCTTCCTTCTTTTACGTTTTAAATAAACTTTCTATGTTTTGAATGTTCAGGCGCATCAAGCAATTTTATCAGCATGTAGTCCATATTTCGAAAGTATCTTCATTGAAAATACTCACCCGCATCCCATAATGTACATGGGAAATGTAGATTTTGAAGATCTTAAGGCAATTATTGAATACATTTACAAAGGAGAGGTGAACATAGCACAAAATTCACTGCAGAAATTTCTCAAAACGGCTGTTGATTTGCAAGTGAGTACAATGCAATGTTGTAGATTAAAATTTGTAAATTCGTTAACATGATGACGAAAATCTCTTTCATTGTTATTGTTATTGCATGTTGAAATTAGGTAAAGGGACTTGTTGAGACCAACAACATCAGCTATAATCCCGAGAACGTGAATGAACCGAATTTATCAGCAGCATCACCAATTCAGCCGCCAGACAATGAGAATGCAAATTTTGAAAATAATCACGGAAGTAATCGTCATCTCGACCGTGGACATTTTATTAGTGAACGATTCGGTGATAACAATGAGCCGCATATACCTTCTTACAAAGATCATGATCGGAAAAATGATAATGATCCACGATTGGATTTATCGCCGAATCCAGATCAAGCGAGTAGAAAAAGACGAAAAGTTTCAAGCTGTGATACACCCTCGTTACCATTGCAATCTTCCTTATCGCGACATCCTTCAGAATCCCAGGTAAGCTCCACCTCAATTAACCTTCATTCCTACTCATACTCACATTCTCAGATAAATGTTTCTAATCTCGAATATTAAATATCTAAATATCCGCTACAAGTCATTGCTTTAACTAACCTCAGTCAGATCAGCACAAAACAAGGCGGAAAAATATCAAGTTTAGAAACGAGAAAGAAAACTTGCCACATTACTTATCGAATTAAAGAAAGAAGACTCACAACCTACGTTCCTTTGTAATCAGCATAAAAACGAAATGATTGAATTTTTATACTGTTATTTGTAACAGTTTTTCGTCTTCTCTCTTTCGCTCTTCACATATATGTAGTAGATATTCATACATATTTCATCTCGCCTCCCTAAGTATTATCCAAAGCACAATCATAGGTGCTGGAAGGAAGGAGAAATATAATAATAAAAATATTAATAAAGAAAACGAAGAAGAAAAAGTTGTTTAGTTGCGACATCATCATAAACAGATTTATTGCAACAATTTTTTATTCTTTAATATAAAATTGTGATACCTTCAAATCTGGTTTGCAGTTGATGGTTGTTTTTGATACTAAAATAACTGGAAAGTACTTACATCGGATATTTAAAACTTGACTTTAATGTTGCGGCTCAATGTGCTTGTTATAATGCAATAAAAAATCATTTTTCTAAACCTCATAAAAATGCCATGAAAACCAGAATATCAACGGTCTAGGCCGTCGCTTCTATTCATTTTTTACTTCAAATAAAATAGTCAGGTGGCTGACATGAACATCTGAAAGAAATGTTAGAGTACTTAGAAGAAATGATTGGCAACATCACTTCGTTTTCCACTGCTTTAAGCATATTGAACTTCTCAAATCTATTTCACGCTGAACTAACATGCTTCGTACATGTTATTTTAATTGTAGATGAAATATTTTTCGTACTTCCGAAAACAATCTTACATCATTTCACATACACTCGAGCACATTATACAAATATAAAAAATTAATTTCTTGATAAATAATTGCGTTTGTATTCGATTTTTTAGGCATCCTCGCATAGTAGTTTTAAATTAAGTCCTTTGCCAAAGTCGAGTTCGATTGAAGCCGAAATCGATGGACGAAGAAAATCGCCAACAAATTCTGTAGCTAATGCACAACAGCAACAGCAAATTAGTATTAAACAAGAATCATCTGATGCAGCAGGATCGCCACAAGTGCATTTAAACAACCCTCTGAATCACAACTTGTTGCCGGTAAGTGCATTAAAATCTTTTTTGCTTTGTTCTTTCTGTCCCTCTCCCTTTTCATCTGAACTGTGAACTTTTATTCTTTCGTCTTTTGTTAAAAAAAAGAGAAATAAAAATAAACGAATATTTATTTTTTGTTTCTTCTTCGTTGACTTTTAAAAGCGAAAAAATATAATTTCGAAACAATTAGATATAACTTCATAAACACTTAATTTTCTTTTATGATTTTTGATTTTACTTTTATTTCTCTCTCTCTTTTTATTCACTTTTCGTTTGTTATTTGAGTTTCAAGAACTTTTTTCTTTTTGCAAAACATAGAAAAGCAAAGAAAAGAAAAAGAAGATTTTTGAGCATTTGAATTTGTCTAGGTTTTTTCTTTTGGACAAACGGTATCTGCTAAGAAACTTTATGCTTTACAGTTTTTACGAAAAGCTCTTTAGTTTTGTAACAATATTTAAATGAAGTTGACATTCAATTAGCTTAGAAGCACTTTTATTTTTTAGAATTGTTATTTTATTACATGACACAACATTAAATGATCATTGCTTACTTAGAGTGACAGAAATAGTTGAGGGAAATTACAAAAGTATTTTACGAATTCCACACCACTTAAGTTTTTTTATTTATTTCTTGGCTATGAAGTCATTGGCATATTAAGTCACAGTTTTATATTTTCAATGCTTTTTTTTCTTTCTCAAAGTTACACATAAAAAATCATTAATAAGAAACTTTACCTAACTTACAAACATTCCCCATCTTTCTCATTCTCTTTCATACAAAATAAAATGCGAAAGAAATATTTTTATTTAAACCAAATGAATTTTATTAAGCGAAGATACTTATGCTAAGCGCGTTCACGGTTATTTATCACTTTAAATAAAACTGCTGCTGGTTTTTCTGCTTTTCTATCTGAAAATTTCATTGCGTCAAATTACTCAATGTGGAAAATGAAATAAAGAAATAACTCGGAAATGTCGTATGGAAGAAAGCAAAGATAAGTCTGGGAAGACTTTGAAGGATTTGATATTTATTGAGCCTTTGCTACCGCTTGGATAAGAAAAGAAAAAATCTAAACAATATTCATCTTAGAACCAAACTTCCTAAGATTGTTTTGAAGGCCATTTATAACATATCCTTCTTCTTCCTTCTTGTTATCTTTGCTTTCCTAGACGAGTGGTTTGGGCTGCTGGATAAAAAACGTTAAAACAGTTGAGCTGTCACAGCAACCACAGAGTCAATATAAAAAACAGCCTCCATCTAATTTGTCACAGTCGTTGCACACGACAAAACCACAGCTTACGGTTTTGCAACATCAACAAGCTTTTAAGTATCCTCACAATCAACACTTATCGCTGGGAAGTGCGACTTCTATTACTAAGGGAGTTGCAGACACAGATTTTGGAGATTTGATACGACAAACACAATTTCTGTATAACAATGCCAATCAGAGAGATTCACGACCTGCAACATCTTTTCAAATAAATATTTCACAAGCCTCAAACAATCAAAGCCCTTCAGGAAGTTCTTCAAGGAAAACCGGAAGATTCAGACCAAATTGGCTTGAGCAATTCAATTGGCTGCAATATGATGAAATTAATAATATCATGTTTTGCATTCATTGTCGAAAGTGGAGTGGTGACATTCCCGATATCAGAACATCTTTCGTTGAAGGAAATTCCAATTTTCGATTGGAAATTGTTAATCATCATGATAAATGTAAAGCGCACAAAATGTGTCGGGAAAGGGAACTTAAGGATAAGGAGGAAAGAGACGAGTCATCGAACAAGGAGCTTCCTAGAGATCACAAAACTATTTGATTTTGAGTCATTCATTGCCATATTCAAATTGAATTGAATGATTGAACATAATTTGATAGAAAAGCATAAAAGTCATTTATTTTTCATTTTTCATTATTTATAAGTCATGATGACTGCAATGAACGCGTTTTGAAAACTTTAAAAGCAGCAAAATATTTTCACATGTTTAGTAACTTTGGTTTTTCTATTTGAATGTTTATAGCAAGATTGTAAATAATTCATAACACGAAAATGTGGTAAATTTTTAATGAATATCAATAAAGAGTATTTGGAAACATTCAGCAAAGTGTTAAATCTTACACTAGAAACAGTTTCACAAGCTTCTCAATATATTGTCCAAAGAGTCGTGCAAACAAAGAAGAAAGAGAAAGATGAATCTAAACACACATGTTGCCTTGAACTTTTCTAAGTCTTTAATCTTTAACGATCTCTGAAATCCGATTATTTACAAAGATTGTTTATTGCATAAACATTTACATTTCAGCAGCACCTTTCCTTGTCTTCAGTACCCGATGATATGCTACACATAAACAACTTACAACCAAGTGATACGTCGGAGAATGAGCAGCAAATGTCTCATATGGATCAAGGAAGCGAAATGGATGGTGAGTTGATCTTTTCTAATTCCCTTAAAACAAAAAACTTCCAAATCGAATTATTAGACTCCCCTTTTTGTCAGAATGTTTTTTATTTTAAAATTTTCTTTTTTTTTGTTAAACTTTAATTTTTTGGTTTTTGAAATGAAAAGAAATTTCATTTAAAATAAGGTTAATTGATGGAAAAGTTATCGGGTTGAAAGGAAATATTTCGATTTGAAGAATTCTAAGATCTTCTAAGATCTTCATGAGATTGAAGTGGAAACCATCGAAACGAAATATTTTATTACTAATTTTCAAATTCACCGATTATTTGTACAAAAAGTTGTAAATTTTTTTTTCAATTTTTCTCTTCTACAAGTTATCAAGTTGAACAAAAAAAAACTAATTTAGGAAGAAAATACTTTTTCGTAATCTTTAATTACACATAAATATATTTTTAACTTATTTTTGTATCGTTTAAGTTTAATTTCTTTCTTTACAAACAAAACACGAGAAGAATTTTCAAAAAAAAAAAATATGAATGAAAAGCAAACAAAAAAAGTAACAAGAAGCGAAATGAAAATTCATTCTGATTATTTTTGAAGAACCAAAAACCATTTAAATCAAATAAATGACTATAAAATAATTTTCAAATCATATGTATTCGATACGCCTCGCCACGCATATTTTTCATACTTTTGGGTCGAAATGATTTCTGAAGAAGACAATCGCGGTATTAAAGCGAGGGTGCGAAGAGCGTTGCTTCTTTCTCCCTTAACCGTGACACTGCGTCAAAACTCATTGCGGCTCAAGAGCGATTTTTAAATTCTTTACGATTTCTGATGTTAGAATCTTAATATGGAAAGAAAATTAAATTGTTTTATGAATTGATAAAAAAAAATAATATTTTGTACGATAAAACAACACTAAAAATTTAACTTTTTACAAGATCCGGCCACAATTTTTTTTCTGAAGCTTTCCTGCAATTTGTGAAGTAGATTAAGACGACGACAATTGCAATTTACTTTCATTTTTACGGTTCAATTTACTTACAAAAGGTTTGAAATCATTTAAATTCATTCATCGTCTTAGTCTACTTCCGACTGCGCTTAATGGGTGTTTAATTAGTTAATTACAATCTGCATGAAGGATTTTCCTACTTAAAACACTCGAAACCACTCTCTTTTAATATTAATGAAAAGAATAATAAAACAAAGAATTGCTGAGCTTTGTTATCATCAAATTTAGTCTTCCTTTATCCATTTTACGCCCACAATCTCAAATGCTCTACTTTATTATTCTTTTCACCAACGCATGACAATCTGCATGAGTTTCTACTACACAATAAATATAAATTTATTTGATATCACTGTACATAAAACCCAATTACATTAAGCAACATTTCAATCGACTTATTATTTTAAGTTATCTAATTTTTGTTTTAATATTTTGTTTTTTGATACAAAATTTATATTTTGCTGTTCTTCCTTTAATTACGATAATATAAAAACGTTTGTAAATATTCTCTGAAAATTATTATAAAACAAAATCTTTTCGAGTAGAAAGAAAAAAAATCATTAATTCATTTTATAACACGCATAATTTTTGATAAGTAAAATTCAAGAAAAGAAAACGAGAAAGAAGTTTAAGAAAAGTTCTCAAAATGTTGACAAAAAGTAAATTTTGACCGAGGCTGATTTGATGTTTAAATACGACGAAGCTGAAGAAAGTTTTGATAAGATTATGGAATGCAAAGAAAGCTTTAATTACGTGGGAACACGATCGACAGCATTGAAGGTTGTAGACGACTCATCCTACGACAACCAGGCACATTCAAATAGAACAATAAAAAAGCATTTGATTTTCGAAAACGCGATGATAAAAAATACTTTGAAGCTTGTTATGATTTCAATTTCATTTATGTACATTCAAAGTCTCATTTCAAGAAATTTGTTTTTCAAAACCAGGATATTTTATGATTTTCATATGATTTCGTGTTCTTATTTTTGTTTCCTTGAATATTTTCTTTATTTTGGAGACATCGATAAATTGAACATATCAACATTAATATCCTAAATAGCTGGAATATGATATAAGTAATAGATGAAACCAATTGATAGAATAGATGTCGCATAAGTTATTTGATAATAGAAGTTTATGATTTCATGTCAATCGTTTCCATTTCCAAAAAGAAAAGTTTAGTTCGCCAATAAATTCTTTCTAATCAACATAAAAAATAAATTGAATTAAAATTCCTAAACGCATTAAAAGTTTACTTGTTTCGATTTAATTCAGAATTTATAATCAACGAAAACTTTTAATGGTTGTTTAAAAACATTTATTTGTATTTGGTTATGTCAATAGTTTTCCTTTTTTTCATAAATATATTTTTTTGAATAGATAGACGACTTTTATTTTCTTTCGTTAATAAGTGTTAGTGCATCCCATGATAAAATAAAGTTATCAAACCAAAAACCTATAAATTAATAATAAGCCTTAGACAAACAAATGCCCTTAGATTTGCGTTAGACATTTTTAGTTCATTTTTGTTGTTCAAGTCCTTACTTCCCTCGTTTGCAATCGTGGAAAATTTTCAGTTTGGAAAAGGACTAATTTTCCCATCTCCCTTTAAAAATCACAAAAGTTAAATTTGAAATGATGAACAAAAACAAAACTAAAATTATAAGAATAGAAAAGCAAAATCAAATCATTAGTAGAGAAAAAATTGTGTGTGGTGAGGCGACCATGCCTGTGACGCCATTATGCCTGTGTTGTTGCAGGTGACCGAAGTTTGATTCTGCACCCTTTGATGGCGTCACGTGGTCACCACATAAGTCAAGGCGGTAATATGATAAACGGGCCATACGGTACGCACAGTGGTGGACTCAATTACGATTTCCTTCCGAATGGACAGTCGTCGACAAATGGGTCGGGAAATTCAGGATCATCACGACGTGATCACAATATCGACTACTCAGCTTTATTCGTTCAACTTGCTGGTACATTTCCAACATTATACCGATGTGTTTCATGTCATAAAACAGTTTCAAATCGATGGCATCATGCTAATATTCATCGTCCACAAAAGCATGAATGTCCGGTATGCCACCAAGTATTCACTCGTCGTGACAATATGAAAGCTCATTGTAAAGTCAAACATGCTGATAGAAAAGATATATTTTATGGACATCTTGTACATATGTGATCTATCATTACATTGTAAGCGTAAATTATTATAATTTACTTAAAGCCAAAGACAGAAGAAATGCAGTGAAAATAATGACAAAAAAAAAATCCAAAAAAAAAGTAAAAGAAGAATTTAATTCTAATTTATAGTTTAGTAATTGTGCTGACACTATTTCCAAAACATAACAAACAAAAAGTATCCAATCTTAACATAAAATGAGAAAGATAAAAGAAGACATGTATTAGAAGACGTTGAGTTTTATCTTAGACTAATTTCTTGCTTCCATTTCTTATTGATTACTTTTGAACATAAGATTGAAGAATCAAACGAGTAGAAAATCAAACTACAGAAGAAAATCTAGAAAAACAAAATAAATGAACCTTGATGTTATTGCCGAGGGTTCCACTTGAACACATAAGATTTATGTTATCTTTCCTTTACTCTTTTCAACTCCCATTTGATTTTTATTGTGCTTTCACGATTTTTTCATTTCACTTTATTTTCTTTTTTGAGAACATAATGAGAACCGAGAAGAAAAACAATTCATTTAAGATGCATCCAAAGTCTTGATTCATTCTTTAACCTCTTTTCTTTCTCTCTGATTTGAGAAGAAAACATTCAACATCATGATGCAAAACGTGAATTGCAGCAACAGAATAAATAAGATGAACGGAGGCCAAAACCAAGATTTGCCATAATGTTTACATAAACAATATTTATGTTCAGTATCTAATGACTGAAATGTTTCATTTTGGGAGAAAATTCTTAATTGAGTTACCTTTATTTTTCATGTTTTGTTGAGCATGCTTTACATGAAGTTAAAGTCTCGTTTTGTTCGTTCTTCTGTTGATGTTATTACAACTTTAAGTTGTGTGATGATACAACAGAGATCCAAGCTTTATTTACCTTTCCGTAGGTTTAATTAAATGTAGTTCAAAGATCGTTGAGTTACTGTTGAAGTTTTAAATTTCCAATCGTCATCAAAGGGCTTGAAGTTTAATTTTTCTTTTTAAATTATCCGAAAGTTTCTTTGCACACATCCAAAAACAAACTTTTCATAAAGATTTGCTTTTTTAATTCGATTGGCGAAAAGTTTTCTCTTTGTTCGAGTTTAATTGCGTTTTGCGGTAAAATTTGTTTGCAAGTTTTTTTTTCTCAAAAACTATTAGAAATAAACATTCAAAACAGCAATTTTAAGTATTCTCAAACGTGCATAGGTAAGTGGTGAAATAAATATGAATATCAATAACATTGAAAACTTTTGATATCGACGACATTGACTCACGACACTTAGTTAGTTAACAAATTACAAAATATTTGTGCAAGTCCCAACAATATTGATTTTTCTAAACATGCTATTTATATTTATGTCATCACATGTCTATCTTCTCTCTCTGTTACTTTCATAATTTACCATTTTTTGTACAAATTTGGAGAAATATAAAAAGAAATGTATAGAAATGAAGAAAAGCCCTTAAAATTAAATTTTTTAATCATAAAAACCCCCGAAAAGTATTTGAGCTTCATATAATAATTTTCTTGGTGTTGGTTGGTTAATGAAGACAAATTAATTAGCATTAATCCCTTTTATTGCCATGTTTATACCAAAAAAAAAATCATTGAAAACAAAACCAAATGCAAAAACTTGTAACCAAGTGAAAACAAATTGTAAATTTTTTATATTTTACTTAACACTTATGTATGTTCAATCTTATTTTCGAATATTTTTAATTAGTTTAAAACAAAACTAAAACCAAAAAATCGGTTTAATCGATAAAACAATGAAAAGAAGCTTTCGAGAGTCTCAGAGCTTTTATGTTTATATCTATTTATATAAAAAATATAATAATTTTTAATACATCTCCTCCCACACTTACCAACCTTTATATAAAATGAAAAGTTGTTATTTTTATTTATTCTTATCATCAAAATTCCGGGTTTTAAATTGTGATGCAGGTTCAAAGTCGCATATGCCTTATATGAGACTTGCTTTCGAGCGTCTTTCGGGTGGTTGTAATCTTCATCGCTGCAAACTGTGTGGAAAAGTTGTGACGCACATAAGAAACCATTATCATGTTCATTTTCCTGGTCGTTTTGAGTGTCCACTATGTCGGGCGACATACACAAGAAGTGATAATTTACGAACACATTGTAAATTCAAACATCCCATGTTCAATCCTGACACGAGGAAATTTGAAAATTTAATGAATTCATCTATTGCATCACAAACGGCAGCCATAGCTGCCATAGCAGCTGCAAATTCCCTCAATGCAGCTGCCTCCCTTAATGTGGCTCAATCGCACAATCAATCGTCTGAATGATACGCCCAAATGCGGTGGGATTGTTTGAATAACTTTTTCGATGCAGCCATACCACCAACAATCTCAGCCTCGTCATCATCAAACGACACTTTTATGCATCATTGGAATCTCACAGAAGACTATGACGATGTTGATGATGATGAAGATGATTTAATGCAACAACAATTATATAGTTGAAAATAAGTCGCCAGTTAAATATTATGCAATTTAATTATCACCTCAGCAATTCATTTTATAAATTAATTTCAAAAAGCAAGAGAGAAAAAATTAATAATAACTTGACGCTTAATGCACGTGATGATTTCTTTTTTTATGAAATCTTGATGTGCATTTCTTTGATATTTATTAAAGATGTTTTGTCATTCTACTGTTAATCAATTGTCGTGCGACAAGGTGTTAATGTGCAACTATTCTCTAGAATCCCTCTTTAAATTGTTTGACTTTGACCGCGCATTTAAAACTTTTCAAATGATAAACATTCAATTGATGAATGACTTCGTCAGTTGTTTCATTAATTACACTTTACGATTTTTTGAGATTAATGAGAATCATACAAATATAAAGCGTAAGAAATTTTCTGCCAGATAACCAACATTTTTTATTAGTTAATTTATTTTATGTCTTAAGATGATGAATAGAACATTTTATTATGATTTCTCCATTTTTAATTTCTTATATCAGATTGAAGATTAAATCAAATAATTTCTTAATAACAGATAAATGTTATTAAGACACTACTTAGACAACAATTTACATAATAAATCAATAAACAAAACATACCCATAGCAGAGAAAGAAAGAAATAATCTTAAACCATAAGTGTTTAGCTCAAGAAATTTTCATGGCATCAAAATAGAGACTTTTGCTCAAAAAAAAAAAAGAAACATGAAACAAAATGTAAATTTGTTGTCTTCAACTAATATAAATTTCCGTATATTTTCAAACTTTAAAATTCAAAGAAATTATAAGAAATTGAAACATGATTGCAATATTATAAACGGGCATATTAAGCAAATAATTTTTAAATCATTAAACAATTTGTTATGAGTAAGTTTATTAATGTTTTAGGACATTTACATACAATAATATAATTAAAATTGAACAAAAGTACATTTTACTGTCGGAATATCTAGAAAGGGATTTGATACTTAAATAGATATCCCATTTTACCAATTTTCAATGAATTTTATGTGCAATAATTGAAGATTTAGTCGTGTTAGAAGTTCATTCAATCTCACTGTTTTATATTTTTATTAAATCTTAGTGATCCTCTCTATTCACATTTATTTTATGAATATCAAAGTTATGATGACTTTGCATTTGTTTTTTTGTGCTTTTCCTTATCCGAAAGTTTCTCGACTTTCGTTTTGTTTGCAATAATTTTTACGTACTACCTCATGACCTAGAATTTTGAGTGCGATGAATATTTTTTATGTTTTAAAACTTTTAGTCCTTTGAAAGAATGACGGTAAAATGTATTTTTCTTTATTTGTTTTTTTTTATTTAAATATTCACATAAACATTTTTTTTGTTCGTTCAAAATAATAAAAATAATAATAAAATAGATGTAACGTAAACCTTTGTAAACGAAAAAGAATTTAATGTTGAATGCTGGTACTGATAGACTTCAGTTGTAGCTTTCGGGAATGATGGAGACTTTAGTGTGAAAAAGATATTGAAAGGGATATTTAATACTTCCTTGGGTCAGACTCAGAATGTAATTACTTTAATTAAATGACGAATGTGATATGCGTATAGAGAATAGCGGAAAAAACGTAATAAGTGATTAATTTCTATATAATTTTTGGATGGAATGGTGCTATAAAAATGCTTTTAAACGATATTCTAGAAAATGAAGAATTAAAAGAAAACTTTTTCGGATGAAATCCCCAAATGAATATGAAACTTAAACTGTTGAGATAAAAGTAGAGTAACGGAGGTCGATAAAGTTTAAAACTTGATATTTAAATTGAACACTTTTTGTGATGAGATTTTTTTCCTTGTGTTTTTATTAGCGAACATTTTTTTGCTGTTTTTTTATACATTAAACGGAAGTCAGTTGAATAGCTTAAGAGTTAAATTCTTTTTCAATTTTGATATTGAAATCTTACGTGCAATATTAACTAGTTAATTATTTATTTTGCTAAGTCCATTAATTTCTTTAAATAAACAAGAAAAACGTATAGTTCTTATATTTAATTAATTAATAACAATAAATATATGCTATTTAATGAAACTGAGAAATAAGAAGCAGAGAAGGAATCTATGATGTTTCCATCACCATTATTCTGAGCTTATTTATTTAAAATCCCTTTGAGGTGAAGAACAAAATGATTCACTCGAACAGATCTCTTACTCTACTTCATATTTGAATTAAGGCTCGAGCCTTCAGCGATCAGAAATGTCCTTTTCCATCAATTAAATATTTAAAACTATAATTGTATCAACTCTTGCGATAATAGAAAGAGAGAAAAGCAAACTTCTAGTAAAAGAACTCATTGATGCAACATAAACACAGCACATACACATACACACACAAAATGGAACAATAATTATTCAATAGAACGTTTATTAAAATATTTAAATATGACGAAAACAAAAATAAAAAATGAACACGACGAGCTGAAGAAAAGGATATTTTTATAGTTGAAAACTGTTTTCGAGATGAAATAAATTAAAATAAAGAAAAGTGAGAAAAATGTGAAAAATATTTCAGACATAATAATGAAAAATGAAATTCTCCATAAATGTAATAAATTAAACAAAAACATCACATGAAATATATTTGTAGTATAACTATGCTATTAAAATTGTTTAGCTATTAACAAAATATTGATAAAAAATCATTAATAAAACCATCTTTCGAACAAATTTTAAACATTCGCTGTATTTAAGCCGATTCTTATCATCCACTGATTTATAAAAACAAATGATTGAATATAATTACAGATTATTAAATGCATAAGCATAGCTTATAATGTCTACACAAATTATACTCAAAACATATTTATTTTTAAATTAGATATTGAAATGGCAAAATAGATTGTGAAATGGGTTAATGATAAAATTTTACAACAATTGTTATGATTTACAGAACTTACTTATCTTTAAGTTATGTAGTTTTAAGTTTTCTACCGAAAATATATTATGTATGTAAAATTAATTTACATTTTTATCAAACTCTACATACTTCTCCCAAAACTTTTGCCTGCATTTTTGCTTGGATTGTATTTTGGCTTATCTCTTTATACCGGCAACTTAAGAAATGTTATTGAAGTAATGTTTTACTCTAAGAATTTCTTTCATCCACAAATATGAAGTCTTTGTAATCAACACAGTATTTTATTCGTTTGAGTTTTGATTTCTTTTTCTCTTAAATATTTTTATTTCTTACTCTCGATTGCATCTGACGGTAGAGTAAATGATACGAGTAGTTCATTTAACAAATAAGAAGTGAATGAATGACTTGAAACTTTCTTCCTTCTTAGGATGAAGTTTTATTGAATTTAATTAAAGCTCTCGAAATTTTAAATCAATTTATTGAACTATCAATTGGATTTATTTTATTATTTATTAAAATAAATCCATTTTGTTTCATGTTCATGCTAGAATCACGTAATTTTAACAATAATTTCAGTATCAAAATAAGATTATTTGGGCTCAATCGAGTGTATTCCAATTCGAGAAGATATTTTATATCCTCATGTTTACTTTTATTTACATTTTAAATTAAGTTTAAAACTTTTTAACGAGCCTAAATTATGACAGGCAAATTTATTTAAAAACTTACAAAAACCCGAAATTATAACGAAAGATTTATGGATAAAAACAAATATCGTCTATCGCATCATAATTGCTTGCAGAACTTAAAACTTGGCGTATTGCGCAACTGTTTGAAAAGGTTAATGCATTGGATGAGCGACGACGCTGCTTACTTTGCGGAAAAATCGTTTGCAACGTTCGAAATCATTATTACGTCCACTTCCCTGGAAAATATTCTTGCAATCTTTGTCCAGCCGTTTACACTCGCAGCGATACGCTACTAATGCACTCCAGATCAAAGCATCCTGAATATTGCATTTAAGTAAAAGAGTCAAAGAGAACTTTTTAGATTAATCGGACCAAAATACTTAGTTGTTGAATTAGACGATCATGTAGAAGAAACTTTAAACTTAAATGACATAAAAGCATTAACAATGGAAACATGCAACTCAATGACATATTAACAAGAAAAACGCAAACAGAAATGAGAAAAACTCCCTCGGCCCGTAAATTATGAAAATGTTTTTAGAACTTTTTAAAGGCAAATATGCTCAGACAAAAATAAGAAAATGAATAATGATTTTTTTTAATATCAATGTGATAATTTTATCAGTTTAGTTTGATTCTAATTTAGTTCTAAAGCATCATAACTATTATGTTTTCTTATGTCGATTCATGCTTAATACATAAACATATTGTTTTCTGTAGAACATTTGCTTTTAATGATTGAAAAAGATTGACAAGCAAATTTAAAGATGAAAGTATCAAGAACAACACTCATTATGTATAAATTGTGTGGCAATTGATTGATGACGCCTTACAACCTTTGATTTCCCGTCCATTCATGCTTTTTAATTTTTTATATTTTTCCAACACTTTGCATCGTAGAAAGATGTTTGTTAAAATTGCGTGATAAGCTTCATGAGACATTCAATTTATTTCGTGACATAATTTTATGTTTGTCTTTATTAAAGAAAGCAAAACTTTCAACCCAACATTGGAAAAATGTAAGAAATAAAAATCATGGAAAAAGCATTTAAAACGAAAGCGCACATTTTTTTATTCCTTATTTTGTTTCGTCGGAATGCTCGAATTTGAGTTTGATTATTCATTCAATTTAATTTATATTCTCCAAATGTTTTCATGCGTCCAAATACTTATTGAACATTTGTAAGTCAATTATTTGAATTAAAAAAAAACAACAAGAAGCGAATTTAGAGCGAGAAAATTTGTTTTAAATGATTTTTGGAGCTTACAAAAAAAATATAACAAGAAGATGACAATCCAATTGAAATAAAAATAAAACATTTTGCGAGATATCTTATCAAATAAATTTTCATTTTCAAAATTGATTTTGTTTACTTCTCTCCACATAGTTTACATTCATTTTGTTTTAACATCATAAAAATTTCAGTTTCTTTATTTTCAATTCATTATCATTCTGATTTTCCTTATAATTTTTTCTTAAGATCAAAATTGCATTTGCTTAAAAAGTTCTATTGCTTAACATAATAAAAGAAAATCTTGAAAAAGATTTGATGAGATAAGCAAACATAAATAAAACAAAAAAGCAGAAGAAAGAGATCAATTTTGAAACACTGAGATTTAAATGTCAGACAAATGAATGAAGAAAAATTCTTGGTGTATTTTATTGGTTTACAGGGGCCGAGGGACAGACTCACTACATAGACTCACACCATAAGACGTCGCCGAATGGCAATATTGAGAGTCAAAAGTTTCCAACCGGATACATGGAGAATGATAAGTGGGAAACGCAAATGGGACTAAAATTTTCCGGTTCCATGCGTTCGAATGTTATTCCAAATTATAGGCCACCTCAGATACCAAGTTCAATTCAAGCTTTAGCAATTCGCTCAAGCAGTTCAATCCATCACGAGGACTCACTAAAGTGGCTCTCATCAGAACGAAGTTTAAGACAGAGTCCGATCGATTATGATCGGAATCAACAAATGAAACTTTCAAGCCATCACCAAATGTCGTATCACAATATGTTTACACCATCGCAAGAGCCTGGAACTCTCTGGAGGTGTCGTTCATGTGGTAAAGAAGTTACAAATCGATGGCATCACTTTCACTCTCACACTGCGCAAAGATCAATGTGTCCATATTGTCCCGCAACTTACTCTCGTATCGACACTCTGCGATCGCATCTAAAGCAGAAACATAAAAATGAGCATGCACATAAAAACTTTTAAGAAAATATCGTAACATGTACAGCTAATTTTTAAACCGAATTTAAAATTCGTAGAACTTTCTGCTGATGAGCGTCATAAATAATTGGAAAGCTTGAAACTTTTTTTTATTATTAATAAAGAAAGAAGACTCTTCGCAGCAATATCCGTGAGATAAATAAACCAAAATAAATCCTTTACAAAACTTTAAACAATTTAATAAAATAAATTATAAATTCTTTGTCATAACAAAACTTAACTGGATGAAATTTCAAAATAAAATTAAAAATTATACAAACATCTTTCCTTTATTCACAACGAAAACGAAACCAGTCAATATTAGCCAAATATGAAGTTATAGAACCACAAAACAAAAAATTATGTAAGCATGAAACATTCCGGAATGAATGCATTTCTAATCTAACTGAAGACGTTTCTTTGAATTAAATAAATCAACAATGGGCCTCAAATAAGAAGAATCAAATCGTAAAGTTAATACAGTAATTTGCTAAATATCCACATGCAAAAATATTTTCTTTTTCCATTATCTCAAAATAATATTTATAAAGTTAACACAAGATAAACAACAGTCCAATTACCGTTCCTATGAAATATTTTCTTTTGCATTTAGCGTTGTTCTTGTATAAGACAAAGAAGGAATTGTTTTCGGGGATTGAAGGGAGTCGTGGACGGTAGTGAAATTAATTTTCTTTAACATTGATCAAAGTGCTTAACGTCTACAATTTTCTGCAGTTGATTTAATTTCTTCATGCATTGCAACAATTTAAAGCGCTTTTCATACTTTACAGCAATATTTTTCCCTACTTTTCAATTGCTTTTAAATATTAAATATATGACGACGACATCATATGAAAACTAGTCACTTAAAACGTGTATGTAAATAAAAATTAAATAAACGAATGCTCATCAAGTGTTTCCTTTGTGAAAGATTAAAAAAATGATATATTGAGACGAATAAGTAGATGATTCTTCGGAATGAGATGTAAATATAAGTAAGAGAGAAATGATTTATAATAATTAATCATTAGATATGAAATGATTTAAAAATCAATACAAAAATATTGCAAACTTTCAAAGCTGTTGTTTCTCTAATCTTCAGATCTCAAAATTTTTACAAATTTATTTATTTTTTCGGACAATTTATATGGTGCTTAGTGTGACAACAGCTTTAGAAGACAAAATATGTTTATTGAATAAAACATAAAATGTTGACTGGTTTTTGGGATTAATCAAAATAATGATGAGAGGAACCTAGTCAAATGATGATAAAGAAGAAAAGGAAAAATCAAAGATGTAGAATTAAAAGCAAACAAAACGCTGTAAAGTCCATTGAAGGGTTCTCTCCATTAATTGACATTTAAAATAAACAATCTTTTACACTTTGAACTGTGAATTTTTAGAAAATATCTCTTTCTTGACTAAATAAAGTTCAAAGGAAATGGAAAAGTTTGAAACATTAAATATTATTATGAATAAATATGAAACGATTATTCCTTGAAAGTAAAAAAAAATCATCAGATTAATCAAAACATTTGGAAAATACTCAATTCTTCAAGCATTAATCACAAGAGTCAAGTTCTTCAAGGAATTCGCTATAAATATTATTCGACGCATTTTTCAAATTATGAAACCAAAAAAGTAAAAAAAAATAATAAAAATTCAGAAAATTAAGGAAAGGATACATTAAATGTTGACTAACGTATTTGATACGTAAATAAAATTTATTTGAAAACAGAAATCGTAAGCGAGTTGCATGAAACGAATGATAAGAGGAAACATATTTTTATAACGCTTTGCAACTGATCACGAGCTTATTTCACATCAATATCAAAGATTTAAGAAAATAACTTTATCAAGTCTTTAATTCTTAGAAACATAAAAAGAAATAAAATTGAATATTCTCTTTCTTTGATCGAATCAACATCTAAAAAATGGAACGGATGATCTTTATAAAAGTTTTCCGATAAATTTGAGTATACAAAAATTATATTTTAAAGGTAACAAACTTTTAAGTTTTCGTAACAAAAAACACAAATTATTTTACATTTTTTTTTGGTGTATCATTTGTAAAGAAATAAACTTTTTTGTGATATTTTTAGGATAAGATAAGAAACTTTTGAGTAATGAATGAAAAAAAAAATTGATTGATAAAGAAAGAAAAGGATTATAGAAAGTTTCATACTTCAAAAGATAAGAAAAAGAAAATAATGTTAACCATCCAATATATTTTGCCATTTTAATCATCAAGAAACAGAATAAAAATTGTAAATTTTTGGCCACTTTATGATTGAACATCGCAAACTCATCCGATTAAACACACTGTATGGACAGAAATATTCGAAAAATCATCACAAAGAGCATATAAAATTTTCAACTGAAGACTTCGAAATATCCGATCATAAAATGCACAAAAGAACTTCAACTTCAGACTTTCTTTTTAGAAGTTTTCTTGAGCTCAGCGCACTTTAAAATTTCTTTTTATATTCGTCTCATGTGCTCTTTCGAAATCAATATAACTTTTGTGTATATATTTTTGTAAAAGAAATCACCATTTATGCCAAAACATTTTTGAAGTAAGTGTGCGATATAATCTTTAATTCATTACAAATCGAAAAATAAAATTACTTAAAAAATTTTGAATCTAAATTTTTGTTTTCTTGATTACCTATTTCAACATTTTGTATGTATAAAGTTTTTACAGGTGAGATATTTATGTTGAAACTTCCAAATTATTTTGTAAGTATTTGTTTTCAGTTGTAAATATTGCCTTGAAACTCTCATTCCCCAGTATTACTTGGTATTACTGAATGAATGAGAACCCAGGAAAAAAGCGAGATTCGCGTACTTTTCGATCAAAGTTCATTGACCTTTACAAATAAAATTACTTTCAAACACTTCCTGGTAAAATTTATTAGAGCAATAAAATTCCAAGTAATTATGAAAATTAATTGCTTCTTTATAAAGTTCTTGATAATATCTACTTAAGAAGAAATTTTCTTCTTTTAAATTATGAGTTTCAGAACTTTTTTCACTTGCTTCTAATTTAAGTCAATTTACTTGACACAGTTTATTTGATGAAATGAGTGAGAAATATTTTAACGATATTTAAAATTTCAAATCGCATCCCATGGAAGGTCAAATCCACGAAATCATACTAATGTTCATACATGACACATATCTATCTGGAGATATTTTTTATATTTTGTGCCAGTAAATGTCTCATTTGCAGAATTTAAAACGATGAGTAAATCTACAACTATGTCTTCTGAAGAAGTAGTTGGTAAGTGTTGATTGAATTCTTTCGGATAAAGCCAGATAAATGTGAAATATTCAGTGACCTTCAAAAAAAAATTACCCAATCGACAAAAAAAAGCAAAATATTGCAGATGTGATTATAATAATGAAAACAAACAAATAAGAGCACGTGTTATGCTATTGTTGGTCAATTAAATTTTCATTAACATTATAATAATTAAAAATTAATACTCTTTTAGAGCATCATCTGGTCGCAACCGACTCAATGTCAAACATTTCTGATGTCTCATCACAAACACAAATCCTAAGATCATCATCCGGAAAGTCAACAACACAAAAAGAAGTGTGCCTTATTATTGATTTAACAGAAACACTTGAAAACTATCAACACCGTAAAATGGCATATGAAGAAGTGAAACTTGCATGTCAATCAGTTGCATCGAATCTTCAATTGCTTCAATTCGGAAAACTCGACTTTGGAGACACAAATACCTCAGATATATTCAATAACGCAGATGTGTCGATTGTAGACCTTTCTATTGTGAATCAACAAAGTGCTTTATCTTATTATCTCGGAATTCGAGAAAGTTTTGACATGAAGAACAACATCGTGCTGTACAACGACATGGATCAGGAAGCGACGTTACGTCTTAAGATTTCTTGCGGAAATTACACTTTTTTGCCATACCGATTATCAGAAGAGAAGAATTCTTGTGTCATAACAAATCCAGTGAAGAAAGGAACCGAAGATGCCATCGAAGGCAACAAGCAACAAACTTTATTACAAAAAATTAAGAAAATACTTCTTGATGTGGAAATTCAATCAAAAGCTCATTTAAAGGAAAAATTTCTAGCAGATTTACGAGCTGCGAGAGAGTTGAATGATATTGACGAACAGAAGAAAATGCTCAGAAATATGAGAAAGCGTCTTGACGATCCAAACGTTCTTTCCGGTGAAGTGTTTCAATCTTACATGTACTCGCTTCGTGATGTTCAAGATTACGATGCAATGGTGAATCTTGTGAATGATCTTCAAACTGTACCAAGCACGCAAAAGGTCATGAACACGGGACAAATGTCGTATCTCTATGCGTTTGCTCTCAATCGAAGAAACGCTGAAGGCGATCGAGAAAATGCTTTGAAAACTTGCATCAAAGCTTTGGAGAAGAAGAAAAATCATTTTCCCGACATGCTTTGTTTGAGTGGTCGAATCTACAAAGATAAATTCGTGGAATCAAATTACACGGACAAAGATTCACTTCTGAATGCAATTCACTGGTATCGAAAGTCATTTGAAGTGCAACCGAACGAATATGCTGGAATTAATCTCGCAACACTTCTCGTTATAAACGGCGATTCATGGCGATCATCACAAGAACTTCAGCATATTGCAATCATGTTGAATTCATTCATTGGAAGACGTGGCGAGTTGTCATCGTTGAAAGATTATTGGCTTTTTTCGACGTTCTTCGAGATTTCAGTTCTAGCTGAAGATTATGGAAAAGCAATTCAAGCTGCTGAATGTATGTTTAAGTTAAGACCACCGAATTGGTATTTAAAGTCAACAATTGGCAACATTGCGCTCATCAATCAATTTCGAAGGGTTAATGAAGACGAGCCGATTGCGTCTGAACAGAAAGTCTTCGAATTTTGGATGGAATTCTTTCTTGAAGCAACCAAAACCGATGACAACACCGACATAAGATTTCCGATTCTCATCTTTGAACCACAAAACAATAAAAGCACAAGCAATATTTATATCCCATCATATGTCAATGTTAATACTGATGTCGAAGAGAAATCAATTCAAATTTTCAATATTTGTGCTCATCATGAGAAAACAAATTGTCGGAAACGTCACGACTTTCTTTTCATGGCAAATCAAATTAAATCTGTCTCACTTTACAAACGTGATGAACGTTGCGCTTATCTTTATGTTCATCAAAATTCTGATGACTTTCAAATTTATTTTCCATCAGTTCTCGTTCGTCAACGTTTCTATGATTTCGTTTTAGAAATGACAGCTGAACAAGGCGAGAATTTTGTTGATTTGTCAATTGCAACCGCCGATGATATAAAATTTGAATACGTTTTGAAGGAAAATAATCAGAAAGAAGTTCTTGGGAAAGGAACTTACGGAATTGTGTATGCTGCGATTGATTTAGTAACACAAGCAAGTATCGCAGTAAAAGAAGTTCCCGAGAAATTCTTCGACGAAGTTCAGCCACTTCACGAGGAAATTAAACTTCATTCACAACTTCGCCATCGAAATATTGTTCAATATCTCGGATCAATATCTGAAGGTGGATTCTTCAAAATCATCATGGAACGTGTTCCCGGTGGATCATTGTCAGCATTGTTGAAGTCAAAATGGGGTCCGTTAAAAGATAATGAAAGTACAATTGCACATTACAGTAAACAAATTCTTCATGGCTTGAAATATCTTCACGATCAGAAGATCGTTCATCGTGATATTAAAGGCGACAATGTTCTTGTCAACACTTACAGCGGCGTCATTAAAATATCTGATTTTGGAACAAGTAAAAGACTTGCCGGAATCAATCCAAAAGCTGGAACATTTACAGGAACTGTTCAGTATATGGCACCGGAAGTGATTGATCAAGGTGTTCGTGGATATGGACCGCCAGCTGATATTTGGAGTTTTGGATGTACAAATGTAGAAATGGCAACTGGTCAGCCTCCATTTATCGAGTTAGGATCACAAGAAGCTGCAATGTTCAAAATTGGATTTTATAAGAAACATCCAGACATCCCTGAAGAAATGTCGACGATGGCGAAAAATTTCATCTTGCGATGCTTCGTTGTTGATGTTGACAAACGTCCAACAGCTGCACAATTACTTGAAGATCCGTTCTTGTCAGACAAACAACGAAGATCACGAACAATTGTGTCGAGTGTCGCTCCAAATGATTTCTCACGAAGTATTTCTGTCCCAGCTGATCGAATGGTGTCCAAAACAACAAGCCCTGTTCAACAACAATACAGTTCATCAGCATGCAACACACCAACAACACCTGAATTTGAGTAAGTTTAATTGAATTAATGATTTTGTTATTGCTTTGCATAAATTTACGCTTTACATCATGATTTCTCCTTTTTATCCTTTTTCCTGTTTTATTTTTCATCTTTTGTTGTTTTCTTTTCTTGTGTGTTCGTCATCGTCAGGACTCCAAGTAATCATTTCATCACACCAGCATCACGTTCCATCACTGGACATAGGAAAATTGTTGCTAATCATTTAAGTCCAATACAAATACCAACAATCAGTACAATCAGGTAGAATTTTCAGAGTTTTTAATTTGGTTTTGCGTGTTTTGTGTGATTTTTGATGAATGCAAGGATGTTAAACGGCAAATCTATTAACGTTGAATATTTGTAAACCTTACAGTAGCATAGCGACAACACCATCAGTTGACATGGGCGATGGTGAATTCAGCCTTCATCGAAGAAGTTCCGGTGGCGTTCTGTTGTCACCAGAAGTTGACGTTTCATCAACATCAAAGACCGTTCCAGGTGAAACAAGTGAAAGTGACGGATTTTATTTACTCAAAAAAGATTCACAACGTCGTCAAACATTATCGAAAGTGCTGACACAAGATGAACAAAAGATTTGCGCTGTGTGGATGGAGAAGATTGAAAATGATCGTCCAGAAAAAATTGTCTTGAATATTGTAAGAATGATGAATTAATTAAGGAAAAAACTTTGTTACTGAATTTTTCTTATTATTTCTAGTCACATTTGGAGACACTCATTCGAGCACTCAAAGATTACATCATCGATCAGAAGAAGGAAACATTGAAGAAATCGTTAAGTCATTTAAAGAAGCTTCTTGACTTTGATTCAACAGCAATTGATCATCTTCATTACGCACTTTATAAGTTTCAGGACGCTGTTATTGCGGTTCTTCGTGGTGTCAGCATAAAGCCCCATTGGATGTTTGCTTTGGATAATCTCGTAAGAAATGCTGTTCATGTTGGATTAATGATTTTATCACCGGAACTTGGTGCGAATCTTGCTGGTCAAGAGCGTGAAGATGGAGCTGACGATGAAGACGAAGTCGACGAATTGTCAAATTCTGGTGTGAGTACAGTAAATTCAACAAAAGCAACGCGACAACTTCATGGAAAAGAATCAGAAGAAGGAAAATTCTTAATGGATCAAGTGAAACTTCTTCGAATTGAAAATGCAAAGCTCCTTGGAGAGCTTCTTGAATCTCAGAAAAACTTTCAGAATCTTATTAAAACAATTCCACATGATCAGGGAATGTTCTCAGAAGCTTTACGTACTCTTGCTCATCAGTTATCGAATTTTACAAGGAATTTTGAGCGAAGTGGTTCTCATGGTTATTACAGTGACGATCAAAATCGGAAGAACTCTTTGTCGACTGAAGGAAGTCCAGCATTTGACGAGTCGTCAGCAGGGAAAAAACTTTCAATTCCACTGTTCAAAAATCCTCAACTTAAGTCACCATTTAATGCTCGACAATCATACGATCCACGGCTTGTTGAGTGGCTGATTCGTCATAATTTTGATGATGAAGCGAGAGCTGCTGTATCAATGGCTGACTTCACATATGAAGATTTTATTTATGAATCTGATAAAGATGATATTAGACGTATTGGATTAAGGTGAAACATTTCATTAAGTTTCTTAATCATTCAATTCTTAACATTTTCTATGACTTTAGAACTGGAACTGAAGTTCGATTGTGGCGTCATATTCAGGGACATCGATCAAGATTTAAATCTTTTCAACTTGAACAATTGCATACAAATAGTCCAATTACCAATGGATATGCAAGCACAGTTCATGATCAACAACATTGTAATAGTTACGATTCAACTTCCAGTGCGACAAACTCAAATTCTTCAAATTACGATTCGTGTTGTGGTGGCGATGACAAAGAATGATGATGGATGAGAACATAGAAAATTATTTCAATTTATTTCAACTTCACAACTGTAAGTTGTGTCGATAATATTTTGTAGATGTGATAACCATCAATTTTTCTTCATGGCAATCAACTAACGTGCAAAACATCACTAACTGATAGCAATTATTTATTTAATTGTAAACATTTAATGCTTCATTGTTATATATTTGAAATGCAAAGCAATAAAAACATTTTTTTGAAAGAAACTTTTGTTTGATTATTTTTGACACATTCCGTGAATAATATTAACGTAAATGTTAAAAGAGCGCTTGAAATCAAATTTTTTTAATTTTATTTCCCATAATGTTCGTGGTGAATCTTCTTTCTCTTTTCTTTTTGGCGATAGCGCATCATTTGTCATCTCTTTCGCTCTTTGTTAGGCAGTAATCATGATCAATGTGTTGGATACAAATCGTGAATATTATTTATGATATTTAAAAATAATTTCCAGTGTCTCAAAGACGTTTTTTAAAGTATAAAAAGAGTTCAATTTATTGACAATGTTTTAAATTATTTAAAAACACTTTAATTACTGTGAGAAAAGTTAAAAAATCGATGAATTACGGCTTAACAACCAAAACGACAAAATAATACCATGTAAGCTATTGGGAATCATTTTGATCAAATAAAAATCTAAATTAGTGGAGTTAAACTAGCTTAGACACTCCCAATGCACATGTTGTTATAAATTATCAATTAAAAATAGTGGAAAATTGAAGAAACTTTTCCGATGCAATGTTGACATTAAAAATTTGTTGCTAACTAGATGGCGCTGTGAGTCATATCTTGTGCTACTGTCAGTGAAATTAAAGGAAAATGCTTAATAAGTTATTAGTGAATAAATCTGTTCCTCAATTTATTATGCGAACATTGAACTGTTTAGTTATGAGGATAATTATCAGTTACCCGATCGTACTTAGAGATCATATTTATTATGCAATGAGTTATTGAAATCAAGCAATTTTATTTCTCTCGTAATTGTACAAAACTTCAATTATTTTCACATGTTTCTCAGCTGTGTAGTTGGTTATTTTGAAATACTCATTTTCTCTCAGCTTTACGTATGAGTGTTCAGTTCAATTTCGACATTCAAACAGTGAGGTTCGTAGTTCATTAAAGTTCTTGTTGAGGGTAGAAGAACAATACAAGTTTATACATTAACTCATGTATTATACAATCCCAATTGTTCCGCTATAAAAAATTCATCTCCGAAGATTAAAAAGAAGAAGTGAACAATAAATATTGTCTACAAGCGCGTATTTTTTATACATTTTTGTTCTCTTCAACTTGAAGCAGACGAAACCATTTTTGTGTATAATTTTTAAATCCATTAAACCTAAGGTCAAATTGACATTAAAGGTGGCTATAAAGTAAAATTTTCAACGAATACGTGTGAATAAACATTCATAAATCAGTCATCGCGATAAAGTTTTTTCCATTCTTAACTTGGATCATGAAAGTTAATATCTTTGTTGATAACTTCAAGTAAAATTGAATTGTTATCAATAACATTTTATGGACTTTAAACTTTGTTTATGAAAAATAGAAGAAAAGTCAAAAAGTCAATTTTTCGACCGGTTTAAGTACAAAGTTCTTCTTATCATTCGTCTTCTTCTTTATAACTTTAATCGTAGATAACAGAAGAGAACGAGAGAAAAATATTTTTTCAAAACAATTGTGAATAACATGAAAGAAAAAAAACTCATTACGTGATATATTTCAAAATTCGAAAAAAAGAGAGAATCGTGATGTGTAAACAACAAACTGGCGCTTTTTTTAATCAGAAGCCGAACATGGTTTTACGTACATAAATCATTTACTCATTAAACGAAAACAAAAAATAAAACTCATTGAGTTCAGTTCATTGCGAGCGATGTGTTGTAGTGTTAAAGTATAATTGAAAATACTTCTAACGTCCTTGACTTTTCCACTTATAATTACCTACTGAGAGATTTGTCCGATGCGGATTAATGACTTAATCGTCACTTCTTGTCTTGCGTCACCAATATGAAGCATTTATGTCGCTATTAATGAAAGATTAAGCAAAATTATTCTCTCTTTTAACCTTAGAAAAGTAAAGAAAATAAAGATAGGAAAATGGCATTCGAAGACGTGATGCAACGTGCCAATGCCGCTTTCCAAAGTGGCAAAACAAAGAGTATCGCTTTTCGTCGTAAGCAACTTGAAGCATTGCTTCGAATGTATGAAGAAAATAAAGACGAAATGGTAGCTCGACTTGCAGCTGATCTTAGACGACCTAAGCAAGAAGCAATGGTTCTTGAAGTTGACTTTTTAATCAATGACATGATCAACAATTTATTGAATTTGGAAAAGTGGGCTGAACCTGCAAAAGTAAGAAATCAATTACCGGTTTTTCTTCTTTCTCATTGCTAAAGAATTGCAATTTTTAATTACATAACAGCCCGATAAAAGCATTGTGAATATAACTGACGACGTTTTAATCTACAATGATCCCTATGGAGTTGTTCTTGTGATGGGTGCATGGAATTATCCACTTCAACTCTCTTTGGTTCCTTTCGGTGCAGCAATCGCCGCTGGTAATGCTGTCATTTTAAAGCCAAGTGAAGTTTCACACAATTGTGCAAAATTCATGGCTGAAATGATTCCAAAATATCTTGACAATGTGAGTGAAATCATAATTATAACCTTTTAAACTTAATGAATGACTGAAACATGTGTAGGAATGCTATCATGTCATATGTGGTGGTGTACCAGAGACAACAGCGCTGTTGAAGAATCGCTTCGATTACATTTTCTACACTGGAAGTGGACGCGTTGGAAAAATTGTTTACGAAGCTGCAACGAAACATTTAACGCCAGTGACACTCGAATTAGGTGGAAAATCGCCAGTTTATCTTGACAACACTGTTGATCTTGACAAAGCTGTTCGAAGAATATTGTGGGGAAAGTTTGTAAATGCTGGTCAAACTTGTATTGCTCCTGATTACATTTTATGCACCAAAGAAATCCAAAAAAAATTCGTCGATGAAGCTAAAAGCGTCTTAAAGGAATGGTACGGCGATAACATCAAAGCTAGTCCCGATTTTAGTCGCATTGTTAATCAAGCGAGTTTTCAGTGAGTTGAAAGTTTTAAAAATTTGTCAATTCTTTTATCACATTCTATTCATCATCAGACGAATTGTGAGTTTCTTAAAAGATGGAAAAATTGCTGTTGGTGGTGGAACTGATTCGGAAGAACGATTTATTGAACCGACGATACTTGTTGATGTTAAACCGAATGATCAAGTGATGCAAGATGAAATCTTTGGACCAATCTTGCCAATCATGACGGTTGAAAATGCATTCGATGCCATAAAATTTATAAACTCAAGGTGAGTAAAGAAGGAAAAGTTTGGAAATTTATTCTGACGTTTAAATTGATTCAGGGATAAGCCATTAGCTATGTACATCTTCAGTAACAATGAATCAGATCGAAATATCATCATTTCTAATACATCATCTGGTGGTGTTTGTTGCAACGACACAATTATGCATTTAGCTGGTGAGTCATTAAACTTTTTAATTCATTTCAACTTTTTAATTAACTTTTTTGAATATTTAACAGTTGACACGCTTCCGTTTGGTGGAGTTGGTCCAAGCGGTATGGGAAATTATCACGGAAAGTTCACTTTTGATGCATTCACTCACAAACGTGCCTGTTTGGTCAAGAAGATCAACGGAGTCAGCGAAGCACTTTCAAAGTAAGTTTTTCAAAGTTAAAGAAAGTTCTTTAATGACCGTCACTTTTATATAGTGCCCGTTATCCACCGTACACCGAAGGCAAGATGAGCTACTTGAATTTCCTCGTGAGAAAACGTAAAGGAATATCAATTCCCGGCTTTTCTTATCTTCTTCTGTTTGGACTTGGAATTGCTTCAACTCTCCTTGTTCAGCAACTTTTACCAGAAGTATTGCGAAATAAGAAATTTAAAATTTTTAAATAATTTTACAATTAAAATTTGAAATTCCATAAAAATCTTACAGAGGACTGATTAGAAGAGAAAAAATGAAACAATTTGTAGTTGTTAGTTGGGTTGGTCGATGATGATGATGATGGTGATGATGATGATGATCAAACTTCTCCCGTTTTAACTGTTCTTTATCCAACTCCTTATTTAACGTTGTTCACTTTTCCTGTCATCTAACAATGAATAGTAGCAACAAATTTAACATAACATAGTCTGCTTACCTACATATGCGGATATTTATGTCACTGGAATCACGCCTAAAAATCATCAACAACTAAAGAAATAAATTTGTGAAATTATTTTTGTGTTTTGAAGTCGATTTGTTTTATTTGTTGGTGGAAGAAATTTTTATCCATTTCTTAGTTTTCAGTAGAGATGTCGATATGTTTGACAGTTTCATTCATCCCACACAAAACTTTATCTGCAAATATTTTTCTATTTCATTACATGACAAATTTATGTTTTCAAATCATAATTCTGGGAATTAGTTAAATTAATAATTGTCAGATTAAGTTTCTTGGACACTTCAACAGGGATTGGAACACAATCAGAAATTGTTTGTAACTTTTAAAACCAAAATCAAGTAACAAAGATTGGACTCTGTCAACCGATGAACTTAGAAACATGTCAAAGGTAATCTTATGTTAAGCAACATGACATTTTTAGCTTATGTTTCACATTAAAGTTGTTAACCGTATGTTGTCTCTGACGTAATCTACATCGACATTTTTTATTAACTTAATACAACAAAGAATACTTCAGTTAAAAGAAGTAAAGTCAATAATTTCAGCATCTCTTAACATATCATTAAATTCTCAAATTCCATCACTAAATTCCTGTAATTAACTTACTATGTTGATCTCCCAGGGCTCAACATGAAAAACAATAAACAACAGTCAACGTTTCCTTCCTCCATTCTTCTTTCTTACTGCAGTATCAATTTGCTTTCCAAGTTAATCCCTCTGAAAAAAAAATTGATACAAATTACCCTCAGGCAAAATGAAAAAGCAGAAAGAAAGCATAAAAACAAATCACAAACCGTGTACATTATGATACCAGCAAAAATGCTTTTCTTATCGACATTGTCAACAATGTCACTCAATTATTAATTAAATTGTGAATATCCGTAACGTATCCATCTGATAAATGGGAAATATTAGCTTATCAGTGGAATCAACGTAAGTTTTCTATCACACAATTGGGTTTGTTTCATTCAACTGTCACATTTATTTACTCTTGCAATCTTTTTCCTATTTATTTGTGACATTCACAGTATTATCACCATCATTAGCTATCGTTGTTACCATCTGCGCAAATCGTAGCAGGATAAAAAAGAGAATAAATTCTCTTCTATCATTGTTAGAGCTTTTGTTGTCGTTTAGTCGACTTCCGACTCTTAGAAAGCTCACAACGATGTGAACAATGTTAGGAGTCGAATTGTTTGTGATCCTTTTGATTTGTCGGGATGTGAAAGCAGATGCTTACAATAAAGTAATAAGTGAACTATTTGATAATCTGAATAATGAAGTGTTGGATGTTAATCATCAAACAGCTAAACTCGCTTGGGATACAAAGTAAGTTAATTAATTAACTGAATTAATGAAGGAAAGTTAATTAAAATTACATGTTAAGCTTTGGAGAGAATGAAGAAGAAACTTCAGTAAATGTTCACCAATTTGCTAAAAGGAAATTGAATTGGACAATCAGTCGATGCCATGAAATGTCAAAACACTCGCAACGCTTTAATGAACAACAGAAAAGAATTTTTAACATTCTTTGTCGGGGGACAAAGTACACTCGTTATCAGTTAAAGTATTGACAGTTTTACGATACAAACATTTTCATTTTGTTTATATTTTCCACGTTTTTCTTAATTAAATGTTTCCAACAGGAAGTTAATCGACTTATCCAATCACATTGAAAAAATTTATACAGACACGCGAGTTTGCATTCCAAAAGGATTAGATTTTTGTCAACAACCACAGAAGCTTTTGAATGCAACATTTATTCAATTAGACGACAATGTCAGTCAAATTATGTTTGAAATAAATAACATCGAAGTCCGTGATGTTAAAGGGTTTGACCTTTCTGAGTTTCGTTGCTTCAATGGTGAACCCGAATTGGAAAAACTTATGGGAAATGGTACTTAAATATATTACATTAAATTCGACCTCAAACATAAACTTTTGGATTTTTTCTCTTCGAATAGATTTCCCTCCGACACTTCATGACATTTCTGCTTGTAAAGAAAATAAAATGTTCATAAACTACTGGATTTGGGAGTCGTGGCGTGTAGCCATTGGACCCGAAATAAAATTATTTTACCCTCAACTAGTGAAGATAATGAATGAAGGGGCCAGAAATGCTGACTACAATAACATCGGTGACATTTGGAAGAAGGAAATGGATGTCGGTGAAGATGTGGAAAGTTTAATGAAACGTTTGATGGATGAAGTTCAACCATTGTACAACATGCTTCACGCTTTCACGAGATCGATTTTGGAGAAGAAAATGAAATTAACGAGCGGACGAAACCTCCCAGCACATGTCTTGGGATGGGATGCGAATTGGTTTCAATTGTTTAAAGAATTCATTGAACCACAGCTCTTCAAAACGTCTAATTGGAACATGGATGAAGCTATAAAAGCGACTAACTGGACACCAATGGACATAATGAAACGAATTGAAGATTTCTACACTTCAACAGGCTTAACTCGAATGACGAAAACATTTTGGGATAAAAGTTTCCTCGGACAGAATGGAAATGTGAGTTGCCATGGAACAGCTGCTGATATGTTTGCTGTTGATGACTTTCGAATCGTTGTTTGTGGATTTAAAACGTTTTATGATTATTATGTGATTATTCATGAGATGGGACACATTGAACAGTACATGTTGATGGAAGATCAACCAGCAGCAGTAAGAGCTGGAAATTCCATCATTCAAGAGACGATTGGCGACGCTTTCTTTCTCGGAATGATGACGCCAACACATTTAAATCGCTTACAATTGATTGATGATAAGAAACTCTTTCCAAACATTCAGAATAATTTTGATCTGCAACAATTGATGACAGTGGCGTTCATGAAACTCCCAGAAATTCCATTTGGATATGTCTTTGAAAAATTTCGCTTTGATTTGTTTAGTGAACGCGTGGGCGTTGAACAGTTTAATGATTATTTCTGGCAGTTGACGAGGAAGTATCAACACATTGATCCACCGAATATTTTTGTCAATCGACATGAAATGTTTGATGTCGCTGCGAAATATCATTTTGCAGCTAATGTGCCATATGCTCGATACTTCTTTGCAAACATTCTTCAATATCAAGTTTTTCGTGCTCTTTGCGAGAAAACACTTTTCGGTATTTTAAACTCGAATCACACACTTACATTGCCATTGCATAAATGTGACATTTATGGATCAAAGAGAGCTGGCAGCATATTAAAGTAATTGAAACGTGTTTAACATTGATTGATTTCATTAATTTTTTATTTCTTTTCGTTATGATTTTATAGAAAGGCTTTGAAGAGTGGAAATTCTGATGATTTACGAACAATCTTGAAGAATCTTACAGGAAGTGATAAAATATCAACCGATGCTTTAATGGAATATTACAAGCCGCTAACTGTCTGGTTGTCGGATTACCTTCAATCTCACAATATAAAATATTAATAAGAAGTTTAAATTACAATTTTTGTTGTTGTATATAAATTATTGATGTAAATTCAAAACCAGCCTTGAATCTTGCATAATAATAACAAAACTTAATAAAGATTAATGCATTTGAATCTTTTCACTTAATTTATATTAAAGAAAAATTCTTTTTGTTCTCAGATGATTAAAGAAATATTGATCGAAATAAATCAGCGTTTGTCTCGATTGTTCTAAGTAATTATGATTAATTATCTGACGCTAATTTAGTTAACTGTGCAAATTGAATTCTAAATCACGAATTTTTAAAACAGGAAATTATGCACAATTTAATTTAAGAATATTCTCAATTGCACACATCAAATTGATTTATCAAACTACAATCACCGACTCACGGCAACATCAGGAAATATTTATTTAACATGACTTGCACAACTTTAATGAAATATCTCAGCAAACATGTAGTTAAATTAAAAATTCAATGCCAACAAAAAAGAAATGTATTTTGCAAAGTTTTTTATTATTTTCCTGTTATTTTTCGAAGATTTCCCTAACGTGAAAGCTCCACCCACGCAGGAATTTTGTTGCAAAAACATTTTAACGATAGTGGAAAAATTAAAACTTGAAGTTGACAATACATTCAAGAACTTTAAATCGACTTGCAGTTTAAAAGGTGAATCGCGTGATGAAGTTGAGAGAATTATTGGCGAATTCTTAAGAAATAATATAACAGAACTTAAAACCAATCAAAAAGATAACAAAAAGAATATTTTTGAGAGAATTAAAGACAACATCTCGTCACTTATTTTCAAAAATAAGACGAAAACTCATTCTGACGTCAAAAGAACAACAGACTTGAATGCATATTGGGATGATTCCGACTCAACTGATGAAGATCGTTTTAATGAGTTCGTGGGAAAACTTGAAGAATGTATTAAGGAGCAAGAAGGTAAATGATGACATAAAATTCCTAAAACACTTTTAATGATTCAAAATTCAGATCAATCAACTACTGAAATTCCTACGACAACTCGCAATTCTTATATCGAAGAGAAAAATTCCACAAATCAATCACAAAATCGTTCCAACTTTGATGCTTTTATTCGTCATCTGGCAAACTCAAAGCATCCAGTCAAAGATGCTGGTCGACCAATTCACAAACCACCGAATCTCCAAAAAGTTCAAACTCTTGTTGATAAAGTCAAAAATTTTGATTTCTTTAATTTAGACGATGCAATTGAAACAACAACGCCATGTGTTGATACAGAAAATTTGAGAATCCCAATCATTTTTGACAGAGTGGAGTTGAAAAGAAAAGGTCGAAATGTTTTTAATGATTTCACAAAGAAACTTAAGCAAATCAAAGGAAATTTTCGTGTTGATAAGACAAAGAGAACATTAAATGGAATTTTTGATGATGTTGTCGTTCAAGAAGAAACAAGTGAAGCTCCAGAAGGAGAAATTAAACCTCAAGAATTGCAATCACAACCGACTGAAGATGAAAAATTCTTAGCAGAGTTGACAACATTCGACTCACAATTGAACGGCGATCAACGAATGGCGATTTCGGATTTTCTTGATCATGTTCGTGATAAACCAAAACCTTTTAAATTTGACACAAGTCCTTACTTCTTACAGAAGCTGGAGAGTCTCAATCATCAGAACATTGAACAAACAGGTAAACAAGACGATGAGATGACAGGAGCGAAGAAATTCTTTGATTTCGACTCACCATTAGTTAAACGAAGCTTATTTAAAATCGATGAATATAATAACATTGCCAAAATTAAAAGTAAACTTATCGCTCAATCAAGATCGAGACATCCAATGATTGACTACTCAGCAATCTTACGAGAAGTTGAAGCTCGAAAGGAGCATCAAAGTGAGAAAGTTGACGATTTTCTTGATCATTTTTATCGACTTAATGATGGATCATTTCATGTTGATGATGCTTTGAAGCCTTATCGTAGTGATTTAGATGTAATGAGTCCTTATGAGCTTCAATTAAAGTTCCAATTAGACAAAGAATTCAAGGAACTGGACAACAACGAACTCAAAATACAAAAATCTGAACTTCCACTTCTTAAACCTGAAATTGATTCTGTTCTAGAAGACGACGAAAGTTTACCATAGATTTAATGTTTTATTTTATACGAATTCATTGCTGCTTCATACATCAATTTGGTTACTGTTTTTGTTGTAAAATTTTGTGATGACGAAGATCCAGGAAAGTTTGTCTATGTATTTTATATTTTTTATTGTTGACAAATAAACTAATTAACAGGATCTGGAATGATGCAAAAATTAATAAAAATTATGATCAACTGCTTAATTATAGCAATCAAATAAAAATATTAATCAACTCACCACCCATGGCTCAGAAATTTATTTCTTCAAAAGTTGATGTCTGAGGATGAGGAAAGGAGCTCCAAGTCCTGATCCGAAGAAGACAATGAACAAGGCGGTGAGCTTGTATCTGTTGCTAATGTCGAATGGTAAGTTCTAAAACATAAAAAAGAGTTAACAAATTTTGATTCGCATGGAAAATATTGCATAATCAATAATCGATTAATTTTGTTATTCTTACCGATCCGGGCACACCACCATGGTGGCCAAAACGAACAAAGTTTGTAAGTGTTTGACGGGTCAAATTAAGACTGCGGTTCAACATTTTTGAGATGGGTTATTTTCTTTTTTCGGATGGAAAATATTAAGCAGCTTCAATTTTTTTTCAACTCTTCAAAACTAGTTGCGTGCCCGTTTGTGTCAATAAAAAATTTGTTTTCACTCGTGTTGACGGAATAATTTCATTAGAAATTCACTCTGCTTTCTTCATTTTTTTCTCTAATATAATGAGAATAGCGAATGAATCTCAAAATTATTCAGTAATTTCTATGATATTACAAGAAAATGTCGGTTTGGTCAGGCATAGATTTTTATATGTTTTTATTTAAAAACAATTGGTGATGTGTAATTTTAAGTCGCGCTGTGTATTTTCATGAATTGCTCAGAATTCTTAACTTTCAAATTTTTCAAAACCGTTAAAACTAAAACTTTTTCATCCCAATAAATCTTCGTTTGAAAGATCATTTTGAAGCAAATAAAATTATAAATGCTTTAAACATTTTCGAAATGATGATGTTTTATGATAACTTTTTTTCAATAATTTGAAGATCATTAAATTTTTTTATCTTGTCATCAATTTAAAAACGTATTGAATTTCATAACATTCCGGGTTTCAAAGTTTTAATCATTTATGGCACTTTATGGCGATCTTTAAGATAATTAATTGAAAAATTCCCAGCCACCTTATTTTGGGTTCTAATTAAGTTGTAAACACACAAAAGATGATATTCAAAATTAAACTTCAAATTGTGGGCAAAGAAGCAAGTAATAATAAATTTGATATCACGTTGTTTTATGATTTCTATTTTGTTATTGTTGGTTTTCTCCTTCCTCCATGTCCCGTCAACATGAACACTAAAAGTCCCAAGAAAATGTATTTTAAATTGAATTGGAAGAAAAAGAATAAAAAAGAACTGATCTTTTAAACACCATAAACAGGCTCCATCGATAAAAAAGGTGACGAAGCAAGAGATTCAAGTTGAAACGTGAAACTGATATTTTTTTTCTGTTCAGGAAACTTCACTTCACCTTCAAACGTTAGTTCGTAATCAAACCACTCACTGCCATATAAATGTCCAGAGAGGAAAAGAAACAAAAAAGTGACTATCGAAATATTTTACAACCGAAGACGATATCGTGAACACAAGAACAACAGACAAAATAGTCTTCTTGATAGGCTAATTAATTCAATGTTTATGATGGCATGAAGATTTAAATTATGTTCTCGATGATGATGTTGCTGTGATTGTTGTTGTCCTCTTACCATGCGGTAAATTAATTAAATTGATTTCTTCTAAAAATCTAAGATTGAATAATTTTTCCATTCACTAATGATCCATTTCGAGATCATTTAATATTCTATTTCATTATGATTCAGTTTATTTGGTATGTTAAACTGACTGTGGTTTGTCTCTCTCACGATCGATCCACTGCTTTGTTTCTTCTTCGTTCCTTCCGTCTGCTTCTCCAATAATGGCATTTTAATTGAGGTACGAAAAAATAAAATGAAGTGTTTGAGAATCCTGAGCGATTTTCTATCATAAATTGGATAATAAATAATTGGTGAATGTTATTTCTTCTCATCATGTGGGTAAATTAATTTAAATTAGGCAATTTCTTCATGGAATGAATGAATATTCTTAAAAATAAATTGACCAGAAGTATTTGAAATATTTCAAACTAATTTCAATTGTAACCGTAATTTGAAATTATTGAAATTCCTTCGTGAATCATGCTTTGAGAATGTTTTTTCCTTCTTTCCCTTGCCTCGTTACAATATCTTACCACAAATTGATTAGACACCAAAAATTTCTCAACAGTTGAAGTGAGAGAAAAGAAATGATTAAAACACTTATGATTCATAAGTTAAAACATTTTATTTAACATGTTTCCAATAATATGATTTTTACACAACACAAAAATGAAAAACATTCTTCCCATTCGATCTTTTGACTGTGAAATCAAATGAGATTTGTGTATTTACGCTTCTTCTCCCGATTTCGATTCGAGCTTGACCACAGAAAGGCAGAAAGATTGGGCGCAGCAGACAATCAAAACAGCGCCTGCTCGCGAGTAAGAAGGAAATAATTTCAATTTTTCTCTTCAGCTCTTCGACTTGTTTTTTTCTTGTTGGAGATTAGCTGTTTCGCTCCACAGTTAATTTGTTGAAAAATATTTTCTTAATGGTGTTTTTTATTGATGGCAATTAATTTGGTTAAATAAGTTGTTAAACATTTTTACCTGGGCCTAAACGTTTCGTAGATTTATCGTTGGTCATCGATTTTACTTCTTTTAATGATTATTCTTCCAATTTTTTTCTCTCTTTCAATTCTTTCTTAAGCCCCAAAGATTTTCTTTATATTATAAATATATTTTTGAAAAATAAGATATCAAATATTTGGACGTGATTACCTTAAATAGGAAATGATTTGCTCACGCATGGTAAACGATAATTAACAAGAAATAGACGAGCAGAGAAATATTCCAAGCTTGAATTTGTTTTCGTGATGGATTGACATCGTTAAGACAAACGTTTTTTTGATGTGTTAATTTTTAATGGCGAGTTGAGTTGAAAGATTTTTACTCTCTTGAGAAACTGAAGAAAATGTTAATGAAATTCCTTGAGGGGATTGTCTTGAAAACCTGTCACAAATTCGTTTATTGAAAATACTTTAATTACTGTGAAATATGTTTCTTTAACCAAAAACACTTTAAATCATTTCAAGGACTTACAACAACTTTCTTTTTACCACCCAGATTATCCAGAAGCCCACAAAAATCCTGAAATCCTTTCGAAAGTGAATTTCACAGCAATTAACAACTCATAATTGCCTCACTCATCGTTACATGCCACTTTACCATCGAAGCAATGACGATGCAAGAAAAGAAAAGTCGAATTTTTATGATCACAGAGAAATCCCTAATTTGTTCCATATGGTGTTCCTAATAGATAAGAGAATTAGTCAAACTATAAGCAGAGAGATGGAGAAAAGTCATGTTTCAATTTTACTCGACCATAACGAGTGTTTTAAAAGTGATCTATTTAGAGATATGTTGAACCTCCTTCTGCTTATGTCTCTTTACAAGGACCTCACAGAGGGAAAGGAAAAGATGGGAAGAAAAAAGGAATCCCATGAGTTACACAACAACAAGAAGCTCATTTACTGTCAAGAGAAATCACCAAAAATTAGCTCGCAATCTAAAACCTAAATCCTATTTTTCCGCTTCCATTTCAATTCGTCTTTTCGTGTTTCAAAACATTCATAAAAAAAATTCCTACTGAGCCTATAACTCGAACAATCGTGATAGTACAATTTTAATCCAATTAAAAGTTAAACACAATCAACTTTAATTAAATATGAAATATCTCGATTCTCGCTGCCATTTTGATATTTCGCTGTTTTTATATTTTTATATTTTTTTGCCTTTCTTTCTTTCTCTTCTCACTTGTGCCTCGTGTAAATCCAATTTTTCCGATTTCGAAAAATTCCAATTTCAATTGAAACAAATTTGTTGCCATTGTTTTCATTGCTCATGAATTATTATGCAGAAAAGGTGAAAAGAAGGCAAATAAAGAAAGAGAGAATGAGAAGCGATGCTTGTTTTATGCGCCACTTTATGTAGGTGCATACATAATATTTTCTGATCATTTAAGTGCAATGTCTAAGAGTGCAGCAATGCTGTAAAGAGTTAAGAAAAATAAAAACGTGCATTGAAACAACATTAAATACAAAATGATATCGAACAGTCAACACTACTCTTCTTAGCTGCTTCCACACCAGCAAGCCAATATTTCTCTTTATTATTTGTTATTGAAAATGCCGCATCAGATTACTGAACTAAGATTTCGGAAAAAAAAGGAGAATTTTAATGAATGAATTGTATGAAGTTCATACAACGTCCTTTTATTTACAATGAAGCCACCCGACAACAGTTCATCGCGATGTTTTCGTACTGGGCATCACACTTATGTATGAACGTGTTGCTTGCATTATAAATGTTTGCTTCTCTTTTTATCTCGCGCCTTTCAGCAACTAAATAGAGAATATGAAAAAAGTTTTTTATGTTTTTTATCAACTGAATAAGGCGGAGTTTCATTGATGTTCTGGCGTAGGAAAATTTATTTATTTATATATTTCTCATGATACAATTGTGTGTACATGCAGTATTAATAATGCGAGAAATCTCCTTTTTCAAATCTCTCATTCTGACTCTTTTACCTTCTTCTCGTGCGCTTCATGTGTCGCAAATTTCCCTTGTTCTCTGCCCCATTCAACTCTCATTCGTATTATCGTTATTTGCGCTTTTCAAATAAATAACGACAAGATCATTATCAATTATTTTGCAATTTTCGTATAATTTCTCTCCTGTTGATTTTGTTCACGTTATACTTGGACCAAGTGCGCGATATGTTTTGCTTTTATTAAGCAAAGTATTCACTTCTTAATTTGCCAGCAAGGAAAAAGAAAAATAAAGTCAATTGACTTTCTTCCATGTTCGTTTTCTATGTTGATGAATGAAAGAATGTTCAAATTTCAAAGTAAATTAATCAATAACTTATTTTAAATTGATCACTTTCATAGTCACCACATTGTGTTTAGCAACTGTGATGAAAACGAGTCGAGCAATCTATCATAAAAATATTTTCCTGTCCTGATTATTAGCCTTACTATTGTTGTGCATGATACAAAAAGCAATCCGTTTAAGGTCTTTTAGCATACAAAACTATCATTTTCTTGCATGTGCTTCGAGGGAAAGAGAAGAGAGAAAAATTACCCAAATCGTTCACTTATTAACGACTGATGTTTAATGTAGAGCTGGAGATGGCAATTATGTATGTACGAAGCTTAAAGTACGTAATAATCGGGATATTTATTTAAGTTCATTATAACTCTATTTAGAGAGATTTCCGAACATTATGAAGTGATATATAATGAAGTACAAGCTTCGTTTGTTGAGTACCTTGTTATGAGCTCTATTCAACAATTTAAAAACCTTCAGTTCATTGATTCGAATGTGAATAGAAAACCGAACCGAAAAAGATTTGATTCTGTTTAAACATTATGAAAGGAAGTAACACCTGGACCACATTTTAAAGTTTCACAATTAAACGCTTTATTATTCCATTAGATTCAATTAACTTTAAACATTTTCAATTATAATTTTGATGCGTTCGTTCTTTAATTTCGGATTTTTGATAAATAATTTTGATTTGGGTTGGAAGGAAAGGAAAAAGTTCATTTGGCACTTTAGAAGTTTTATTTATGACTCAATTAAAATTAAGGAGAGAGATTTGTATCGTTTTCGAGGAACGTGTTCAGGAAACTTTCTTTTGTCCTTTAATTAATAAAGATTTCTTTTTAATGGAATGAAAATTCGAAATTATGTTGCCCGCTTCCAACGATTATCATTGAATTTACGATCAGCTTCATCAATAAAAAAATAATTTTCAAACCCTTAAAAATGTCATAAAGCAACATTGAAAAAAGCCCTTCGATGAATTTTAATATTTATCAACAGGAATAGCGCCAATTTAAGGTAATGATTTATGACTTCTACTCGTGAAGCAACAAAAGCCAACACAATACCAACGATGGCTCTTAACTTTCAAAAGAAATTTGTCATAAAATCATTTTCTTCTTTCAATTCTTCTCTTTAAAATTGAAAAAAAAAGTTCTCAATACAACAAAGAAGCATGAAATTAAATTTCCGATGAAAAATTCTTCTTCAAAACTAACGAATGAATTCGATGTGTGCGAGTATGTTGCAGGTAGACCGTTGTCTGCTGTTCTCTCATGAAATTAGCATCATCATGTTCAGAAGTTTGAAGAATTACTAAGAAAAGAAATCAACTTCATCGCATTGATGATCGTTTAATTATTGTGTATTTGATTTTATTCTTTTGTTAGAAAGAAAGCTATCTTCAAATGATGATCAAATGGACCTCAATAAAACATAAAGTTACAACCCAGTCAGCATAACATAAGGACGATGTAAAGTATCATATCATGCTGTGAAAAAGGTACTTTATCATTCTCTCTTGTTGTTGTAAAGCCATAACAATAGCACCCATAATATAAATGTTGAAGAGAACGATGCGATCAATTTTGATGTTGTTGTCTTGTTCGCTTTTCCGTAGAAAAAAAGACATTAAGTCTAACATTGACACTTAATTAATAAGAGAAAAAAAGAGGCAAAACAAAAAAAAACTTCAAGAAATAAGAAAGAGAGAAAGAAAATCGATTGGTAACACAAAACCTTGCTTGCCTCATATTTTTTTTTGTATGTTTCTTTAGTTTTTATTTTCCTATGAAAGACCCAAAATAAAAATAAAAATATTTATATACATATAAGGCAGAGAATGTTATGTCGTGTTATGTTGATCGTGAATAAGCGATAAACAATTAATTAATGGGCATGGAGATACATGCTGCCATGGCAGTGCTTCAAACACTAAACACCATCGACCAAATATCGATTTAAATAATCACTTAATTTCTCTCTTTCTTGTTCTTTGTTCCCTTTTTTTTTGCTTCGTCGTCAACGTTGTCTCACAGGTCTGTAAATAATATAAGTTACAAATTAGCGTTTCTTGTCATTGAACAGAAAACACTCCACAAAATATCTTAATTTATTGAATTAACCCCTGTGAGTTGCTAACGGTTGAGCTTTAATCTTGTTCATAGTTGCAACGAGACTCGCCCAGTAAATGCTTTGCTGTCAACATCGCTCATAATTGAAACCGTGTTCATTTTATTTGTTATAAAATCGCTGGGTGTTGCTTTTTTGCTTCATCATTTTACTCCCTCCGAAAATATTCTTTGATTATGCGACAATTAAGTTCGAATCAAGAGAAGGAGAAAAGGATGGTTGAGAAAATTACACGCCAATAAATAAACGAACGATGATAGTCATCTTGATCAAATCATGTTCAAATTTCCTTCTCTTCCCGTCTACAAATCGAAACTCCATGTTTAAGTACGCCATATGCGCACAATTAAATGCAAATAAAATTTATCACGATATTAATTGAGAGATGTGAAGGGGACGATGATATTTTTGTTATTTATTCTTAACTATGCAGGAGAATGATGGAAGAATGAATTGCTTTTGGTTCCTGCAAATAAATATATTTAGTTATTGAAGAGGGTTGAAAAATTAAATTTAAATTAAATGGTTAATGAGATTATGAAATGAATAAATTAAATGGTTGATGAGATTGCTTCGGGTTATTTAACATTTTATTAGCCGTACGCTAAAGAAAAAGACTTTTATTGCATCATTCACTGAAAAAAGTCCCATGGGAGGAAGAAAGCAAAAAAAATCCTTTTTGTGTTAAATCATCATCAAATTGTTCAAGTAGATTGAGAAAAAAATGTGTCAGCCATCGCTGTAATAAAAGCAAGGATTTATCGATTTTGTTAGCATAAAAATTTGTATCAACTTCTCTTAAAGATACATGCGCGACGAAACGAAGAACAAACAAGAATTTGTATTATCTTTCAAGTCATGTTTCTGTCTTGTCTCAAGACATTTTATGTTTTGATGTTGAACATGAGTTCACACGACATATTCGAGGTGAATTAATTGCACCTCCTGTTTATCGTGTCAATAATTTAATTAAAAATTAGATCTTCAGATTCATTCAATTGTATTAGATTTTATAATGAAACAAGTTTGTTTATGGGAAAGTTTTATTGATGGGAATGTAGTTTTTACACTCAAACGCTTTCAATCATCTCACGGCTAGTTATGGGATAAAACAGAAAATTTATTCCGCAGTGTATCTCTCCTTGAGAATTCATTACTAGGTATTAAGCTCTTTACCTTTTAAAGCAAACGCTTGGGATTCATTTATGTTGTGTGCTGTTTTATTTCTCTTTTATTTCGCTTATTTTCTCTCTCACAACCAATCAGAGTTTTACATTTTTCGCTTCGTGTAAATTGTTCAATTACAAGCGAGAAAAATGGCTGCGCTTGTGAAGTTTTGTAGCTTTTACATTCAAATGCAAATTCTGTATCACTGAATTAAATATTTTTTCTCGTGAAAAACTTTAAATCTCAATTTTCTCACTTCGCTTTTGGATTGTGCAAAATATCTTAATTCTTTGAGTTGTGCATTGAAAACATTCCACAAAACAAATTAACACATGCTTTTGTCCTTTTTTGCTCTTGAGCGCAACGGAAAGCAACAAAAAGTAACACAAGAAAATTGGTAAGTTTTGCGTTATTTTGCGGAATAGAAGCACAATTCCAAAAAAAATGAATGAAAAGCGGGAGAGCGAAACTGCATACAAAAGAACTCTCGATCAACAAAGCGTTTAAAAAACAATTTTGAATCCATTAGTGGTGAACAATAGAATTAATGTGAAGAATTTGTAATATCATCGCTTATTAAGGTTTTTTTCTTGTTTTTGGACTTTGTTGGTCGTTAAAAGATATTTAGCGGATTCAGCAGCTGCTTAAAAGATGCATTTGGTCATTGAATTTATAAAGTTCATTTTTCACCAATTCGCAATCCCTGTGCAGTGACATTTTGGAGTTTACTCTTATCAAATTGTAAACAAAACCGAATCTCTCTTCTTGTCTCCTTTGATTTGTATTCCGTCTTTTCATCTTCAATATAGCAGTTGTTAACCTTTCAGACAAAATCAAAGGAAGAAATTCAATTCTGTATTTTAAGGTTATTTTTTTTAGGACTTTTTGTTCAAAGGCGTTAAGTTTGGCTTATTAAGAAGACTTTGAGAAATTAAATGAAAATATTCTAAAACTTTTATTTTATGGATTTTAATGCCAGAGCTTTCAAAGTTCACTTTAAGAGAAACTCAACATGTGGTGAATTTTGTGGTGAATTTCACATACATTTTTGGTGAAAAGTTTCATCAGTTTATGCTTATCAAAATATTTTTAAAAACATTTGAGTGATAAATTTGTTGACTTCTGTTTACTTCTTCTCACAATCTTTTTGTCTTTATTTAATCAATGAAGTGTAACATTCACCACTTAGACTTCGCACATAGTTTTTGTCGCAAGATACATCAAATGTGTTCAATTTCACAAGTTATTTTGCTTTTCGTAAGTACAAATTCGGAACATTGAAAAAAAAACTACAAAATCAGAATATTTTATTCAATGAAAGAAATATCATTAAGAATTCCACTTTTTTTTTTGAGTCATTTCTTTTTCAATTGTGTCGGCTTTATGTCCTTTATTCTTGTTGCCTAAATGTGTTATCCCAAGAAGTTAAAGCAAATCAGAAGCATAATATAGTAGGAAAAGCAGAGCAAGAGGAGTTATTGTTATTGTAGCAAATCGAAATCAACGAAACAAAAAAAATATAAAACGAAGGGAGATGAAAAACTGCAGCAAATGTTTTTTTTTGTCCATGCGACGATGCGATATTCTGCTTGGATCGCCTTCGGTTGCCGAAATATACAAAATTGATACAAAAAACAATATTTTTCTGGTGATTGTTTAAACGAGCAAAATTGGTGATAAGAATTCGAGTTTTATGTCAAAGAATTGAATTTATGTGTCGTTTTAAATTTGCCTTTGGTCTGCAATGTTTGACTCTTAACTTCTTCTCCTTCTTCTTACTTGTTTTCTTCAAATTCGCAATCTCCGCTTTTATTCTTGCCAGACTTTAAGTCTGAGTCGTTATAACGTTCCAAAGAGATCGATATATTGGCAGATATGAGAATGTAATCGAATAAATTTAATACATCTGCGAACTCTCAACAGAAACGGTCATATGAACAATGTTTGGACAGAAATCCTTTAGATTCTTAACACAAATTGAGTGTTTTTCATCGTCTCCTTAAGAAATGAAGAAAAGGTTGCAATGCAAATTAAAATTAATTGGTCGTTCATTTATCAATTCGAGTGAATCTCAACTTCGCCTTCGGAATCGGTTTGAAATTAAGAGAAGCTTTATCATCGCAAATAACCGGAGCCTGTTTGTTAAATGTTCATCATATATTTTGTTAACACAACCTTTTAATTTGCTATTAGCTGGAGAATCGTAAAATGTGAAAGAAAATATATTTGATCTGTTGTGCCATTTATTTATTTGTTGACTCCACCAAAAACAACAAAACAAAAATGTTAAATAAGAAATGAGTGAAGGAGAAAAGACAAAATGAAGAAATTCTTCGCGACATAAAGTTATCTTAAAAACGTGTGTTTCTTATCTTGCGAACGCAGAAAATACAACCAATTAGGCAAATTTTTAATGATTCATACAATTCGTATTACTGCTCAAATGACTTCGGACAGAACGATAAAGATGAAGCATTCCTGATAACAAAACGAACTGCTACGACCCGAAATGGAAGTGTGCAATTATTCACGACGTGCATTGGGATGAAGCGTCACGGAAATATTTATTAAAAAATAATTTGCCTTCTTCTTCTTTTCTTTATGTCGTTGCACAAATGCAGAATAAATATTTTCTTATGACAGCGTTCGTTCATCATCGATAATCATCATCGTAAACAATTTCATTTTATTTTTTCGTGGGCCAATAAGTACAATGGGACATGTGTTGAATTTATTGTCGACACAAAGCGCACACAAATTTTCATAAATTTATGAACGGAATGCAATAAAAATATTAAATCATGTACTTTAAAGTTTAAACTGCATTTATGTTGTGTGAATAAGACATTGCGGGTGGCATATGAATCTAATTATAAACTCAAATTTAAGCTCCACATCAGCTGTTGCATAAATATTTTGGCCTATTAAGAATAACACGCATGATTGCAAAATAAATATTCTTTCGCATGCATCAATAGCGTTGAATAAATAAACAGGTTTGATTTGTTAATACCAAAGAAAAAGGAAAAAAATAAAAACACAAGAGAACTTCTGACTTCAATCATCCTTTAAATATTCTCGGAATAGCCAAATCCAAAACTTATTCTCCATTATCCAATTACGAGCATGAAATTAAATGTGGATGATTCCATTAAAGATAATTTTCTTTCGTCCTAAGAAATCTTCCTTGAGCAGCATGTGTTAAACTGTTTTCACTAACATCCTTTTCGGTGTCGGCACACTTTGCATTTTCTATTTGAAATATTTTTTTCGCATAGAAGAAATCTTGTAATTTCATGCAGTTAAAGTAATATTTTTACTCATTTCAAGCTCCGTAACTAAACAACTAATATCTATATCGGGTGCAGAGAGTCAATCATTTCTACATTTGCTTTTTGCCTTTTTGGATTATCCTCTGCCAACTTTTCTCAGCCTTTAAATCCTTCTTTTCTTTACAAATTGCATTGCAATGAAGAAAAGGAAGAGAGATAAAGCAAACGGGTGCTAATACCTAAAGATTAAGAAAGTATCAATTACAAAAGCAGAAAATGACATTGAAAAGATATAATTTACTGTACAAATAATGTGCACTTGAAAGGCAAGACGTGAATTTATTTTTCTTAGACATTTTCTCGTATTTTCTTTTCAAATAGATATTTAACATACCTTCGATGTTAACCAATTAATAAAACAAATATTTGGATGTACGTCAGACGACGCTGTAAAAATGACTCCATAAATTATGCCTTTAGTGTCGTTTCTATTAACACCTGTATGGAATATAAAAACAGAACCATAAACTATTAAAATAAAGCTGACTTCATTGTTGTACGACTCATGGCTTTTCATCGGAATTAGAAGACATTAAGTTGGAAATTTATTTAACTTTTCTTTCACGTTTAAGACAAAATGTCTTTTTTTGTGGCTTTTTCTCCTTCTTTCTTCCTCGCGCTTCTTAAATGAATGTTCTATTAGTTAACACGGTGTTTTCCTCTCGTCGCTTGGTGATTCATAAAAAAGGTGTTTTATTCCACTATCGTGACTGAAGCATTGAACAGAATTTTTTTTTAAAAAACATGAGAACAAAAGCGTTAAACGAAATGAGATTGTAACTCATTGCCTTGCCTACCTTACCTTAACCTGATCGAAAAAAGAACATAAATACAATAGAAATCCTCCCACCTTACTTCACGGTTATTAAATTAAAGGATAAATATTTACTTAATCAATAATCCTTTGTGATGTTTTTATGACTTTCTTCTACAAAAGATTCCTTTTTTCCCTTTTCAATTGTTTTTATGTAAATGAGTTTAGTTTCGGTAGTTTTTTTTTTGTGAATGCTCCGTTGTCATAAAAGCATTAAGAATTTGGGTCTCCCCTCTTAAGCCGGCCAATATCTTTGTGGGTATTGCTTTAAAAGGATTGCAGGAATTATCTGAGTAGAGCTATTTGACACTAATTATTAGCAAGAGATTTGGTAACTGGAAAATAATTTTAAGGAAAGAAAAATTCTTCTTGGAAAGTCTTTAATAAATTGGCTGATGATGCATTTACCTTTTTAAAATACTTTCTTATCTCCAAAAGCAATAAACATTCAATTCTCTTAAATTAGGCTTTGAAACGACGTGCAGAAGTTTATGTTTCTCGATTTACCTGCAAGCGTTGACGATCATCGACGTTAACTGCGCACTCACAAAATTTTTATGTTCATATTTTATCCGATACATATGACGCCATGTTAATTGATGATAATAATGCATGATAAATATTTGAGAATTATTCAATATTGCAAGAAATCGGGTAGACTGACTTAATATACTTTCAAACTTTGATGGATGCTTAATGATACATAAACGTTCATTTTATTTTAGTTGGAAATGAAAGGCAAAAATCTCTTTTTTCCCTGTTTTGATCAAATAAAATTAACAGCAATAATAAGAGCCAAAAATATAACGAAGAACATTTAATTAAAAGATTTTTAAAGAAAATAAAATTTAAAAAAAAAAACACTTAATAGCTCATAACACGCGAGGCTCATTCAGTTGTTGAATGCTTTTAATGTTCATAACGGTGCTTTCAGGAATAAAGTGGATGAATTTTATAGTCTGAAGAGATGTAACATTAAGATTGAAGCATTGACTCATCTTTGAATAAATAATAATTTACATACAAGCACTTTGATTGATGAGCGAAATTAATTGACAATAATTTGATTCAAATCTAAATTGAGTTTACTTTTAAGATTAGAAATTATGAACAGTTTCTTTCCGAATAAATTTTCTTTTAATATTGTGTACACGTCAAATCGTTTTATTTTCATTTTGATTCATCAGACTTATGAAAATTGTGTCAATTTTTGCCCACGATCGAACATAAATTGTATTCATCGATAATTTGTTTTCTTCCAAATCATAATTAATGAAGAGTGAAAAGAAAACAAATTCAAATCATGTCATTATAGGCGCATTCAACGCTCATGCTTTTATTTTTGTCGTCCACCATTGCTGTATAGATTTCCAGACACGACATTGATTATATAAAGTGCCCACTCAATTAAAATAAATAAAAATTAAATATAATTAAAATGTTTCTTCGCGCTCTCTGCCTTTGCTCTTATTTCTGATCTTGCTTCTCTCCCGTCCCGTTCAAAGAACGATATTTATAATTAATTGAAATGAAAAGACCAGACATGATTACGCTTCACAGTCGAACCAGAAGAGAAAAAAGCAAAAATTATAACATTTGAAGAAAACAAATTACGAAATAAAATGATGATAGTTTCAATGGAGATGAATGTCGAGATTACAAGCAACCCAAACAACGCATAAGAAATAGAATTAGATATAATTTTTTTCACCTTCCTTTTGTTAATAATGACAAGACCCAGCATTGCCATGATTAATGAATGATAAATCACAAGAAAGAAATCAATATTAACATAATCCATTCCCTATTGTGAGCATCGTGAAATGAGTCAATCAGCGTTTTTAAACTTTTTTCTTTCTTTTTTCCGGGCGCGAAACTATTGAAATTTAACATTTAATATTTTAATCTTTCATAGTTGATCGACATTCGCCACCACTGCAATGTTCAAATCAAAGACTTCTCACTGATTGTAATCGCTCAATGACTTTTATTTGCTTTAGACAGCAAATTGTGTACATTAACGCTTTTTATAAATACAATTACAATTTTACAATTAGAACTCAAAGACTCCTCCCCTTCTCGTTTAATAATAACACAACATTCACTGATCCACCGATCACGAAAGGCATGAAAAGATTCGTGGAAAGTTAATCATTTATCATAAATATCAAATTTGAATATTAACATGTTTATTAAGCATTTTTATAGAAACGAAAGTTTCAAATGAAAAATCTCTGATTTCCACTCCGTTATATATTTATTTAAATGATTTATAAGTTTTCTTAAGCTTGTTTCTCTGTACCCGAATCGTCTAATGTGTTTGATTTATGATTGCTCATTTCTTATTAACAAACAATGAAAAATTATTAGATGATCTTTCAAATCATTTATTTTTTTGTCTACTAATGTGGTTAAACGTGGTTATAGACTAAATGTACATGCAACAATAAGTGGAAAAAGAAGGAGATGGAGAGAAAGATTAATTTGTTATTTTCATTATTTGATGTTTTAATCCGATCGCTTTATTGTTATAATTAAGTGAATGAATAAATTGAGGCAACACAGGTATAGAATGAAATAAAAGAAAAATTATAATGGTAAATATTAGGTTTAAACACCCACACATGATTAATGATTGAAATTTGATTTTATTTTAATTTTTTTTTGAGACTTTTAAGAATGTTTATTGAGAATATGTCAATAAATAACGCAACGATTTTAACGAAGATTTTGTTAATGATTTTATTTTGAGAGATTTCGATATCGCTGTGGGCAGTGAATAGAAATGATCAATGCCTTAATTCGTATTTTATAATGATTAACAGCGGCCATCAATATTTTCTCATTTTTTTTCCTTTCAAATGTTGACAATTCCTGCTTCGAACCAATTAAACACAAGAAGTAATCGTAAATACAATTTATAGGATTGTTTATTCATCTTGAAAATAAAATTCCTTATATACAATAAAATAATTTTTTTCAAACTTGATTAAGTCATTTTTTATGATTTATTATATTTTAATTAACTTTTAATCTTAAATACAAATCAATAGCTATTCATTTTTTGTACACTTTCAACTCAAGTTTATTTTTAATTATCTAGATAAGTCTATTAAGATGATACTTAGTTATTTTGCTTAAAGAGTTGATAAATCTATCTACACAAATGGCGAGCTTTAATAATTGCGTGATTACATCGCAACTGTTTTTTTCTTTTCCTTTTCAATTTTTTGGCACAACAAACACCGTGAGTCGACCACTTATCCATCAATCATTTAGTGAAGTAGAATTAAAGAAATTAAAGAAAAAGAAATTTCAAGATGTAAGGACATTAAATTAAAGATATGTACGCTCTCAATTAATCTTTTCGAAGTGAAGTTAAGTCGAATGGAATCGAGATAGTCAGACAACTGTATTGACGACTGAATTCTGTTAATATCTGTTGTGTGTACACTCATTCATGTCTTTCATGTTTATCTGTTTTATTGTTGATATCGTTTCCTTTCGATCGCAAAACACATTCCATGATATAAATTTAATTTAATGAAACTTTAATGCCTTTGTTCGACTCTCTGTAAATGTGTTAATTCAAATGAATCTCAATTTGACTTTTAACAAGCCAAAAAAAAGTTTTTTTCTTAATTGAAATACGATATGGAAAGTTAATAAAAGAGAAATAATCGAAGTGTGTCGGAATATTTTCGTTGTTTGTTGCTTATTCATTCAAGTGCCACAAATATATCAATGGATATAAAGAATCGCTCTTCTCCTTTCAATCTCATAGCTTCACCATCGAATCAATATGGTAATTCAAAAGTTTGAATACTTAATGGATTATCTAAGTAAGTGGTGTGTGATTCAAACTGTCAATTTGTTGTTATTATACTCGTCTCTTCTTCAACATAATTCCCTCCTCATATTTTTTTGTACTCGGCTGTAAAGCCAACATTAACCAATTACAAGAGCCATTAAAAACTATTTTCACTCGTCATCAGATGGACAATCATCCATATCAATCAACTCATCATCTTCATCATAATTGCCTGGACTGTGTTGATTTCCACTGCCGGATTTTGAGTCGCCGTCTTCTTGCTGCATTCGTTTGTGTTTAGTTCGACGATTTTGGAACCAAACTTTGACCTGATATATTAAAAGAGATAAAGAGAGAAACATTCGATTAACATTTTTCAACAGAATTAAGTTGTCGCGACGCTCCGATGAGAAATTCAATATTCACGCTTTGATGCTACAAGTCGTCGTCGAGGTTTTATTCAACCAACTTTTAATCACGAAGATTAATAAATTAAGTAAAGCTAAAAGGAGAATCCCAAAAATAAAAAATAAAAACCACACCATTCAATAACTTTGGATCGCAATCGCAATAAATCATTACAAAGTATTTGGGCTTCATTTCTCTGATTCTGATTCTCGCACTCATTCGTGAAGGGGAAATCTCATGTAGAGTTTGAAACGTGTAAATTTTTGTGCTTGAAAATATTTATTTTTGATATTTTTCTTCATTCTCTTGAAGTTGAGACTAATGAAAAACATCCGAAATGTATATCTTAATTTCAAGTAATTTTAACTTGATTTTCTTCACATTTATTGGTGTGATTAATTATTCCCACGCTAACAAGTCTCAAATTGGAGAGATTGTGTCAAATATTTTTCACCATATCGAATATTGAATTTCCTACTTGCTTTCGAGCATGACATGAAGACGATTGTACCAACTATTAGTTAATTAATAATTACCTGAGTTTCAGTTAAACTAAGCTGTTGTGCTAATGTTTTTCGTTCAGCACCAACAACATATTGATTGCTCTCAAATGCATGCTCTAGTTTGAGTAATTGAGTTGGCGAAAATGCTGTTCGCACTCGCTTTGGCTTTCTAAAAGGATGCAGAAGAAAATCTAGAAAAGAGAAGATAAAATTAATGAAAAATATTCTCAGGAATTTCTAAGACATCATAAATAAATAATTTTTTCATTCTTTTCAAAAAGGTTTCATTCCAGAAAAAAAAAATTTTGCTTCTTCTTTTTCTTTGGAAATTTGTTGGGAGTTTGTCAGAAGGGTCATTAAATATTTATGAACCAATTAATTACTACATTGTTAACTTAAGAAACATGTTACGTTTTTCGATGATAGTTTGGTTATAAAAAATATAAAGAAACAGTGAACATTTGGGATCATTTAACAATACGAGCTTCCCGCAAGCCGCAACCTTACTTAACTCAGACTGCGCAACTATTTATTTTTTACCGATTAACAATACATTTAATAATGAAGTCAATAATTTTGTTTGTTGTTGCTGCTGCGCTTGAGGCACTCTGCAGAACAAACTAGTAATTAAAAACACATTAAAACAAATTGAACTTTTTTTTTGTCTTTTTGAATTAACATTGAATTATCATATATCGTAATAAAATGCAAACATCAGATTAAAATAAAGTCGAATTAATGCTAAATTATATGGTAATGATACCAAACTGACAATATTTTCAGTTTAAAAGTTATCAGCAACTAAATGATTTTAAAACCTTGTAAATAATTCTTTTAATGTACATAAATATAATAATTTATTTATAATCAAATTGCAGCTTTACTACATGAAGGAAACATCTTGAAAATTACGATCGTAATTAATCCCAATATAACTTTCGAAAATAAGATCAACGTGCAGGTTGAATAATTGACATTTTAATTGAGTAAATTTAAAAGCATCGTTAGTTGACGGAAAGAAGTAAAATTAGGAATGAAAGGAACCTTCAAGAAGTGAAAAGTCTCACAATTTACTTCATTATAATTTCATTTCAATTCACCATGTTACTGGGAATTATACGGTTTATAAAGTTGTCAGGGAAATTATCAAGAGAATTAACAAATAATTAATTTAACATTAAGATTCATATCAGAAATTACATCATGAAGAATGTCGTGAGTTAGCTTCACTGTGATGTGGTTGTGTTGTGTCTAATTACACCAAATTAATGACTCTCTTGAATCGCTTAATAACATTTCATTAAGAATGTTTTCATTCCATCACTGACCATGAGGCTTTCTTAAATTTCAAGTTTAAGGGAAAAAAAACTTACGAAAATATGCGAGAGAAGCATCGAAAGAGTCAACAACTTAAACAGAATGTTAAAGTGAAGTATAATGAATAATGGAACATTGAAGCAATTGCGGAAACATTATGCCAAATTCAAAATGAAAATTATCTTAATCACAAGCACACAATCTCTCAACCATTTTCATAGCAAATTAGCAGGTTCACTCGATACTTTGTTTGTTAAATATTTTCACTACTTAGAGAATGTTGCAACTAAAAGAATCTTGCACATTATCGATGGAGGGCATGAACGAAAGAGAAACGAGCCATAATTGGTTTTATATTGAATCGCGCAAAGCATAATTTAATGTATTCAAGCTCAAATTACAGTCAATCAAATAACATTTCAGTCACGTTTTTTGCATTTGATACTTCTTAGAGCATTGTTGATGCAACATTATTTAAAAGCATGAAAAGCTCTCTTAAAGTATTATGCACTCTCCTCCACTATAATCACTACTTGACTCAGCACTAGTGCTTATTTCTCTTTTGTCGTTGTTGTTCTTTCCATCTTATTTCATTTCACTTTAACCAAGCAAGCTCAAACTCAAACGATCTTTAAAAACAAATTTGTACAATCGCGAGAGTATTTGAAATACAACAAGTCGATAATTTTATTTTCCTTTCCTTTAAATATAAAAAGGAGAAGAAAGAAAAAAAATTAATTACATTACACGAATCGTTGTTTTCCCAACGGCAAAACGAGGCTAATTCTCTCTTTCTCTCTCTCTATTGCTACGTTACTTTAATTATTTACCATGATTTTTCGCAAACATTTATTTAATGCTACGATTAGCATGTACATTGATATGCAGTTCATTATTGCAGTTTATCTTTTACAGAAATAAAGCGAAGAAAGAATAAGCGATTTGATATTATTTATGACTCAACTCGCGAGTTAATGCGCGGCATTGGCTTCTTGGAAAACTACTGTGGGTCAGAAGGAAGAAAGATAAAAACCAGAAACAACATAAAGGAATGAATGTCTTAATGAAGATTTAAGAAAGGAAGACAGGATGGAATTTTTAATTTTGTGCAAAACGAAATTTAAAAAAGAAAGAATGTAAAAAAATGAAAAAATTAAAATTATGATGAGATGAAATGAGAAATAATTAAGTTTTACTCACTTCCAGGAAATCGATGTGGAAATATCCGCCCGTGTCGGCTTAACAGCCATGGATATAATGGATAACTTTCGCGGGGAATATTTGGATTATGAAGATGTGGAAGATGTTGCGGCAGAGCTCCTAATGGGAACCCTGTTTGTGCTGCTAGGTTGGCAGCAGCTTGAAAGTGCCCAGCCGAAAAAAATGATTCTGTGTGGCGATCATTTCTGGAGAATAACCTGGAGGTAATTGATGACCAGGTGGCGGACCAATTGGTGATGGACGCATAATATTCGCTGGTATTCCAGGAACCATAATTGGACCTTTCTGTACTTGTTGATGTTGAGAAATTGGCGACGGTGGTGATTGTGAACGGCGATTTCCATCTTCCGTCGACAATTGCGTTCGCGGTGACAACTCCGGTGACATTGAACGCTTTTGTGATTCAAGTCTTTGAATGTGATTTTCATGGTGTTCTGACAGTCTTTGATGAATACTTTTTTGTTGATCCATCAATTCCGTTTGAGCGGAAATTGGTGACGTACTCAAAGATCTTTTGAATCGATTGTGCAATTCGAGTTGTGAATATTCGCTCAATCTTAAAGCTCTCTGAATGTCAGCATGTGTCGTCGTAAATTTCGGTGACTTCTGTTGATGTGTAAAGCCATAGTCACTTAATGGACTCAAAGGTGCTTCCGAACCTTCACTATCTTGCGAGAAGTGAATCGGTGATTTATTTTTATTCCGATTGCCGACGATCGAGTCGATCGAAAAACCAATTTTAGGCTTGGTACTTGGAGACATTGTCATCATGGGTGCCGAAGGCATCATTATAGTTTATTTTTTTATATTCAAGTTAATGATCTGTGAAATTCTTTTATTTTTTGTTTTCTTTCTTAAATGATATCAATAAATATCATTAACTTTCCGAGTCACTTCTTCCTTGATCTTTCTTTCTTCTTTTCAAAAATTTTTATTCTTCTTTTCTTATCAAAAAAATTTTTATTTTATTTTTTCTCCCTTCACTTCAATCAACTTTAATTTTTATTACAATTCCACAATCTATTTAAAGAGCATAATTAAATCATATTAGTGGTTCAATTAATCGCGTCACACACAACACATTAAAAAAATATCAGAAGAGTAATACGAACAACGGACTAACGTGCACGAATGCCAAACGACTTTTGAGTGCTTCACTTCGAACAGACTCGATCGACTCTTTTTTTTCTCTCACGCAATCAAGTTTTTCTTTATTTCTTCCATTCCTTTTTCAGTCTCTCATTCGGTTGCTATGTACATAATATGTACAACATTAATCGCTATATAACCATACAGCAGTGCTATGGGGTGGAGCCAAGCTGTTGGTTTTACTTTTCATTTCTCATCTTTTTGTTTTCCAAGCACTTATGCTGCGATATAATAATATAATAGCTCACACTCAATGCTTAAACTCCACCCCGCAAGTCGAGAAAATGTTCATCAGCAAATTTTATTGTTTGCAATTATTATTGAGCTCCATAAGAAACTTTTAATGCGATCATTAAAGCAATTTAGTTTCTTATTCTTCTCGACTTATTTTTTTTTGTTCATCATTTTGTTGAAACTCTCTTAAAGAAAATTATGTGTATATAGAAGTAGAAACCTCGAGATGTGTATTTATGGATGTTCAAGTTGAGATGGAATTTTATGTCGAGCAAGAAAATGTTTTCGCCTTTTACTGAAATATTATGGTGGAAAGGAAAACGATGTTTTTGCTTTCACTCACATTCATAAGATGTTTTGTGAATAATTTCTTTCATGACAAAAGGAAATAAAAGTCTTTCTTTCTCAGGAACTTGCTTTCATCATTCCATTAAGGCTGTTTACGTAGTTGATAAAGTTTATGCTGATGGAGGCAAAGGAATGTTTTAATTAAGTTTAATTTATAAACTGTACGCTTCTTAATTGAATGGAAGGAGAGAAGGAATAAAAGGCGCTTCAAGGAAACAACGGTTCCTAGTAATAATAATGATTGAACATGAAGGAAACAATTTCGATTCGATTATTATCGAAAATTCTTCCTTTTCTAAAAGCAAAATTTTTGCACCTTGACGCAATGCCAATTGTGGTAAACGGCACACGTTGTCTTGTCTTTAACATGAATATTATCATTGCATCAGCAGACCCTTAAGAAAGATGAAAAAAACATCAATTTTGAGTGTCAGGATAACAAGAAGAAACACTCTGGAAATTCTCCAAGGAACGTACGTCAAATGAGAAAAAAGAATGAAAATTTCATCCCGAGGTCATAATTCATGTTGAAATAAACATACATAAGCACAGATGGCTCTCATGAAATTGAAATCAAATTAATTTCCATGGCTCTCAATGCTATTATTTGAATTGTCCACATTATAAAAAGCGTTCAAAATCGATCTTTTGTCGATGCGATGTTAAAAAGCAAGAATAGAAACAAGCATCAAGCCTAAAAGTCATTGTGAGATTCAAAAGAAAAGCAACATCATCCAAATCCAAAGCTTCGATTAAGAAGAAATTTGTTAAAGTTTTTATCTGAAAGAAAAATCAATTTTCGTCTTGTTTATAAACTCATAAAATATTTTTATTTTTTCTCAACGATGCAGGTAATCAGGCGAAACGTTTCGTTTGTCATTTTTAAGTGGTTTTCTTGTATTGATTCCATTATTCGCATAAAAAGGCTAAACATTGTCCTCGTTGTAATGCTGAACCTTTGTTTATTTAATAAGAATTAGATAGAGAATATTTGACAAAGAACGGGCATCTTCCTTCAAAGCCATATCGTTGCTAAATAATTGATCTTTTGTCCAGGAAAAAACTTTTGTGTCATTTGACAATGAACCAAACAATCGACACAATAAAGTCAATCTTTATGACCATATTTTAACACATTTTGTTCTCAAAATGATTTGCGAAAATAGAAATCAAATCTCAAGTAGCTTCTTTGACTCCTAAGAGTACAATAAAAATTAATTTCGTTTTCAAAAAATAAAATAAAAGCAAGAAAATGTTTTTCTGTAGAACGCCACAAGACATCTAAAGTCATCGTGCAATATAAGAGTGCCAATATATCAAAAGAATCTTCTAATAAAGCCTTCAAGCATTTTATTAATTCTTACACATCGTCGTAAAAATCATGCACATGAAAATTATCTGAAAATTGAACATAATTTTACACACTACCCACACTCAATTGAAGAAATGCAAAAGAGCGAAACATGCAAAAATTATTAACAACAAATAGTTGCTGCATGCGTGATGCCTTCATTTTTTCCACTATGCACCATCAACAAAGGCTCCAAAAGCGTTAACAAGCGAATGATTATTTGCCGGGTATCAAATCTGATCGCATATCTTCCTTTTTTTTTATTATAACTCGCGTTAATGGTGTGAGAAGCAAATAAAATTGTGAAAACAGCTCTTATGCGTTTCGACGGTTATGTTGATATATGATTAAATAAATATGTATGAAATTTATGAATGTGCAAATCATAAATAAAATAACAAACAGTGCTTCAAACGGAGCTCAGTGAGTTAAAGATGAGAATTGTATGCACGAGAAGAGAAGTCGAAACTGCTGATTCGAGTGCATGTAAATACATGATACGAGCGAGAAAAGTTATTAATAAAAAATGAGATTGAATTTTCCTTTTGCTTGCCTTTTAACAAATCTTTCCTCACCAACTTCGTGTTCTTGTTATCGTTATGTTATGGATTTTTTATTGCAAAAAATTTCATGGTTGAACGTTTGGATTTAAGCTTGGATTGGGAAGAAGCATAAAAATTGCGCACCTTCGCTTATACCGATATTGAAACATAATTTAATGAACAATAATTTTGAGTTATTGTAAGTGAGCTATATTTAAGGCTTTTAAATGAAATGTTTTCATTTGAAAGTCTTAAAATTATATATCTTCAGTACTCTTGTTTTCTCGTTCATTGCTTCATATCGTGATATAATCAAATGGACGGTGAGTAACTTAAATACTTACACTGAGTAAATGAGATGGCGAGAAAAAAATGTTTTCATAGGTCAAAGAACAGCAAATTTCTTCACCTCAAAAAATAAACAAATCCGTTTTAAAGGTTTTATTACCTTTCTTGACACACCACATTTTGGTTACATAATAAAACTTAGATTTTATTATGTGGTCGTTACAAACGACATGAGGGTGAAAAATAAATGCTTAATTGGTGATGAAATGTTAATTTGGATGAAAAGGAAGACGATACAATCTAAATATTTTTATTCTTCTCTTTTATTCACTGTCGTGAGTTTTCGTCGTGGGCTTCATTTGTATTTGGTAGTAACGCTTAGATTTGTTTTAAGAATATAAACTCCATCATTAATATTCAAAGTTTTGTAAGTCATAAATACTCAGAAAAATATTATCAACACTTCATTTTATTACAAGTTACAACATTAAATAATTCTTAACAAATCAGTTACTTAACCTTTGAAATCTCCCCCTCAATCTACATAAATTTGAGTCTAATAGTTAATGATTCCTCAAGCGATTTTATCAAATCTCACGAAAATTAAATCATTGAATAATCGAGAGTAGATAAAATATCGGTTTAATGAGTCGTGACATTGAGTTCAACTATCGTTTCCCAAATTTCAAGGCAATTATCTTCTTTCCATTTCCAAAAAATGTCTTTCTTCCCCTTCTCGAATTAAGTATTTTATAAATGTCACTCAACGTTAATCACAACCGTTTTTCATCGTTTATATCTGTTCATGAAGAAGGAATGCTCAACTTTTGATTGCAGCTTTTAAATGCGATGAACAAGGAGGGATGATTTCATGAACCTCCATCATATAATTAATCGCTTGTTTGTTCAGGCTATCATCTGCGCATTAAGAGAATACGCAAGGGACAAAAGATACACAATGACAATTGTGTTATTCATCCATTTTCCTTCTAACTACTGTATGATTACATGGTGAATCATTTTATTTTATTTTCGGGGTTGTACATTTACCCAAAGCACTCAGAAAATTGTCTTAAATTCTTCTTTTTTTTCAGAGAACACACAGATGGTTATGAAATCATTTTTGCACATCGAAATCAATTAAAACATTGGTCATAAGTCAAAGAAATAAAATTATTTTGACTAACATTAATTAAAATGTAAAATGAGTTTAAAAAATAATTTTACGACTTTTTAATGATCATTCAAGACGAAACAGAGTTGAGATTGATAAGAGAAAAGTTTTTGAGCTGGTCAGAGCAGTAATGATTTGATCACAGAGTAGTATCAGCAGTATTTATATTTATTAATGACTATCAGAGCAAGTACATCGTAAAACAGTTTATTAACGAGTAAGCATGAACAGGGCAGCTATAAAAACATTATCAAGTGGTGTCGCAACAGATATTCCAATAAATTGACTTTCAAAAAACCAAACTAGCATGTAATTCAATCGCGAGAAATTTGTAGACATTTGGATAGTTCAAGTATCGGCTTTCAACTGACATAGTTGAAGAAACATTTCGAACAATTATGTTTTGAGGCTTCCTATAAACACTTTAACATTTCTCCATGTTCATAACTAACCAGTGAACATGCTGTTTAATCATTTGTAAAATTTATAAGATCGTGTTCTCAACAACAGCATTTTGAAAAGTAAACACAAATATTCAGCATGGGAAAATGGTCGATCATAATTTCTAAATTGAAAGAATTCAACTGAAAAAGAATGTTTTATGGAGAAATGGAATTCTTAAAGGTTCTTTCTATTGCATGGGAGGTCTGTGGTTTGTATCGATCCCTTTTATGCTTGTTTGACTCTTACGTCAATTTGGTTTAGCAAGGATCACAAGAAGATCTGTCGATGGTGATAAAGCCACTTTGAAATATCTTCTAAGAAAAGAATTGAAAACACTCAGAAAATTTAATTTCTTTCGAAAGTTTAAACATTGAAAATAAATTGTATTAATGAACTCTCGCACGATGTCTCTTAAAAAGTCTTTCGTCGCTTGTTTAAAACAAGAAAGTCATTAAATTAATAAGTCAAAATGTTCTTCTTGTGTCTCACGTCGCCTTCACAACACTCATTCTATTTTAAGATCAGACTCGACGAGAGTTCAGCAAACGCTTTGCCACAAGCTTGAAAAAATTTTAATTGAAATCGATCATCAACAGTTAAAAATTCTATAAATTGTAGCAGCTTATGAAAATCGAGAGAATTTATGGTTCCAGTAATTGCGATAATCAATTTAAATGAAATGCATTAAGAGTGTTAAGTCGAAAATTTTCTTCACACTTCCATTTCTTATTTCTTCTCTCGTTTTCTGAAACTATTTAAAGATTAATTTTAATGAAATATTTTTCAAAAGGGTTGTTGAATTTTTCTAACACATTTTTCTTCTTTCTCCTTTGATGTCATCAGCAAAAGTTTCCCAACGAAATATTTATGCGCAATCACGAGAAAATAAATAAAATTCGCGAATAAAATCGATTCGCTGATCAATTTTAATAAATTGCTTCAAAATAAAATATAAACATCAGTTGTGTCTTTAAAAGAAAATAAAATGAAATGAGAAAACATTTAATTAATTAAATCTGATACATGAAAAGGACGACGAGAACAAGTAATTTTGTCTGAAATAACATAATTTTTATACACACCTTAAGCAAAATCAAATTAATTAATTTCGCTTTAATTTATTCATTTTCAGGTTTTTCTTCTTTCTTTGTTTTAAGGAAAGCATAAGTTTCGTTAATTGGGATGCATTTAAAGTCTCTTTAAGCAGTTTTAAAACATCATGCAGAACAATTTGTGTATATTATGAAGCTGAGAATGGCCATAAAGGTTATCCCAGCTTGGCGTAGTCTCCCCAGGTGGATAAGAAAAAATAAAAAAAGAAGTTTTGTCGAGATGAGAATTGAATACCTGTTCGGATATTCAAATTTGTTGAAATGGGATTTTGATTAGCCTTTACGATTAAGATGTTCATGTTATTTACTCTTTTTTGCCTCATCAATGTTAAGGGCCAAGTTTCAAACTACTGCCTAATGTTATTATGCAAATTTTTAACTTAAAAAAAGGTTTTTCAATCTCACACATTCATATGATTAGAAATGTTGGCATTGTCAATATTTATGAGAAGGAAAAAGTTCGCAAGATATCAACTTTCAAAGGAATCGTTTGAATTATAAACACATTTCTTTATCAAAGCGAAAACACATTAAATAAAATTGACAATCTTATGATAAAGAATATAAAACTTGATATCGCACCTCTGAGAGCAATAACTTCGATTCGAAACGGTTTATTTTATTTTCGCAATTTTCATCGATGATGTTTGAAATTCGATATGTTTTCCTCTCAATTTCCTATCGAATGTGGGGAACAAATCACATCAATTTTTAAGACTTGATAATTTTGTTATGTGTTGGAGTCAATGTTCTTCTGTTCTTCTGGCATTCTTAAATCTTTTTTCATTCAATTCATATCGTTCTTCCCTTCTTACTGTCTTCATACTCATGCAGGTGTGAAATTAAGTTGCAAAAGATTTTCTGCAACATTGCTTCGTCTTTCAATATCTCGAAATGTGTTTGTTTTGTTTCTGCTGCTTATTTTTTTTTTGTTCTTGTTCTTGGGTAATTGCAATGATTTCAGATATTTTTCTTTCGCATTCCACTGATCTTCTGTTGTTTTCACACACTTTAAATTGAATCATAAACTCTTGTGTCGCTGAATTCTTTAAATAAATTTGTTTCTAAAAGGGATGAGGAAGATGAAGAAATTTTTCTCTCTTGGATATTCAATTATTTCACGTTTTCTTTCTTATCGAATGTTTGATGAATCTTTCATTTATACTTTGAAACGAATTTACTTCTGAACATTGTTTACAGTTGAGCAGAATGTGAAAATTTAATAATGATCTCATTAAGTGTTCAACTCATTTAAAAAGCACTGGAAGCTTTACATTTAAAATCTTTCCCAAGATCATTTATAATTATCGTTTAAATGATCATATCGAAAGATTTTAAACGATTGTAATTAAACTTTTTTTATTTTTGATGAATTAATTGTAGTTTTAAACCGCAAGAAGTTTTCTGTTCCAATTTGTTAAACTGTTTGAGAGTATCTTCAACTCAACCAATGAAATATTCACAATCTTGAGATGAAGAGATTAATGAGCCTGAAGATCTTCACTTGAACTTTGTTAATTGCGTAAAATAGCTTTCTCACTTTCCGAGAAAATCATAGTGGAACTTGTGTAGTGTTTAAAGAGATGATTAATGATAGAACAAAAACATTTCAATTTCAGACAAAAGATAATTACTTAAAATCAACATGATAACCGATCTTTGAGGAGTTGTTTAGCTTCATAAATAAATGTTACGAGTATGAAGATCTCTTCATCCATAATTTCGTGAGATTAGAAGCTTTGAATTAAGATTTAACTCGTGACGGCAACAAAGTGAAGATCTTTTTGTGTTCTCCATCACAAATAAAGCACTCCAGGGCGTCTTGAAAATAACAATTGCGTTAAAATGCATTTTAAACTCCTCACAAATCTGGTAAGCGATCGCTTTAGTAACAATGATACAAAATATTTGTTTACCGAACGAATTTTAATCGTATGTGGAATGCTAATTCATTTTTCACTGACATTGGCGCGATGCTTGTTAAATAAGTTTTTTTTTTTAAATTGGACAATAAACTACAATAAAATGAAGAATTTTATGTGTTGAATTCCGTTAGTAAATTATTTTTTATATCAATCAATATTTGAATATTCCCACATTTGAGGATGTTATGTCAAGAAAGAAATCAAGTTTGAATGAATTCGTATATCGACTTAATTAATTACAAAATATTATAACTAACATAACGATATCGCTCCACAGCACAACGTTTATAAGACCATAAAAAATATATGTAATGTAAATTAGCTGCTGAGTTTAATGTCCAATTAGACATCTTTTGGACATTTTCCTTTTTTCGTTCTCAGAAGAAACTTGAGGTGAATTATAATATCATATTTTATAGAATCACATATATTTAGTCAACTCTTGAAAGAATCAAATTACCACAAAATAATTTAACGAGAATCGTGTTTGGATATTTTTTCTTGTCGTGATAGAAGAATCTCTCTTAAATATTCTTTTTTTTTTCGAGGAATAAATGGCTATAAAATTCGTTGTTGAATCAATTTAATTAAATTAATATACATTTTGAATTTTTAAACACCTCGTAAAGTGAAGATTGAACTAAAGAAGTTATTCTGATAATTTATTTCGTTTTCTTTCATCCCATAAAAACCATGTTGGCAGACGAAAAGTATTTGATGTCGTCGCTTTCAATCTCATCTCTCTTTGTAAGTATCAACTCAAAATGAGATGAAGAAAACATTCATTTTATTTATTTGATTTGAAACGTTAAACTTCTCATAAAATGAAATTTATTGTTGCAAATATTTTTCTTCATCTCTGATTTCTGTGGGAAATGAAATCAAAATAATATGACAATATGCTGTTCAGCGGTGTCACATGGAAGTGTAAAAGTAGCTTTTGATTTGATTTGTTTTTGACTTCAAACAGCTTTAAATGAGAAACTGGTTAATCCTTTCGAACAATGGTTTGTCTTTTTAAAAGCATATTTAGCACTCAACATAAACTTATAGAACTTACCGAAGGACTTAAGCATTTTTCAATAGACTTTTGACGTTCGGGAAACGATCAAGAAATGCCATTGTTGTCGACAATGGGACAGAAGCACTCGAAAACTAACACAAAAAATAAAAACTATTCAGGTTAAATTTGAAAGAAAATTTCCAATAATTTATAAATGCCTGCAAATCTTCAAAACCATTCACTCATAACAAGATTTAAATTAACTTTGGATCTCATGTGCCCTGTTTGTTCACTTTGCTATGAAAAGAATAATTCTACCGTATCAATTTCAACCATTTCACATCAATGAATCAATCTTAATGTCAGACGAAACTTTATTTAGGAAAAAAATGAGACCTTTTCAAATCAAGAAATGGAAAGACTGAAACAATTTATATGACGTACTAATAACATCTCTCAACAGAAACAACAAAATATTTTGGTGATTAACTATCGATTGAAATGGGATTTAATGTGTTTGAGCATTTCAAAAGTGTCTAACTTTGTAATCTGTTGAAAAGATCGTCAAGCAGTGAAGAGAGAAAGACATGAAACCAGAATCATTGATGAACAACGAAAACTCAAACCAACGAACAGTCTAAAAGTTAAACTCCAAATCATTATTAATAAATGTTTGATATCAAAGTGAGACGATCGTATGGAGATTTCAATGTCTTCCTCTTTAACATGTTACTTTTATTGCTTTTGACATTTCCACTGAATATTTTTATTATGATGGTTAATCAGTTAGCTGCTCGTATATACAAATGTAAGTAGATGAAATATCATACTCATAAATTAATAAAATTAAGTTTTCAAACACATGAAGTTGAAGTTTGCGTAGCTGAGCTGCGTCTCGGGACGTGTCGTTAATTCCTTGATATATTCAATGAGTTGAAAATCAACAGATTTTTTTTTTCTTATTGTTTCAATAAATATCATATAAATTCATTGATACATCAACGAACAAGTTTCTCTGGTCTTTGTTTGGATTAGTTTAGATGTTTTGTGTCCAACTGGAAGTGATTGATTTGATTATCTAAATCACTTCAAAAGTTTCACATTCGTTATTAACTTTTAATTGTATTTAATTATACGAACGATGTCTACATCAGGAAATGAGTTTGTAATATTTTTCAGCGATCTTTCGTCGCCATAATCAGTCATGATTTAAATATCAAAAAAATATCTTCAATGATATTAACGAAAAATAAAAAGAAAGACAACAAACCAAACTTCATTGACTTTTAATAGCGACACTAGTGAGTGACTGTTAATCGTAGAAAGTTTACAAATGAATGTCGTTGAAGTTATGACGAAGTTACACCTTTCAAAACACGTGATAGTGATATTTAAATGTTTATGTTTCATGGGCTTTTATGGTAATCAAGGAAAGAAGTAATAACTGAACGCAACAACATTAATAAAATCAAGATAATTTTTTTATTGCTTACTCGTAAGGCATTTTTTTTTTCTCTATTTTTATAACGTTTGTCAGGTTTTTATTAGTATTCTATGACTACAACGGGCGTCGTCTTCGGACCTCATTCTCAGTAGCATCGTGTAAACGCTTCATTACCGTTTCGAAGACTTTATTTAAAATGGCTCAGCCTTCTCGGAATAGGACTGTAAAATATTTATCTGCTTTAAATGCTAGTATATTAAAGAATATAATTGAAATATGTGCTGAGAATATTTAATAAGTGTAATCATGAACAGCAAATCCATCCGACAGTATGTGAATGCAAATATTTTTTTTTATTATTTATTTCATAAAAAAATTTGCTTGTTGTACGACAACGAAACAACCGCGTGTTTGTTGCATTCTCTCATGCTAACTAATTGAGTCATAACTTCATCAGAGGGAAGTTTAAAAAGATTCACATGAAAGATAAACCAGCAAACCTGTAAAATTCTTTCTCATCTCATTTCACATCTTTCAAAAGTTCATTTAATTCAATGTTCACTATGGAGAAGAAAGAAAGTCAAATATTAAAACAAACATATTAGATTATAATAAACGGATGAATTAAGACGTAACGTTTCTTAACATTTTCTTGCTCAGCATGATTTCAAGCCTCCCTGCAGCTCTAGCAATAACTTACATTTAAGATATTTTTGACACTTGTTGGGATAGATAACAAAAGCACATTTTGGAAGTCAATGGATAACAGCGGTAGTGGAGCGAACTTCAAAATTTCTGTTATAAGAAAATCGTGCATTGAACATTCTTTTATCATCACGCCACAAAATGCCATGTTGTAATCAAAACTTCAAATCTTTATGCTCGCATTTTTTCAAGCATTTGAATGCGAGAAGTCAGAGAGGAAAGAAATGATTCGACAAACATATTTAGTTCTCTGTTAAAGGTGATGAATCTGCAAGCATAAACATAACGCTATTAATGATTAGGATAAATACGAATTTTAATTTATAATTTCCGTCTGATATATGAAGAAAACCAATGCGCACTCACAGAACAAACAATCGATAAAATTATTAATGATGTTACGGTTTCATCACATTGTTCATACTTATCCATAAGAATTCTCAATCGAATTAATTCTTATATGAGTTTGAATATTTCTTTCTCTGATCATTCTTTATTTTTTGCTTTGCTTTGCAACATTCTCGAGCATTTTTTTCAATTAGATTCTTCTCAATTTTGCTTTGGAAACTTCTTCAGTTTCATTTCCATTTTCAACATGCATTCGCGATTGTTAAAAGACTTTTACATAAATAAATTTAACTCATGCACAAAACTTGGTGTATGCATAAGGCATTCTTCTTGCAGCTTTAATTTGATTCAGTGGCGTTGAGAAAACCTTGTTAAAATGCAATTTATTTATACAAATTACTGGAAACACTACAAGAGAAAAATATGCCGCATGTGTATTGAATTGAACGTTGTATAAAATAAGTTGTGGCACTAAGAAATACTGAAAAAAAATTAATTTTTGTTTAGAAAATAGAATAAATGTAGATAAGGAGCTGTTGATAATTTTATGATGAGTGAAACGAGGGTAATTCAGTCATAACTTCAAAATTTAAACGACCTAATGACCACCAATCACAATCTTTAATCATCGAGCTTCCATTATCCTTTGCCTCGAATTTTATAAGCAATTTTTTCGTTCTGAAAGACTATTAATTTTCATTCCAAATAAACGACGCCAGTTAATTGATGATAATGATATTCAATGAAATTGCCGTAGTTAATGGAGCAAAACAAGAACTGAGAATTAAGTCAAGTATCAAAACCCTTTTCAACTCATAAATGGATCTAATGATCGTTAATTTTATATCTTTTAAAAAACATCATTTTATTTGTAGAAAAGCGTGTTTCATGTGTCTTCGTAATGCCTTCATTCTAGATGTTCAATAAAATATAAAAGAATTTTATTCAAAGTCGACCTGAAAAAGTTTCTTTGTGAGAATTTAAATCGAACATTTTTTTTAAACATCATTTTGTGATCGTGTCTGACTTCGTAAACGTTTAATAACAATTTGGAAGTAAATTTTGTATAATTATTCTTTTAATAAATTACCTTCAACAACAAACACGCGATGGATATTCATGCTAACACTGCTCTGATTTGTTTATGCTTTCCATTTTGAGAATGTTTTGGGGCTACACATGTTAAGTTGATCTCTTATCTAATTTCATAGACATGTTGTAATTAACTATGTTAATTTGTTCCACTCTGCCTTACTGATTCCAACTTAGCACACTTTACATGAGAAGGGTTGATTACTTATCATTTCATTTCATTATACTGCAGTATAAAAAAACTGTTTTAAGTTTAAGGCTGTTTTGAGCATCAATCATAAACCCGATTATCAAGTGAATATGTGCTGTTAACAATGCAATTTGCATTTATGCACTCCGGCACTATTGGCACGATGTATGTACAACGTTCATATCTACATACTTTCATAAGGTGAAGAAAGGAAAATTGAAAGACAACGATGAGAAGATGGGAAGAGAAAGATACATTTTCAAGTTAAAAACCTACAAAAACTCTTGAGAAGAATTTATAACCCATTAAGCGAAAGATAATATGTCTTCACCCAATTATCTTTTAACAAAATTATGTTTGCAAATATAAACTCAATAAATAAATATTTTCGTATGTTCATGAGTTTATTAACATTTATGTTGTGTTGCTTGTTGAGTTGCTTAAGATGAAATGAATTGTGTTTTTGAGGGTATGGAAGGAATCAAGAAAGGGCTTTAATTTACTGGGAAGAAATTAAATTAAGTCACGAAGAAATGTTGCTTATTAAAAAGAAATTAAAATTGAGAATCTTGTAACATCACTGATTGAATCTTCCACTGTTTTCATACAGAACTAACCATAAACAGAATAAAAATCTTTAAAGAACTCAAAACGTATAATTAGCGATACTTCAGCTTCACTTTTTTAAAACAACTCTCTCAATCTTTAAAAGTAGAATTCTAGCATGATCATTTCATTGTCTTGGCTTTTGATACTCCTTACAATTAAGAGTAATTTGCACTTTTAATTGATACGATCTTGTGCCTTTTCTCCGTCTTAAACTCTTTCGAATTGCATATTTCATATATAAACCAATTTTCATTTTAACCGCAAATTATATGTCGGTGTTAATTGAATTTCAATTTAATGACTTTGCTCTGATTTCTGAGTGGAAAAATATTGCACGATTAATATTTGGCACCTTGTGTGCTCATATCGTTTCGAGCTGAAAATAAGAGATAAGTTAGAAAGATTAGATAAAAAGGAAATAGCCCATAAATTAATATTTCAAAATTAGAACAAACTGAACACCGAAATGCAGAAGTGGATTTTAACGATGCAATTGATTTGATTCATTTCCAAGCCCCCAATCATCTCTGCATGCCGAAAATACTTTATCGAAAGAACCTTAAGAATTATTATTAACAAGCAATTTATTTTTCATTTAATATATTTGATCAGACTCAATATATTTATATGTATGAACTTTTAGTTTAAAGTGTTTTCACGAGATCGTAAATAATTTTTCAACATCGCTGCCTCATTCATTCATTATTCTCGATTATACATTTTTCCGCTTCTCTCTCCAAGCGCGTTCGTCTCAAGCTCTCCAAAAAAGAAAGAAAAAAAGTTTATTTTTGTTTTTCTTTCCCGCCTCGGGCGCTGTTCGTTTAATAAATTAAAGTATATATCAGCAAAGGAACCCCATTACCCATACCATTATTAAATTACAAATACTTTGCGATTCTGTTTATATTTCGATGTGGAGTGAGAAGACGAACGAAGTTTATTAAAATTTTTGTTTCTTTTTAAAGCAGTTCGGTATAAAGAAATCAAGCGGGTCGGGTGAAAACAAGGAATAAGAAAGACTGAGAGATGGAGATAAAAGCATGGAAATCTTTAATTATCAATCAAAGGCGTGGTTGTGTTATTTTCAGTTTGTTAAATATGTTTGTATGATGATCTTTAGTGTAATATATAGCTTTGAATAAGATATAATTAAATTATATATTACAAAGCTGTTTAGCAATCTGAAAGTTTAATTTTCTCCACAGTGCCACCTTTTTAAAGTAAATATTCTTCATCGCACCATACATAAATATAAATGTAAGACGATGAGCGCAATGGAGTGAAATTATAAACGACTATGACCTATGGGGCATGAATTATTATTATGGGGCTGAACAATCGTTCATTTCTTCTCGCATTCACAAGTCGTTGTTTTGATATTTCAATTTAGTTTGTTAAGCTTATTTGTTTTCTCCATTGTAATTAGAGTTGTGTATACGTTTTGGGTGTTTGAAGCACTCAAAATCCTTTAGAAGAATCCATAGAAGAATATGGAAGGGCAGGAAATGTTTTGTGATTAAATACCTTATGGTTGATCATAAATAATCAGCGTGACAATACACAAACTGTCGTGATTAATGAATTAATTGAAGGTCGGAAATTGATTGAATTGAGAAGCTTTTCTTCTTCGTTTTATTTCTTATATCTCTCTAATAATTCTATTCAAGCTTAAAATGCTTCAAAAGGAAAATCAATTTGGTAAGAAAAAAAAGACTTGAGATTAATCACCGATGCAGGATGAATACAACAATTGAATCTATTCTGACTTATATTGATGATCATCATAATCGGTTTTTGTTGAGCGACTATTTGATTATTCGTTCTTTTAAATCGCGTGCAGCGCGTTCTAAATTGATCAAATTACGAAAGGAAATTGTGATAAACGAATGGTGTAATTACGGGTGTTTATGTATGAGAGTTAGCGTTCAATCAATAAATAAAAGGTGCTCCAGGTCGATTAATATATGTGTAAAGTTTCTTTTGAATATTTGTAATACTTTTGATTTATGTAACTCGTTGACTCTGATTAGATATTTAAATGTTGAATGATAAATTTAGTGTAGAGATTGATCCAATTGTATGTAGAATTTTGTTTCCATTAAAAACCGACTAATTATAAAGTCACTGACCATTCCAATGATCATTTATAGTCGGTAATCTTAAAAGCAAACAAATGAAACTTTGATTTAAATAAAAAAGCAGTTCAATGATGTTTCAGTACAATCACAATACCCACGAGCGAGCTTCAATTACCATTAAAGCGACTAAGTATACGAAATTTCATTATTATCAAGACATTGTTGGAATTGTGATAAGCTGGTAAAGAAATTTTGAGTTCTTAGAAATATTTTTTACACAAATGGAATAATAAAAACTCTTTTACTTTGTTTCTCATTGTTTCTTTTCCCTTCTTTTTTTTTCATCAGAAAAAAAAGTTTTTTATTATTCAAATGTCGTTTTGGAACTAATTTAATGTTAACATAAGCTGCATGAACGAATGGAAGGATTCTATTAAATTATGAGCTTGATAGAAATCTTCAAAGAACATTGATGTGACTTTGTTTCAAATGAAATGGACAAGAAGTTTAAAAGATGTTCGTGCAATATCATATGAAAATTAAACTCATAAATTTCCATGTGAAACTTTTTTTTGGCACAAAAATTTATTTACTTAAACATTCCCGTTGAATATCTGCCATGAAAAACAACAAAAAAAAAAGTGAAAAGAGAACTGCCGACAAAAGAACTGCATGCAATATTTTTCTTTTACAATTTCAAATCAATTTTTATTTATTGTACAATTTACTATCACATTAAAATATTTAATTTTCACTGTAAACATTTTCTATCCATTTAAATGAAATAAATATAAACTTATGAATCATTCTTTAGTTTCCTTCTGTTCATGTAACGAATTTAACGGTAAAGGTCGCAATAGCAGTTTGTAATTACACGAACATGAATATGTTTCACACTAATTTCATTGCAGTTTTGCCAAACAACAACATAAAACAAAAGGAAACTTTACAGAAGAAGGAAGGTTGGAAGATATGTGAATTGACAGATACCGTAATTATGTACACAATTTAACTCTTGCGATTACCTTATACATATGCGGTAAAGTAATCACGCACCTTCGTTTCCATTCATCATTGTCTTCTCTCAGCCGCACAGCAGAGAGCGATTGCATTTATTCACAATTGCGAAACTTGATGCCTTTTCAATTTATACGTTGCTGCTGATGCTGCTGCTGCTCAATCAGTAAAATGTATCTTCATAATGAGCGCAATTTTGTGCTAAAACGAATGTCAATTCAACGGCAAATCAATTTCAATTTTCGTTTGTTTTTCGAACTGCAAGTTCTTCACTATTTATGGTCGCGTCTTTGACATTCCTTAAATCTCTTTTCTGTTCTTGTATTTTTCTTTCTTTTTTATGCGAGTATGTAAAGCAAAAGGTAAAATGTTTGTCTTCAATCAAAAGCAGTTGTAAAATTACTTTTGATAGAATAATTTTCATGCCACATTGTCTTCGTCTTCTTCCTCGATATCAATCTCGTCGTCCATCATTTCACCATCGTCAGAGTCGAAATTCTTTGGGCTTCCGGTTGATTTGTTACCAGACTTTGAATCGCCATCTTCTTGTTGCATCCTTTTATGTTTCGTGCGACGATTTTGAAACCAAACTTTTACCTGATCATTTCAAATGAAAGAAGAAAAGGGTTAAAGAGTTTTATTAATTAAATTTTGAATTAAAATAATTATTAAGGGATTGAAAATTTATGTTTCCTTGTGTTGAATGTCATTTTATTTGAAACAAATCATCGAGCCATAAATGACATGAAACATAAAAGTTTATGCATTACAGATAAATCCATTAAGAAAGAGTTTACATAGCCATTGTCAACACTGTCTGGTTGTTCGTTTCTATTCGTCGTATCGTGTCATATAGCGTTGTTTATTTGCAAATGACAAACAAAACAAGCATGGCAAATTATAATTTATCTTTTCCAATCTCATTCGTTGCTCGAATGATGTTTGTAAAACTCTCAAAACAAATTTTATAAGAAGCTTTATTGGGGGATATTCAAAATGATTTTTCATGATCAAATCGCAACGATATTGATTCTGATTGCTTTATCAATTCAATTACGCATTCATTTTGATGTTTAACAAAATGAAATTTAAATTAATTTTTCGTTTCTTTTTCAGCCACTAAATATCGTGATAAAAAGCTTTTTAAAAGCACTTTCAGAAGGGTGAAAATCGCGTGTATTAATTTCATAAATCATTTTATTTAATTGCATTTAATATCCAACAATGTTGCCTAAGGTGATGTGTGTGTAGATATTTATATTGCCTGCTTTATAACCTGCTGATATTGATAGTTTCTACGTGATATTGATTTCTTGCATAACTAATTTCGCGACCAGACTGCAAAACTTTTTTTTATTTTAAATAGAAATCTTAAATTCATCATTCAAATGAAGCTTCTGGAATTGTTTCTTAACATTTTCGAAGCATTTTTATTAACGTTCACATTAAAATTGAGAAAAAAATTTAAATTCCATTAATTTGCATAATTTTTCCCACTCTTAGTATCATAAAAAAGATAATAAATATGACATCCAATTGGTGAAAAGAGATAATTAAGAAATGGTTTGGTTCACTCGTAAAAAAAAGCTTTATAGATATCATTTCAAATCGAAACAGGTTTTACATCTGGAAATTTAATTCCGAAGGGTTTCTCTTTATCTCTGACGTTTCCTTAAATATTTTAAATGGCTGATCCGGTATTACAAAAGTTAATAATCTCGCCAGTGTTTAAAATGAGTTTAAAAATATGAGAAGATAAAATGTTGTATTGGTTATGTCTGGGAAACATCTTGGAATGATGTAAAGCTTCAAGCGATACAATTCTTACGAACTTTCTTTTAACATTCATAAAAAATGTGACATGCTGTTAAGAATTCTCACTTTTCAACATTTCGGAGCATAAATCATTGGCCGTTTAGTAATGCGAATACAATAATTATTTCATAAATTCTTCTCTTTCTCGATGCCTGCTCGAAAAATTTCAACATTCACGAAATGTGTTAAATTTACAGTGTGAACATTAATTTCTGTTATTTCAGTCGAGTGTTATAGCCAAATGAATGTGAAGCGATTTGTTCGAAAGTCTTTTTATGTATCAATATTTTCGTGTTCGAATAAACTGCGTTCATTCATTTCTCTGTTGGTCCGTGGTATTAACACTCAAAGATTGCCATCGCCAAACATTGAAGAACATAAATCAACATCGTTTACCTTCACTTATGTTTGAATCTCAGTGAAGCATTCCGGAATATGCGCAAATTATCAACTTAAAAACATACATAAAAAATGATGAAAGTCTCGTAAGGAAAACCAATTATCTTAAACACCTTCTCATCCTCTTAAAGTGAGAATCATTTCCAAAGCGTCTTCAGTTTTATTAGTACAAGGAGAAAAATCTTCGGATGAAACGTGCTGAATATCTTGCTCCACGCTAAGAGAGTGAACTAACATAAAAACGATAAAAATGTTGCGAGTAAAATAAATAAATTCCACCAACAGCATCAATTATCTCGTTTATTTGCGATCCAATTTAGTTAAAATGCTTTTTTTATGTTTTTATGCTTCGCTTTCAAGCACTTTGGAGTATAAGGTGATGAAGATTTTATGTATAAAAGGTTTGAATTTATTGAGCTGCGCATTTTCATCGTCATCCTCCATCATTTCTACAATTTTTTTTCTTCTCTCGATTTTCAACACCCAGCAATTTACCGCTTTGCGCGAGGGTATTTATTTTATGTATTATCTCGCCACCCCCTCTCGCACATCACTTAATTCTCTTCAATTTTTTTCTCTTTGTTTGGCTAAGCTCAATTTGCTGTTGATGGCGACCATAGAGAGTCGAAGTAAGACAACATGTAATGCAATAACATTTATGTCAATAATTACACATCTCACACAACTCTCGACACGTCGTCTTCCATCCCATCAACTAATCAGATTTTTCTCCAGAGACTTTTTCTCTTAAAAACATTCTCATCATCATCGGTCCTTATGTTCCTTTCTCGCTTAACAAGATCTTTTAATTTATTTCGTTACATGTCAGAGTTCCCAGCTTTACTTTACGTTTCCATTTAATATAAATTGACAGATATTGCTTTGAGTCTATTAAGCTTTCTCTCTTTCCTTAGATAAGCAAATAAATATCTCACCCTTAGAAAGTGTTTTGTTCGTTCGATTCAACGATGATTCCTGCTGATCTAACAGCATCAAATCTCATCTGCGATATTAAAATGGAAATCATAAAAAAGAACCAACGAGAAAAGAACAAGAAAAGACGAGTCAACCCCTCACATAATCAGATTGTAGATCATAATTTTCTACATCTTCTCCCCATGAAGTATGATTTGAGTTGAAATTTATTCCAAAACGTGTAACATGAAAATGTGTATATATCATAACATTACACCCCTTAAAAAAGCACGAACGACATGAACTGAAATGGAACTCATAATTGGCTAATCCGGCTTCAATGAAATTTATGACGTGGAAAAGTGCTTTTGGTATAAATTTGGCTCGATGATTTTTTTATTATTATACTTATTGCCATTGTTCACAACTTTTTTGTATTCATTTTTCATTCTCTCCCTCTTTGTAAACTGAGAGGACTCTGAGGATTGTTTACATAGGATAACGATGTCGACGCCATTTTCTCACCCAAAAAGAAGTCGCGTTTAAGGATGAAAATTGTCGACAAATGAAATAATTAGTTTTCATTTGAATTTGATACTTTTTTTCTATAAAAAATTGAGGATTATGTCACATGTTTATGTGAGATGAAAGAAATAAAATATTTAATTAAGCAAACGAACAGGAAAGACATGAAAAACCAACATTATTACGCCAATGTGCGTTGCAATAAACATTTATGAATGAATGTTATAAATTCAAAGTGAAAGCTGATTTTATAATAATAATTAAATAGGAAACGATTAGAAACGACAAATAGCAATTAATTTGAGTTTGTTTTGCTATAAGTTGAAGTGTTGCATGGAATTGTAATTTAATTAATAAGACATTTGTGTGCAAAATGAAATTCTCAAGCTTCCATTTTCCAGTTAATTGTTCAGCTTTGACGTTTGTAGGCTAATGCGATTAGTCGATTACTTGTATGCACATAGCATGCAGATAATTTCCAACGATCATCTACACTTACCTGAGTTTCTGTTAAGCTTAATTGCTGAGCTAATATCTTCCGTTCAGCGCCCACAACGTAATGATTCCCCTCAAAGGCATGCTCCAATTTTAGTAGTTGAGATGGTGAAAACGCTGTACGAACTCGCTTTGGCTTTCGAAACGGTTGAAGAAGGAAATCTGGAAAAGCTGAAGTTGAACGATTACAATGTAAATATTTTCGTCCCTCCAAGTGCAATTCATAAGATTTTTGGCGTATAAATTATTAGCATAACATGCTTGACTGGTTATGCGAATGTAAATAATAAAACATTTTTGCACAAAATTATTTTAAATGACTCGTCGGACGATAGAAGTCAAGCATAATTGATCAGCCACCCATGAATAATAAATAATTCTTCATGAACTTCATTACACGATCAACGCATGTACAATGATGCATAATTATGATAAAAATAATTTTTTACTGCTCTTAATATTTTGCTTTTGTCGTTCCAGTAAAATATACTTACATGAAAAACCTCATAAATTTAATCACATTGATTAAAATTCTTAAACTTTGATCTCATTTTCTTGAAAAAGGAGATCAAAAGTCATGTTTAAGTATTTAATCAAGTCGACAACTTCAACTTTTATTACCACTGATAATCGATTGTTAGTTCTTACCATGCTTACATTCAACTAATTAATGCCTACAGATAAAAAAGCAATCAATAAACGATGATTTAAGATCTCAATTAAGTGTTGAATGGCAATGTTTTATTTTTTTATAATTGCGCATTTTAAAAAAGTGAGAAAGAGTATGAAAAAAAAATGAATTTATAAAAATTGCTAGCACTAACAACATGACCAACTCATATGCTTACTCGTTTCATCAATATCACGTACACTCGCTTTAATTAAAATATATTGATCCTACTTGTGATGTACGTAAATATTCATTCGATGATGTTGAAGGTGCAGTAAATATGCGAGTATAAAAACTTGTTTGGTTAATGACGTCTAAGTGGCGTTGAATTATCAATTGATCATTTAAAACAAGTCACTATGTATAATTTATTTGTTTTGTGCAGTTAAACAGTCAAGCAGTCTCTAGATCTCTCAACTCTTGGTGGTAAAATTTACATAATTATCTCGATTTTTCAGTTAATTGGCATTGCTTTGAATGGTTATTTTTATCTCTTTTAAACTGGAAAATGAAGTTAAGATAATCATTTAAAAACATATTTTCATATTTTGCATTTTAAAACGTCACAACTTATTTAGCTTGGAGTCAGATTATAACAAACTATCAACATAAAATATGCTGCTGTTACTACTGCTTGTCAAAACTTATTAGAGATGTTATCACCTCGTTCCATAATTATCATCTCACAAATATCTTCGATGGAAATTGTCAAAGAGAAATGATAGACACATTGCAACATGTTATTACTTAATAGCTGCCAATTAGTCGATCATTTCATCAGCCACAGAACATTGAAAAGTTGGAACGTTCGTTAACACGAAGATAACAGTTAACGTCGCTTGCCAAAAACATAATGCATGTTTATATCGGTGAGAAGAGTTGGTAAATGGCGACATGATTAAGATAATGATGATAAATATATGCGTAAGGTAATTTTTCAGCGTTTTTTTGGACAGCGTTAACATCACTAAAGTTAAAGGACGCTCAACCTAAGCACATCCTAATTAAACGCTTTTAAGTAGGCATGGCATGTTTCTGAATGTAGAATTTGAGGGAAACATATTTTTAAATTATGTCCATTAGTGTATCGCTGCATAAAATTTAATTTATTTATGTACTCGCTTGTTTCGTTTATTAAAAAATAAAAATTATCATATTTAATGTTTAATTGTGTAATAAATGCCATGACAGATGAAAGAGTAAAGTGGAATGATAATGAGAAAGATGAAGTCAGGAAGGATGTTACAACAATTGAATCTTTCCGTGTCATCCGCCAGTTTCTCTAATTTACATTTTTTTTATCTTCATTCAACTTTTGATTTGCATGATGTTGTCAGGGCTTACAGAAGTTCTTGTCATTCAAAGTAATAAAATAAAATTAAGGAATCTTTGTAATCCATTCATTGATCTACCAAACAAACAACAAGAACGATCACTCAAAGTTGCTACCAGACAGTAATTCATTATTTGGTAACTTCGTAAACTGTGTGCACAAATCTGATTGTTAAAGCGATTTAAATGCTGAATCTCAGAACGCGAATCCACCACACCTTTATATTTTGATTTTAAATTGTCTCTCTTAAGTGAATAATGAATAGGGTTGTAAAGTGAGACGATGCATGCAAAAGAGCTGAGTGAAATAATAAGCTCAAGATACTTATAAATTAATCGCCCACTCACCTATTAAATATCTATTCGAATCGACACTACCACACATTGCCAGTGACTTAGCTTTACCAAAGGCATTTTATCTGAATTTATTAAGTCACAATCGTAAATGAATGAAATTAATTTTCGCTTCAAGAAGTCGCTCAGTGGACACATAATTGTGAACTTAAGTTGTGAAGTTTATTTTTTATTCTACTGGTAATTAATCAATAGACAACAGACATTTTATTACTTGATGTTGAAAACTTTCTTTTCAATTCGCTGCATGTTTCATACCTTATTTTATTGTTTTTCTGCTTTGCTTTTGCTCTGTTCAGTGTTCACTGATTGAACAATAAAGTCATAAACTTTTACTTGAATTATATTGATTAGCTGGTGATTTAAACACGCGTTCATTGTCTTGGTATGGATATATTTATATACGTCATAATGAATGGAATAAAATATAAAATCGCTGCTACCTTCATCTTCACAAGTAGCGTGAGACAACAAAGTTTGATGGTCGACCAACCAACGAGATTATTACTAAATGAATGTCTTGAATATTCATTTTAATTTCTGATTAACTTCAGATTGACTTGTGATTAGAAGGGGATTAAATTTAATTAAAAATATTACTGCACGCTTGTCATTAGATGTGAAAATCGATTTGCTTTTGACACTTTTATGGTATGAAAATAATGATGACAGAAATGTAACGATAAAATGATATATCATACCAATAATCCTTCGCAAATGTAAGAAATATTAATTCTATATGATATAAGAAAGATTAAAGTAAACATAAACATATCAAATTTGTCTACAGATATTTTCCTTTTGGATTAACAATCAGCTTTAAAAAGAAATAAAAAAAAAATATTTATTTATCGAAAGTCCAAATTAAAAGACTGTCAAAAATAAATTATTTTAGATTTTGAAAGTCATTTTAATGCAGTTCAATTACAAAATAACAGAATGTTGAAAGTCAGCATGGGGTTGTATAAACAATGGAATTATTAAAAGGGGAATAAATAAAAAAGGAATGAAAAAATATTTTTTTTCGCACCAAACAAGAAAATCTATAAAAAGTGGAACACCGGAGGGAAGAAATTTTGGTTCGTAAGCAAATTGAATAATTTTTTTATTAAGTGCGATAATAAAGTGTCTGATGGATGGCTGATCAATTGAGCGATTCATTGTTCATGTTGAATTGGTATAAATAAACAAAATAAATGAAGAAGAAGAACTTTACTCACTTCCTGGGAATCGGTGCGGAAAAATTCGACCGTGACGACTCAAAAGCCATGGATAAAGAGGGTAGCTGTCTCGAGGCAAGTTTGGATTATGGAGATGAGGGAGATGATGTGGTGGCAGAGGTCCATTGAAGCCTGTTTGAGCTGCTTGTGCATGAACTAAAGCAGCAGCAGCTTGAAATTGCAGAAAGTGTGGATGTCCCGGCGGAAGATCTGTGTAGGGAGGTAATTGGTGACTGTGAGGTGGTCCTATCAACGAAGGTCGATTCATCATTCCGGCGGGAATGCCTGGAACCATAATTGGAGGTCTTGAATTTTGAGGTGACGGCGTTCTTGTCGGTGACGCTTTAAATTCTCGATTATTATTTTGCACATCTTGGTCACTTGATTCAGACAGTCTCGTAATTAAAGATTTATTTTCAACTTCAGCATTTTGTGGTGATGGAGTCAAAGTTTGTCGCGATCGTCGAATTATATGAGAATATTCACGTCGCAAATCAGTCGGCGATGTTGGCAATTTTGGTAAATTTTCATGCAACGCATCATTTGCATCATCATTATTTGAATCTTTTAAATTTTTTCCAACAATTGAATCAATTGAGAATCCAATTTTGGGTTTTGCAGTTGGTGGAGAAATCATCGTAATTGGTTGAGCCGAAGGCATCATTTTTTCATAGCAATTCACTTAACGTCTTAAGTTTTCCTTCTCTTTGTTTTTTTTTCTTCACAATATGTACTATTTAATTTAATTCACTAAATATTTATAAGATTCACTGATTATTTCGTTGTTATCTCTTAAATATTTCAATGTAAAATGTCATTCCGAGTCGAATTATGAATGATTTAATTAATTGATGATAATGACGCTTAATTTGTGTTCCTTAATTTAGTGATAATGAACGTGTGATGAGCGAGAGAGAGAAAATGTCGCTTTTTTTATTCAACTTGGCGAATACACGCAACCGAGACGCGCAAACGTTGAAGACAACTCGAGATATAATAAAAATTGAGAATTTATGGTGAGCTAATGAAGTGCCTCGAGAAATATTTGGGCGGATCGCATGTCAGAGTGAATTTCATTGGAAAATATTAACTCAACACTGGGCGGAGTCGTCGCTGCGCTTATGTACAAGCAAACGGGAGAAAGAGAGAAAGAAGGAGAGAAAATTCGCTCTGAAAATATTTCGAGTCAACATAAAAATATTTATTCAATTAAGAACATTTATCTAGATATTTATTTTATAGAATTATTTATTAATTAATTATTTCACGTTTCAAATTTAGGGACATAATTTTTTATTTATCAAAAATTTTAATTTTCTGTTATTTTCAATTTTATTTATTGAAGGAAGAAAAAAAGAAAAAATAGATTAAAATCATTTTGTTTTATTTGTTTGGAATCCTATAGATATAGATCAAGTTATTTAATAATTTCAGGGAATTTATTCAATGATAACAACTGACAATCTCAATGTTCGGTAAGGATTCAAAGAGTTTACAGAAAAAGTGCCAGAAATTCTTTCTACACTAAAATAATTTTTTTAATCTTCTTTCCATGGAATTTTCTTTACGTTATTGAAGCTGTACGAGTCAGAGCTTTAAATGTATTAATGTTGTAGCATAGGAATTATGATTATGCTATTGGAGTAAATTTCAATTCCATATAAAAGTTTCAAAGCTCCAATAAAAAATTTTTATGAAAATTTAGAAAGCAAGATAACTTTTCGTATTTTCTTCTTTAAACAATTAATTAAACAAATGGTAGGAGGTACAAAAATAATGATTTTGATACAACAAATCCGTCTAACTAGGAAATAATTTTTGACGACTGAAAACATTTCTTCATTCCTTTTCATATTGCGAGATTAAGCTAAACAAATTATGGAAAGTTTCAATGTTAATCGTAATATTTTGAAGATATAAGAATAATCTTTAAATAGTTTTAAATATTTTCCATTTCTGTTTGTCGTCTAGTAAACGACAACAATAATTTATAGCGGAAAATTATAAATTGAATACAAATTAAACGACAGAATAATCTACAAAGGTCGTCTGGTCATTACGTCGCTAACTTATTTGAAAGATTATTGAAAGATGAACAATTGACATCTTTCAATTAACTTCAATAATCATATAATCTCTTTGCATGCGATGATATTCCTTCTGATATTTCTCAGAAACTTTTTTTATTTTCATTCTCACAAACTTTTCATTGACGTAACTTAAAAAGACGAAAGAAAAAGAAATGATGAATAAAATTAAGAAAATTTGTTTTATGTTTCTTAAATATTCATCTTTGTTTCCTTACACAACAAGCACTGCACTGTACGATTTTTCTCCCTTTAATTTTTTTGATTTACGAACTATTTTTGCCATGATAAAAGATAATTTGTGTGTATGCAACGATCACCAGCATTAAATGTGAGAAAGGATAAATTAAATTATCAATTAGCATGAACAATCATTTTGATTTTGTCGTGTATTGGGCTCAGGATTCAGTGTTATGTTGGGGAAGCCGCCTGTCTCCATATCTTCAGTTTCCTGGGCGAGAGCGTTCTTGGCGATTGTTTGAAAAGCGAGGTCAACATTAATTCCCTCCTTGGCTGATGTTTCGAAATATGGAATATCATTTTTAGACTGACACCATTGCTGAGCTCGTTTACTTGAAACCTAAAAGAAAAACACAACAAAAATCAAATTCAAACTTCTTTTGATAAATTTTCATTCATTACTCACAGCTCGATTCTCCAAATCAATTTTATTTCCCAAAACAACAAATGGGAAATGTTCCGGATTTCTTGGACTTGCTTGAATTAAAAATTCATCGCGCCAGGAATCAAGGTTCTTGAATGTGTTTGGAGCTGTAGTGTCAAATACGAGAACACAACAATCGGCACCACGATAAAAAGCGACACCGAGAGATTGAAAGCGCTCTTGACCAGCTGTGTCCCATATCTGCAAAAAATTAAGAAGAAAATAAACATGTAGACATTGTATCATTGTATTGATGTCGCAATAAGAATGTCAAAATTATAAACAAGATTATGACGATGACTCACCTGCATAGTCACAACGCGATCATCCACGACGACTTCCTTTGTTAAGAAATCAGCACCGATTGTAGCCTTGTACTGATTTGAAAATCGTTTGTTGACATACTGATTCATGAGTGACGTCTTTCCTACACTGGAATCTCCCAAAATGATCACTTTTAAAAGAACCTTCTTTCTTGTGGCCATTTCTTTATGTTTCTGATTCTGTAAGTATTAAAATTATTTTTCTCTTTTACATTAGTCATTGATGACGAAACCAGCAGAACGTTAATTAGATTTAGCATTAAATATCATCACTTGAGACGACTTTACCAACTACATACACATACAACTAAAATTAGATCTCGTTATTAAACGATAATTTTTCACTCTTATCAGTTTTTAGGTAGTTAAATATGAGTAACAATCTTTCATATTAAACCATAAAAATCCTTGGGTTATTTGCGTATGATAGAAATCAAAGATCTTCTGTAAACCCAAATGATGATTTAGAAAATAATGCGCAGCTAAATAAAAAACTTGTGAAACAAAGGAAATCAAAATTATATCTTAAACTGACTATTTGACTTAAAATCAAAAGCTTAAAAATACATTAAATTATTTATTTTGTTATATTTTACCTCGTTGAATTATAAAATTTGATATTATCGATGTTAATAAGACTTAATTGATATTTTTATGAATTTTAAGTTTCAACTTTTTTTTTGTGACCACGAAATTAATATTTAGCACTTTTCTTTAGCACTCTTCTTTAGCACAACAAAAGAAATTTCCCTGTTCTAAAACATGACCATGTTTGCTAAACTTTAGTTTTTTTTCGTCATAATTTTTAGTCGCGAAATAAAATAAAATGTCTTTATCAAGTTTACTTCCTGCTCCACTTAATAAAGTATTCGACAGAGACGATGAAAAAACAGTAGTGAAGGGTGAGAGAGAGATATTAACTCGTATTTCTTAGAAATAATTGATTTATTTTTCATTTACAGTAAATTTAGGAGCGCTTCAAAATGCCAAGTCCACAGCACCTCCTTATGGTGCTAGACGAGGATTTATACCAAGAACAGAAAACGACTATGGTGATGGTGGAGCATATCCCGAGATTCATGTCGCTCAATATCCATTGGGAATGGGAGCACCAAATACTGGTGGAAAAAAGTCAAATGCACTTGCACTTCAAACAGACAGCACTGGAAAGATCAAATACGATATCATAGCTAAACAGGGACATGCAAAAGATAAGATTGTCTACTCAAACATAAATCAATTACTTCCAGCAGAAGTTTTAGCTGAAGATGCTGAAGAATTGCAGCGACCATCAGAAGAGGAGATCCAGGACATCACAGAAAGTACAAGAAGAGCATTAGAGAAATTGACGAATCAAAAGATTGCTGCTGCAATGCCTGTGAGAGCAGCAGAAAAAGCCGGACCTGCTCAGTACATTCGTTACACTCCTGCACAACAAGGAAATGGACAATTTAATTCGGGAGCTAAGCAACGAGTCATTCGGATGGTGGAAGCTCAAGTTGATCCTTTGGAACCACCAAAGTTTAAAATTAATAAGAAAATTCCTCGAGGACCGCCGTCACCGCCAGCTCCTGTTCTTCATTCACCATCTCGAAAAGTCTCAGTTAAAGAACAAAAAGAGTGGAAAGTTCCTCCTTGTATCAGTAACTGGAAGAATGCAAAAGGTTATACGATTCCTCTCGATAAACGTTTAGCTGCTGATGGTCGTGGCTTACAACAAGTTCACATAAATGAAAAATTCGCCAAAATGGCTGAAGCACTCTACATTGCTGATCGCAAAGCGCGAGATGCTGTTGAAGCTCGAGCACAACTTGAGAAGAAATTAGCACAGAAGGAAAAAGAGAAGAAGGAAGAACAATTACGACAAATGGCACAACGAGCACGTGAAGAACGAAATGGTTTACGTCATCCAACAGCAGGCGATGCTGAAGTGTCAGCTGAAGTCCGTGAACGTGATGAGATTCGCGATCAAAGACATAAAGAACGTGCTCGTGATCGCAATCTAGCAAGAGCAGCACCCGATAAGAGATCGAAGCTTCAGAAAGAACGTGAGCGTGACATTAGTGAACAGATTGCTTTGGGAATGCCAGCAAAGACGCAGTTCGGTGGTGAAAGCCAATTTGATCAGCGATTATTTAATACAACTAAAGGTATGGATTCTGGATACGGTGACGATGAAGGTTACAACGTTTACGATAAACCATGGCGTGAAAGTGGAACTTTGGGCTCTCATCTTTATCGTCCGAGCAAACAAATCGATCAAGACATTTACGGTGGTGACTTGGAGAAAATTGTTAGCACAAGTCGATTTGTTCCTGATAAAGAATTCTCAGGAACTGATCGATCAGCACAGAATCAGCGTCAAGGACCAGTGCAGTTCGAGAAAGAGGACGATATCTTCCAACTTGATAAATTCTTGGACACAGCTAAGAAAGGATCGAAACGGAAAGATGACGGGCCGAGTTCGAGTAAATCGTCAGATCACAGCGAAAAGAAAAGGCGTCGTGATTAAATTTTCTTTCATTATTCAATAATTTCTTTTATAATTTAAGATTGAACATTTCTTTATATGTTACCTGACATAATCTGGTAGTTGAAAAGCACTGAAAGAAATAAATAAAAAACTTAAAATCAATTTTATAATTTTATTTTCTTCGTTTCTATGGAATTTAATGAATTTTTAAATCAAAATTCTTTAATCCACATCAATTTATAACATAACAAAATCCGACATCATTTTTTCTAAATTACAAATCACGACTGAACAATTTATTTAGTTTGATTTCTCTGATTGAGGCTTCTCGAAGTATTCCATTCTCCAACGCATGTAACAAACTTTCATTCTATCCCAAACATTATCAAATGAATCCATTGCAGGTCTAACATCCAAAAGAGCGAATTTATATTTGTCATCAACGATTCCACCATCGTAATAGTCGATGACATAGCGAACGTCTTTACCACAACGATCGACGATCCAATCGTGTCTGTCGAATGGCAATTCATATCCCATCCAGTTGCGGATTTTCGCACGAGGACTGTAATCTTGAGCTTTGCCACCGAAACTTTTTAACTTTGGTGATCCACATTCACGAGCATGAAGTGCTTCCCACTTAAGAACTTCTTGCCATGCTTGCTCGTTATTTGCATTGTGAATTTTGATTATGTCATCCATATCCTTAGCAGCGATGTCATCTTTCTGCCATTTCCATCCTTTTCGAAGCATAGCATTCCAAAACATTTGTTGGCTCGGATATTCCCAGAACTGTTTGCCATCTGGACCGGGAACAGCACGTGGGATTGTTGAGAGTTGACGATTAGTAGGAAGAGAGAAAGGTTGGTCTTTTGCTGGCTGTTGATTTGCTGGTGGCATCATGTTTAGTGGATTAATATCACCTTGAACAGGACATTCAGATACTAAAACTGTTTCTTCTTTCTTCACTTCAACTTTTGGTTGATGATTTGCATGCATTGGACATTCTGGAGGAATTTCAGCATTCGTGGACTTGATTTCAGGATGATTTGCTGGCATTTTTGGTTTATCTAAAATATTCACAGCTGACTCTGCTGCAACTGCTATTGACATCTGTTGACCCATTTCTATTCTTCTAGAAGAAAATTCACAAAAATAGAAAACAATAACAATGATTAAATAATCGCTCAATTTATATAAATAAAAGTGAAAATAGATAATAGATAACTCACTTTCAGATAAATCTTTTTAAATAAGTGATATTTTCTGCAATATTTTGAATTCTTTTTAATTTCTTTTAAGGGATAAAATTTTTCAAGGAGTTTCGGAAAATATGCTAAAACTAATGTAATGAAAATGCTAAACATAAATGTGCTAAAAGTCTTTCGAAGTTTGGGTGTTTGCTAATGTTTTGATTTTCTCACATTTTTATGAATTATTAGAAAATAATTTTAAAATGAGTTTAATACGAGCAGTAAGGAAGATATTATCAGACAATTCTCTTTAAATGTCTTATGCAATTGTTTCATATTGTCTTTTAGCTTCAACCATCATTAATTTCTCCTCAAATTCGACTTATTAGCTCAACTTGCGTTCTAAACAAAAACCAATCTGGAAGATATAAAGTTACTCCAAAGAAAGATCGTCCATTGACTTATGAGCAATCGAATCCACCTCACCAAATCGGTCACAGAAAAGCATGGAATTCTTGGAATGTTGGTGAGACATTTAAAAATATTTTAATGCTTTTAATTATTAATTTTTATTAAAATATTTTCAAAGCTAATCTCAAGAAGGAAAAACCAGGAGTTCATCAGAGGGAACCACAAATGATAACTGAAGACTTTTTCATCCGAAAATTCATGACTGCAACCTTCCATGGGATTGTTTGTTCGGAAGTTATCATTAAACGACAATTCAATTTGATTCGAGTGGCTTTTATCATGAGTCGTCAATTGCCGCCTAGAAAAATGTATTTTCTCATCGGATACACTGAAGAGCTTCTTTCCTATTGGCTTCAATGTCCAGTAACTTTAGAAATTAATACAGTAGCTGATAAGAGGGATGTCATTTACAAATATATTTAAGGACGATTCTTTTAAAAATAGAATTTCATTAATAACAAATAAATTAAAAAAAAACATTGAAAATTTCAAAGATGTCATTCGAATTTTTATTGAGGAAGTTTTAAATTCAAAATTTGTTCATTTGTATTAATTTGAGAAAGATTAAAGCCTGAAATCATTTCAATGGACCACATTTCTTCATCACAAGTTTGAAATAGCTCCATCGCCTCCATCCTGTTTTAAAAAGTTTGATACAAGAAAATTCTTCCTTAAAGAATTCTTTTATAGTTTCAAGCGATAAAAATTGGCTGAGTCCAGATAATGAAATGCTTTGAAGTGCAGCAGATTTAATAAGTTCAGCTGTGACACCTTGAAAGTTGAAGTCGTACATTCCAAGTTTTAAATATTTTAGCTTGAGATGATCATCCAAAATTTGCTTCAAACCTTGATGAGAAATGTCACTTATTCCTGATATTTTGACGAGTTCCAGATTAGGACAAGCACTGATGGTATTAAGGATTGATTTCATGTTATGGCTTTCAATGTTTTTAACTTTGAATTCCTTTAGATTTTCATGTTTTATATCTTCATCGATGACAAAATTATCTTGATCTCCATCTGAATTATTGCACACGAATTCAAACGTTTCAAGTTTTATAAAATACTTTAAAACGGTACCGATGATATTAAATAATTTATTCTCGAAACTCAAATGTTTTAAATTTTGAAAGTTTTGACTGAATTGAAAAATTATATCTTCAGGAATTATTGTGTTATAGTTATAGAAACCAATTAATTCACTGGGTTTAATTGTTAACGCTTCAATACGTAACAATTTCAGCACACATAGCTTTGAGAGCTTGTTATAAAATTGGTCATCATTTTGATAATTCAAATGAAGTTCTCTTAAAGTAATGATTTTTGTGAGTGATTCAAAAACATCCGAAGATATTTTATTAATGCTTATGTTAAGTGATTCAAGATATTTTAACTCGCAAATTGCTGTTAAAATTTCATTTCCAGTATCATCATCATCATATTCATCTAAATCAAAACAAGTACAAATAATGTCCAAATCGAGAGAGCGAAGCTTTGGGTTTTGTATTATCATCTTTGCAATATTCATCTCATATCCTTCACAAGACCTTATTGTCAAATGTTCTAGTTTAGAAAGTTTCAATACTGATAAGTCGCATCCGTAACTACCATCTTTCATTATGAGTTTTGTAATTTGCGTTTGTCGATTAATGAATTGCTGGATGTCCTTTTCATTTTCTATGAATGAGATGGAAATGCACATTTCGGTTACTACATCTTCTGGTACCTGGTTGAAAATTGTGGAATAATCATAGATATGGGATAATCTTATTGTTAACTTCTTCAGTTTGTATAAATGAAGCTCATCACACCAATGCACATCACGTTCTACACAAATAGATTCAAAAGTAAAATCTTCCACATTGGGAATACAATTCAACATTCGNCACTGAAGAGCTTCTTTCCTATTGGCTTCAATGTCCAGTGACTTTAGAAATTAATACAGTAGTAGATAAGAGGGATGTAATTTACAAATACATTTAAGGACGATGCTAATAAAAATAGAATTTAATAAATTACAAATAAATGAAAGAAAGCATTGAACAGTTCACAGATGTTATTCGAAATTTTATTGAGGAAGTTTTAAATTCAAAATTGGTTCATTCATATTAATTTGAGAAAGATTAAAGCATGAAATCATTTTAATGGACCTCGTTTCTTCATCACAAGTTTGAAACGATCCCAGTTCCATTTAAAAAGTTTGATACAAGAAAATTCTTCCTTAAAGCATTCTTTTATAGTTTCAAGCGATAAAAATTGGCTGAGTCCAGATAATGAAATGCTTTGAAGTGCAGCAGATTTAATAAGTTCAGCTGTGACACCTTGAAAGTTGAAGTCGTACATTCCAAGTTTTAAATATTTTAGCTTGAGATGATCATCCAAAATTTGCTTCAAACCTTGATGAGAAATGTCACTTATTCCTGATATTTTGACGAGTTCCAGATTAGGACAAGCACTGATGGTATTAAGGATTGATTTCATGTTATGGCTTTCAATGTTTTTAACTTTGAATTCCTTTAGATTTTCATGTTTTAAATCTTCATCGATGACAAAATTATCTTGATCTCCATCTGAATTATTGCACACGAATTCAAACGTTTCAAGTTTTATAAAATACTTTAAAACGGTACCGATGATATTAAATAATTTATTCTCGAAACTCAAATGTTTTAAATTTTGAAAGTTTTGACTGAATTGAAAAATTATATCTTCAGGAATTATTGTGTTATAGACTGAAAAATATTCACTGGGTTTAATTGATAACGTTTCAATATGTAACAATTTCATCACACATAGTTTGGAGAGCTTGTCATCAAATTGAAAATCAGCATTGTCATCATAATTATATTTCAAATGGAGTTCTCTTAGATTAATGATATTTGTGAATGATTCAAAAACATCCAAAGATATGCTTTCAATGTTTATGTTAAGTGATTCAAGATATTTTAACTCGCAAGTTGCTGTTAAAATTTCATTTCCAGTATAATCACCATCATCATATTCATCTTCATCAAAATCAATGTCCAAATCGAGAGAGCGAAGCATTGGGTTTTGTAGTATAATTTTTGGAATAAACATCTCATATCCTTTATGAAACCTTATAGTCAAATGTTCTAGTTTAGAAAGGTTCAATACTGATAAGTCGCATCCTTTATCATGATCTTTCATTATGAGTTTTGTTATTTGCGTTTGTCGATTGATAAATTGCTTTAAGTTCTTTTCATTTTCATTTTCATTGAATGAGAAGGAAATGCACATTTCGGTTACTACATCTTTTGGTACCTGATTGAAGATTGTGGGATAATCATCGACTGATTCTATTGTAAACTTCTTAAGTTTGTATAGATGAAGCTCATCACACCAATGCACATCACGTTCTACACAAATAGATTCAAAAGTAAAATCTTCCACATTGGGAATACAATTCAACATTCGAGCCAATTGCGACTCCAAAATTTTTGCCTTGACTCCTTTGCCATTAACTCCCAAAAGTGTAAATTTTTTTATCCTTTTTCCAAATTTCATCAATATAGTTTCAATTTTTGGAACAATATCAACAGAAAGATTTATTGTGATATTTGAAAATTCGCGAAGTGTTTTAACAACCGAATTGAAAATTTCGTTATCATAAATCTGTGAATAAAATTCCAATGAAGGTTTCTTTTAAGTTTTCTTTTTATTTTCCTACATTCTCACTCACCTGATCATAAGAAAGTTCTAATGGCCGACAATCTTTTTCCAATGTGCATACAAGTTCATAGAATTTTCTACAAACTTGAGAAACATCGTAGCGTGATGAGATATTTACGAATTTCAAAATGTGAAGAAGAAGTTCCTCTGGAAGATTCATTAATTCGCTTTTCTGGACGTTTTCTGGTGAATTCATATTTATAAATTTTAGCTTGCACTTTTGTTTTCGCTTGTGAATGTTAACTCAATGATTGTTCAGTCAAAACTACCTAGTTACAGTCAACTCTCGATATTGCAACAATTGAAGGGAGCGGAAAAAATGTATCAAGAGAAGTTGTTACATCAAAAAACATTTTGTTCTTGATTTTGAGCCAGTCGTACAATTGCGAGAATTTGTGTATCGAGAGTTACATCAAGAGTTGACTGTATTTATAGTTGGCTCGTAAGGATTCCTTCAATTCAAAAAATATTCAAACCGTTTATCATTTACCGTGTGACATCGAAATGTATGAACACAAGCGGCCCTAAAAAATTTCAAAGTTGAAACTGAAATTGAAAATAAACAACAAACAAATGAAAGAAAACATTGAAAAGTTTACAATTGTTATTCGAATTTATTAACGAAGTGCTAGGATTTTAGATTTAAGAGCGACATTATTATTATGTGTTGACATTTAAAAGGTTTAAAACGCAGGGAAAATATTTTACTTTTTTATTTCTTAAATCTTATTAAATGATTACTGTTTCTGAGCTTTCTTCGAGCTAGAAATTACGTCCCAAAATTGTCTTAACGTCATCATGATATATTTCCGTGAAACCTAATTTCCCATAAAATTGCTGCATATAAGAATCAGTCCGATTAATCAATACATGAACACCACAAGAGCCATTTGTTCTTAAAGACGCTAAAAGAACACAAATCAAACGTTTGCATACTGACTCGTCTGTCATCAATTGATCTTTGAGAATGCAACACGTCATGATTGATGGATGTGAATTGAGAACACTAACTGGACAGTCATATTTGAAGTTATGAAACCAATTGATTGCATCTTTTGCAGCTTGTGTTAAGTTGGGTGTGTCGAGAAGTGTCAATGGATATTTTTCACACATTTTTGGAACCCACAAAGCCTAAGAAAAGTGAAATAATTAAATGAAATTTCCTAAAAATGATGCTAAAACTTACTTCCTGGCTTCGATAAAATAATTTCGAGTCAATAGCAGCGCATGCATAGCCAACAATCATCTTATCAGACTTCTCAACAACCATACAAAATTCCGGATTTAAAGTTACAAATGGTGCAACCAACCGATCAGCTGGAATCTCTTGAAGATTTTCTGGAAACAAATCAGTGCAATCTGATCCATCGCGACATGTTTTATGACAAATATCATAAACTGCAACTTCATCAGCATTCATGTAAGGTCTGATAGAATAGAGATTCAATGTCGGAGTTTCAGGAAGCTTATAAATGAACAAATCATTTCCAGAATCAACTGGAATTAATCGTTGCAAGTCTGCAATCAAACCACCTCGAAAAACCTTTTAAAAGAAAATATTTTTATAACAATTTATTTAATTAAGTTTAAAGAAATCTCACCCATGGTTCTTGATCACCCGACATGAAAGTTTCCTTCCATCCTTTACTGAACCAAGTGTATGATCCTTGAGTATATGAATTTGAGTTTGCTGGGAATTGTCCAAGTGCAAGCCACTTAACGTAAGCTATAAAAATGGTTAAAACACTGGAAATCTCCCACGCATATGTGAATATGTCATAGCAAAGTTCACGATTGACACATGAAGCAATTTTTCTTGTCAACAAGAAAACTGCTTCGCCAAGTTTTAGAAGTTTATCACTTCTTCGATACCACTCTTGAATTTCAAGATTATCAGAATTCCCACCTTTCTTATCTCCTTTTAAAACATTTGCATTCGTTTTCAACCATTGAAAGTCGTTTAAAAGTTGAAGTCCTTGTTTACCATGCTCGAATGGAAGATAAAATAAATCACAAAGAAGAAGAATATCATCGTAAGTGATTGTTTGTAACTTTTCATCATCTGACATTGTTTCAATTTGCATTGAATTATTTGATCCACTCTCAGTCATCACGACATCATCAGAAAGTTCTGATTTACTATTTTTGACTTCTATTTCACTTTCAGATGGAATTTGATTGTTTGGATTTTCATTCTCTTTAATGTCGACATCTTTTTGATTTTGGACTGTTAATGGATCATCAGAGTTGGGACTGGAATTATCCGAAACATGCTTTGGTGTTCCACAATCCATCAATTCTAACGGTTCTTCAGTTAATGCTCCATCATTTGATATCTTTTCAACTTCCATGCCATCAGCAACGTTAATAGGAATCGGTACACTTGATACCGGCATTTTATCGGGAATGGTGATTGACGATGCAAGAATCGGATTGGAAAGCACGTCAGTTGTAACAACTTTCGTCGCTGACACTAAAGAATTCATGACATTTGGCTTTGGTAAGATTTCCGTCGCTCCTGTAACTGATGAACAAATGTCAGCCAAAGCATGAAGTTGAGCTGTGTTGACTTCTGGAATCATCATTGGCGTTGCCATTGTTGAAGTTGTTGGTGTTGTTAATGTTAAAGTCATACAAGTGTTTATTGAAGGAATTATTGGCGGAATAATTGGAGCCATCGCACTTGCTGGATGTGGTTTGACGATCGGTCCAAAAGCTTGCTTTTCCTGGAAGAAATCTGGCAACCATTCTAATATTGCATTTTTTAACGCTACACGAGGATGATAAATGTTCTCCGTCAAATAATTTGGTGGATTTTCATCATCATCTTCATTTTCAGTCTCAAGTTTGATATCAGAAATTGAATCTGGGAATGAAAATAAACTTTTATAAAAGAAATGAAAACAAAAATCATCACTTACTGTTAATTTCCGTGTTACATCGACTCCATTGCCCAAGTGTATGAATCGCAATTGTATTGGCGTTGAACTCACAATTTGGATTTGTAACGACACCTCTTAACAAAGGAATGAGTTCAGGGGATCTTCCATTGTACGGCCCAAGAAAGACTCGTTTTTGATCGTAATCGTTTGCATGAAGATTGTCCCAAATTAATGGTTTGCGTTTTAACACTTCGGTAATTAATTGAATTTCTTCAGCAGTTAAAATCTTGCTTATTACTTTTGATCCAGTCCATAAGATGTCAATTGATGGCACTAACTTTTGCCCAATTGTATTAAGATACTCTGAATCGGTTACGTTTGGAACAGCTCTGGTGCTGCAATATTGCGTTGGACAGAACAAAAAATTCGGCCGATTTGGTTGATTCCGATTGAGATGATTATAAATCTCATTCGACACTGACACTTGAGCATGTGCGAAACTTTGAAAAACTTCTTTATCACTTTTTGTCATTTCCGACTCAATGTCATCAAACAAAAGTGCAAAATGTTCTGTGAAAACCAACAAAAAAAGCTTTAAAATTATTTTTGAAATTGCTTCACACATTTTTACAACTTACGACACCCAAATTGAGAAACTTGATCTAACTTTCTCTTCAATGCTGAAGTGTCTTTCAATGATGAATAAGTTATATCAAGACCAGGACTCAAAGCATAATAAAAGTCGATTCCTGCTGTTTTTGCGGCTGTTATTAACCCTTGCAAATGTTCTCCTTCCTCAACAGTGTATAGCTCACGCCATGAGTTGCGATGTTTGTAATCATCTGTAGAATGTTATTGTAAATTTAAAGATGTTGTGGCATCGGATAGACCGGATCATTGACCTACCTTTAGGTGCATAAATATAAAGTTGGTGACCATATTTCTTTAACTTTTTAAATAAGTCCTTTCTTTGATCAGATGTAAATGGACGACCATAAAAACCTTCAACTAAACCTAACAAAAACTTATCTGATCCTTCATCAGAATTTAAATTGTTTGCAGATTCGCTTAGAGACATGAATGGAAATTTTCGAAACTAAACTTTTCTTTAATTAACTTTTCCTGTGTTTATATGGTTTGTAGCTGTTTTATCTTTCGTTATTGCTTTACTTGACGAATGAATAAAATCTTTACGTATTAAATATATGTCAAGTGATAGTAAATGATTTAAAAAACTTGAAGAAAAGATTTACAAGACTTTCTTTTGTGATGTTTTGATGATTTTGTACTAAAACTTTATTTTTCCGTTTTGCATCTTTTGATGCAAACTTTAATTTTAGAACAATAACAAAATTGCATCCAAATTCACATGAAATTATTATTTTTTTAGTTTTTTAAGAATTAAAGTTCACGAGAATGAAGCCGGTAATATGTGTTAGACGTTATGATGATAAAGACAACTACAAAGTCAAGGAAATCATAAGAAATTTCGTTCTCAGTCGATTTTCTGCTGCATTTTGGTTTTGTATTTTTCGGGAGGTTTGTTAACAAATTTAATTTGTTTTTGTAATAAATTTCATAATTTGTAATGTTTTTAGATAACACTTCAACTTATTGTTCTTGCCACTGCCATGTTCTTCATATTTTTTGGAATTCCTTTAATTTATTGTATTTCTTCTGTTCCAATTGTGATTATTATGATTGGAAGTAAGTTTAAGAAATTCTTTCTTCAAATGTTTATCAAATTTATTAATGAAACTATTTTAGTTTGTGTATATGCATCACATTATAACAAAGCAATAGAAATGTCAAACATGCACACACCGATATGTTTTGTTGCAGAAGTTCACGAACCATTCTTTCTTCGACTTAATAAGAAAGAAATCGAATATTCAGTCATGACCGAAGAAGAAGTTGCAAAAAATCAAGAAGTGAGAAAAATGACAAAGAAAATTGTTGGGACTGTTTCGATAAAGAATCACAATTCACTACATGACTCGGCTTGGCTTTATAGACTCGCAATTGATCCTGATTATCCATTCAATATCATTGCCAAGTCTTTAGTTGAAGCAGCAATGAAACACGCACATCAACATCACTTATATACGTGTGAAACCGTTTCAGAAGAATGTCATGAAGATTTTAGAGAAGTTCTACTTAAAATTGGGTATGACTTCAAAAAGTTTTCATAATTCAATTCTTTTATTAAAACTTTCTTTCACCAGCTTCCTTATCCGACAAATTTATCACAAAAGCATCATTGGAAGTAGTTTGAGAATCATGAAAGCTCAAATGGGAATTGATCTTGACAAGTTTTTTCGGAACAAGAAAAGCAGTCTCGATGCCAAAAGTGATGAACAAGAGTATTAAATCAAGTGATGGATCTGACGAATCTTTACATTCCATTGTTATCGAATCGTAATAATTAATGTCAATTTGGAAAAACTCAAATTTATAAATTTATTTTTTAATATTATAAAATAGAAACAAATCACATTCTGACAGTTAATAAACTTTTTTATTTAAAAACTTTAAACCTTCGACCAATAACTTTGATAAGAAAAAAATGCACGTGACTGTTAATGGAATAAAATCTCAAACATTTAAACAGCTTCTAAAAGTAAGGCAATGCCTTGACCACCGCCAATACATGCAGAACCAACAGCTCTCTTAAGGTTCTTCCTCTTCAATTCATGAACAAGATGTGCAGTGATTCTCGATCCTGATGAACCCAATGGATGTCCAAGGGCGATGGCTCCACCATTGACATTGAGTTTGCTGGGGTCCAAGTCTAAACCTTTAGCACAAGCGAGAGTTTGGGCAGCAAAAGCTTCATTGATTTCAATTAAATCCAAATCATTCTTAGACCAACCAGCTACTTTAAGAACATTTTCAATTGCTGGGACTGGACCTTCGCCCATGATTGATGGGTCAACTCCCACAGTTGAATATGCAACTAATCGTGCCAGTGGTTTTAATCCATATTCTTTACAAGCTTCTTCTGATGCTATAATGACAGCTGCTGCTCCATCACAAATTCCTGAAGCTGTTCCAGCTGTGACTAAGCCATCTTTCTTGAATAAGCTTTGAAGTTTGTTGAGACCTTCAAGAGTTGTTTGAGGTCTTGGATGTTCGTCAATTGCAAAATCAACTTCCTTTCCTTTAACTTTCAATTTAAATGGAGTGATTTCAGATTTAAATGCGCCTTCCTTTTGACCTTTTTCCCAGTTTTTTTGTGATAAGAGAGAGAATTCATCGACCTGTTCACGTTTAATTCCGTACTTTTCACCCAACTTTTCTGCTGTCATTGCCATTGGCAATTTACAATAACTGTCAGTGAGACCAGCCCAAAGCGAGTCTTCAAGATTGTAATTGACACCGAGTGTTGTTCCAAAACGAACATTTCTTACAGCGAATGGAGCTTGACTCATATTTTCCACTCCTCCAGTCAGAGATACTTTTGCTGCCCCCAAAATTATATCTTGAGCTCCGTTAATGACTGATTGAAATCCTGAGCCACACAAACGGTTGATTCCAAGTGCAGGCTTTTCAATTGGAACACCAACATGTAATCCAACATGTCTTGGAAGATAAATTCCATCAGTTTGTGTGCATTGCATGACATGTCCGAAGACAATTGAATCGACTTTGTCTGGTGATAAATTTGCATCTTTCAATGCCTGAATCGAAGCAGCAGTTTGAAGTTGTGTCGCGGTGATGTTTTTAAATGCTCCACCAAAGGTACCAAAAGCAGTACGGCGAGCGCCAACAATAAAAACTCCTTTGAAAAATGAACAGATATCAAAACATCACGAAGTTATTTCTTTTAATGGGTACAAAGTTCAACCGGAAAATTTCTCAATATTTTGAGTTATTTTCATAGAAAACTTTAAATTTCTGACTTACCTTTTGTTACTGCCGACATTATCTATCGTTATTTGTGCTTTGAAAATCAAATAGAATTATTATGAACAGTAGAAGTAAAAAATTTGTTGATTGTCTTCTTGCTATGATATCAAAAATAATCACTCAACTTCGACAGTGACTTCTCGGTAAAATTCATTTAGAAATTTTTTTTTTAAATCTAACGATTTTTTATAATGTAAAGCATTTGATTTAAATATTTTGAGTAAAAGGCTTTTCTGACTTAGAACAATTTCTCCTTTAAGTCAGATGAAGTAAGTAAAAGCTTGGGTAAAAGGAAACTCTTAAAAATAATTTCTTTTTTGCCTCTTTTATAAACGATCATAAACTTGCTATTGAGTAGCGCTACTCAAAACATATTTTCAGTAGAAATGAGAATTAAAGATCAAATGATAAAAGAAATTCCAAATCGACTAAATTCAAAGAAAATCACATACAATTCCATGTGTATATATTTTTTATTTATAATTTGCATACATTTATTGTGGTCATGTTTGACAATTAAAATTTATAATTTTCACTTTTATGGCATTTAATTTCACGTTAGGAAATTTAAAATATTTTACAAGGAAACATATGTAAATAAAATAACTCAGGATGGAAATCATTCTTTTGTGCTTTTCTTAAAAATAAATGCATAAACAAACTTTTCATTTTCTTTCATAAAAGTTAAATTTCAATAAAAACGAGCATAAAAAAGTTTGATTAACTTTATAAAATAATAAAAAATTATTGCGTGCAATTTAAAATCATTGCGAAATAAAATAAAATAAAAAGAAACACAATAAAAATCTATTACAATTACAACATTAATAGAACATTCTTTTTGGCTACCATATATGGAATTATTAAAGTTGCTGAAGAAAAACTTTGAACATCTTAGGGAGAAGTAATAAAATTATTGTATGCAATAGTTATTGTCATCGTTTAAACGAAATTAAAAATTTCTTTCACAACACACAACGTGACGGATTCTTCTGAACAGAAACATATCATCGAGTATTTATAATCCTTTGTTGTAAGAGACGGTTGTACATCCAGGACTTTCTTTCTTAATTTTATCGCGTAATTCAAGCTCAAGACTATCGACAGAAATCGATGCTCGTTGAGAGAACAAAGCGCAGCATAATGGTGTAGCAAATGTTAGGCAAACTCCGCAGAACAACACTTGAATTGGAGAGTTCGCCCAACGATAACGCTTCAAAATATTCGTCTTGTTCTCAAGGAAGTTCACCAAGACTGGTGTCAAAACCATTCCTGAAAATAAATATGAAAATTATGATTATTCAAAATATCGGAAAATTTAAATACCTGGACAAGCCATAAAGATTCTAGATAATGTCACTTGTGCAATGCCTTGTTGAGCAGCATTAACTGAGTTTCCATAAACAACTCCATTGTCGTCAGATACGGGAACACCTTGTTGAAGTTCCCTAAAAATATGGAAGAAAACTAAATAAATAAAACTATTGAATATTAAACATTCATTTATGATACTGACTGCATTCTCATCAATGGGATGTTGACACAATTCGCAGCTGCAACAGCAGCTAAAGGAACCAATTTTGGTAAAACTCCAGTTGCATTCTGAGCTTATTAATCACGGTAAATTTAGATTTTCATGTATTTTTTTGAAGGAAAAAGGAGAAACGTGCATCAAGTCAATGAATTTTGTTATGTTAGTAACAGGAAAAGAAAACAATTTTTATATTTAAAAGAAATAATTTACTTTTGCTAATCGATTCAATCCAAGAGCTGTGACCAAAGCACCACCTGTTGCCATACAGTAAGAGGTCAGTAACTGATTGTTTGTAATTGGAGATGCTCCTGAACGATTAGTATAATTGACGACAGCGTTGAATGACTGATTGGCCCATTGCCAGAAAATTACAGCTGGCGTTGAACGATAGAAAGTCATCATCATTCCAGTAATACCTGAAAATAAGCGGCACATTTTCAGAGTATAATTTTAATATGTATGAAAGGAAAATTACTTACTCATGTTCATTGGAACTTGAGCACTCATTCGTCCTATGAGAACCATTTTTTCTAAAAATAAATATAAAAACATGTTGAAAACAATTAAAGTGTTTACAATGTATTTTGAAAAACTTGTTTATTAAAATTGTCATGTGAGCCGAACACATTAAATTTATTGAAACTACCTCCGGTATCAGGATGAAACGCAGAATCATAAAGATATTTTGCATCCCATAACTCATCTTCCGTTTTTATATCAGGTACTGGTTTTCCAGCCTTATAATCTTTAACAATTCTAGCAGCTCGATTTAGTGACTCTTCTGAAGCGAAGACATTCTTTTTGAAAAATGAAAGAAGATAAAATCAGACGCAATAAATAATAAAATAAATACGAATGACGTATTTTTATCACTTACGAGTGGATTTGTTACGATAAGAAAATGTTTAGCACGATTAATGTAAGTGGTTTGTGGATATCTTGGCTCATCAATATTGATTCCCTGTGACAGTGACATCTTTTTCAAAAATGTAGACGAGGAAATTATGTAATTCAAAAATTTATATTGATTCTAATTGAACTTTTATGACCCGAAATAATTTTTTTATGATTTTCTTTAATTTGATTTTAAAAAACTTTTGTGTGGACTGACAAATGACTTGTGTTATTTTATTAAAAGATGAACAACGACTGCCCTGCTAAACTAGAATACGTAAAATTTTTCACAATAATACACTTAAAAGTCCTAAAAATATAATTTTATTGATGCGCAGAGATTTTTATTCTGCTATAGACTGATAAGGGCAAAGTTGAGAAAAACTTAGAAAAATGTCAACATGTCAGTCCGACAATTTCCGAAGCAATGCTAACCAGTTAGGAAACATATGATGCAAAGTTAGAAAGAGAAGGCGAGAGAGGCAAACGGCCGCCATTATTTAATTCGTTGTTTATTATTTCGACAACTAAGAACTCCTAGAATTTTTAATTTTTTAACACTTCACTTTGTGTTTGTTTTAGGAAAAGTTGAGAATTATAGTGAGACAATTGTGTATTCTAATCGAAAAATCATAAGTCATTGCACTGTAGGATCAGTTTGATTGATAAAATAAAAAGTTTGTTGCAGCGTCTGTTGAAACAAAGCGAAGGTAAGTTTTTCTTCAATGAATTTTTTTTCTCTCGACAAGCATTTTATGTGATGCTAAAACGTTGAAATAGGCACGTAATCTAATATGTTGCGACATTATTCATTAATATTCGTATTCTCCAATGTATCATATCGAATTTTTCATGTCTGATGATTAATCGTAATTTACCGAAAAGAAAGAAAAAGAACATGAATTGTTAATAAAATTCCGAAAATTTTTTTTACTTGATGACGATGTTTCTTTTTGTTTCGACGTCTCGTTGGCATTCACACAATCATAATTCTTCTGAGGATCGAGATGACGAGAGGAAAAGGAATAAATGAAATGAAAGTTTACACAAACTATTTGATTGTCAACGCAATACTGCAGACTTTTATTAATTTAATTAATCGGCAAATTCTTCAATCCGCTATAGCTTCCTCTTTGACAGAGAGTCATTTCTATAAATAGGGATGTATTAGATATGAAATTTGAGACATTTCTAATGTTTTCTTGATTTTGTCATGCATCTTGCACCAGACATTGACACGAAAGATTTCGCTTTACCAACATATGGTCTTGATGAAAAAAAGAATGATCCCCCAAAAACTAAATGTTTTAATAAATCGCTTTGAGCTTTTTGTTGTTGTTTTTATCGCTTACTCCACTACACACGCCACAGAAAATGTTTTTATTTCTTAACTTTTTCCGCGTACACTGCCTTTTGCGCTCACATTAAAATTTTTTTTCCTATCGAATGAAGGAAAAAGTATAAATACAACAAAATACATGAAAACTGGAGGGAAGAAGAAGCAAACATAAGGCAGTGAGAAAAAAAAGAGTTTAAATGAAAACAACACCGTAAAATCATATGTGCAGTTTCTACTGTCGCAGTGTTTGTTGACTCTGTCGTGATGTCGATATTTGTTTTTAATATTCCTTATAAATGAAGTATAAGAAAGAAATAAAATTAATATTTTTTTGATGATTTCATTCTCCTCTTCTTTTTACATCCATTCGAAAGTTGGATGTTCACATTTAAGTTCCTTTGTTACACAATACCATTCTGCGATTGGTTGGATGGATGGATGGATGTAGTGTAAAGTTCGTTTGCAAGATGTCCTTTCACATCTTTTTCGAGTTGTTGTGTGTATGAAAAACATTTTGAGATGAAATTGTCTTTGCTTTTTCTTTTTTATTATTTTCTGTCTTAAATTCTCATAAAGTTGTTGCTCTTGTGACGCAGAATAGGCATCAAGCAAGCAGCTTAACGGTTTTACACTTTCCATAATAATTTTATATAACGAAATATAGTTTACGTGAAATTCGCAAAGCATTACGTGTGCTCATTACATACACAATATCATTTCATTGCCTAGCAAAACTTTTCACGCTATACTTTTGAAGTATTTCGTATTTTGTTTCTGCCTTTTTTACTTTACTTTATTCACATCAACAACACGATCAGCTTGCAGAAATGTAAAAAAAATGATGTCAAGGCGATGCAAAGCAGCATTTTTAGAGTGAACTAACTTCATGAACTAAATCTTTTATGTTGCAACTATGTTGTTGTTTTTCATTTACTAGTTAAGCGCAAGGAACTGCTGCTTTTATATTGCTAAACAACCTGAACCTTTCCCAACATTTTTTTTTGAAATATTTCCTGACGAACCGTGTAGACTATAAAGCTTCAAGATTTTAGGAATTTTATCCACAAATCAAGAATCATAAATAAAATCTAGCAACAAAAAAGATCGAAATTAATGAGTTTGGGTTCTGTTGGATGCGTCATTTGAAAGGATGTAGCACGTAGAGGGGAAGTAGAGAATAGAAAAAAATTTTGGGCTTATTCACCTCTTGTGAGCTTCAAATTTCTCAGGTAAAAAAAAAGAAGATTATGTGAAGAAGAAAAAAACTGATGCGTCAGAGAACAATGAAAATTGTTTCTACATTTACTTTCCAAGTAAGAAAAGAAGAAATCATTTGTGAGTGGTACCTTTGACATTCTATTTCTACGTATGCAACATCGCCATTGACCTTGGGTTAGACATTCGAATGAAAATCCACAGAAGACTTAAAACTTCCACACACGTGCATAATATTATCAGTTAAGACGCTAAAAATAAAGTAAAAATGACTTTTCTTCTTCTTTCTTCTCTATCCGTGTCGTTGGCACGCATCAGTGTGAACAGATGTAAACAAACCAACACGAACACGAGACTGTGAAAGCCAAGAATAGCAAACATGTGTCAAAATCTAAAGCCGTACTTCTCAATGTTAGTCAAGTTGTCCTATGACGATGAACTTAAAAAACCATGAAAATGGCACATGCTGCACTCATCAATTCACCTTGCAGTTTGATGGAATTTTCCACTCGTGAAAAAGTTTTTTCACCTTGCGAAAATATCCGAAAATAACAATTTGATTGTTTTTTTTTTAAATTTTTGGGAGCTTTGACTGCTTGAAAGCAATACATTGATAACAACACTTTGTTTCGTTATTGTTATTTTCGGACATATGTCCACGACAGCGATGAGAAGAGAATCGAAACCTTTTATTTGCGTCGCAATTTCAAAATGTTGAACCGGTGAATTCAAAGAAGATTCACCCCGAAAATGTAAAAAAAAGAACAGAAAGAAATGTAGTAAAAAAAATCCAGCCTTGAGAGAGTTCGTTGATGTTAAACCATACACCATCACGGTGTTAAAGAATAAAAGAAGGAAAAAAGCGCGCGTCTTTAAGAACGAACGCTAGACAGCCAAACTAACGAAAAAAAAATACAATTACAAGTTTAATGACCTCAATCTTCTGCTAGTGTGTGTGATGCGGTAAAGTAAAAACTATTCGATGTAATAAAACATTATGAAACATTGAAACGTTGAACATTAAAAATTTAAAACATGAAACATTAAGCTGACGGCTGTAATAGAGAAAAAAGTTTTAAAATTGGAACGAGACGTTTGTATGGATCGCGGAAAAAGTGCTTCGAATTGAGGTGAATGTTGGTGCACAATGGCATTGAGGTTCCCCCACACACGTTTTCACCTCGTAACTGCACATAACACATGTTTTATTAGGAAATTGTTTGAATTTATTCCCCCAAATGCTTTGCAGTTGTCTACTTGATTTTTATTGTTAAAAATTTCAGTCATGAATTTTATAATGTAAAGCCTTATCTATTAAACTGGATTAATTGTTACAACAAATGTATTAAATACCAACTTTTTTACATTCCATTTTACCTTCAATCAATTCTTCTCGCTCTTCAATCTTTTCATTATTTTTTCTGCCATTCACTTTCTCTTTCGACGAAACTTACTTTTAAGTAAGCGAAATGCAATTCTTCTCGATTATGCTGCTTTTTTACCTTCCTTTATAACAATAATGCAAATCACAAAAAGTTGAAAGCGTTTTCACTTTCAACCGATCCTACATTTTGTTTCTAGAACTTACTTAATGTCAGTGCTCTTGGCACGAATTAAATTAAAAGACTTTTTTATTTTATTTTATATCATTGCTTCACCTCGGTCGATCCTCCAACAATTTTATTTTTGTCTTCTTTGCTTCTCCTCTTTCATTGTTTTTGCGCCAATTTTCTTTCTTGTCTCTCCTTTGCCGCAGTTCAGTTGCTCCACAGCGATTGAGTGGTTGAGTCATAATTTTATCCGTTTCTTACCAATATTTTTTTTGAGTATTTTGCGGTACATTATTGTATTCATTTACTCTTTGCAAGTGTATTCGAGATTCGATTTTATGCAAAGAGTACAAATTCGAGACAATGACGGAAAAGGAAAGTGCTTTTAATCAGATTTACGTAAGTTAAATTATTTCAAAATATTTTCTGATGGTGTGTTTCGCTTTTTTATTATTCGACAATAACACTGTCTGTCTGGAGAGAAGATTTTTTTAATTTCTTTCTTCTGTATGAAAGGAATGTCATTCATTGAACTTTCATGTTAGCATCTGCGCAGAGCATCAAACTTTTCTGACCGTCAATGTCATTGCCGGTACACTTGGTACAATTTGTGAACAACTAATTTAATAATTAACAAGTTGTGATTAAATTTTATCATCGTTTCCTTTTAAAATTCAAAAGAAATTGAAATTTTCAATGTGGTTGATTTTGTCAGCTGAACAATTCGATTCACAATCACTAACAAATTTCTTACGAATCAAACTGTTTGTGAAACTTCTTTTGCTGCCGGCACTCATACACAGATAAACAGCAAAGTTGATTGCTTTGCCAAAACATTGAAACGAAACATTAAACATTGTAAACGTAACAGTAGTCGAAGTTTTCTATTAGAGCAAGCAGCGGCTTGTAACACTCTACGGAGAAATTTCACCAGTTGATACTTTCAGCTTTACAGTTCTCGCTCTTATTTTTACTTGCACGCTACGTTTGTCTTTTAAGAAAGTTTTTTTTTATTATTTTTAATTTTTAAAAAGTGTATGATGGAGATTTCGACAATTCTCATTTGGATTTTTATTGAAATAATTCTTTACTTTTGGTTCCTTTTTTTGGCCATCGATATGTTCGAGGTAAATGACTTGTTTTTGTGACAAAAAGTAAATTTTTCTTGAGCAGAAAACGGTTTCTATGACGTCAACCTTCTGTTTTATTTTATTTATTTCGTCGTGTCGTGATTGAATGAGCCTTGTTTGTTATTTCTTGTCAACAAAGCTCTAATGATTGAGCTGGTGCTACTTACTTAATTTTTCACGTTATCAGCTTGTTTTGAAATTTGATTTATTTCTATGGGAAGTGAAGACATATTTGAGTCTCAGAATGTTTGATTTTTTTTGTGTCTTCTTTTTGGATTCGTAAACATTCCATAAATGTTAAAAATTTGACCTGAATTTAATGTTTTCTTCTTCTATTCACTTTTCTTCTCATTGTTCTTCTCAAAACAGGCAACATACATCTTTAACAGTCATCAACGTCAGTACGGAAGCTCATCATCAGCCTATTCAACAACAGGTTTACTAAGAAATTTAGCACAACTACCCTACGATCGATATCGTAACGATCACATATTTCTACTCAATAATTTGAGAAGGGAATGATAAAAAAAAGAGTGTCAAGTGTAAACACAAGAAAAAAGAAAAAAACTATTGAAAAAGGAGATAAATTACAATTAAATATTGAGAAAAGAAACAATCTTATAAAATTAGAAGAAAAAAATTGAAATTCAATTAGAACCAGATAACAATATTTTTTCTAGAAAAGAAAAAAGAAAAAAATAGTAAACAAAAAACAAACAAAGTGTCACTAAGCGATCATGTTTTCATTTCATAAGCCGAAGGTTTATCGGAGTACAGCGGGATGTTGTATTTGTAAAGCAAAGTCTTCAAGGTAAGTTTTTATTGATTTTCCAAAACAAAGAAAGAAGAAATTTATTATTGAAAATTCTAACTTTGAAATGTAGTTCAAGATTCACCGATTCCAAGAAGTACGAGACAGACTTCATTCAATGTTTTCAATTGGAAACACCAAGACGTGGTGAGATTTGCAATGCTTGCGTGCTTTTAGTGAAACGTTTTAAGCGTCTGCCACCTGGAAGTAATCGTCATTGGGGTCATGTCGTTGATGCACGCACTGGTCCGGGTTTGAAATCGATGACAAAGTTTAAGAAGCGAAAGGAAGAACAAGAAGCAGGCGAGAAAGGAACAACGACAACATCATCAGTTGCAGAGCGATTAAGTAAATTGTTCAAGAAAGGAAAGAAGAAGGAGAAGAGTTACAAGAAGGAAACATCATCACTTGGTGGATCGTCAGATGATTCACCACCATCACCAACTGAATCGCAACATAGCGACGATTACGATGAAACAATTTTTGGTAAGAAGTTCTTCAATTATGCAACGCGTGCAAATCAAAAACGTCAGAAAGTGATTGCGAAGCAACGTATGCGTCGGAAGAATCCGCGACCGACGAAAAACCTTCAAAATCGCTTTCCTGCTAATCATTTCAACTTATTTGTCGATGTGATTAATGATGATCAATGGCGACAACGTGAAACATGTTGTGGCATTGTTTATGAGTGTGCTGAACTTCAAGCAATTATTGTCGATGCGTCATCATTTAAACCATGCATTCAACATTGTTCAGCGTCAAGTAAAAGATGCGATGACGAAGAACAATCTGAAAATTCAATGACAACTACGAAAGCTTCCGATTCGAATCAACCAACAGCTATTAAGAAGCATCAGTTGTTTCTTAAACGTCACGAGCAACCGTCACCTTCTGGTGTTGTCACCGCCACCACATCAAGTGAACACGTAATAAGTAGTTGTAGTGTAATGGAATCTAGCAATAGAAACAAGACTGAGCTAATGGAAACTGACGAATTGATGAAGCCATTTGACAAACTGAGACGGTTAAACGACATCAAAATGGGTGAGTTAAAATAATTTCTTTTCCTTCTTTGATCTCTTTTTCATTTTGCAACGATTTTTCAAGGTTTACCAGATGAAGTGGCGACTGAAACTGTCATCAATGAAAATGCCTTTGAATCGAAGAAAGACAGCAACAATCATAACGGTGGCGTTAAACTTCTCCACAAACTCAACAGTGAATCGGTAAAGATTTCGAAACCATCAACACTCTTCAACAATCCACTTTCAGCATCATTAAAGTTTAAATTGGCAAATATTGTCAAATGTGGGACATTGGGTAATGATAATTCATCAGATTCTGGTTATGAAGAGGTTCAAGATGGAAGTAAGTTGATGATCGCTCAAATGCCACCACCCGATGTCATGCAATCACTTTGAGTTTCATAAATTTCTGTGCACTGCAATCATTCAAATTCAATCACAGAATATTGTGCGAGTGTTGTCATGTGAATAGTGAAAATTTGTTGTTATTGGTTTTTTTATTTCCTTTCATGAAATTTAAAAGCGACAAAATATCACGCACAGTATCAAGAAAAACAAAACTATAAAAAGAAAAAGAGAAACGAACCAAAACCTTTCTTATAAAAGAAATGAAAAACAGAAAAATCAAAACTTCAAAGTCTTTTTTTCTTAATTAAATGTAGAACAAAAGTTAAGATTATGTGAATGACCGAATGAATCACAACCTCTATAAGTAAACTGCCAGGATCACATTGTTACAGGAATATTTATTATTTTTTTCTTCACAATCTTTCTGAAAGAAAAAGAATAACTTTTCTCATGAATTCAGAGTGAATCGTCAATATCAATGATCATTTACTCTGTCGTGATGTGCAGTGAGCGATTATTTCAAATCTGGCAAATAAGAAACTTTAATAAGTGGAAACATGTAATTGAATGCATTCATGAAAGTCGACTTTTAATCTGTAAAATTAAGGATAAAAAATAATTTAAAGAAAACCCTTAGATTAATGTGACATTTATTATGCTGACAATTTCACCATCCAATACAAATTATTTGATGAATTGTGCAATTTGCCGAGAAATGAAATGTTTAATTCCTGAAATTAAGCTTTTCTTTGATAATGAAAAATTTAAATAAATTATAACTTTCTCGGGTGATTCCAATAATTCTTAAATTAAGAGAAAAATGAAAGTTTAATTGTCAGCATGGAACGATGAACTTGTAAAATTAAGGCCAAAAACATTTAATTAAATGAGAAGACTCTTTGAAAACTGAGCTTTTCGTTTGAAACTTTCTTTGATACTGCTAACCAACTCTTATTAGCTTTTTAAGGACAAAAGAAAAGAAAAATCGTGGAGCTGTTTTTAGTTGCTTGCCATCGTCAATTTATGGTGGTGAAGCTTTATAACTAATCAGTATTTTATATCACAAATAAAACTGAACTCTGAGTTTATAATTATAAGAGAATCTCTTGGATAGAAAGAATATTTTTGTAAAATAATTGTGGCATGAACAGAGAAAGATTTTTCGTTTACTTTTCTATTGTTTTGTACTTTCGAATGGGAACAAAATATTTACGGCTTGACTGATAGATTCCTGTATCTTGACTTTCATCACCTTGTTAATTTTTAAATTAAAGATAAAAGACTTTTTTTATTTCTTCAAATAAATTTATAGATAACTGAATAATATAAATTGTTCATTGAAACAAAGTATCTTGATGATAACTGTTGATGGACGTTCAGCATGCAAACATAAATATTTAAAATTATCACCACCTAGGTCAAATTTTTATTTTTTATTTGATTAAAAAGAAATACAAAAAACCGCAAATATCGCCACTATTTTACTATTTCTCTCTTATTTATTGATAATAGAATTCTTAGAATTAGCTTAATTAAATTTATTTCATACTTTAATTCATCATTCATGCATTAATGAAAGGATATCACTTTGATTATATTAATTTTCATTAAGATAGACAAATTACGATTAATGATTGAAATGAAATGAAGGAAGAAACACAATTTTTACAAAAGAAGAAAAAAATTTAAAAATATGGAATAAAAACTATAAGATATTTTTAGTGGATAACTCAACATTTATTTGTAATTATATTAAAAGAAAGTGTCGATAACTTAAGGTTGTCCAATCACAGAGAAAAATAAGATAAATAATAGCATAATTGTTTAGACAAAAGAAAGAAAAAAACATACAAAACAAAAACATTTTTTGCAAGGTTTAAATAAAATGTGAAACTGAATTGGGAATTTTGCAATCATTGATTAAACAAAATAAAAGATGCAGGGCTCTGAAACTTTAAGACGAAATATTTAAACATACATATACTCCTCGATAGCAGGATATCAGAATCTTATATTGTTACTCTAAGATTTTCAGATCCCTGATTAGAATTTTTTTTCTCAAATGAAATTAAAAAGAAAAAAAGTTTTCATTGTCGCCAAGAAATCATTCCAAATATATTTTCTCTTCTCAACGATAACAATCAATAAAAATGTTAGATTTTTTATATGTTTTTGTGATGAAAAAAAAAAAATAAGAAAAAAAGAAAACTCCTCTAACCGTGAAAATATATTAAATGAAAATTCATTTTGATAAATCAAAGAGAAGAAAATGGATGAAATTTATTCACCTATTTATAAAAATGATCGATGCAAAAATTGCAAGAGACATAAAGAAAAAGAAAACAAGATCAGATCAGCGAGGAGTTGAACTTTACTCACTCCCACACACAACCAACACATATAACATTTTCAAATTCAAGTTGTAATTTAAGAACATTTGCATCATGTGTTTAGCCGAATATCAAATAAGAAAAGAATGCAATATTTAATCAGTAATCAATGAAAAATATTTCTTTTCGTGAATGTTTAACTGATTCATCTCTGTATGTAATTAAAGGACAATTATGTTTTATATTACCTGATGAAAGCATGAAAGCAACCAGACGTGAAGCATTCAAGGAAATTTTCCTTTTTTTGAGAAAAATAAAAATACAAAATTAACGTAAAGATACTTTTTTTCATTTCTTTATATTTCAGTGTGATATTTCAATTGCATTTAAAATATTTTTGAATTTCATCATGAATATAAAGTTTGTTGAAAAAATTTATTCTGCGGATACACATAAATTTTTTTTAACTATCTTATTCGCAGGTGCTTGATGTTTGAAATAAAATTATAACCTGTTAAGGGGATGTGCTTACGATCTTCTTTAAGAGACTTCTCGTTTCCTCTTACCTTCCCAGTGGGAAGTTCCCACTGCAGTATTTACATTTATTTCCTACAGATGATAAACTGAAACCTAAATTTTTAAATGTTTACCCTAAAAATTTTTATCACAGCTTGGAAATTTTCATGAAATCATTTTTTGGATATGGGAAAAGTTTGGTGTTTTTGTAAAACACGACGTTTAAAATTCTTCGTCAATCAGGAAATTCATAAACAACATCAAATACAAAACATTTGTAAACAAACAAGGGCGACATCTGCTGACAAAAATATAAAATAAATTTCAAATATTTCACGGTTAGCTTTATGTTCACGATTCAATGATTTGATCACAATTGTAAATGTTATTGATACACTTTGTGGATAATAAGTGACCATTGATGCATCTGAAACAGTCATAGTGGAATAAAAAAGATAAAAAGCAATATCTTAAAATTTTTGTCAACTAATTTTTATTGGTTTTCTTATGTAAGTTTTTTTCTTCTTATAATTTCTTTTTGTTGATGCAATAAATCATTTATTTCGTCTTTGCTTTCATCAATGAAAATTAGTAAAAATTAAATTTCATGACTGAACTTCAGCGACAATAGCTTATGCACGACGACACATTCAATGTGTGTTTGTTGGCGCAGAGTTGGTGGCAATAATTTCAATCAAGTTTTAATATTATTCATATTTTTTCATCACTAGGGGCGCAATAGTTTTTGTTGATATCATTGAAATGCCGTTGACATGAGAACGGCTTTTGCATTGATGCCTTTCGCTCATTAAACGAAGTCATTTTCCAATTGGCGCGACTTTTACTCTTTTTTTATTATGTTTTTCATTATAAAATTGTAATTTGCACATATAAAAGTATTTATCTTTCATTCATTTTTTTGTTTATTTTTTCCTTCAAATTCTAGTAAGGTTTCATCTAGTATAATGTTTCAATCTTCAAGGAGACTTAACAACTGGGGGAGCGTTTTGCAATGCACCAAGAGAAAAGATTTGTTTTCATATTTTTTTAATCATTCATTTGGCTTTTCTAAGTATTGTGGTTTAAATTTTCATTCCACGTTTCTAGTATGTAAGCCAAATATAAGTTATCTCTTATTAATAGCAGTATATTCACAATAATTGATACTTATAAACTGAACATGAAAGAACGAAACGAAAATTGTTAGATATTTTCTCTTAAATATTTATTTTTCTTTCGAGTGGAAGCAAAAGAAGGTTTTCTTGCTCTTGAGCAAACACTTACATAGTGCCTTGATATCTAAATATGTGGATGGGAAAATGTTTCGTCATCGATAAGTTCTTTCTTTAATTAAAAATATGGGGAAGGATTAAAATTTCATAGAAAAACTCACGAAGTTTGCATTGAGCTTCAAACTTATCGCAAACTTTTAACATTTCCTTTATTCATGTTTATGAATAAAATTAGCGAAAATTTCCATTCTATTTACCAATCAGTCAGAAATAAATTTCTTCTTCTCCTTTTCTTATTTTTGAAGAACTTTATTACTTGATAACAGCCCTAAACAAATAAAAAATAAGAAAAAGGAAAGAAAAATCATAAAATTAAAGAATAAAATAGACAATTTCTTAAAATATTTTTTTTATTACTTTCCTTCGCTGTTTAAACTTTTTTTTCTTTTTGTAATCATAGATATTGAACAAAAAAAAAAGAAATTAAAGTTTATCTTCTACTGGAAAGGACGTTAACACATTATGTCACAATGAAAGCTTTATGAAGAAACTTTTGTTGACGAATTTTAGTTTTTTGTTGGTTGTCTAAAACTTAGACGCTAATTTAGTAAGATTGTCAACTGACATCACCTCAACTGTGACATAACATTAGACGACCTTTGACTTTGAATTTAAATTCATAATTTTGTGTTAAACTTTTATTTTTTCATTTTCATCATCATAATTTGTCACTTCATATAAATTTTCAATCTGAATATGACAATTTCTCTTCATTAAATTCATTCATGCTTCTCTATAATAAATTTACATGTTCTATTAACTTAAAAACAATTAAAAAATTATCTTGATGGGATCTAAAGGTCGAAAGTTGTGAGTTGAATCCATTGTGAAGCAACAGGAAGCTTTTAAGTTTTCTTTATCTTATTTTACAAAAAAGTTTCCTGCATAAGACCAATCGAGGCAACTCACTGAATGAATGAAAGGAGAATGGAAATGGATAAATATCAGGGAAAACCTAACGAAGAGCAAGTGTTGATGGTATTTAATGCTTTTCTATTCATAAAAAGCTAATCATTTTCCCTTTTTATTCGCTTAGAATCATCGTTTGGCCATAATTAGTTATTCAATCCTTTCGTTCTTTAGTCAGCGTTTTATTTATTTGGGCTTCGCTTCCATCTTGAAATTCTCACAATTTTCTTTACAATTTTTGTTATCCTGAAGCATCTTTTTTCTTTCACTTTCTACAAAAATAACAACGAGCTTGCATTCTTTTTTATTTTATTGCTGGTCACTAGAAAGACTATTTTCATATTTTTTTTTTTTAAACAAACATATTTAACATTAAAAAGCGTTTAAAGTAACGTAAAGAAATTTTATTCTGCCAATTTTAAGCTTTTTTTCCTTTTTATTTAGATATTTATGTATGTTTATTAGCGTGCATGAGGAAATTAAACAATTCGCAAGCTTTCTTCAGGATAAATTTGCGTATAAATTCCAATGGAGGGATGTGGATGAGCGCCCATAAGTTTTACTTATTATGGATTTTTCATACATGCTGGATTAATGTTTTCATCTAATTTTTTTTCTTTATTTATCAAATATCATCCACAACTGGTTTTGTTTTATGGTTTTAATACAGAACTTTCACATGTTTTCTTCATCATCAATTTTTATTCTCTAAAAATATTACATTTAATAATCTAGTTTTGCAGTTTCATTTTTCCTTCTTCTTGCCATCTTTTTTCTTCCCATTTCATTTCATTTTTTTATGCAAAAAAGTTTCTCTTCTCTTCACACTTTTGTTTTCTCATTTAAATTATTTATTTGATACAATTTGTATTTCATTTCTTCATCTTTATTATTTAATTTTAATTTCTTAATTTTATTGATTTTTTGTTATTTATATAACATAGGTTTCATGTTCTTTATAATCCTCATCATCATCTTTATGAATGATCAAGTCTGATAAAGTGCAGTTCTATCGAATGATAATTTGGAAAACTTAATAGCTTCGATTATTAACTGAAAACGAAATTTATATCATTGATAGCAAGAGTTGGGAAGGAGAGAAAAAATCGTGTGAAAGTAGAAAATTTTTGTACAGTAAAATAACAGCTACAAGGAATTGGGTATGCGAAGGCTCTCTCAAATTATCATTCAATTATTCATTTCATCAGATGACGTACTTTCTCATACCTTGTTAAATTAATTACCATGTGTGATAAGAAACTGTATCTCTATACTGTCAGTACATTGTCAACAAGTGTTGTGATAAGAAGCTGAGAGAAGTTTCAAAGTAACCATCACATCACTTGCTTATCAACAGATGCACTGTATTAATTTGTTTTACTAATTAAACAATTATCTTTCAATTTGTTAGGATTTATTTTCTTCTTTTTTCTTGAGTGCGTTTTACTTCATTTCGCAATTTCTATCTTCCTGATAATGCAATAATTTTACTTTAATTTTACTTATTTCGTCTTTACGGTGATATTCTGTATTAAAGTTTATTAAATGTATTTTTGTTTTGTCTCTTAGGCTGCTGTTTCAAATGAAAAATATGACATGAGATGAACCAAAATGTTGAGCCAGTTTATCTATTAGAAATATTCTAAACTTCTTTTTGCATTTTTTTTATATAAATTTTCTTGTGTTAATATCTAGTTAGTGACTTCTGCTTTCATCTTTAAGTGATAACGATTAAAACAGCATATTAATAATGAGGTCTTCATTACAACGTTCTTCGTGGATATCATTTTCATTTTTTCGTTATTAAATATTTTCATTGATCAACTAAACTTCTGATTATTGTGGTTGTTTTTTTAATTTCTTAAAGTCACGATCATTGAAACAAAACAAAAATGAGTCAGCGATCGATAATTAAAAACAAATTCTTCCACTATCTACTATCAAACTGTTGTCATTGATCATCTTTTATCATCAGTAAGCATTCAAGTTTAGCAAAACTCAGGAGAAGAAAATTGCATAAAGAAGAAAAGTTTTTATTTTTAATTTATGGAAAGCCGCCACCATCACTTGTTTGTAGATATTTATCGTTATTACAGTAAACAAAAAAAAAATATTCGCGGAGATGTGTAAGAAGAATAAAATTTACAAAAAAAAATTCGTTTTTGATTTTTCTTCTTTTTAACATTTCAATTGTTATTTTCTTTTCTTTGACATTTTCCTTATCATGTATGTGTGTTATTTATGTATGTGTTGGTTGTGTGGTGTTTGTGAAAAGTTTAGCAGAATCAACAACATTCAACTTTATTAGTTTTACTCTTACCATTATTATTATTACATCACTTAGCCACTGCAGCAGCTCCACTTATTGACATAGAATTCATTTGCGTACTGATCGCTGTTGGTCCAGCTGAATGGCTTTGAGCTGCAGCTTGCGTGTTGTTCTGATTACTTGTTGATGTACTATTTAATGAACCGTCATTATTTATTGATGATTGACCCGTTGTTCCTCCTCCTGATGATGGTGTTCCAAGCTTATCACTTTTCTGAATCTCCAGTTCATGAAGACGCTTCCACAACTCTTCGCGTTCACGTTCTCGCTTTTTCTCTCTTAAAAAAGATAAAATGAAAAGTTTGTTAGAATTATAAATGAATTGAGTAAGCTGAGTAGTGAATGACGTAAAGACTGGAAATAGCATTAAAAACTTTCGTTACTAAATAAACAAAAACAGAGCGAATTTACAAATGCACAATCGTCTAATCAAGGTTAAATAAAAATAGATGTGAAAGATTTTGTGTTTATATTTAGTAAGCAAATTTCTTTTGCAAAATTAAAATAATTTGAAAATTTGCATCTTGCTTGCTTTGATGATTTTTGATTTTTGATTCTTAGTAAACTTACTTTTGCCTTTCAGCTTTGTAGCTTGCTGTCAACTCATCAAATAATTTTGAATTCATCTCCATGAATGTTTTTAACACATTATAAACCAAAGCGACAATCGTTTGATTCCAATGCTCTTTGCTAATACGATACAGAGCTGGAAACATAATCGGCATTATGACAGCGTTGTTGTCTTCTATTAACGACATCGCATATTCATTATTCCAGAAATAAAGTGCACGTTCGGCCACCTTAAGATTAAAAGAAGAACTCAATTAAAATACAATCAAAATGCTAACAAATCATTGACATTAATTACCTGAAAATGTGGACTTGAAACACATTTTGCAATCTGTCTGAACAACGGCTCTTGAATTTTAACAAATTGTGGCGGCTCAATCACGTCAAGAATTTCTTCAATTTCACCTAAAAACATTGCTTCTTTCTGCGAGCACGTCTTTGGCCAGTATTTAAGTAGACCACGTACAACTGGCTCGGTCAGTGATGCATCTTTTTCAAGAAATTGAACGACACAATATGCTAACTGAGCATGATACAGCGATAAGCATTTGACTTTATGCAATGGCAATAGGACTTTCACTAGAAACTGTTTATGTTCGGCTTTTAATGGCAATGCAAATCCATTAATGATGCTAATAAAAATGAAGAGAAATTGTTGAAAAAACTTAACTTCTGTGATCATTAAATAACAATTTACCTCCCCAAAATCTCCAGCAATTCACCAACACCGTTGAAATGTTCGGTTTCATAGATGAAACGCAGGAAAATATTGTTGATTTGTTTTCGTATAAAGGCGCGTAGTCCCAAAAATTTTCCATAAATACGATGAAGAACAGTTTTAAGAAAGTCACGTTCGCGTGGATCTTCTGAGTCAAACAGTTCGAGCAACTGAAAAGTAAGCAAATATTTATTAAAGATTCTCTAAAGATAAACAAAGACAAACTCACTTGAAGAACAAATTTTTGGTCAATCACTTTCTTTCCGATAGTCGCTTGAAAGTCAGATGATTCCAGGAAGCGTAAAAACACTTCATAAACTAATTGGAGATGAGGCCAGGATGCTTCAAGTGTTGGATCGTCTTCCTCGGGATCAAAATCAGGATTTTCGCTTGGCGGTAACGTTCGAAACAAGTTAACAGAAATCTAAATAACAAAAAATCATCAATTTCATATTTTATTTTATAAATAACTTTATCAACTCACCATTCTTATAATTTCTGGATAGACTGCCTCTGTTAGCACACCACGTCCATGTGTGATGTATGCCGATAAGTCATTTAGAGCGGCTCGTTTTATTTCTTTTCCTTTAAGATCCGAAACCGGATCCATAAAGTCAAAAGACACACAGCATTGTCGCAATTTTCGAATGAACAATTCTTCTTGTTCCATACTTGAAAGATCCACTGAAATGAGAAGAGGAAATCGTCATTAATAAAGAATGGCAAAGAAATGATTACTACAATTTACCCTTTAATGGTGGAAGTTGTTGCAATTCTAGATCTTGCGAATTTCGATATCGCGACGAGCCTTGGGATTTTCGGCTTTTCTTTTTCAATGAACGCTTAGCAAATGGATCAATACGATCCACGAACGTTCCCGACGACATTGAGATGGTTTATTTATTCGTTTGTCCAACAAGTAATGTATAAATGACGTGTGTGTGTGTTTTTTATATTATGAGGAAGGAAGAAGAAGAGTCCTTTAGGGATTTTCACTCGACTTTGTAATGGACGCAAAATATGTGACTTTATGTGTAGATTTTTCCTTGCGTTATGAAGTTGCTTTTTGTAGCAAGTTGAATTCTGCTTCAATTCCAATTATTTTGCTGGCACGAGAGTCTAAATGTATAAGAAGAAACCATTTAAGAATTCATGTTAGTTGATTTGCTTAAGCCTTAAGGCTTGAGGGTATTTTCCAGCTATTTACCGAAACTGTTCGCATCTTACATTCACATCATTCTGGAAAGATTTTCCATCACTTGCAAGCACACTTTTATTATTCATTAATGACTCTCATGAGGAAGCATTCAAACTTTCGCTTCATGTCTAAACATAAAAAGCTTTCTTTTCACATCCAAATAATATTTCATGTTTAGCATAAAACATAAATAAGCATAAAAGCTCACAGATGAAAAAAGCTAAACTCGGGTGGATAATTAATGCAATTATTGCATGTTTTATAGAAAAACAATAAGGAAAAATGTCTTTTGTGATTTAGTATTTCATATTTGATATCTCTTAATGCATGACAGTCAAAAATCACGATAAATAATTTATTCAAATGATATCCTCAAAAAGAATAAAAGAATTGATTTTATTCCCGTTCTTTTGTTGAACTTTTAACTTTCTATGAAATAAATGAACGTTTCTACAAACATGTAGCTTAGATAAATTGAAATGATTGACAATGATTGCAGTAAATTGAAAACCATTACAAAAGGCTCGAAAACTTTGACGTAAAATTGATATAGGTCAGTTTATGCAATTATTAATTCAACTGAATTGCCCTTTGCGAAACATAATATTACGTTATGACGTGTTCAGGACAATCTCAACAACAATAAGTGTAAGGCTTATTAAATTATGAAGAATTTGTTGGAATTGACAGAGAGTTTCCTTCAACACTTGAAAGGTTTTCTTACTTTGATTAACAATCAATTATTGGAAGTTTTACTCAGTTGACCTTAAATTAATTTTTTTATCACTGTTCCCCCACCTTTAAGCAATATTTGCAATGTTTTGATATTTTAGTAGATAGAGGATGAAGTATTTTCGATTGTCTCAAGATGAGCTTACAATAAATTGCATCATCGACATTTTTTCAATCAAATGACAGAAATTACTCGATGGAAGCTGATTTATTACACTTGCATATCATTCTGATAAGAGAGAATCCAATAACTCTTGTATTTAATTAATTTTTATGTTATTATACACGCCAAAAAACTTTCTGTTGTTGTCATCATGAAAATCTTTTTACACACGAAACTTTTTTGTTTTATGTAACAACGTAATTTACACCTCCGCAATTTTTGTATTTCGCTCTTTGTGATTCTTGTTATTTTTTTGATAAGAGCTTATGGAATTGTCATCAGTTGAGTCATTTTACTCGTAATATTAAATTACTATGATTTCAATCGAAAAGATAATAAATAAGACGATTAGCACACAAAATGTTTTTCTTTTGTTTTATGACAGGTCACAAGCCGTATTGAAAATTTTATGACTTAGATTCGTACAGTGGAAAGTGTCATTAAAGTTTTATGAGGATGAAACTATCTGCCGCCATCAGAAGCGCGTTTTTCTTTCTTAAAAATATTTTAGAGTCTTTATGGGAAAAGTTTTCATTTTTCCCAATTCAGACGTTTTTGTTAGCATTTTTCCCCATCATCCTATTGATTTTCTTCTACGATTTTTCTTTTTTCATTCTTCCATCCTCACTCGCACACTGAAACAACACAAACTCATCGCACAACACAATTCTTCTTTTTCTTATCACAGTGAACATTTTTTTTGCTACTTTTCATTAACAATAACTTGAAGTTTAAGCTCTTAAACTATTCCGATTATTTCAATTTATTTTTGAGCGAATTTCTCATTACTTCACCGTCGTTGTCTTCTTATTCCTTTATTTATGACCAACTTAAATTCCCATTCAACCCATTGTCCATTATTTTGCCTGCCATGAGCAGTAGCACACTTTATATTTTATTCATTCTGCTATGATTTTAAAATCACTTTGGAATTAATTATTATTTTTTATACACAAAAACTAAAAGAAACGAAATCAGAAAGAATGACTCGGGAATCAAGAGAGAAGAACTCGAAAGAAACTTTAAAAAATTTCCAATTTCTTTATTTTCTCTTTCTCCCTCGAAACTGCTCAAAAATGTTCTTCTTTTTAATGAAATTCATTCATACGACGACGACACAAGAGTTCATACAACACAAATTCTACACCGAAAAAAGAAGAAAAAAAACTTTGAGAGAGAGAATCAAAATGGCTGGCTGAGTGCTGTGCATGATGATATATTCGGAATATCTTAAAGCATGAGAAAAACGGAGAAAAGGAAAAATAGTTTTCGTTCTAATCAATTGGTAGTTTAAGAGTACTCGAAGTCGATGACGAAAGCGGCAATCTTCTATTAATCAAACTTTAGCTTGACTGACATCATCAATATGATGAAGCGACATTTCATTAAATTTTGTTTATTTTTAATATTTCTTCTCTTCATCTTGAATATTTTTTTTTACGTTTTCGCAAGGTATTTTTAGATATATTCAAAGAATCATCACAAATAACGACAGGCGAAATGAATGAGAAGGAACTAAATTAGACAATTATTGGCGATGTAATATGAAAGTCAATAAATGAAAGCAAGGACTTTCGCTTGATGAGATTTTACAAAATGCCACAAAAGTTTCTTCTACTTCTTTTTACTCTAGTTCATTACCATGAGAAATGATTCATAAAAAGGTAGAAAAGAATTTACAATCAATTTTGTTACTTCGATTGTTATCGAGCGAATATTGATATTATGCAAGCAGAAGGCAGATAGTAAAAGGTTGGAACCAGCCAAAGAGAAGAAAGTAGAAAAAAGAGGGTCGGTGAGGGAGAAAAGGGAGCCGTCAGTGTGTTCTTTGCGCCGATGCGCAACTGTGTCGGCAACATTCGAACAACATATGCAATATACCATAGCCATGAAGAAAAATTTTTTTTTGTTCCTTTGCTGATACTCACCGCTTGATATTACAAATAAAAATTATAAATCTTTCTTCAACAAAATCTCCTCGAATGAATTTTTCATCGAGTAATTAAACCAATGATTTGAATGGGATTTTTATAATCAGATGAAGAATTTGCTTAGTTTTTTAATCCATTTGATGGGTCGAAAACGACTTTTTTTTCGTCACATTTACACTTTTTCGCTCTTCTCTTTTAGTCCCACATACTTTTTTTTCTTGACTTTGCGTGATCTCGAAATTAAGCTTTAAAACTAACTCCTATTTGCTTAACTTCAATTGCTTTGTGCTCTTCACTTATAGCTCAACATGTTTATTATAAATTTACTGATTTTCGCAAAGTTCTTACACTTCAATTCTTGTGTTTAATTTTCTTCAAATTCTTTTTTTGTACACTTCGAAAATACATTCTGAAGAACTTTCAAGCCCCTTATCACAACCCTGCAATTTCGAAACGACCGTTAAAATTTTCGAACATGAAATCACAAAAATAAAAACAAAGATTTGAGATTTAACAAGAATATTCTTCAACACTTTTTATTTATAATTCAATTAATCTTCGAACGTCATTCTGCTTTTATTGTTTTTCATGTATCTTCGATACGATTTGTAACGATTGCTTTCTGCCATTTTTGCTTTCATTTCTTCATCCTGCTGCTTCTTCCACACTTTGAAATTTTCTTTTATCCAAAGTTCTTTTTTTAAATAACTTTCAAGAACATCTTCTTCGATAGCATTGAATTGATTTATACCTAATCCGAAATTCTTTCTCAACAAATACATCTTTTCTTCCATGCCATATGGTTTCCCTAAGAGATTGAAATTAATAATCCAACGTGCATACCAAATAATATATTTTGAGATTGTGTAAGGAGATATTATAAGCTGAATCCAAAGAATATCGATAACGGAAGGTTTACTATAAGAACCTTTGATATCCATTTTCTCCTCTATTATTTCTCTAATTTGCTTCTCTTGATATTCTTTCAACTCTTGTTTTGACATTCTGTTTTTTCTCCCCTCTTTCTTTGAATCTTGTAATGACTTGTCACTAGCAATCATTTCAAGTGCTTTATTTCTGTATTTAGGAACCTAAAAGAAATAAGAAATGAGTGAAATTTGTTATGTCACGTTATGCATGATTTAGCAGTCTCTTGTACCGTTACAAAATAGTTGACTGCTTCTTGATATCTTGACTTTCTTACGAAATACTGAATCAGCGAAATGACAGAAATCGTTGAGAAGAGAACAAGTCTTATATCAACTTTAGGACCTTTACGTCGATAATATCTAGAAAATAATAAAATTATTAACAACATGTTTTTTACAGATTTTAATTTCACCTATAGTAATTCTGATAATAAGCTTCTGGATGGTCAAGCATGTAATCATAATCCTTTCTAGCTTCATCATCTTTCAAAATTTCATAGGCATTCGCTATTTTCTTGAATTCTTGTTCATCACCAGTTTCCCGGTTATCAGGATGATAAATTCTAGCATAGCCTCGATAGTTCTTTGAGATCTCTCCTTTGGTGGAGTCTCTGGTTACATTAAGAACATCATAACAATTTTCCTCGCCACAGTAGAGTCCAGCCATTAGATGACCTGATGTTAAAATTGGAGCATGTCCAATAAATGCTATTAAAATGATAATTTTTGCCGACAAAAATTGCATTGACTTCATTTTTGTACTGGCATCAAGAATAACTGTTTAAAAACTAAAAGATAAATTAATTAATCAAATATTTTCATTAAACTTTTCTTTTATTTTTCTTACGTGGATACACTTTTTAAAGAAAATATATAAATGACTTCAAAGTTGAAGTTTACTTAGAAAGAAATATTTCTACAAAGCGTTCACATCATCTCGATGATGACATAAAGACATTTCATATAAATCAACCGGCATTTTATTAGGAAACAATAATCTAAATTTTTCCTGAAACAAAAATAACAAAAAATATTCTAATTAATCTATTTTATTTCATAAGGCTTGAGATCATGGTGACTATAAGTAAAATACTTTATGTGTTGTCCCAGTGGCTGATAGGTTTAGGCTTTTCACTTATTCACGTGAGTTGTTGTTTTATTGATTTATTATCCTAGATATTTATTGTTCTTCTTCAATTTTTTTTTAAAGACTTTTCACATTTCACGGCTCTACGAAAATCAGTCAAAATTTTCTCATTTATCAACACGGGAACGTGAACTTCAATTGAGCCCTACAGAAGCTTTCTATTATCAATTCTTCAAACGTATCATCGAAGCAAGAACTTTTGAAGAAGGAATTGATCGACTCGTGTTTGATAACTTGACTGAATATTCTGAGGGTCTCACAATAAATTCAATTAAAAAGTTTCACATTCTACCTGAAGTTACGATGGGTTTTCTTTATCGTAACTTCATTCAACTTTCAAGCTCATTGAACATTCCAACAGTTAATTGTTATTATGTTGAACCAGATGAACATTCTTCAATCGATGATCCAAAAGTGAGTTTCAAATTGACATGAAATATGACTCGAACATTCAATGTTTAATCTTTAGGTGTTCATCAACTGTGAGGGACTTGGAGAGCCAATTTTCTTCTACCTCGCTGTTGTATGGAGTTTATCTGCAATCACTGTGTTCCTTCTTTACATGTACGGATATTTTCTTCATCGTCATGTTATCGGAGGTTGTGCTGTTATAATTTACTACTTTTGTGTTCATGAAAATGCCACAAATGTCCATAGAGCGCCTATGATGAGGCATAACTTTGCAATTCCATTCATCGTCTGGCAAACATTTTATCTTAATTTATATGTTGATAGACACCAGAATAGAAAAGATCGAACAATTCATCAAAGAAGTTATGAGATGGTAAGAAAGATTTCTTTAATTAATCTTAATCAATTATTGAATGTTTTCATCATTTAGATCATCAGTTTGATATTTTTTACGACATTGGCAAATGTTTTCTGGGACATGTCATCGAAAATTTTCCTAGCACAAACTTTTGCTGTTTTTATTCTTCTTCAATGTAATGACAATGCTGGAAATTCTTACATAAACACGGGACTTGCTTTGGATTACGCCATCACTCAAGTAATTTCAAACTGGCTGAGCTACTGCTTGATGTATGGCAACATGAAGTTCCTGACTTGTGGAAATATGAGTGTCAATGTTGCTTTGATCATTTATATTGTTCGAATAACAGTGATGAAAATTCCTTCAGACGACGAAAATCCACATCTTCGATCACCATTAAGAAGGTTCATTTACACTTTTTTCTTCTTCGTGACAACTTCGTGGTTTGTTCAAGATTTAATGGATCGCTTTGTACCTCAAAGTTTTCAAACTGATGGAACTCTTTTGTACAGTTTGGATACGTTCCTTACATTGATTTATTTAAAGTTGCCAACATTCTACACAATGCTCATGTTATATCAAGAAAATTCATTTCTTGAAACAATTTCCATCGGAACAATTCGACTTTATTGCATCGTATTTATTTTTAAAAATCTCTCGATTTATGTTGCAATCAAATTTTATGATTTGCTTCATCAGAAGACAGCAGTCAGTCAAGAAATGGCTTCTGAAATGCAAGAGAGAGTGAAGAATTATGTGATTGAAGATTTCCTTGAAACGAGTGGAATATCAATGAGAGATTTATCAGACCCAAAGACCGAAAAACGAATTCAAAAAGATCTCGATTTACTTGAAGAGCTCAATTATAATTATGAAGTTTACAAACGTCACAAAAAGAATCAAAAGATTGACACGAAAATCGAGAAGGAAAACTTTTTAAACGACATAAGAAAACTTAAAACGCAAATTCAAAAGGGAGAAAAATCATCAGAAATTGTTGATGAAAGTGAAGTTGAGAGAACGAAGAGTGAAGTTAATGAAAGCAATGAAAAAAGTGATGAAATGAATGAAGACGAGGTTGATGAAACAAATCAATCGACGAAGGAAAATCTTGAAGATTCTTTGTACAATGTTCAACCGTTCTACGCTTTTGCTTTTCTACAAACTTTCACATTGTTTTTCTTGGCACTTAAATTCGTTGTGACGCCTTTCCTATGTTTGTTAAGTGCAACTGTTCCATCGAAATCGTGGTTCAAACGATCAACGTCGGTTTATTGGGTGTTTTATCTCTTCGTCGTCATGTGGTCTTTCAACTATCCTGGATATAAAAATATTCAAGCTCAATATCAACAAAAAAATGAATTTCGTAATCCAGAACTTGAAAGTTTGCTTCATTGGATTGACAAGACTGATTCGAATGCTGTGTTCGGTGCACCGATTGAGATTGCAGCTCATATTCTACTCACAACTAAACGTCCTTTAGTTAACCATCCATTGATTGAATATCCTGAAATGATTGACCGAACAAGAAGTTTGTACACGATTTTCAGTAAAAGACTTTCAACTGAAGTTTATAATCAATTAGTTAAGCTTAGAGTTCAATACGTTGTTATATCATATGAAAGTTGCTTCATGGGTTCACAAGATGGAATACGACTCATTGATATTTATGATTACCTCGAGCCAGAAAACTATGATAAGAAAGCTTTTTGTGTGAGTCTTTTCCAAAAGCATCATCCAACGTTTCTGAAAGTATTTGAGAATGTCAAATATATTGTCGTTCAGATATTCTCGCAATCAATTCAGTTAGAATTAAAAAAGAAAAACGTTTTAGAATTACAAATGTAGTGAGTTAATTAAAACTTTTTTGTAAGATAAATAAACAACTTGTAATCAACCAGAAAAATGACTATGATGAGTTAATTTTTATTTAGATACTTAAAAATGTCATTCAATTCAAGTGTTTATTTGTTGAATAATTTTTTATTTATTTAATATCAGATTCAGGTTTGATATTTGACACTTTTACCATAAATTTCCACACATTAATTTTGTATTTAGAGATTTAACTTCTCAACTTCATGGACTTTCGATTTTTCCACGTCTTTACCCAACCGCTCGCCATCAGCGATTGTTTCTGGTAATTTTTCGTCAGTTGTTTCTGGTAAGAATGTTGACAATAAACCACCAAAAAGCACACAGATACCAATAATAAAATATGGAGCTGGTTTCCAATATTCCGAAAGAAATATTAAATACGGCGCTGTGATGCTACCAACTCGACCTGACATACTTGCTGCTCCCAAAGCGACATTTCGAATGACTGTTGGAAATTGTTCAGCTGAAAAGACATAAATTGCTCCATAGCTTGTCGTGATACTCATTTTTCCAAGCATTGCCAGCGTGATGATCAACCAATGATAGTCTCCAGGTATGACGAGTGACAAAAGAAGTGTCAAGCCGGAAAATATCATACTTCCAGCTAAGATGACTTTCCTTCCCAATCGATTAAGTGAAAACATAAGGAAAAATAAAGCAGGAAATTCAACCATTCCACTTATTGCGAAATTAAGATGATCATTTCCACCCAAGTTTTTGGTACTCCATGATAAGCCGTAATACGATCCCGTGATAATAAACCAATCAAAAAAGATGAGAAGTGATTTAGTTCTGAGATAAGGTGATTTAAACAAGTCTAAGAGTGAAGGTTTTCTTTCTGCCAAATCATTTTCGTTTGCAATGTCATAATCTGTCTGCAATTTGTCCAAAACATGTTGGGGAATCTTCAAATCATTATAATCAGCAACTCTTTGGATTTGACGAATTGCTTTATCCTTTTTATTGTTACTTAGAAGCCATCGTGTTGATTCAGGTATGATGTAGTAATATGACATCATGAACAACCCAGGAATTGTTATTGCAATTTGCAGCCATCGCCAATTGTGAATAAAATAAGCCAAAAAAGCGATCAAAAGGTAGCCGACTGAAAAGAACATCTGAATAACAGTTCCGGCAATAGTTCGAGATTCCTTTCCGACAAGTTCCACTGCTAAGCAAAATGAAACTAAGAAGATTCCAGAAGAAGCTGCACCAACAATCTTTTAAAAGAATTTAATTTCTTCTTCACAATTTGAAGGCAATTTCATAAGAATTCATTTCATCTTACCACTCGACAAATTGTGTATGTTAAAAGGTTCGGTGAAATCGCAATGGAAACTCCGGCAAGCAATTGAATAAAAAGCGATAAAATAAGTGTTGGCCGTCTACCAAATTTATCAGAAAGATCACCAAATGCGTAACTGCCGATAAAAACTCCAAGCATCATAAAAGAGTCTGCTGATGCTCTCCACGATGCTTTATCGCATACCATATTGAATGATTTTACAGCTGAACTTTCATACTTTGAAGTACTCCAAACGTAATCAAGACATTTTGATAACTCAATGGAATCATTAGATGATTCTTTTATGAATTCGCACTTTGAGAATTCATTTTTTGACATGTCGAATGGAAACGATGAGTTCAAAACATCGGATGACAGTTCAAATGGTGAATCAATCGATTCGTTATCTAATCTGCAACGATGATCAGGGACAGCGAGTAAGAAAACCCCGGAAAGCTTATGAAATGCGCTAAGAATTACTGGTAAGCAAAGAAGGAAATAAATTCTCTTCTGATACTTTCCAAAATCACCGCGACATAAATACGGCACAACATCATCGAAATTCATTTCAATTTAACTTTTTTCTTACTTCTTCACTTTGAGACGTCAACGTCTTCTACTCAGGTAAGCTTCATTACTAAAAAATATTTTGCCTACTTATGCTTGCGGAATAATCTCAGCTGAATATCAGCTGTTATCTCTAATGTTATCAGTATTAAGTCACGAAGCAAACATATGTATGTACTTGGTGGATATTTTATTAATCTTGACACTTTTCTTATTATAAAGTCACCGAACCTTCATCATTTAAAAGCATTTGCTTTCATTAGATTAAGTGAGATTGGAATTAAAAGTATTTTATGACTTTAAGTAGTCAAATACATCATAAAGGTTAATTAATATAAGAGCCTCACAAGATATCACTCTACGCGAGCTTGGAAAATAAAAAAATTATAATAAAAACGTCTGAACAACTCTCACAATGTTTTTCTCTCGTACAATCTCTTGAAATATATGCACGACGATGAAATGAGCTCTTGATAAGAAAAGTGTTTGAAGTATTTACATAAAATCGCACACAATGTTTAGTGTCATATTAGAGGCTTACAAGTTTACATCATGAGTGATGAAAAATTGACGAAATGTGAAGATGTCGAAGGAAGTTCATCGATTGTTTTATCAACAATGTTCTCGCTTACAAATCCAGGAGAATATTCTGAGAAATATCATTACAGTCGCTATGGAAATCCATCAAGAAATGTTTTGGAAGAGTCGCTTGCAAGACTTGACATGGCAAATTTTGCTTTGACTTATTCATCAAAAATGGCTGCAACTTTAGCGATTTTGTCAACACTTAAAGCTGATGATTTGATGATTTCAAGTGACTTTTTGCTTTGTGAGAAAATTAAAAAACTTGGTGTACGTGGTAATATTGAACATTTCGAATTTTACGATGTCAGAAAGTTTGAGGAATCATTTAACGTGAATACAAAGATAGTTTGGATTGAATCACTCTGTTTTCCATTTATGACAGCTTTGGATATAAAATCCATTTCTGACGTCATTCACGAGAAATCAAAAGCTGTTTTGGTAGTCGACAACACTGTTTTGACTCCGTATTTTCTTTGTCCATTGAAACTTGGTGCAGACATTGTCATTTACTCGTTGGATGAGTTCATTGCTGGTCATTCAGATGTCAAAATGGGATCTGTGGCTACAAATGATCGAAATTTATATGAGAAGCTTAAATATCACCAAACATCTAACGGTGTTGGACCGTCACCTTTTGACTGCTTCATTGTTAACAGAAGCTTAAAAACTTTTCCTTTAAGAATGGAACGATATGCAGACAATGCAAAAAATGTTGCAAGATTTTTGGAGTCAAACTCGAAAATTAAAAAAGTTTTCTTCGAACCAGGTTCCGGAGTGTTATCATTCATTTTGAAAGGATATTTAGAAGATCTTGTGAAATTTTCTGAATCATTAAAATACATTTCAATAAGTGAAGTCTTAGGAGGTGTTGAGACAACCATTGACTTACGTTGGATGAAAGAAAATTTGATAATAGTTTCAGTTGGCTTAGAAAGCTTTGAAAAAATCAAAGATGACTTTGATCAAGCTTTGGGGAAAATTTTGACTTGAAGTTATAAATTTATTTCATTTACCTTATAAAGTATTTAATAAAAATTTATCTACGTTCGTAATGTTGACATTTACATACTTGAGGGTTTAGTTAGAATTTAGGTAGAAGTTTTTGTGTTGAGAGTACGAATGTACTATTAGTAAATTTGCGTAGCTGAACACCCTTTTGATACAAATTCATAAATGACTTATTATGAGTAGTCCTTTTAAGGATACTCAAACTGAAATAAAATCTGTTGAAGTGAACTCTAAATCACTTAGATAAAACTCGTTGCGTCTCTTTCAATATTTTTCTTTTGTTCCTTATCTGTTATTCGCTCATTACGGGAGAGTTTGAGTATACATTTTTATTTCAGCTACACGCGTTTTAAAGTGAATCGTTGAAGAGAAGGATCATTTTAATTCAACCTTTAGTGAAACTCGGACGTAGCAAAAAGTAAGTGAAAGACTTATTTAAAAAATTCTCGAAATGAAGAAGATGAAAATTCAAATTTTAAAAGCTCAAAAACGTGTTCCATTTTGATTAAAAATCTTAAATCTGAAACTCTTCATTATTTTATGTTTTTTTAACTGATTAATCAATTTATTTCTTTTGCATTTTACTTGCCACGAGGTTTTTCAAAATTACCAAATGCAAAGTTATCTGCTTTTTGGACTTTACAAGATTTAATTTTCATCTTCATCATCAGTTTTAATTGGACAATTAACGTATTTGAAGAAAATTTTAAAAAGTTGGATCAACAAACACGCACATTTTCAAAAGAATTGAATCCAATATATTTTCTCACCTTTGATATAATTGATAAATGGCTTAAAAATCTTGAACAATATGAAGAAGCTGAAGGGCTGGCCATTTCAAAATGTGTGATGGGAGATTTCATAGTTTGTATTGGTGTTATTTCTTGAAAAACTGATTTTTTGTGTAATTCTTCAAGTTGATGCAATGGTGTTGATGAAATTAAGGATTCTGATACTACTGTGACAATAGATGCGATGTGAGAGTTCAAATCCGTGTTATTATCTTGAATCGATGCCGACTCTTCTGTAATTGTGTTGAGCATGTTTGTACGATCCATATCAACCGGCTGATCTGATCGACTTGGAGGTTTCATAAATATATTTTTTTTTTTCTTTTGGCTTATCATTTATAAGTTCTGATATTATATGTGATCTCTCAGCAATCTGGAACATTAAATTTTCATTGCCGTTATTTTAAAATTTAATGCACAATTAGGTATCTAAATCAATTTTTTACCTGTGATATCTGTTTTAAATATTCCTTGTGATTACTTAAAATCAATTTATGAAGATTAACGATTCCGGCTTCGAGAAGAGTGAGTTTGTTTTGCTCATCTATAAATTAGTTTCAAGGGGTTATTCACGAACGGTTGCTTGAGTCGACCGTGAAATTGCTGAAAATTGCTGGCTGTTGCTAACAATTGCTGGAAAATTTAAAGTTGCTAGCAGTTTTAAAGTTGTTAACTGTTGCTGAAAGTTGCTAACAGTTGCTTATAGTTGCTACAGGCTGCTTAAAGGAGAAAGCAACATAAAAACATGTTTTTCTACTGTTTTTAATACTTTAAGCGTAATGATTTTTTAACGTTTATAATTTTGATTTTAACCGGGAATCTTCAACAACCAAAAATGAGACAAGTGATACCTACGATCCTTGTGAAAAAAAAAGTTACAAATTTTAGATCAAACGAAATTAGTACTGTTTGCGATAAACACTGATGAATAATTCTTGTCTGTAACTGGCTCAATTGAATATTGAAATATGATGAGATAAAAAAAACTTTTCGTTTCAGTAAAAGTCTTTAAGAATAACCAAATCTTGATTTTTCTTTATAGCTGTATTTTCTTCGATAAGTGTTGACAAGAATAACAAAAGTTGAATAATAATTGATATATGGAAAAAGACCTAAAAAGTTAATAAATTCACATTAAGTTTTCGATCATGTAAAAATAAATTTGTTTTTCTTTACCGCTATCGGTCTTTCAATTTTTTAACGTTTAGCTATTTTGTATCGTCTTGTAATTTAGACTTGTTTTGCATAAGCTATAAATGAATTTCATGTGAGTATTAATTTTAATGTAAATGTTTAATATGAATTTACCAATAGATTTGATATTTGAATGGTAATGTATGAGAAGAATAAATTCCTTTGAAAAATGATGATATTGTTCAGATATTTGAACTTGGTTGCATAAGCATTTAATGAATGATTGAATGAAAATGTTTGGTAGGAGAAAATTTCCTTTGACAAAATGATTTTGGATTGTTTCCAGATGAAAAGAATTAGATATAGATGATTTAATTTGATGTAGTTTAAATGATGAAAATAAATTGACTTACAATCGATTGAAAACTGGCGGCTTCGATGACTTCCCAATAAACTTTATATGAGTGCGAAAGTGCTTTTAAATCTATTAAATTATTTCCATAAGTATTTTGAATATTATAAATCTTTGAAAATTATACCTTTACAGTTCTTTTCAATTTCAACGAGAACTTATTGATCAGCTGAGAGAGTTTACGAGATTTAGCTTTGACCTATATATTAAATGAAGATTAGCTTAACGGTAACGAGATTGGAATAAAGCTTTTTTCACCTTTACGAATTCTTGAAGGGCAAACTTCCGGACGTCGCTATGATTTCGCTTGCGAGTAATTTGCCGATTTCTGATACATTAAATGTTACATAATTAGCTTCATTCGATGACTAAAATTCTAAAATGTTACCTTATTAACTAACTTCGATAACTTCGAGATCTTAATTGGCGATAGATCAATTTCTACGGGAACGATTCTTTAGTGCTTGCGCTTGCACAAATGTTTCTCCGTATTTACAACTAAAATATGATAAGTCGGGATAAATTTTATATTAAATCGAAGGTCTAAGTCTCTCTCACCTATTTAAATGATATTATGTCAAATCTTTAATGTTTTAAGGCTTTAAATAATTACTTTTCTAATTTTGGCTTTCTAAAATGCCGGACAAAACCTAAAATCTGAGCGAGATAGCAAATTGCTCAGTTTAGCACGACTAATTTTCGCACCCTTGGGAGCCGCCGCATAACAATTATGAATTTTTACAAAACGTTAAATTTTTATAGTTTCTTTTGAAAAGTTATTTTTTTTATATTTATTTATTTTTACTCGCCGTGATCCGGACTCGACAACAATTGTTTTCTTGTTTTATTTGGAAGTTGAGTATATCTATAATATTGTTCATTTTGACATATGAAATTCTCATACTTTTATTTTGTTTTCCACGATTTTCCCTGATTTAGCTTGAAAAACGACAAATTTTCATTAGTTGTTAACAGTTGCTAGATGTTGCTAACTGTTGCTGTAGGTTGCTAAATTTTTTCTCGGTTGCTTTTTTTTCCGAATTGCTAATATAAAAAAAAGGTTGCTAAACCAGGGAAAGTTGCTTGAGTCGACAATTTTCGGCCGTGAATAACCCCTTGATTAGTTTGTTAAACTAGTTATTTTATACTGCCCACATTTGATGTTACCCAAATTTGCTATGTTTCTCTACCATTTGCATGATATAGGTGGAATTAATATTAAATACTTACGGGATAAGTAGGAAGCTTTTTGTTGAACATCAACCCTTTTCTTTCTGGGTCAAGATGCGGATTCTGCTCCATGAGAGCAGGGAGGAAAATTTGACGAAATGGGAATCTTTTCTCTTTCGGTTCATCGGTCGCCCTTTCATAGCTTCCGTCAGAGTTCGTTTTAATATAAAGTTTTTCGAACACTCTAAAGGTTTGGAACAATTTCCCAATTTCCTTTCGAATTTTTTTCGACATGTTTCTGTTTAAGAAAAAAAAAGATAAACACCCGATAAACATTACTCTCTTAGCTACGTTAATTGTCCAATTATAATTATAAATTTTGATTATTTTTTTAATACTGTCTTTTACTTAGGTAAAATTTCATTAGTGACCTGACTTAGAGATGAACGTCTATCGTGGATGAGCTATTTCAGAAGTTGCTGAGTTTACAGGAAAAGCAGAAAGAATTTTATTCTAGACCAATCGGAAATATTTTAAGAAAGTTTTTGAAATTCACTAATTTAAAATTATATCTAATAAAGAAATGACATTTAATATCATTGTAAACCAATACAACGTCTATTATAATGTAAATAAAAAGTTTCTGTTTACAAACAGTGGTTCAAAATTAATTTTTCGCTTCTTATCTACTTTATTTAAATGTCTGTCACGCATTGTTGAACTCCTTGTTTGATTAAAAACATTTCTTCTCGCAATTTACCGAAATTACCTAATTAAGCTAACTTTTTTTTATTCAGCAGTCGTTGATTTGCAATGACACAGTTGTGTAGTTAAAATAAACAAAAATTAACATCAAACGATTAAATTGATCATTCATTGTTTCCACTTCATCATCAAAAACTTATCGATTCATCTGAAAATAAATTTTAATTGTCTCTCTCTGATACCAGCAATTTATTAATTTCTTAATTCCTGTGATGTTGCATAAGAATTTGAATTTATTGGTAAAATATTTCTCGTTTAACTTTAATCTATAAAACAAATTTATTAAAAACTGTGGTAAAAATTAATTGAATAGTATTGCGAATTGTTCCAATCGGTAGCGTATCTCCCCGTCAACTACAACTTCACATGTTAACTTTGTCTGTGTTGAAGTCTCATAAACTTTTTCACTTGTAAAATATCCAACTTTTTACTTCTGCTTCAGTCTATCGCGAGAAGTAAATCGAGTAGGATGTTGTATCGTCTTAGCAGAGAAAGTTGAAAGTTTTTGATAAAGAAAATATTTTTAAAAAAACGTGAAAAAATAATGGTCATCGTTGGAAAATTATTTATGTTGTGATTAAGACATTGGAGAGAAATTAATTTTGAAGTCAATAGCTTCTTATACAATTATCAGTGACCAAAACCTCAAATAGCAGTTTTGCAATTTTGTGAAAGTTTTACATATAACTTCTTTCATTGTGTCTTAAAGCGTGCATAGAAATTTAATTATTCTGCAAGAAGAGTTTCACATCTCAAAGTTTGACCTTTAATTCATACAATTTTTGGATTATAAATTATTCTTAAAAAACGGTAGGTAAAATTATTTGCGATATTGGCAATCTTAAGTAAATAAACGTTGCGATATAAAAAGCGATACGAAAGCATAAGTGGAAGTGCGAAGAGAAAAACTTTCTAAAAATCGCAACTTTTCGTCGTTTGATTCAATCAATTTTTACTTTATAAGCAAGTAAGACATAAGACGTTAATTGATTAACTCACATCAAGTTTTACAATTGTTTACGATGTCACAAATGTTTCTTTATGAAATAAGTTAACGAAAAGGCATTGAAGCGAAAAACTTGATATACTTTACGCAACGAAAATTGGATAATGATATAATTATACCAGGCCAAACCAGACCATCACGGAACGAATTTTTATGTTTTATATTTTTGCTTTTGTGTTCATTCGATTTTTGACGAGTTTCTTCATCATCACCGACGAGTCAGAGATTTTTATCTTAATTCTCAATGTCTGCACCTAACTCGCTTCTACTAATCTTCTCTTCCGAGCTACTTCCAAACCTTTTTTTAATATTTCTTCTTTCACCGAAATCGAAATTGAAACTCACCTGAAAGTTAGTTCCATTAACCCACTAAAATAGAGTCATGCGGATGCAATCGGAAAAAAGTTTTTTTGGTGAAAGAAATTGTGTGTAAAGAATTCAAAATGAATAAATAAATACACGATGACTCAAAGAAACTTAAGAAGAAAAGTTCGCTTAACAAATGATGTTGAAAATAAGTGCAGGCAATTCATTACCATATAATCAAAAAGGATCTTAAGCATAAAATATTTTTCGTTGAAAATCATCGCATGATGAAAAGAATTCATTTCTGTAGGTGTTAAATAAATTTAAAGCATGAAAGAAGAATCGAGAACATATAATCACATCCTTGTTCTGCCTCACAATTTTAGCAGCGCTTGACTTGAAAGCAAAACAAGTAAACAACCGAAAACCGTTTGGTTTCGCAAAATAAATGCCTCAAGTGAAGAAGATTCATAAACATGTTCCCTTAATGTAATTCATTCTCAGGTCGCTGGTGTTCATTGCCTTCAAAAACTGCTTCATTTATGTACGTTGTGAAACTCATAATTATATTTAAAATGAAAAAGAGATTGTAAACATATGAAAAACGAATGAAAATCTGCTCAAGTTCAAGCGCGTTTTTCAAACTCAATACAACAGCAATAATTAATTTTTTCTTATTTTCGAATTTTTCACAAACAAATTTCGAGTTCACAAAAAAAAATCAATGCCGGACAAACCGCAAAAAAATATTAAAATAACAGAAAGTAGTCAGGAAAACATACATAAATGAAATATGAAAACGACACTCAATAATTTCCATCCGGATCTTCATTGATGGCGAAATTTGTTAACATTGATGACGAATTCATGAATCGTTTTACCGACTTGAACTTTTATGACGTTGAAGGAAAGTCCAATGTTGAGATCCTGCATTCAATGTCATTCACCCAAACACATCTGATTGAAGAAATAAATAACGCGTTCTACTTATTTTTACACCACCATGAACAAATTGATCGGAAAGCGAATCCGCAATGCAAAGTTATGGCTGTTTTCTTCAGTGAAATATCGTTAACGTCTTTCTGCTTTAGATTTCAATTAAATTCGATTACAGTCATTTTTTTATTCGAAGTGTTTTAATCTTACGTCTAATGTGTCATGATTAAACAATGTAATTGTTTGACTTTAAACATTGATACAAGTATTTTCATTAATTTAAGTAGATATTAGAGAAACATGAACCAACCATGTTTAATGCAATTATTTATTTCGATTTCAATTTCAGACAAAAGCTCTTCAATGCTAAAGGAAACAGAGTTAAGGAATTGAATTACCAATGAACACTATCTGAGCACAGACAAAAAAAATAAGAAACCGAAGAAACTCATACATGAGCTTTAATTAATTAAGATTGTTTCTTAAAAATTTGATTAATTAGTGGTAATAGTAATTAAATGTTTTCATAACAATGAAAAGGCAAACAGAACTTAAAAGTGGCCGTTGTGGCAACAACTTTAGACCTTCAACCAAATCATCTGTGTTACTTGTGCTTACAACGTTCTTATTAGTCATTCACGTGGTGAAATCTTCGACGATTAACGAGGAAGAAGAGACAACAGACAACAATAGATATTTAAACAACAATCCAAATGGTGAGTATTTAATGCTAATCTTTTTACCGTTAAAATCACTAAAAACAAAGCACCGAAAGCGAAAGTTTTTCCCCCATTTCCTGTGTTTATGTTTTATCTTAATCATTAAAATCAAAAAAAAATAGTTAAAGTTATTCTGAAGTTTTGAAAGTCACTCGTTGGCAGTCATTTAGCAAAACGTGATGAAAACAATTTTCTCGTTCAAATGTAAATTCTCAATTCCGAAATCGGAATTTTAAGAACCACAACCGGTTTTGAAATTCTCTCTTTTTTATCATTGTGCGAGAAGAACATTCTTTTATTGTATTGTAAAACCGTCAAGGCCATAACTTAACATCATTTCATCTTACATCAGACGCACAATTTTTATTATTTGTTATCTCGTTCTGTTTGTGCTTCAAATTGCATTTGATAACTTGTTTAATTCATTAATCGTTTCATCACAAGATCAAAAAATTTACATTTTGGAACGTACATCATGAGTTGTTGAAATTCCCATCATTGCATGTGGCTTTGTTGATTAATGTGGATGGGTAATGCGCAACTGAATTAATGAATTTATGAACAATGATAAACTTTCACAAAATTACTTTTTAATGAACTTTCTGAGCAGACATTATGAATTTTCATAGATTTTTCATTGAGTTAATGTCGCACCTAGCCGATTGTCAATATTTAATTTAGAAACGTAATCTGACATTGAAGTTGTTATTCGGAAGTCAATAGAAAACATCACAATTGCCATTAGATTTTTTATAAAATAATTGCGTCATCTGATACACTGTTGTGATGATAATCACGAACAACTCAACAATGCCACTGCGTGTGAAATCACATCCATCATCCATTATGGGGCTTTTCCCGTCATTTCTTTTTTTTTAATTTGAAATGAAAATGAAAACAGAAATCCACTCACAATGCAAATGACGATAATCATCTAAAAATAAATCGAATTAAAGAATCTTTAATTCACCACGACACGTCGAAATATTCATTCACAGTCAGCTTTTATGAGATTTTACTATTCTTTCTTTTTCCTCCTTCATTTATGTGTCAGTCGGTCAGCCTTCCATTATAATAAGCAAAATAGTTAAAGAAAGAAAGAAAGAAAGAAAGATGAATAAAAGAAGAAAACGAAGGTGGAATCGCTTGTTGATGATTTTGCTTTCTATGAAGCATGATTCGCTTTTAGCATCTCCGGAACCACTTCATTGAAGCATTAAACTCTTTCGTTTTTCTTCCATATTCGCTTTTGCCAATACAATTAATAAATAACTGTTTGATTTATTTCATAGGCTTAACGTATTGCCAGCAACTGAGAAGCTATGAATCGAGACGTTCAAAATCTTTAGGGCGTGAAGGAAGAAATGTGAGAATACCGAAATGTTCCCAAGTCGGATCATTTGAGCCTGTACAATGTTCGAACGAATTAAACAGCTCAGAATGCTTCTGCGTGGATGAATACGGTGTTGAAATTCCTGGCACAAGAGTTGAAAGCGAAGAGAAAACAAACTGCAGCGCACCAATGAATAATTGTTCAGCTGCATCATGTCGAATGTTTTGCCCTTCGGGTTTTGCACGCGATTTATCAAGTGGTTGTCCAATTTGCAAGTGCAGAGACCCATGCAATGGTGTAAAATGTCCCAATGGTCAAGCATGCGAACCAGTTGAAGTTGATTGTAAAGACGATCCATGTCCACCGATCCCAACCTGTCGTAAATCGAGAAGTTTCAAAGAACTTTGTCCCGCTGGTTCGCCGCTTTCTATTGTCGGTACAATCCGTCCATTTTTATGTGGCACTGACCCTGGTAAGCCAATGTGCCCCCCACTTTACAAATGCATCGTTCAAACAGGAAACGATTACGGAGTTTGTTGCCCAGCATCATTGAAATATGAGAAACCTGGAACATGTCCAAGTGAAGACGAAGTTATCTCGTCACCTGACACTGGCATCATGTGTGGCAGTCCTTGTTCTCATGACTTGGAATGCCCACAAATGCAAAAATGTTGTGGTTCAACAGTTTGTGGTCAAACATGTCAACAAACAAAAGACTCGACATTGTGTCATCAAGCGAAACTTCAGTCAGAGATTCTTTCGATAAGCGAACGTGAGGGACGAGGATACATACCGCAATGCGATGAAAAAAATGGACAATTTGTCGCACGTCAATGTTCAAATAACGGTCTTGTGTGTTGGTGTGTCAATCCTCAAAACGGCAATAAAATTAAAGGAACAATTGGTGCGGCAAAATCGGTGACATGCGACAACATTGAAAATCTTTTGATTAGATCAGGTGCGAGAAGTGTTGATGGAGCCAATCAATGTGATCAAAATATTTGTGCTGCAATATGCCAATACGGATTTAAAACTGATCACAGCGGATGTAGCACTTGTGAATGCGAAGAACCTTGTGAAGGTTTTAATTGCCCAGCAGGCTTTTCATGTGAAATTGCAAAAGATCCAAAATGTCTGTCAGGGTCAGGTTTGTGTCAATCCGAGCCGATTTGCAAACCAAACATCATTTATTCAAATCCATGTAGCTTTGGAACGCCATTGACGAGTAACAAAACCGACGAAGTTGTTTTCTGTCGAGGTGAAGTGAATGAGTGAATCACTTGAATCGATTTTAAATATTTTTTTTTGTCTTAGCAGCTGATTATTCTTCTCCAGAGTATCAAGCAAAGTCATTTTATGACGCAAGCGTGGAAAACTCAGATGATAGTTCTAAACAAACTTCAACTAAATGTCCTGAGAAATTTACTTGCACGAAGCTTTTGGGGCAAAGTGAAAGTGTTTGCTGTCCTATTCATGACGATTCCGCTGTTGCTTCTGCTCAAACTGAATCTGAAATCTTCGAACGACCTCAGTCAAGTAAGTTTAAAGTTCAATTATGTGTGAAGTGGTTAAATAATTAACATGAATGATTAAACAATTTGAATTTCTAGTGTGTGAGTATTTGCGTGACTTCAGCGATCGAATGGAAGGGACTGAAGAAGGAATGTCGTTGGCCTTGAGACCACCACGATGCAATCCCGATGGAAGTTTCGTTTCAATGCAATGTCAGATTATACGAGTTGCACTTACAAAATCTGAACATAAAAAAGTTCTCGAACAGAATAATATCCGTGAGATGAGAAAAATTTTCATAAATAGAAGGAAACGAGACATTCAAACTTTGAAGCTTGTCAGAGTTGATAATGGACAAGACTTTGGAACGACTGCAAATCCCGAAGCTGACATGATTGTCGACTTTTTAAGAAAGAAGATTTTTGAATCACCTGAAAAATTCTTAACTGACTTATTTGGTGATCAAAGTGAAGGTCGAACCGCAAGACTAATTGATATTCAAGCCGAAGATTATGACAATGACGAACAACGAAACGAACGAAAATTATCAGTCAAGTCACAACAAAAGCGAAATGATTTGATTGAAGTTGATGTTGAAGAATGTTTTTGTGTTGATGGCTTTGGAACAGAAATACCAAAAACCCGCGGAACTATGAACGTAACTGAATCAGAATGTAATAAAGTTAAAGATAATTTGGAGTGTCTTGATTTGACATGTCGAATGGGTAAGTTAAAAGAATTTTTGAATTATTTAATTATTTTCAAATATTTTCTCGATTAAAATCTTTAGGTTGCGACTATGGATTCATTCTTGATCCTGAAACGCAATGCCCAACATGCAGTTGCAGAGATCCATGCGAAAGTGTTCAATGTGAAGAGTCTGAAGAATGCCGAACAGTTGAAGTTTCATGTGAAGGCGAATATTGTCCACCAGTGCCAGCATGTTTCCCTAAAAAGCAAGGCCAATGTCCATTCCTTGTTCCACCAGCTGGTGAAGATTCCGAAGACGCTTGTGCATATGAATGTCGATCAGATAATCATTGCTATGGATCGAAAAAATGTTGCTCCAATGGATGTGGAACTGTTTGCATTGGTAATTCATTAGAATGATTTCTGTCGGTTAAATAACTAAGTAATCAAATTGTTTCTTCAATTAGAACCGCAATTTAAAACAGCATGTCAACATCTACAATCTATTCAAATACATCAAGCAATCGAATTAGGTATGCCAGCTAAACAAAAATACATCGCACAATGCAACGATGACGGATCGTGGAAAACAATACAATGTGGACCGAACAATGTCTGTTGGTGTGTCGATGACAGAGGAAATGAGAAAAGTGGCACGCGAACAACTGAAGGCATACCCAATTGTTCCGCTGCAAAAACTTCCCATTGTCCACAGTTGAAATGTAAATCATGCGAACATGGATTTGAGTTCGATGAAAATGGTTGTAAAACTTGTGAATGTAAGGATTTGTGTAAGGAAATAAAATGTCCATTAGATGAACAATGCGAACTTGTGCAAGTTGAATGCATCAACAGCAATAACAACACACAACCATGTCCAAGAATGCCAATCTGTACACCACTACGTGACTCTGTTTGTACTGAAGGTTTACCTTTGAAACTCAATGGAAGGGAAATTAATTGTGGACCTGAAGCTGATGCTTGTCCAACAACACATTCCTGCAACTTAAATCCCATCACAAAACGAGGCGTTTGCTGTGCAAAAGGTCGTGACGTTTGCTTCGAATCTGTGGATTCAATTTGCAATGTTAGTGAGGATGATGGAACAGAAACTGTTGTGAAATATCGATTCAACCCACGCGTCAACAAATGTACACCTGTTCGCTTGTCAAAGACAAAAAATTCTTCATGCATCAGCAAAAATCTCTTCCACAGTGAAAAAGCTTGTCGATCAGTGTGCCCAATTCTATCACAATGTGAGAGATTGAAGTTGAAGAATTCAATTGCTGCACGAAGACGAGCTGATAAATCTGACATTTGGTTCCGACCCAGATGTGATCCAGAGAATGGATCGTGGAGTGCTGTTCAATGCATTGGTGAAAATACAAATGAAAATACTCGAGTCTGTTGGTGTGCTGATAAGAAAGGATCGCCGATTAAAGGATCATTGACGAAGGGACAAGAACCAGTTTGTAATCATCGTCAAGCACGAATGCAAGCTCGAATGCATGTTGAAGAAGCAGATCCAATGATGGAAGAACTTATTCGTCAAATCACCTTCTTGACTGATGAAAGTAACTTCCTTGATGAAGATGAAGTGAAAAATGAAGCGATTGGAGGTGCAACTGAAAGGATTTTTGATGTGTCAGGGAAATTAGGACAAAGCAGTCAACGACTTATTGCTTCTACTACACGTTGTGACGCTCTTCGATCAACAGCACATTTCGTTGTCAATTGTGACGAAGAAGGAAACTTTCTCGCAACACAATGCAATCTCGATACGTGTTGGTGTGTAGACGAAGCTGGAAATCAACTTCCATGGAGTAGCACTTTTAGAAAAGGAACGAAAAATTGTGAACACACAAAACTTGATGCTGTAGAAATTGAACTTCATCTGACAAATCCAAATGAAGTTAAATTAAGGAATTTGTACGATGTTTTGAACGAAGATTTGAAGAATCTTGTTGGTGATGGATTCATGAACTTCCGTGTGCAAGAAAATTCAGATAAAAGTGTGACAATGAAGTTTGATTTAGTAGATGAACATAAAACCAATCAAGCTTTTGCTATTGAAGAAATGAGTAAAGAACAAAACTTATTCTTGTTCCATGGAATGCTTCGGCCCGACATCACACAGTCGAAATTCTCTCACAAAATACCGATGACAAATATTCAAGACGCTCAAAAATCTTCACTTGGCATTCCACAAAACACATTTCATACGATTGTGTTCATCATTGCGACATCATCAGCATTCATGATTAGCATTCTCGTGATTTACGTGATGCTCAAGAAAGGAAAAAGCAAGGACAAATTGCATTATGTGAATAATAAAAATATTCATTCGGGTGATAAGTATATCGATTACACATCGCCCATATTTGTTTTAAGTGCCAATGACGTACCAAGAACCAGTAAAAGTAGTTGAACATAAGTCTTAATTATAGCGAGTCTTTAAATTTATTCAAAAGTTTGTCAGTTTTTTTTATTATTTGATGGTTTATAAAACCTTCACATATTTGAAATCGCACAAGAATTTCTTAATAAAATTGACATGAACACATCTGACGAAGGCACACAAATTCGTCCCATGTGATCATGCTGATCGCTGTTAGTTTTTAAATGACAATTTCTTTAGTTGTGCTTGATTGATTTATCGTGAAAGTGAAAATAAAATTTCTTTATTTATTGTATGATAAACTTTGTGTTGAAATAAAATTTCTTAGAAATAAATCGAAAGAATTTTAATTTTCCACTTATTTACTTAAAGCTTGATCAAGATCAGCAATCAAATCTTCGATATCTTCAACACCAACATTCAAACGCACCAAAGTTGGAGTGACACCAACTGCAAGTCTATTTGCTTCTGGCATATCTGAATGTGACATCAACCAAGGAATGGCGACAGTGGTTTCAAGTCCTCCCAAACTTTCAGCAATCATGATAACCTTTAAAGCTTTTGTAAATTGGTCCAAGTCATCGACAGTTCCTTTCATATAGAAAGCCATAATTCCAGAATGTCCATAAGATTGCTTCAAAGCGATGTCATGTCCGACATGTGACTTCAACGATGGATGAAAAACTTTCTCAATTTTTGGATGTGATTCCAAGAACTTTGCTATTGCATAAGAATTTTCCGAATGCTTTTCCATTCTTAACGATAAAGTTTTTATGCTTCTGTTTGCCATGAAACAATCAAATGGCGATGGAACAACTCCAGTTGATACTTGAAAATATTTTAATGTGTTGTAGAATTTCTCATCATTCGTGGTTATTCCTCCCATGGTGACATCAGAATGTCCATTATAGAACTTGCTTAATGAATACATTGCAACATCAGCTCCAAGTTCCAATGGTCTTTGAAAGTATGGAGTCAGAAAAGTATTGTCAACAATGAAAATAGCTTTTGAATGTGAATGAACAACATCAGCGATTGATTTTATGTCGACAATCGACAACAAGGGATTTGTAGGCGTCTCGATCCAAACAAGTTTGGTTTTACTAGTCAAAGAACTTTTGAGAATCTTCATGTCACTAAAGTCGATGTATTTAGTTTCTATTCCCATTTTAGCTGCTAAATCTTTGAATAATCGTATTGTGCCGCCATACATATTTGGCATTGAAGCAATCTCATCACCACTTTGTAATGTTGCGATAACAGCTGAAACAACTCCGACACCACATGTAAACGAAAGTCCATATTTTGCATTATCAAGAGAAGCTAAACATGATTCTAAAACATCGCGAGTTGGATTTTTGTAGCGGCTGTATTGATAGCCGGAATGTTCTTCAGGCGTTGTATGTTGATAAGTTGTTGATGTTACGAGAGGTGTCACAACTGGCCTTTAATTAAATAAATTTAAATTTTTATAATAAATGTTTATTCAAATTTAGAAGTTATTTCAAACCTTCCCTTCCATTCTTCTGCTTTATGACCAGCGTGAACTGATTTTGTAGCAAAATCAGAATTCTGCTTTCGATAGCCAAGCTTCTCGTTAAATCCCAAAACGTTGCTCATCGTTGAAAGTATTCACTTCGAGGTTTGAAATGGTACTGAATGAAAACCAAATGACCAGAGACTATTTAAATATTCTGATTTAATTTGACAATGTCATTCTCCAGATTATCAGCAATAACCTATTGATGATTATAAACATTTCATTTTATTCACACTTCTTATCAGAAAGTGATTTTCAAATCAAATTTTATTAATTTATTTCTGTAAATTTCTTATCAATTCATTATGCTACAAAATAATATTTCATTTGAATGAATGACGTAAAAGAAGTGAAAACATCTGTAAAAAACAGAATTCTCATTTCATATTTCTTTCAATGCTTGAGCAATGTCTGTGATGAGATCGCTGACGTCTTCAAGACCGACAGAAAGTCTAATGAGATTATCAGTCAATCCTTTTGCTACATGATCTTTTTCAAATTTATTTGAAACCATCATAAGTAATGGAATTGAAGCTACACTCTCAGTACCTCCTAAACTTCCAGTGACATAAATTAATTTCAAAGCTTTGAGGAATTTTTTTGATTCTTCTAATGAACCCTTGATAAGAAATGAAAACACTCCAGAATGTCCATAAGATTGCTTACATCCCAATTGATGTCGTTCGTGAGTTTCCAAAGATGGATGAAACACTTTCTCAATTTTTGGATGTGTCGATAAGAATTTTGCAATTAGATAAGAATTTTCCGAATGCTTTTCCATTCTTAGCGATAAAGTTTTCAAACTTCTTAGAACCATGTAGCAATCGAATGGTGATGGAACAACTCCAGTTGATGTTTGACTGTGTTTTAATTTTTCAAACAATTTATCATCATTTGTTGTCAAAGCTCCCATGATGATGTCGCTATGCCCGTTGTAATATTTACTCAAGGAATAAGTCACAACATCAACACCAAGCTCCAAAGGACGTTGAAAATAAGAAGTAGAGAGTGTATTGTCGCAGATTAAAATTGCCTTTGATTTTGAATGAACAATCTTAGCAATAGATTTAATATCAAGAATAGTCATTAAAGGATTTGTTGGTGATTCAACCCAAACGATTTTTGTGTCATCTTTCAAAGAACTTTCCAACATTTTTAAATCAGTCAAATCAATAAATTTAACATTGAGGTCCATTTTACGACCAAACTCTTTAAATAAATTATTGGTTCCAGTATATAGGTCATGAGTGGAAATGATTCCATCACCTTTATCTAAGGTAGCGATTATGGCCGTCGTCATTCCCACACCCGATGAAAATGTAAGTGCATGCTTTGCGTTATCAAGAGATGCCAAAGAATTATCTAAATTGCTTCGTATAGGATTACCAAATCGGCTGTAATGATAACCATTCTGAACACCAGGTTCAATGTATTCAAATACTGTCGCAGTTATAATTGGAGGCACAACCGGTCTAATAATTTTTTATTTAAATAATTATTTTATGAAATTTTAATTCTACAATTTTGAATTACCTATTTTTACAATCTTCGGGCTTATATCCACTATGAATAGCTTTTGTAGCAAAATTGTCTGTTTGCTTTTGATATCCAAGCTTTTCATTAAACGATTTGTGGTTTTCCATTTTCAGGACTTCTTTCTACAATCTATCGAAGAGAACTGTTTTGACAATTAGAAATAAAACGATTGTAACATGAGTTTTGTTTATCTTATCATTATTAAGTTAAAGAGATTTGCTATTAATGGCTGGGGGATATAAACAAATAATGATAACTTGAGATTGTTGGATATTTAATAGAACCCAACAAATGTTTTCAATAGCAATTGTAAGGTTTTTGATTTGTATGACGAAATTTGTTTGACCATCGCCGGCATATAACTGCGATCATAGAGATATGTTTGGTAAACATCTTAAGTGTAGATCATAATGCGAAGATTTGAAATGACGATAACCTTTAAGAATTATCTCCTATTGTTACACGTGTTTCTAAAATGTTTACATTCAATTGCATTTTTATTCAATTATGGATGTTGTGCATAATCTTTTCTCATGGCATTGCCCTCTTTTGAGCTTTATAGAGTGAAGAGTAGGATGTTTCCATAGAAGTCTTACGAACTTGACGAAAATATCAAATGATTTAATTGAGAAATCTAATGAAATTCTAAACTCAAATGATCACGGAAATATTCGCAAATCTTGAAAACCTCATCAAATGCTTCCAAGCAAATTATTGAACTTTAGCTTTTTGGAAACTTTTCTGCTTTGAATATTTTTAGAATGGTACAAAAAAAGATTATTGAGTGGAGTTGAAGATTATTTGATAAAGATGTCAAGGCAGATTATTTAAAACCACTAGAATATCAATTGTTGCTTATTTATGCTATCAATTTCAATTTGAACTTAAAAGAAAAGAACTTCTTTGATGAACAAGTGATTAGGAAACCATAAACAAGTGGTTTTCATTCACAATTATTCTTCCTACCAGTATATTATTTAATTAGTTTAAACAAATGAAGCTAACCCATGGCAGTTTTGAATGCCAAAATATTACTCAAATTTCATTGTAGATATATCTACTTATATTCTTTAATATTAGCTACTGAGAGAAAAGCTTAAGTAGAGAACATAAAACTTTTATAAAACAAACACAGTTGGCTTTTAGGATATGTTTACAGTTTATTGAGTGTTAGCGAATATCTACAATACTCCGTCGATGACTCATACAATAGAGATTATGTTATAGTTATACCGTGAAACGAAAAATGAGAAACAAATGCAAGAAGTAGCAAGTAAATATCGGCATATGCTTTATAGCCGCAACGGGGGAGACTAGACAACTGAAACATGAAACAAATACCATCAAGTAGCATAACCGTCTTGAACACAAATCACACACCAAGAAGCGGGGAAAAAAACTTATAAAGCCAACTGCTTTGATCCAACTGCAAGTATTTTGCAAAGTCAATCTTAAAAGTCAACAACGCAACATATCTGTGCGCAGTAACAAATTAAATCGATCGATATAATTTCATTATTTGGATAGATAATCTCTCACGATTGTTAATTATATCTACTTTTCACTTTCCTTTTGTTTCCATTTGTTGGGAAAGAAATTATTTTAAGTGAAGAATAAACATTAAAATTTTTGTGGCCAAACTTTAATTGGACAATCATAATTGAAAGTGAAACTTCAAACATAAGCGTGAGATCATTTTCAAAAGGATTATATTAAAAATGTGGATAAAAGTTACGGTAAGTTAGTTTAAAGTTCGAAAACTGATTAAATGTTTCAAATGAAAACATTCACAGATCATTTCGATCTCAATAAAATTTCTTAAAACGTTTATAAAGTGAATAGAAAATTTCAAAAGCAAAGCAAGTGTTAAATGAAAATTTTCATCTGCTATTATTTCATTGCTTCAAAAAAATTTCCCTTTCATTTAAAATATGAGATAATGTTGCAGATACACAAAGCCAAAGTCTTTTAAATGCATTTCGCGCATAACTTCAATAACGTTGGGAAAAAATAAGTTGTTTTATTGAATCATTTATTTTGCACAACACTTCGCGTCTCATCTAAAACATTCAAATTCTCTTTTGTGTTTGATGTAAAATAATAATTATAATTAGATGTATTACGATCAAAAGCAACATGACAAAAATAAAAAGAAGAACAGTGAATGGGTCTCAGCAACATGAGAAATGGCATGTTTTGAAAAGAATATTTTTGTCTGATGCAATGAAGCGAAGGCTTTACGGTAAAGTGATTTTATGGGATCTTTAAATGCCATTCAATAAATAATTTATTTACTTTTTATGTTTTTCACGAGACTTGCGGGGTATTTTATACTCTTACTTTCTACATGTTTTCAAAGTTTCAAATGCAAATTATTGGATGTAAAATTTTAAAATGTTAAGTTTCGTCGTCGTCGTCCACAGCGCGTATCAGCATCAAATGAAGTGCCAATTTTTAACCACGCTAAACGAGGAAATAATTGCACTTTTTTTAATGGAATAAAAGTTGAAACGAGAGCTGTTATTTCATCTAAATGATGATATTAATTTGCTTCAATGACTTGTGATTTTATTCATGTTAAACTAAGCAGGCATCGCTTGAGAAATTGCCACGATCTTGTTTGCGAGAGATCAAACTCTTTTATTGCAACGAAGGGGTTAAAAAATCGAAAACAATCGAATAAAAGAAACAGACAATGAAACGAAATAAAAGAAAAACTTTCGCTCTCATTACCAAAATGTAACAAGTTTAAAAGTAATTCATCAAATTAAATATTCATTGAGCATTAAGTGAAGTTCATTGGAGAAATTTAAACGTTTCGTTTTGAAATCATTGCCAGGTGTTATTTACCATTCAACGATGTTTTCTTTCTTTACCACTAAAATCATTTAACAAATGAAGATAAGTTACGAAGAAGCTTTTCTAATCATCGAAATAAATCGCGAATTCAACTTACGCGCGTTTATAAATTGGCATAAAATAAATCAACAACTCAACTCTTTTAAAATTGATTGAAAACGACTTTCGCTTGTAAGCAGTTTAGTTGTTACTGAGGTAGCGACCTTCACAAGGTTTTTTTTATTGTACTCTGCTCTGAAAACGGAATCTAATTTAATACTTTTTTTATTTTCGTAAATGAAACATCAACGTCGTTGAACGAGAAATTATGCAAAGTTTATTCCATTTTGAACATTGTTTCAAATGTTATTTTGGAAGCATTCATTCAATGATGAAGCCACAAGCCCCAAAACTCCGCAATTGAAGCGTTAGATGTTTTATTTCTTAAGCCAACTACTCCCAGTGCACTTCTTTCAAATTAATGCCAAATGTAGGTTTTATTTATTGCTTTGCGCTGGCTTGTGCTTGTAAAATGCAAAGAAATTCTCACGGTCTTTAATAAGAAGAGCAATGGCATCGACTCACATGAGGCTCTGTTGCTGCCTTTTAGTGAAGAAGAAATAATAAAAAATGAGCTAACTCCATACACATCTCGATTTACTGTTGTTGCTTATTACATCTACGATGTTTTATGATTCAAATGAAAATGAAATTTTTTTTCGTCGCTCCATTGTCGCGATTCTTTCTTTGAAATGGTTAGGAAAATGGGATTTTAATTAGTAATGAATAAGTCATTGAGACCATTTTACTGACCACAAGTCTGTCTACTCATCTCTCGAATTTGTAATACTCGTCTAAGTAGTTCCTGTTTAATGGACGTCGCTGTGAACTCGAAAAAAAAAGTCGAAAGAGAAAAAAAATCTTTTGCAAAAGACGAATAGAAGATTTTTATGCATTAACTGAAAGATTTACGTTTGTTGCCATTGTCTTGTCTTTTGTTGGAGTCATCATAATGTTATGCAATTCGGCGTGTGAAGTTTGAAATCTGATTCGTAAGTTGTCATTCCACAGCACTAATTTAGAGGCCAAAATTTTCTCACTTAAATGTTTGTTGTTTCTGTGACATTTTCCCTTTTTGATGACAACAAAAACAACACTTTTCCGATGTTTATCGAGGCAAACATTTGTTTAATTTGAGGAAGTAATCTTATGTTGAATCGCGTCTGACTCATAAAGTCTTTAACATTCTTCCATCGCTTTTCGACCTCGCCAAAAAGTCACAACATTCAACTTAAAGTTGCACTTTAAAATGAAATCAAAATTAAAAACCAAATTAGCTGAGAATCTTTAAACGAAAGCCTCTATAAACATCAAATATTTTCGCAACAAAGCACCTGGAAAAGTGAAGAAGACACTGTCGATCTTATTAAATGTTATTTTCTGCGGAGAAACATTGAAACAATTATTTCTCTTGTTCGCGAAAAAATCGTGATTACTTTAACTACACGATTTTATGAAGGGATATTCAGTTTGTATTGCCCGCATCGTAGGTGGATTTCCATGAAATCTGTTGAAATATTTTAATGATTTACATTTTTAAACCAATAAAAATTGCTGACAAATTCTGACGACTTCCACATTTTTAACATTTTAATCTTGAATTCATCTGGCAACCCAATAAAGCACTTTGCAGTTCAATACTGAACGAAAATAAAATTGTTTCCATTGAAATGTTTTTAATTCTGCTTCCAACTTAAAATCTTCATGTCTTCTTCAAATTGCTTGACTTTTTACTTTGCGCCTTTAAGAAAACATGTGGAACTTTATTATTACAAAGTCGAAGATGCAACAAGTTCGAATGAAATGTTAAAAAAAAGTACAATTGGCGAACGAGCATATTATGACATTTTACATAACACATGAAACATAAAATAAGATTTTTTAATGTTTTCTGGAAGCGAAATTTCTCATCTTCGACTCTTCAATGTTGTGAAGACATGAAAGGTGAGAAAAACTGATCAAAGAGTCAAATTCGTTGACAATTTATATTCAACTTTTCAATATCTTCAATTTGAACGATCAAAAAAATAAAGGAAAAAACTTTTTGTTAGTAAATTTTATTATTTATCCAAAAGCAAATGCATTTTTGCATAAATTCAACTTTCAAACATTACATTGGAAACTTGCATGATATCGGATAATATCTAATAAAGATTTTGTTCATTTCATTTCAAAGCAATATGTTTGGTTTGTTAAATTTACGCAAATAGAGGAAAACGAGTTTCCATTGAAAGCAAAAGCATTTCCACAAGTCGAGAAAGTATTTTAACAGCGGATTTGTGTATTGAAAATTATCTAATTCCTCTGATGAAAGCCTTGCTCACTATCAAACACTAACACAAGACGTCTTCTTATGAAAACTATATTAAAATAAATTATGAAATCGTAATCAAAGAAATCGGAACTAAAAAAACTCTTTAAAGCGCATAACAATTAGATCGCGTTGAGGTGAACAAAACAGATATAAATCGCTCCATGGTCAAGTTTATGTATTTTTTTTCCATCAACCATCAACCGACACTTTCTTTCTTTCTTTCGTATAAAATTTTCCACTCTTTTATATTTATTTCTGTTCACTCGTTCACTTATTGTTTCGCTTACAATTTGCTTATGAAACCGTTTCACTTTCAATATTAAATAATTTTAATGTCGCTTTTTTATTATTGTTGTTGGCATTTTTAAGTTGACTACGTTGACGATCGCTTTGATTTCGATGTCACGTAGGGATTTTCACAAATCGCCAATCATTTAATTCAACGAAACGTTGAAAGACAATGAACCAATAAAAACGTTAAAGTAGAAATTGGGCAATTTTCGTAAACAAAAAGCAAAAAACTGTTGTGCTTTAATACCGCTTAATGAAAATTTAACACTTTGGCTCTTGTTTGCTGTCTATTTTCACAATAGCAGTCTAATAAAACAGGTTGATTGTTTAATTAATTGGGTTTTCAAGCTTTTTGCCATTACACTATGACAGTTTCAATTTCAAGTTCGGAACAATCTCCAAAGTTCGCTTATTTATGTTAGAAGTAAATTCATCACACATTAACCTACTTACAAAGAGTATAAAAGTTTGTTGAAGAAGAAAAAAAATAGCAGAAGAAGAAGTTTTTATCCCAAACTATCGTTTGGTTAATGATTTATGGGAAAACATTGGGATTGAGCTGTCATTTGTTTAGTCTTGTGGGACAGCATCTTAACCTTCCATCTCCACATGTGACATCAAATTAATTTCCCAAATGCTATCATATTTCTGTCTTTCGAAGGCAACATGGATGAAAGGATAAGCTGAATCCTCTTCCTTCACCATAATATGATTTAATTTCACAATTCAACGATTTGTCATTCCATATCAGTGTCATTTATGAGTGAAATTCCGTAAATATTTATTTATTTGGCTTCGGAGAATTCAACTTTCAACAGCAATAATTAATTTCATGTCGCGTTCGTTTCAAATTAAAAAAATTGCAGCTTTTCATTTTTCATTTCCCTGACAAGTTTCGCTTGTCAATGCCGCAAACAGGGGAATTAAATTTTAAAGTTTTTCAATAAATTTTCCTTGCTTCATGTTGTAATGTTTGGGAAAATAAACAGAGCCGGAGGCAATTAAAAATCTTATCACGTTCTCCTAAAAAGGTGCGTAATAAATTGTGCAAAATACGAAACTCTGGCTTTCTACTTACTCACCCAGTTTGCGAATAACTAAAATCAATCGAAATTTCATAATCACATATCAAACTCAATTCTCAATCCATTACTTTAATTAAATCTGACATTTCTTATACATCATTCTCACAGTAAAAATATTAATGGACTTTAAAGTTTCTCACAGAGCGAACTCGTAAATTGTAATACTTTAAAATTTATTTGCCCTAAGGTCCACTAAAGCTTATTTTATTTTTCATAAAATGCACAAACAAATTCACAACTTGCTAATGTTTGCAAGCTCGTTGGTGCCATTTGACGAGATTAATTTTTACATAACATAAAAGTGCATTGTGCATGACTTACCAGAAGAGATGGAAATTACAAAGTCACCATGCGTTTCAACTTTCGCTTTCAATCGAGAGAAAACTCGTTGAGTCTGAGCGGCTAATACGGTTAACACATGCTATAATATCAATTGAAGTCGTTGGTGCTTAGATGCACAACAACTGAATTGACGGGTTCATGACAACATTTTTTTCCATCTCAACGCATACATGAAATTGATGACATAATGGAATTGAAGGCAATTGCTTTATTATCCCATGCATATCAAAATCAAAGAGGGGATGCAGTAAAGAAAGAAAAATTTTCTCATCTTTTGATTGTTGACAATGCAATGATGAAATCTCAAACACGCTAACTTTGTTGATTTCGTGAAAAATTGAATGACAAAAGTTGAAAGAAAATTCATCATGGAAGAGAAAATTGTTACTTATTAAATTAAAGTATCAGTTTTTATGAAGTAATAAACACTTCATTGTTGTTATCTAACAATGTTATTACATTTCTTATTTGTTCTTATTAAAGAAAAAATCATCAAGCATGAATCATAAGCCACAATCTCATTGCAGTTAATAATTAAGTTGACGTCATTATCCAACATATAAGAAACGAGTTGAATATCCTACTTGATGCAGCATTTAATTGATTTTGATCGGAAAGCCGATTAACGAGAAGTGATTAAATTTTTTATTTTTTGGACGTTACCAAAGTCAAGTCTTGACATGAAACTTCATAAAAATTGCGAAAAATAAATGCTTAATCGACCAATTTTAGAGTCAAATTGAGAGCAGAGTGTCATTAAATATGAAGGTCATTTACCAATGGCTTCGATCTGTATGAAAACACCAACGTCAAACATCCAACAACGAAATCAATACGCTCAATTTGCAGCATTGAAAACATTTTTTCATTATTAATTATCTACAGTATCAGATGAAATAATGAATCAATTTATGACCAACCCGTGGCAAGCAGTCATTTTCTTTTCATTTCCTGACATGGAAATGTTTGCAGACTTCTTTTGTTTGTCCACTCATTGCTAAGATCCGACTTCAAAGTCATAATTGATTTTTCTCAAAGAGTTAAAGAAAAGAAACAAATATCGCGAGAGCTGCTATTAAGAGTGCCATTCGAGCACTCCCCGTTCGATGTTCATACGGCTGCCTGAGATGTAATTTAAACGCATAATTTTCGAGACCACGAAATCGTAGCCGACGTTCCAGTATTTTTGCTCGTATCATGAGACATAAGAGCTTCGTTCGTTGAAGAAAACTTCAGAAAAAAAGCATTTGATGATTGTTCCACTTGCCAGCGGTAATAGCGAATGAATGACTCAACGTCGATGAATCAGCGCCTGAAACTGACCTCGAAATAGATTTTAATGCCTTCATTCTACAAGCGCCTTGCATCTAGATGGCAATTTAAGACAACCAAAATGGAATTTCTTGAAAACATTGCAGCCATTCAAATGTTTAATTCTCATTCATACACTCAACAAACGATCCGTTCCTGAAATTTTCTTCATTGTGCAATCAAGAAAAGAAATAATCGAGAAACTTTTTTTATAAGTTATCGCGTAGCCCTTGACAATACGAGTTGCATGGGCTACAATTGAATTGTATAAACATTAGATCGAGACAAATTGAATTACAATTAAATGCGCTTGGAATTCATGGTTCTGTTTGTAAAGGCGGGCAGGCGTTATAGGAATCAACCTCCGAAAAAAAAATGCCACTAAATTATGTGTTACAGAAATGCTGAATGGCAATTATACTGCAACTTAACTGTCTATTATTTGTTAATTAAATTAGATCCGAACTCACTGACTGCTAATTTTATTTTTACCTTTAAAGTTCATTTTTAAAATGCTGGCGATTTGTTCTCACTAATTAACATTCTGAATTTTTTTGCTTACTTCTTTTGTAACATTTCAGATTCAGTTGGCTTTTCTAGTTCTCTTTTCAATTGGAGCTGAAGCACAACAGAGAAGACTTCGACTTCGTTCGAGGCCAGTTCAACAAATTGAGAGTGGTGAAGAAGAAACGAGTGAAGAAATTGGACGTCCCGTCATTCAATATTATCGTCCACAACCTAAACAAGATAATGCTCAAGAATTAGTTTATGTTAACGAGGAAGAATATCAAAATCTTTATGGAGGTCAAGTGACGCCAACAGCAAGACCACGTGAATATAATCGCCCAGCAGTCACCACAGTTCGTCCAATATCAAGAAGTCACAATCTTACCCCACGCACAAAAGACTCAGAATCAAAAGCTCCGCCAGTTCAAACCATCAGGAACTACAACAAAGTCAATGATGATGGATCATTCACGTTCGGTTATGAAGCAGCTGATGGTTCATTCAAGGAAGAAACTCGCGGTACTGACTGCGTTGTGAGAGGCCGTTACGGATACATCGATCCTGAAGGTGAGTTTGCAAAAAAAAAAAAAGATTTAGTCAGCTGATTTAATGAATTTAATTAAACAGGCAACAAACGTGAATTCACTTATGTAAGCGGAAATCCATGTGATCCAAACAATCCCGACGCAAGTGAAGAAGAAGACGAACGTAATCAATCAGTTGAAGATTCTGATGAAAACATTCCCCAGAATTATCCAAAACGCCCAATTGTTCAACGTCCAAGACCAACCGTTCCATCAACAACTCGCGCTCCAACAACCGTTTTCCAAAATCGTTACAATCATCAATCATTAGCTTCAGAGGAAGAAGAGGAAGAAGATGTTGGTGCCATTCAATATGCTCAAATTCCTAAGACTTCCCCACGACCAGCTTACGTTCAACCAACTCCACAACGTCCACGTATTCAGGTAATTCAAACTACACAGGCTCCATCGCCACCAGTTACATATGCATCACCATCAGCAACACCGTCAATAAACATTACACCAAAACCATTGTACAGAATTCAAAACAATGTATTGTCCCTTCAACAGACTAAGCCATCGCCACCAGCAACCACTTATCGTCCCCAAACAGTGTCGTTTGTTACACCAAAGCCTGCCCATGTTACCACCCCAAACTATCCAACAAGAGCTTCACAAGACGTAACATTTGCAAGCGGATCAACGAGAGGTGCAATTGATTTCGATGCTGAATTTAAAAAGTTCCAAAATGAAAATGTTGGCGGCTTCAAGCCAATTACACCATCACCAGTTGCACAAACGACAAAATCAGTTAAAATCCCGAAAGGATCATCTGATGGATCAAATCCTATTTATCAGACACAATTAGTTTACAATCCATCATCGGGACAATACGATTCAGCTTTATATCAATCAATTGCACAAACCGATAGTGAATTCCAATTAAATCAGCGTATTCAACCTTACGTTCCACAATATCCTGTTCCGCAATATCAAGTTTATCGTCCACAACCTCAACCTCAGCCACAATCAAGACCTCAACCCCAAGCACAACGACAACAGGCACAACAACAACAAATCCCTCAACAAATTTATCAGAAGCAACAAAATGAACTTCAATTTGTGAACTCGCAACAACTTTTCGCACAACAACTTCAAATGCAACAATCGCAACTTCATCGCGACAGAATTGAAGCGGCCAAGAAACATCAATCACCAGCTCATCGTTTCCAATTGCAACAAGCTGAACCATCACCAATTTTACAATCTCAATTACGTGCCCAACCCGGTCAACAGTTCTACTACATTCAACCATCATCACAGCAAAGTAGCGGACAAATCGAAGCTTTCCTACGAGGTCATAATCTGGAGTATTAAAAGAAGAAAGAAAACGAGTAAAAAAACCAAGAGATTTAAATTCATTGACACGATTATCATTTTATTGCCATCGTTACCATATGTTAGTCAATGGATGATTTAGCACATTAAGGGCTTTTAAATGTTAAATTCGTGTAGATTTTTTTGATACTTGTTTTATTATTTTGAGACTTAAACTCATCGTTTAAACTTTTATTGGACCAAACAATCACATTTTACTTTTGTTATTTGTTCCTGATTACTTCCACTCCCATCCTTTCATCCATCCTCGCGTGTAGACAAATCTTTCAATGTACATAAATGATGAAAAAGAATCCCAATTGTAATAAACTTAAATATTTAAATAACATAAAATTATTAATTATTTACTTACTTCAGTTTTGTTTTATCTTTTATTAAATCTTTTTTGAATATTAAATGTGACGATAAAAATTTATTTTCATAAATGCTAAGCCATCATTAAACTCATTGGCACATTCATTTATCATTCGTCATGACTTCAAGAGACATTAAAGAAAAAGAATAAAATTTAAAGATACGATCAGTGAAAATTAAATGAAATTCATTGGCAACAAACTGCAAATCGAGTAATGTTAAATTTCATGATCGAAATGTTTTCATGAATGAAGAAAGTGAAAGCAAGAGAAGAAATCCGTTTCGACTTTTATTTTTATAGAGACAATAAAAAAAGTTTGATAGGTGAGACCAGGAAAAACTTAATTTAACTCGTTTCTCTATTAAAATTAGTGATCATGAAAATGTTTTCTTAATTGGTTGGGTAGCGAATAAATAATTGAAATCGGAAATGTAAAGAATTTAATTAATTATAACTCACGTACTTTTTGTATGTTCAAACGAAGAACATGAAAATCGATAAATAAAATAAAGAAAGATGAAAAAGTTATAAAATTCGATGTGCGTTTGCGTTTTTTTTTTTGATGGACCATCTCGGTAGTCATTAATTATTTTCTGCAGGTTCCTGATGCCGTGAAATGTCTCACAATGACCCTCATAGTAATAAATCAAAAGGTTGACTTGTGGAAGAACTTAAAGGTTTTTTTTTTCTTAATTCTGTTTCTGCCTGCAGGCCAGGTACGCCGCGTAAAAACAAAAGCCAAATTAACGTCGTAAAACCCCAAATACTGTTGAACTTTGCTGTAAAAATCTTTTAGGAAATATACGGGAAGTGTCGCAACATCATTTCTTAATTGCAAAATTTAACAGATGATGGTGCAGCATCTCGGTTGCTCCATCATTGTCACTTTTTTCGTCGAGCTAAATTTTTCATTTATCCGTTAGTTAACATCATGAATAAAAATTTCCATGCTTAGTCATCGAAGTCACGTTCCATGCGCCAATTTTTGTGTAATTGAAATATTTTTTAAGTCGTTTTGGACGTTGCAAAATTTTAGTTTTCCATTTATTCTTCCCACTTAACCAACTCCGTACTTGTCAGGTTTATCTTAAAAGTTTATCATTATCTAATGGATATTCATTTCCCTTATTGTTTAATATTGCTAAATGGAGTTTTTTTTTCTGCACTTCATAATATGTGGAATTTTATTTGAATTATTCATCAAATGTACTTGGTGTTTCACATTGTTGTAAACACACCACACGGAATGAAAGAAATTTGTTTGGAATTGTATCAATCATTCAATAAACCACATGCTTGCATTACACATTATTTTGATGGAAAAAAACAAAAAATTTATGTATGCTAAGTATCCGTGTTAGTTGATTTTCACGCTTTTTCAGATGCCCACTTAACCACGTGTTCGATTCTTTTGCAGCCAATGTCAACATTTGTACAAAACTGTTAGTCATTGATTTGCAATTTCATCGATAGTTTTTCATCTAATGAAGTCAAACATGATCAAGTAATCTTATAAATTAGTTTTATACCAACAAATTAGTTTCACATGTTTTGACTCAATTTCGCTTTTCAAATGGTTCAACAAACTTTTTTTTTTGTGCTTACGTCGGAACGTTTTAGTTCAAACAAAAGATTCAGTATTTTGTGCTTTCAATATGTTGCTTGAAACTTGTAACATGATTACTTATCCACCACTCATTAGCTCCAGTCAATGAGCGTAAAACTCTTTTTTTTTTTCTTCATTGTTATCCAAACTCATTCGTTAGATGTGAAATTGGTGGTCAAATTGCGGTTTTATTAATAAATTAATCGACAAGGTCATGTACAATATGTTGCCGATTTAATATTTGATTCATCATCGCAGGCTGCAGGCAAGAAGTTTTCAAGAAGTTAAGGAATGAAATCGTTCATCACGGAGTTGGAGTTTATTTACTGTGCAATGTAATAAAATTTTTAACTTTAATAAATCATCAGGTGGTGAGAAATAAAAACTTCATTTAAATTTCAAGCATCCATTAATTGAGTAGGATTCTAGAAGCTTGAGAAATCAGCGATTAGCAGAAACATTTTGTGCTTTGTGGTGACTAACAAAATGTAACTAATGAAATGAATTGAATCCGGAAAGCTTTTAAAGGCATGACAAGAAACTTCTTGAACATGTTGTTACGCACTCCAATCTCATTTATTATATCAAACGTACAATGTAACAAATATTTACTCATTCATCTCTCTATCTCTCTTTTCGTCACAGATTTCAATTAATTTGTCGTAATTGATAAAACGCACCAAATAAACTTCCCCCTTAGTGGGTTTTGTGGTTTAATCTCATGAAATGGATGTTTGAAAACTGGAATTGAAAATTATTCGTAGACAACAAATTGCATAAGTTGGAATGCTTTGCATCGCACGAGATCAGATTCGTTACAGTTTCTTCTCGGTTTCATCGATCTTTTTTTTGGAGCTTTATTAGAGAAAATGTCGATTGATTGCAACATAGAAAGAAAGCAACAGTGTTGGAATTTTAAAAGTCGTTGAATTAATAATGTAGCTGCAGGAAAATAAATAATTGGAATGTTTCGATAAATTATTACGAATAGTTAGTCTTAATTACGGACAAGTAATTTAAATATGATTCAAACATTATTGATTTTTCAATCGACTGGAAAAAGTGGAGTACTAGCTAAGATCCTGTTTGATTATTGTCTTGGAAGTATCATGAATTACGTGATCAAAAGATGTAATAAATAAATTTTAATTAGCTTAGTGAATGTTCGTTTTCAACCTTTAACTTTGTACATATGTTCTTGCCATGCAAATGAGCTTAAAGTTGAGCGGAGAGATATAGCAATGCTCGTCATATCATGCCTTGAAAGCGAAACTAAAGAGTTCAAATTAGCCGCGCGGTCAACAATATGTCGCGTCATTATTGGTCAAGAGACTTTTTCTCTTTTTAAATGCCTCGTTTATGTCGAATATTGCGCAAATAATTTCTACAGTAAATGTGTAACTGGGGCGATTGAAAATGCAGACTGACTTTAATAATATTCTTCACTTGCTTGCTTTAGCGGGTGTCCTACTCGCACTGACATTTCACTAACTCGAACATTGCGTAGATTAATATCATGAATATTTTTATATCGGTTGCGATTGAATAATATGTGCAGTTGGTGTTCATTGTTACATTTTCGAACACCTGATATGTAAGGCTAAATACGATGATAATATTAAACGACATGTTATACGTAATCGATATTTCTCATAGTCATCGCGCGAATAAAGTTGATTTTAAGGAATGCAATTTGATTGTATCTATGATGGTGCAATGTCGAAAAAACAAATTTCTATTTTGTTACGCTATGATTACTAAGAAAACTTTACTTACGTTGATACAGGAAAATATTTAAATCCGGAATCATCGACAAAACGATGTAAAACATTTGTTTGTATTTTTCTTGATAAATTATGGTCAAAAGAATTAAATGTTGTTTGACAACATTTGGGTGGATTTATTTATGACTTGTCATTCACGATTTATTTGGCTGCATTGTTAAGATTGTTGATTGGAATAATTAAAAATTAAGATAAATTGTTTAGAAATCTGTAAATAATCAAATTATTATTTCCTGATATTTGATTCTTACTTACAAACTTAATAAAGAATCAAAAAGAATGACAATTAAATTCTGAAACAATTTAGTTGCCTACATTTAGGCGAAGGAATAAAATTATTGCATAAATTTAGGCGAAACATTTTAATCCAAAATCTCTCGAAAGCTTTTTTTTATTAAATCTTGATTAGAGTCGTATCATATGTAGAAAAAGTTTCACAAATTTAAAATGAAATGAAATACTTAAAGTTCATTTCTATCGAGTTGCTTCTGATTCTGACTGGTATACTCGTAAAGATTTGTAGGCAATGTATGATAATTATCAAGTTCAGATGCGAGTTCAAAATATCTTTTACGTAATAAATGTGCTGAAGCTTTTGGCTGTCGGTTTCGGGTGAAAACTCCTTTTTTATTGCCACCCACTCGTGTATATGCTGTGAAAATGTAATTTAAATGAAATGAAGTTTTATTTCTGGTATTAAAACTAAAACTCACTCTGTGCAGTTTTAAAATCAGCAAAATTCCAAACAAATTCTCCAATGAAAAACCCGCTGCTTCTCAATCGATCAAATGCCTCAAAATGCTTTGAAAATTGTTGCGATTGAAATTCCTCAGACCATACGTAAGCTGGCAACATGTGAAGACCTTCCACAGTGTCTGCACCATATTCACTCATAAGAACGGGTTTGTTGTGTTTCTAATCAAAAATTATTCTCCTAAATATTTTTCATTTAACTTTTTGACATTTAATTCGACTCACTTCATGCCATCCCGTTGCCTCATTAACAACATTATTCGTAACCATGTCTAAACGTCCCGTATTTGTGTACCATGCATTATATCGGTTGAAACTTATGATATCCAAATACTTTGCGAGTTCATCTGAATTCATATGTACAGCGATAGCAGCTGTGATGGGTCGAGATGGATCTAAAAGTTTCGTGTATCTTGCGACTTCTGCAAAATATTGATCAGCATTTGTCTTTTGTGTTCTGGGCTCATTTGCAATCGACCACATCACAACACTTGGATGATTTCTATCTCGATGAATCAATTGTTCCAAGCTGAATTTGTGATTCAACAGCAGTTCATTACTGTAGTTGCTGTTATAGAATTTTAAACATAAATTTTATATCAAATATGTCAATAAATAATATTTACTCTGTATCAACTGATGGACATTCATCAACAATCATAATTCCATGTTCATCAGCAAATTGCATTGATTCTTCTGAATAAGGATAATGACTAGTTCTGTATGCATTTGCGCCAATCCAACGCAATAAATTGAAGTCCTTCGTCAACAAAGCGAAATCTAATCCTTTGCCTCGAATCTTTTCACAAATAGAAAATAACAAAAGATTAATTTCAGTCAACATAAAAACAAAAATAAATTCAATCTTACATCGGAATCTTCATGTCGTCCAAATCCTCTAAAATAAATTGGCTTATCATTAATCAAGAATGATGTGTTTGTCCACTTAAGTGTACGAACGCCAAATTTCATTCGATAAACATCAACATTTTCTTCAGCACGTGTTGAAAGTTTCACTTCGATTGTGTATAAATATGCGGGATCTGAACTCATAAGATAAGGCCACCATTTCTTGACATTTCTAATCGTGGCTGTTCCAGTCAAACTTCCATCTACAGCTTGTGTATCAACAATATTCCTTTCTCTATCATAAATCATAACTTTGGCATAATTTGTTGTGTCATTGTTGTTTGCAATTATCCTAAATCCTACAATTCCATTTCCTTCACTGTCAACATCAGTATCTAAAATAATTTCCTTAATAAAAGTGTTGGGCGTTGTGTAGAGATGAACTGATCGATGAATGCCAGCGTAATTGAAGAAATCAAAAGTGTATTGTTGGATTGGTATTCGCCCATTGTCACTATCTTGTTCAACAATCTTCCCTTGAGGAATTGTCGTCTGAAGTAGAACATTGTCACATAAAACTGTGACTCGATTTTCTTTTGCATAATTTATATGACTTGTTATCTCCGTTTCAAAAGGAAGATGACCGATTGAATGACGTGCAACTAAATTTCCATTGATCCAAACATAAGCTTCATAATGAACACTTCCGAATCTCAACCAAACACGTTGTGTTTGCCATGATTTTGGCACAAAAAATTTTCTTTCATACCAAACCGTTCCAACATGATCGCGTACAGCCGCGTCTTCTACAATGTCATTGTAACTTGAAGGAACGGGCATATGAATGACGTTCGTTGAGTCTGCAAGATCTTTCAAGAACCATTTCTCTCTCAAACCTTCACTTGGTTGTTTGGTGTCTGACTTTGCAAAACTCCACACACCATCAAGAGATCGAACTTCTCTTGTTTCTGATTCTCGGGGATATAACAAACCCTCAGTTATTTTATCTTCACCTGACACGAGCATGATTCCAAAAACAACGTTCACCATGTAACCAATAAATCCCATCAAGAAGAAAGTTAAAGCTAAAAGAAAACGAAAATTATATTTACGCTCAATCATAACGATTTGCTTTTCACGCGATACATGATGGTGATGACTGAACCCGCAATTTCATGATAAGATTTAATTTAGCTAATAAAATACACGATAAAGTTATAAACAAACCAAATACGAGATTCATGTACACAAAAAAACGTAAAACAATTTGAAACTCTTTTATCAATAAAATATTTTTTGAAAGAATTGTTATCTTTATGGATCAAAACTTCTTATAAAATGTAAAATGTTGAAGAAAAATTCAATTCAATGTTTAACTAACATTTCTAACCACACAACAGAAATAATTAACCAAAAAATTGTACAAAATTCATGCGGATTTAAGAATGATGCGGTTTTGTTGCGAAATCTAAGACATATTGTTAGATTTATGTTGAAATTAATAACTTTTAATTGACTCTTTATAATGACTAACCAACTATCAACACTGTGAGGATGCATAAGTAGTTGTAACGAGCATTTCGAAGGAAAACTTTGATCGTTCTATTTGCTTTTATTTTACAAACTGTTTCAAACATTTGTATCAATATATGAATTCGTCACTTTGCGTTCTGTTTTCAGACTGAGGTAGAGCTACTTTCGAGTAGCATTCTGATAAATGTTGGAAATAGATAACAAATGATAAGTTTCTTTTGTGATAAAAGTAGTGAAATAAGAATGGATTACATTTTCAAAAATATATTTAATTATGTAACGTGAAATTTACTACAAAAGTTTTCAATAACTTTCATTAATTCGATTGAAAATTAACAGCTTTTAGTTCATCTTCAAAAATAATAAAATTACATTTAAAAAGCATTCTATGGAAGGCGTAAAGTTTAATCATTTTTTAACCCAATTTGCCGGCTTATTTTTTCGTTATCGGGTTAACACTTCAAACACTTGTAAAACTTCAAAAAAAATCTCATATATAAAATGTCTACGTATGTTGTACATTACATAGAAGCGATAGCGAATGTCTAGTTGGGGCAGGTTCATAAAACGAGCAACAGGCAAAGCTTACGATTCAGCCCTTTCGGAAAAAGTTTATTTAGCAGTCAAGGTGAAAATTAAATTTGTTTCATTTCATAGCGTGAACATTAATTCACAACTTTAAATAAATTACCATTGAAAAATGGTATGACAGATGGGCGTTAGAACAGAAATTTGAAGAATCGTTATAATGGACAATGATCTTTGAAGAATGTTTAATGAAATTTAAAGAACGGCACTTGAACTCATAACTCTCACGTTTTTTGAACGTCGATGAACCTAAATTGCGTGACTCATTGTTTTTACTATTTCTAATCCCAAATAAACTGTCGCGTGCGAAACATCTAATTCTAGCATGTCAAATATTCTAACAATATTTTTATATGTCTAACATGCATTTCTTAATTAATAATAACAAGGAGATAATAAAGAATTTACTTATCTAACTTAAGTTAATTAAAAATTATGACTGCCATGACCCTCAAAAGCTTTTAATTATCATTGAAATTTGAAACTCTTTTATTATTTACTTACAAATTTTTTGTTTTTTCATTTTGCTTAATCAATAAGTTATTCACTTCTATTCACTTTCTATGTTCTGTAATTGCCGTCACGATCAAATGTCTACTGAAGACAGTCGACAAAATTGTGTTGATTTTATAGCTTTTTTTTCTTCTTCGATATTCTTTTTTCTTTCTCAATTCTTAAGTCGTACTTTGGTAATGTTTTTAAAGTGTTTGTTCAGAGGATAGCAAGAGTTATTGTAAGGTTGCCTTTCAATTAGCCGAAAGCTTTATGTTAGATTTCTGTTTTAAACGAAATGATACTAAATCATATCAAAACTAAAAATTTCATCAACATTTACTCAATAAGACATCAAGGTGGAAGTATCTATGATGAAATGAGTAATTATTGTACATTGATCGTGACAAAGGTTGAGAAATGTAGGGCAGATGTAAGATAAAGAATTTTACTAATTTATGCTCACATAGCTTTGCAAAAGTATGGGAAACAGAAGAAATTTTTGAAGGAACAGTAATAAATTTAGCTTAACATTAAGGATATCTGTTAATCACATAAAATCTTACATCGAATAAACTGACAAAGCCAGCAGTACCAGACACTTGTTTGAAAGTATCTTTCATTCCTTGGAAAGAGATTTCTTAAATCTGGCATAAGTGGATCTGGAGGACGTAAATACTAATAAACTTTTACTGCATGAAATTCTCAATTATTGTACTTATCCGTCAACACTCTTCTTTTTCACAAAACCATAAAATAATTTAAACAAAACAGCTAGTTGCTAATATTGATCATTGAACTGTTACTGTTTACTTTTTTATATTTTATTTGACATTTCTAATGTTCTCTTAGTCATATCCTAAAAGTCGTTTAATATATTTGTGAATCTTACTGAGTTAAGAACATTTCTGAAAATTTTAATTCTTTCAAATTCGTCTTCGAATAAGGTTTTAATTCAGTATTTCATACTTTAACAGTTATCTTAACTGTATCCTGATTAAGTTTTATTACACGAAATTCTCAATATTTCATTCTCCAGCCACTTCTTCTCTTTTCACAAAATAATAAAATGTAAACAAAACAGCTGATTGTTGTTATATTCTTTTTATATTGGGTTTTACTGCGATAAATCACAAATGTCCACTGTCAACGTCAATGTTTGCACATCTCATACCACTTAACGTTCTCTTAGCCCGTTTTCACTTTCTGGTTTTTTATATTTTGATGAAAATTAAAACTTGTTTTGAATAAAATTCACCAATGAATTTGCAAGTTTTGGAGCCACTTGACTCTAACTGTGTGTTCGGCACAACTTTATGTATGAACTATTAAAGCTTATTACCCCCTATGAACTGAAAAAATTTAGCGATTTTCTTAACGCTTTTTTAAGTTTATAAAGAATAATTAGGAGAGATGAAAAAGCTTTCATAAATAAAAATTTGTTATTGCACATAAAATAATATGCATCACATAATTGTATATAGATTCTATACATTTGTATACAAATAACTAACTCATATTTTTAAAAGAATAAAATTAAAAGTTCTTCAAATCGTCACCATTTAAGTCAAAATATTTATGTCTACATTAGAAAGCAGCGTTTAACACATTTTGTCTGTAAACTTCTATAGATATAGTATTTTCTGATATAATAATGAGGACTAAGAACACGCAACTGGAAATTCCTTGCTCGTCTAGGCAAAAAAATTTGGTCAACACTGCCATAAAACATCGATTCTCGAAAGATTTCTTTTAATAGATTAAACATTTTTATAATTAACATACTTTGATGGGATTAATTATTTTAAAGTTTTTATTATTCACCTATTGACATGAATAAAGCACTCCACTCAAAACATGTGAAAATACGTAAATGTACTCGCAGTTTTTCAAAAAACATTCCTTCCCCTAGACCATATGAACAGAAACTAAAAGAGAGAATAAAAAATAAAATAAAACTACTAAAAGTTCTGTTCTAATGCTTAGCCTGTGAGTTTCGATAAATAATTTAATTAGTTTCTCGCTTGTTTGTATAATTTTTATGCTCTATGTCGTCGGTGTTAATCAAAGTTAATTCGAGTAACTTAGAATGTTTTGAGTAAAGTCAGACAGGAAACAGTCGCAATATTGAAATGACTATCCAATGACATTATATTTTTGTTTATATTTATTAATTATTCAAGACCTAATTACAGTATAGCTTTTTTTTGATATCATAATACAAACTCCGACATTTTGTTCCTATTGCAATAATTAATAGAAATTAAAATTATACGTACAAGCTTTCAGATATTATCCCCTGGTAGAATATCAATAATTTTATTTTCCATATGACATTTTATTCAAATGAAAAAAACATCAACAGATTTTAAGCACATTAACTTAAATTGTTAGTTATAATCGTGTTTCATTTTAATCTTTTATTGTTTTACTATAATTCAAGTGTAGGTATTACAATTGTTTTAATTAGAGAGTACATAATATCAGCATTAATGTTTTGTGTAATCTTCTTGTTTTAATTTTAACCCCTGATATGAAAATATTTCAATAATCTACCTTATGGTCTTATTTTAGGTTTTAAACATTTAACGTCTGTCAGTATGTAAATTGAACAAGTTGTTTATTCAACTAACATTATGGACATGCAGCGATTACATTCATTCATCCATCTACATTAAAAGAGACTCAAGAGATGGGATTTAAGCAATGTTGTTGATGTTTTAGTGTTTTAGTTCGTGTTATGATAGAAAAAAGCTGCCGAAAAATTTCAAACTGAATTCAATGAGTTGTTAAGATTAAAGTGTATTGCTGACAATTCATTACATCAGTTGTCGCGACATAAGCTGTGCTTCTGTTCTCTTTTTCTTTTAGTTATGGTTTGGATTGTGTTACAATCGATATGACGAATGAGGTAAACAAAACTGCGAGAACTAATTAATATTTATAAATAGTCGGAGTTCAGATCAATTTCGATGTGACACTGCGATAAAATTTGAATTAAATTTTTCTTCTTTTTTGAGCTTAGTAAATTCATCTGGAGGCCACTTATGCTTGATGAGATCCACTTTGTAATGTAGAAGTACAGCTGATGATGATGTCCAAATCTGTGCTATAAATTCATCTCTAAGTACATTTCATTTAGGGTAATTTTCAAAGTTGTAATTTCAATGCAAACAATGCACAGACTTGTATTGGGACTTTAAATAAGTTTGCCACGCACCGTCATTAATCACATTTAAATGTTTTAATTGTCACAGCGCAGTCGCAACATTCCGTCAGTTGAGGCTCTATCGTGACTTCATTCCACAACGATGCGAATATTTTTACGATTTTGGGAACTTTTCAACAAAAATTTCATTGTCAAACTTAACTAAACAATGGACAAGTGTGGAGAGATGTTGATCCAGATTGTTTATGGTATTCTTTTTATTCCATGATTTCTTTGAAATTTGAAACATAGCAACACGTCGAACTAAGACAGTAAACTGTCAACTAACTTCAAACGTTAAAACTTAAATCTGAATTCATGTCGTTAATAAAAGATCGCGTGTTAAGAAAATTAATGTTAATACTGATATATCAAACATAGATTGAACTAATGTCTACATAAATATTTGTAGATGATCAATAGAAACATTTCCAGATCCTATAAAATAAATAAAAAAGAAAACAACCATGTTTGATATTCCCAAAGTATTTTGAACAAACATATCAATTAAACATTGGTAACATTCATTTTCCACGCTATTAAAATATCCATTTTACTTATAAAGTTTACTGAGTAGTCAATGTCCTTATTAGTGTTGACTAATTTCATATTTAATAGCATGACTTGCATTTATGTGAGGAAATATTTTTGTATGTTTTCACTTCGATGAATTAAAAAGTTTTTCCTTTAACCATGTTACCGACTTAAAGGTATTGGTTTAGTCTTTTCTTGACAAGGCTCTTCCTAGTTCATAATAAAGTCAAAACAAAATCAGCAGGGAATGACTATTAAAATTCTTTACGCTCATAAGTAAAGAATTTATGTACTTTTTTTTCGAAAATCTCTTCATGTAACTGAGAATTGTCATTGTACTTGAACTGATTCTATTGATATGTTTAGAGAACTTAATGACATAATTAAAATTCACTCTCAAATCACTAACTATCAAAATATTTTTTTTGCATTATGAAAGTTCCCAATAGAAATTTATTTTATTTATATCTAACACATTAACAAAGTATTGAAAAGTCGAACCCATAATATATCCTCATCATAACAATAAAGCATTGCTGAAGTCTTAATTTCTTTCGTTTTGTAAAGGAAACGTTTCCATGCCTGCAAAATCAATACTAGTAAGGTGTGTAAAAGCTTTAATGCTTATGAATACATTTCGCGAACGGAAAAAAAGAAGACTAAACAGCTAAATATCAGCATAACTATGCGTGATATCTAACTTAGACATCAAATGATATAACAGAACCTCAATTACTATCGTCATTCAACTTACCTTCATTTGACTAAGGAAATGATAATAATTTCTTTAAATAACTTGAGACATGAGATTTTTATTCACAGAAAATGAAATTTGTGTGATGTGAAAATGCATTTTGCTTTTCTTTTCCTTTATTGTTTTATTTGTAAAAGTGCACAAATCTTGCAAACACACATTAATGACTTTTTAGAAGCTTAACTTTCTTTATCTCTCGTTTACAATCTAAACATAAAAACATAAATTTATTATGTAATGAAGTATTACCAATGTGTTTGTTGTGAACTTATGTAGTTCTTAGTTTTACTTGATTAACGATGGGAAGCAGTCTCGAGTGAATTAAAATCAAGGATTTTTGAACCGTTTCTAATGCATGTCCGGTGACTAAACAAAACTTTCATGAATCATGTTTACTGCTTGATTTGTTCTGCATCAACCTTCAAAGACCTTAGCTAAATGCATTTGGTTTTACATCGATTACAGTTGACAATGTAAACATAAAAGCTTTTTACCATACACAAATAAAAAAAAGCATACGAACGACGTGTTGCAATTTCTTTTTTATGAATCAAAATTATTAATGTCAAAATGAATGAATGGCTTTATATTTCAGTTTTGTATTTCCACTACTAAAGAATGTGGGAAAAATGTCGAAAAACTTCTCAAGCACGTACGGTAATTCAACAGGTGGATGTTACACCCTCAGCTTACATTAGATTGGGTTCATGTGTGTTCACCTTCAGACTACCCAAAGAGAATGTTCTGGCGATAACATTTGATTTATCTTCTTTATGGTATGTAGTTTATGAAAAATTTGCTCGTTCATTCATCCTTGTTCGAAATAATTTCTTACAGCCAGTGCTTATAAAATATGCGGTAATTCTTAAGATGTAACAAGTAGAAATAACAAAACAAATTTAAAACAAATGGACTTTTATTTTCATTTGCTTGGTACGTGTCAACAAAAAACGAAACAATGAGCTACTCCACAAAACCAATTCTCACGATAAGACAAATTGTGTGGCTTGTAGACGGATTGGATGAAATGAAATTTAATAAGTTCACTTACTTAAACGTCTCTGTTGTTACTTAAACCAAACAGTACTGTCTTTGATGTAAAAATGCAGCTTGCGTCAATTGCTGAAAAACTGCGAATTGTGGTAACCAATACAAACGACTTAGGGTAGTAAGTAGACATTTGAGAACTGAAAAGTTGACTTAAGAAAAATAAAAACTTCAAATAATTAGCAAGGTCGCAATGGTGGAATTGTATAATAAAATAGTTCAAAACAATTTATTTATCTTTCTCGCTTTTAAGCATGGGGATCTACGAGCTTATGGTTACCTTTTTTCCCACAGTATTATTTTATTTTCCGTGTCAGTTGGAAAATGTTTTGAGCTGCTGCTGAGATGAAAATTATATATAGTAGCGAGTTTGTGTCAAGAAAAAATCATTTGACCGTTTACAGTCTGCGCGAGAGGATTGCTGGTGGCATCAAAGTGAAGCAAAAAAAAAGAAAAATTTAAAAGCAGAAGTGTAAAAGTTTAAAACGATGGGATATGTGAAATCTCATCAAAAGGTAATTCATCAAATGATGCAATTTAAATCTTCTGCGAGTGAATTTTTTGGAGAGAAATTTATGATTTTACTTTTCTTAATAACAACAAGTGCACGTGTGCGTTGTACGTAAAAACGTTGTGATGCTTTTAGTGTCTCTCGTTGCGTGAAGCGCTATTAAGCTTTATTAAAATTTAAACTTTTGTAATGTTGTGGTGTTAAGAAAGATACAACAGACATGAAATAAATGATAAGCAGATTGTAAATTGAGCAATTCTCATATATGAAATTTAATTTGGTGTAATTAAAAATTATGTATGAAAATTAAATTGAAGGGAAGTCAAGTCAAGACTTCAATTCTTCTTTTGTTCGCATAAAGTATAAGAAATTGTTTCATGTGGAAAATATTACGAAAATATGCAAATCAAGACGCGTACCTAAGACTTTATGAAACTATCAAATAATTAAGTCATTCTTCTTTTCATTTTCTTCTTACCATCCCAGATTTTTCCCATGATGAGAAATTGCATAATTTTACTGTTGACGTACACGGTCTTGATAGTTTTTGCAAACGATGATTTGACGTTAGAAACTGAAAGTGATGAATTAATGAAGACTGGAGATTTGGAGCATGCAGAGACAAAGGATGCGAGTGCGACTGAAATTATTAAACAAATAAGAAAGGTGAATGCTGATGGAACATACACGATTGGATTTGAAGCAGACGATGGGACGTTCAAGATTGAGACCCGCGATTTACAAGGAAATGTCAAGCAAGGAACTTACGGTTTCGTTGACAAACATGGTGAGGTGAAAAGGGTTTCATATTCAACTGAAAATAATACTTTGTATAAAGAAATGAAACCTTCTGAACAGGTGAAGGAAGATGAGAAAGAAACAATCAACTTGGCACATTCAATGAGATACAATCGAACTTTTGCTTCCACCACCAGACGACCTTCTTCATTAGCCTACTTGACAAGTCCATCAAGTCCAACAATGAAGTCAAGTGTCATTCAAAACATTCCCAAGCGACGCATTCTTTTACCGTCGGAAAGAACAACTCTCAGATCTCAATCAGACAATTCTAAACAGCCTTTTGAAGGTACAACGACTGTTGTTTATGCAACTTCCGTTCCCACGCCTAAACCATATTCATCACGATCAACAACTTCTCCAAACTATTCTTCTAAGGTCACAGAACGAAATGACAAAGTTGAAATAGATCAAGTTGAGAGAAAGGTTTACATTTCTACTTCGAAAGATTCAACGACTGCTAAACCTGAACAGCTTAAGGAGAAGAATGATGAGAAAATGGATTTAATAAAACGTGGAAACTCACTTCGTCGGCAACTTAAGCAAGATGATGATGGATTTGAAGTGCAGCAACAAATTATTTATGGAGATGGGGATGAAAGCTCAGCTATTTATGGAAGTGGTTTAGGAAATGTTCGACCACTTTTCACCACAACAACCCAACCGAGAATCCCTCTTCAATTACTTGCGGCACGTCAACGTGCAACACAACTTCAAAATGTTCTTGCAAATTCATCGCCAGCAACAACGACTGAGAAAACTTATATTAAAGCACCGAAACGACAAAGTTCAGCAAGAGTGAAAGTTGAAGATGTCACTGAGAATTTAAATGAAAATTATCTTACTCAGCCGCCTATTCATGAACATCAAACTGTGGAATCTGAAGCAAGTGCTGTTGATGAACGAAGACAATTCCAAAGACCTTTACCACCACAACTTGAAAGTTTATATCGACCGAGAAATTATTTGAGACAATTACAACATCAACCTGTACCACAACAGACAATTCAGGAACGTCGCTTGCCTTATAAATTACCACCAAATCCACCTGGCCCTGACCTCAATGAACTTCGTTCGCAAATCTCACCAGCAGCACAGAGATTCGCACAACAATATCAACAACCACAACAAGGCCAAACCTCAGGTTTTTCAAACCAACCTGCAGAAACTTTTAATTCGCCATCACCACTGTTTCCACCCAGATCAGCATATGATTTGGATCGACCACTAACTGTAAGAGATTTCGAAAGATTGCTTCAATTGTTGATTTTCCGTCAACAACAGCCATACAGAATAAATCCATATTATCCACCATCAAACCCTGCTTCATATCCACCGTTCATTCCTGGCTATAATCAGCCTTATTCACAGATACCTCGACCACCTTTCTATAATCCAGTCACTTCTGGGTTATTTGATCCTGGTTATCAGAATCCATACTATAGTCCATCGTCACCTGTAAGCCAACAATTTCCAAATGGTGGAGGGCAATCAATACCAGGAATGTATCAACAGGTACCACAGAACTCTCAACAAGTTCTCGATCCTAATTATGATATTCAACGATTGGTACCGAGAAGACGACAGTACGATCCTCGATTGTATAATCAACAAATGCAAGCTTCAACACCACCATCTGAACAAGAAATGAATTATAATTCACTACAATCAGGTTCTGATAATTTTTTGCCACCGTCAGTTAGAGAACAGCTTTTGTATAGAATGTTGATGCTTGCGATTAGAAATGATCAACAATATTCACCGACAAGTTCAGCAGCTGCTTCTGATTTACACACAATTATTGAACCAGAGCAGCAGGAAGCTAATACAGTTGCCACAAAAAGTCCATCACCTTCAAAGAAACCAGTGAGAAGTGTTCAAATTCTTGGAGAAGAAGATGAAGAATGAAAAATTTATACTTTAACTATGAAAAGCACGTTAAAGCAGATTTATGTGCGATAGAAACATAATTAAATAATTTTTTAATTTGTTAAGTTGTTATAAATAAGTTTCATAGAAATGTCAATGTAAGAAGAAAACTAAAATAAACTGAATTAATCAAAAAGCTTATTTAGAAATAAAAACTAGTAAAAAATGATCGTTGAAAGCTCTTTTAAAAATACGTTGGATTAAATTTGAAATTCAAAAATAAAGCGACGCGTCAGTAGCATTTTTTCTCGCTTGCGCAAGCTTCTTCGTCACTTTTTATTTTTATGCTTTGTTCGTTATCTTCCAGTTGCTTTGAATCACTTCTTCTTTCGTTGCTTACACTTTGCCTTTAAGCAGTGGTGCTCAACATTTAATTTTATTAAATATGATCACATCGAGAAAATTCTTAATTTTCAAAATGTTTTTTGCATTGACGAAAATTTTTATTTAGATAAATTGCAATTAACAAACAGACTACCTAATTATGAAAAAAGGTTGTTGAACTCTGAAATAAATCTCGTTATTTCTCTCTCTTGGGCTCCAAACTTCACGTTCCATACACATGTGTTTGTTGTTTCTCAGTTTCGAGAGTTTCATAAACGATCGAAGTCGTGTTCCGCGCGTTGTCTTCCATAAAATGCTTAGTTCATTTAACGAATTGTGATCGATTAAGTGCCTTAAAAATGAGTTAATTGTATGAAATTGAATATTATATTGATTTTTGATTAAACTTTAATAGTTTTACCAGTGGAATGTGATGAAAGAATTTATAATTCGGAAAGTGAAAAGTGACCCAAAACATTTCTGAATATTTATCTTCTCTCTTGGATGTTGTGTACAATTCGTCTTTCTCTTCATTCAATGTTGCTGAATTTACTTAAGGTCTGCAGGTAGTCGACCCATTTCTACGAAGATCACATTTGGGAGTAATTGTAAATACAAAAACACATTGTAAAATTGAAGTTGATTAAAACAAAGGATTTGAGACAAAACAATAAATTTCTTCATAAAGTTAACAAAAAGAAGAAGAAAAGATTTAAATACTCGATCTGAAGTGACTGAGAAGAAACTCTTTTGTGTTAGAATTCGTGGATTGTATAAAGTCGTTTTTTTTGGACCATCGTCGTCATTTCATCTTAAGAGGCTTTGAAGAGCTCTTTGAAGCTTCTAGTTTTCAAGGTAAGACTGCTCAACTTTCCATTTCTTGGGTGGGTATCGGAAATGATCGTTTCTTTGATTATCGAAATAACTTGATTGGTTTTTTATTCATTGTTTGTGGCGATTGAAAGAAAATTTACTAACCGAAAAAAAAAGACTGACGAGTTAGCATGCGAGCGCCTTACGTATTTAATTGATTTGATTAATTTATAGTTTGAAATCGGCATTGCGGTTCATTAAGCTCTTATTTTTTCCTCACTGCGGAATTTCATTTCATCATAATTTATTGCAAATTTCATGCTACACAATTCTTCATTTCTGCAAAACAATAAACTTTCATTGTTTTTAAACATTTAACGAGGCTGAAAATTTCATGGGATTGGCGGACTATCAAAGCAATCAAATATGATCTTCTTGTCATGATGATTAATTTACAGCAAATGAGAATCATGTGCGAAAGATAATTTAAAATTTCCACTTTTTTAATGTTTACAATACTTTTTTTAAATTTTTCTAACATCAAACATTGTGAAAGATTGAAAGCAGGCCTCAATCAAACACTTCTCACATATTTCTCACACTAAATAATGCGGTTGAGAAAATGATGATAAACGAATTTACGAACTCGATTGTAATCGACATTGTCAAGAGAAAAGTGAAATTTTCAACAGGTTTTATTCAATTTTTTATAATAATTATAATCATCTGTAAGACGACACGATTTATGTACATGATGGTCGATGATTTCGATAGCAACATAATAAATATGTGGAAGTAGTCCAATCGTTCATAAATTGTCTTCACAATTGGTTTCTTTCACTCGACAATGGAGATCATTATCGGAATTATCTTTCGTTTTCCGTTGAAGCCAGTAGTTTACAAATCCATCATCATCTTGTCTTTGTCGTTCATCCCTCGTTAACTTCTGATTATCATAATCCAATTTTTTGCTGCTTTGACATGAGTCATTGTCACAATTCTCAGCTTCATCTGAATTTGCTAAGTGATTAGCATTATCCAAAGATGATTCTTGTAAGCTATTTAAATCTATTGTGGGTGTCAAACCGGTTAAAGTTTCCGATTTAGGCTGAAGGTTCTTATTACGTTTGTACTCATCAAGCAAATGTTTCTTGTATTCGTGTCGGAAATATTCATCGATGAATTTCCACACACCATAACTATACCATGAAATTATTCCAAGTAAGAAGAAACCCCGAAATAGAAGTGCAAACATTGTTTAGATATGGTTGAGCAGTAATTGAGTATTTAAAAATTATTTCTTAATTTTCACAGGAGAAATCTTAATTAATTTTTTAATAAAGTTCGCTTGTTTATAGGAAGTCAACCGGACCAAAATATTCAATTATAATTTCCTTAATGAATTCAAAAGAAGTTTTCATTTGAGGCCATGCAATTGTTAAAAACATTACAAGCGAATTAACGATGACGAACAGTTTCAACGTCTCCTGCCCTAAAATTTCAATTTATTCAAATTATTGTCAATGATTTCTTTTTCTAAATGTGAAAAGATTTTTACCGGTCGATGATCTCAGATAACTTCCAAATCCTGAATTTACTTCCTCATCTTCCAAATCAACATTAGCAATTTCTGTCGTATCCTCTTCAACTGGTTCTTTTAAATTTTTTTGTTTCTGCCCCTTTTTCGGTTTCGTCATTACATCCGGAAGCGGCTGACAAATGATAAAGTTCAAAAACAAGACGAACAATAAAGAAAATCTTCCCGTTATTGAGTTTAGTATTCGGTGTTTGTAACTAGATGTAGGAAAACGAAAGGATGAAAAGGAAAGAAAGATAAAATATTCAGTATGAGAAATAGAAATTATTCTGACATCTTCCCTCATGTTCAACATGCTATTAAGAAGAACAAATGGTATTTGTAGGATTTACTATTTAAAATTTATTATTCTGTCGTGTTAATCTTTTGTTGGTGGCAATAATTCTGCATAAGTCTCGAGAGTCGAGGGTGTTACTAAGACATATGTTGATGTAAATGAGCAACGTCATCAACAACAGAAAACTATTCAGTTTTGAAATTCTTTTATATGGAGGTAATCAAAACTTTATCAGCACCAGCACAGACTGTGCAGGAAACTTTAATTCATTCTCTAGAGAAAGGGATCGAAAGAATTGGATATTTGATATCATTTTGTGCACTTACAAGTCAGAGGGACAAACAAAAATTTTGTCATGAGACAGTCAAACTGACTTGTACGTTTTAAAAAGTCAAAACTGTTGCACTACTCCCATTATCCCATTCAAATGAATTCCATTATCCATACTTGAGCCTCATATCAGAGAAAAATGAAAAATTTTATTTGAAAGATGTTTGATATCATCATAATTTCGATATGGATATTTATCTGTCAATAAACTGTTGAAATTGGTTATGAATCTTCAATCAATTGAATTTTATTGTGAGATATGCAGAACTAATACAAATATTGCTTTCAATTCTCAATTCGTAATTCGCATTTCAAAATTGAGAAAGTTTACAGTTTTTTCATTTAAATGTACTGAGGTAGGAATCTAAGTAGGGAGAAAATTATTCATTTGTGTATTTACAAATAGTTCAACATTTTCTTTTGTAAAAATTAGATGAGTTTTCCCACTTCTACCCAAAATAAGTTTTCCTCTTTTAGCTTTTTTTTGGATGAAAAAAGTTGAAAAACCACCCAGCCTGTTAACATAAATGATGAATTCTACCACCACATGGTCGAACTGAATTTTATATATATTTTTGTTAAGTCTGGCTTTAAGAATGTATATTGAATTTTTAAATAAATTACAAGTGATGAGGGTAACAAAAAGAGAATTCATTTCTGTTTGAAATTGATGTTGTTTACATGTTACGTTTTTTTTATTTTATTTTTTGTTTTGTTCTTTTCAACTTGAACTATTCTGCGATGTGTCTCAGTTAATTTTTCTCGACCGCACACTGAACATTAAAATCATTTCATTTATTTCACAAGGGTCGCTTGTTGTTTACAACATGATTTTCCACAGAAAAATCTTTTTAAAATATCTGAAGTGAACGATGTCTGGATGAAGTTTTCAACTTGAATTGTTTGTTTATTTTTGGTAAATGTCTAATAATTTAACCCACACATTTAATTAAATTTCCGACATCCTACCTGATTGCTGCACTTTAACAAAAATATATTTTTGTCAAACGATTACTCTCATTGTTCGTTATAAACTGAGTAGTGTTGGACAAGTACGGAAATTGTTAAAAACGTACAAAACAAAGTTGATTTTATGCCATATGATGCCATATAATTGAATTACCTTTTATTTATTAAGTCGTTGTTTTCATTCCGATTCACAAACAACATTGAACACAAGCTGATTACGTAAATCCTTTCCGGAAAAGTCAATTTTGAACAAGGAAAACTTTCCCATCCTCCTAGCTTTTTATAAATATTGAAGCAAGAAAGTTCTTCTGCCACCTCTTGTGTTAAGCTTACCTAATTCTAATATAATTACGTGAAAGAGAAATTCAATAATACAGAACACTCTTGTGGCTTCCCAACACAATTAGATGTCTACTGCAGTGGATTTTTGCCGTAAAACTTTACTGCTTCCTTAAAATTAGTTCAAGCTTTAAGGAGTAAATTTTATTGCTGACTCAGAACTCGAGTGCATTAACGAGATTGTGTCCCTTAAAACTGCGGTCGTCTCGCTTGAAAGTTAATTGATGTTGACTTTTATTAAATGAAAGAAGCACAAGGAAATGTCTTTGCTTTCTCTTATCTTCACCAATTAATGTTCCTGGAATTGTTCAAAAATTATGTCAAGCATCGAAAAGGAAGAACAATTTGGTTAACAACAGAATATTGAGCGAATTAACCATGACAACAAGTCATAAAATCTACCAAATGGGTAAGGAAATGCGTCGAGACATCTTACATAAACGTTGATTAAATTGTAGCTATTATCACGTTAAAAGGAGAGAAAAGCTTTTGTAGAACATTGAAGAAATAATTAAAAAATTAAATGAGCGTTAAGATAATTTTCCTGATAGTTCACATTTGTGAGTGATGGGGAAAATTTATTATAACTGAAAGGATCTCTGAGTGGAAGTAAAGAAAAGTGAGGTGTTGATGTCACTTTACGTCTTCTGGTTTCTCATCATGTCTTTATGTCACGTTACAATACGTTTTATGACAGCAAAACCTTTCATTTTCCAAGGAAAAAGAAAGAAAATGCTTCTTTTTAGATAAAAATGTTATTATTTAGTTGATGCTTGATGTTTACAGCATAAGAAAGGTAAGAGGGGAAACTTAATTTCATAACAAGGCAACGTTAATTTACTTTTTATCACACTTAATATGAACCATGAAGAACTCTCGAACGCTAAGAAATATGACAAACTTCAATCTAATTTTATTACAAATTAATTAAATAAATCTTTAACTTCCTTCCAAAAATAATTCAAGGCAAAGTTCAGACAAAACAATAATCAAAATTGTCGCTTGTTTATTATTCTTGTATGTAGTAAAAAACATATATCAAAGTTTGAAAGTCATAAATCGTTTGTTGTAATTAAAACCGTCATTATGTCACATCCATTTACTTTATGATAAGAACACAGTAAAGCAAAAAGCATTAAAGGAAAAGTCGAAAAGTGTTTTCTGAAGTTAAATTATTAATGTAACAAGTTTGTTTTTCTTTTTGGTAGCAGAAAGATATAAATTGATTGATGGTAGTGGCAAATAAGTTACATCAACCAGCAGCTTATTTTCATTTACAGCATCCTGAAAGTTTTGAACAATTTTATATGAATTGCGATTGCCAACGCTTTTATTTCTTCAACATCTACTTTTCACTCAACGCAAATGTCTTAATTTAATTTTCAAAATGTTGCATCGCTTCTTTGTTTTATTGGTCGGTTTTATAAATTCTCTTTCGCAATTTATACAGAACTATATTTGGAAGCATGTAACATACCAAATGCAATGTTATGTGGTTTTGTGGCAGTATTTAAGTTTACATGAGTGAGTGATTCCTTGAAGGAGGAAATTTCATTTAACACGCTTTCATATCCTTAAACGCTTCACACTACAGGAACTCGAATAAAAGGTGTTAAATTATGTTCGCTTATGATATTGCAACGAGGATATTTTTCATTGTCACTTGAACATGAATAAGAGCATTCGGAAATTGTTTCTTAGTTTAAAAGCATATTTAATAAACTTTTCCAATAAAACAGGCATAAAATGTGATATAAACAGAGCAAATATTAAATTGTGAAAATCTCAGATTTCAATAATTCAAACAAATTGCTTTTGAGGAATTAATTTCAAACGAGCTAATGAAAAATTTGTTGCATTTTTCTTTGAGTTTATACTCAATAATGATTGCTGATGATGATAATAAAATAAGAGAGAATGTATCCCAATTGGAAAACGAAGTTAACTTTCATGAAAAGTTATTCATATTCTTGTAAAGCTCAACATTTCTTCATGGGAAAAAATCTCTCTTGGGTCCATTGCGCAGCTTCGTTGCAAAAATTGAGTAGAAATTTTCTCTCGTCTTAACATAAAATATGACAATATTTAGTATCAACAGAACTGCACGACTGTTATCACTGAAACGTGATCGGCTCGCGAAAATAAATTAATTTTTTTTTCTACTCTCACACGTTTAATTCAACGAAAACAATTCGTGAAAAATTTCGCTAAATATGAAACGACGTGAAAAGTTAAATTTTGTATAAAAATATTTAACATAAACACGATTTAGAATGTATGAAAATTAAAATTGAAGAAGAAAAACTTCTTAATTATGCAAACGTGGAATTGTGATTGATAGTGTAATCAGAATGTAATGTGATAGAATTTTATGTTTATTCAAAAGTAATGAAAATCGCAAAAACATAAAAACAAAAGAGGGACGAGAAACGGCGAAAGCATTAAGCGACCAAAAACTGTTCGAGGAGACAAATTTTAAATCGTTTCTGCCTCACAAAAAGAAAATAATAATTTTTTGGCGAAAATACCTTCTTCATATTGTCGAATATTTTCTGTCTTGGCGAAGACAGCAAATTGTTTCAGAAGAAACATTTGCCATTGTTTTGGCATATCTAACGTTGTGAATTTTAACAGTTGGCAAAAGAATAAATCTACACTCGTCGAGAGGGTTGAATGAGAATAAAGGTAACTTCCAGATTTTCCACCCTTGGTGTGCGTATTCAAGCTCTGTGTTCAGCCAAAAAAAATGAAATAAAATTTTCGCCGTGTGATTCGTTGACGTTCTCTCATGTGCGAATTAAGAGTCGTAAAAATAAAACAAAAGGAAACTTTTTTAATTAAAATAAAAAAGAGGAAAAGTCTTCCACGTTTAAAGTGTTTGTTGAACTGGTTGCTGCTACCTGTGGAGGGCTTAAGCACGTGAGGGAAGAGAAAGAAAAAAAGCAAATAAATTTTAATAGGTGCGCAAATAAATCTGTAGGAAAACTCAACAAATTGAAATGTTAAATAAATTTGTTTTCGGATTTCTTTTAAATACTTACGAGTAAAAATTTCGAGATTAGACGTAACATTTTTAACAACTCATTGGAGTAATTGAGAAAGGAATTCGAAAAGTCATCTCAATAAAAGCAGGTTATATTGCTTTCTTTCTGTTTGTACAATAATCCGCTTTAGAAGTTCTGTCGAAATATATGACATAAAAAAGGAAATAGTTGAACGTTGCCAACATGAGTTACCTTCTTCCAGATAACATTTCTTTCATCAAACTTTTGCTTACTCAGCATGAAGTAAGATATCTTGGTAGGAAAAAATATAATTGGAAAAAGTTTTCATTATTTTTCATCTTAATTTCATCATAATTAATATCTAATGATTTATATTTGGAGTGTGAAACATGTCGGTTGGTGCTTCAAGAAATTCCTCAACTTTCTCTTAGGGAAACTTTCAATGAAAGTTAATACGTAAAGTTCTTGAGAAAATCAATTAAAACAAAATATTAAGCAATGAATATTTAAAAGCTTCAACAACAGCGTAAACAGAAAAAATGTGAGCTTTTATTAAATGTTGAAAATACTGAAAACAATCTGGACTTTGTCGGATTAATAATTGAATTGAAAACATGAAAACATTTAAGAATCGGAAATCCTATGAATAGGAATTAAATAAATGCGGCAGATAATAAAAAGCTTTTCTACTGATCGAATCAATAACCAATGAATAGATTTCCGATTCAAATGACAACAATAATATTTATGCATTCATAATTTTCTTAAGCTTTTCTGCATGCATGTTTCCATGTTCAGATATCATAGAATTTAAATGAGAGAATCATTTTACAAGTCCCCTTTCTATAAGCTCAGTAATCTAAACCTTATGCTTGCTGACCTGAAAATTGTTGATTTATTATCCAAATATTTGTGTTTTATAACTTTATTATTTCCAAATGGAAAATGAATGATTGAATGAAACCTCCATCATTATTGTGATGCTGTAAATAAAGCTTATGACGTTACAAGTGATTATCATAAAAACAAGAAGCAATTCCCGAAACAAATATGTTCCCAGCTTCTCTTTTTTTTAGCGTATGTGTATCAACATACAAACATTACCAAATAGGAGTGATATTGTTGCGAAAAAATTGATATAAACTGTGCCATTATGCAGGCACATAAAACACATTTCATGGCACATGTCGTGCTGTGGCTTGAGGGAGAGAAAACCATAAAAGAAACCATAGATAAAATATCAATATCGATTACATTCCAGCCTATTGCAAGAAACTGAGCGAAAAAGAAAAAAGAATAAAAATAAAAAATGAAACAGAAGAAAATCATAAAGAATCATCTATTAAAGAGTGATTTTGATTGATTTTTCGCAGCAAAGTAAAATATTCTATGCACATGCTTAAATAATATTTACGTATGCCAACAGTGTATCCATTCGAAATGTGAGGCAGAGACAGAGATTAATAAACTTTTCCTTTTTGACGTCATTCATAAATATTGTCAGGAAATTTTCTATATTTAAGAGTACTGCCAATAAATCAGTGACGAAAAGAAAAACATAAGAGAAAAATATTTGCAAAGCTTATGTCCGCCCCTAAAAACAGTTTTTCCATTGCTATCGTAATAAATCATAAAACAACAACAGTCTGGAGTAATAACAGTGAAAAAAATTTGATGAAAATCCCCATAAAAGCTCATGAATTTGCTGCCAATTCTTGCTATAATATTATAATTTCTCGATGATTGAACATTAAAGTGGAATTTAATTAACGTATCAACGGCAATTATTTGCCCATCCTTCTCATCACATCTCTCCCCACTTTATTTACAAAGTTTCGAAAAGCTTAATTCTGTCAAGTGAAAGCTTTAAAGGAACAATGACTTGCGAAAAGGCAAAAAGTGGTTGTTCCAGCAAGTAGTAGATGATGAAAACATAATGATGAACAAGTGGTAACATTTAAAAGCGAAAAAGCAAAAAAAGGAAGAGCAAAGATAAGAAAGATCACTTTAGCTTTGGATAATAATGAATATTAGTTAGCAGTTAACTGGAGCAACTTGAATTCATTTTCTTATGTGAACAACTTTATTTGGATGTGACACCGTAGAGAAAATCTTCCTAATCAATAATAATATGCAGTTAATGACCTTCAATTCGCTGTTGATGTTCGATATCGTCTTTATATTTTTTCTCTTTCTCATTGCGGTCACATGTTTGTTATACTATTTGCCGCCAGTAAAGATTAAGCATAAATCGCATTTGGATAGACGTAGAAGTCAACAAAGTGTCACAGTGGCAAGTAGCAACAGTAGTAAAAGTGTGTTATACGTTAACAGCGATAATGAGCCGGTAGAGAGTTTTATTAAATGTTGCAAATATTGTGAAAAGTGTAAGTTAATATATGAAGAGATTTATAGCGAGCGAAGCTATTCATACGAAGCAACAACATCAAACAAATTATCGTCAACCGGCAGTTATTTGAAAGCAAAAGATTGTGATATCAAAAATTGCAAAGGACCCATATATGAAGTATAATTTTCATCGAGTGTTTTATTAAGCGCTACGTTCTCCATTAAGCATCGTAAATTTTCTCACCGAAAGAGAAAGAATACAAAAAGGAAAGACATTCATTCATCTACAAAGAAAAGACTTCAAAAAGACGAGAAGAAAGAAATTCCTTCGCTTTTCTTCATAGCGGTGCGTTTAAGCGTAAAGCGGATTGAAGCCTAAAGCGAAAGACAATTTTCAACAAATTCAAGTATCATAAATGGGTATGTGATCTATTAAATATATGGTTAAACATCATTCTTTATGTGCGTCTCGTTAAAAAGTTACATTTTTGATTTATGCCTCAAGCGACGAGTGTTGAGCTTTTCCTTTTTTTATTCATTTTGATGAGTTTTGCTATTTAATAATTTGTGTATATGGATAAATATTTTTGTGTGTGGGTGTAATGATGGGAGATGATTTTAATGAAAAGAAAGAAAGAGAGCTTTCAAATTTATGGCGTGCTTTTCAACACTTATTTTCTCCCGTTGATGTGTGATGATTTCTCCATGGCATTTATTTGTCACTCAACATGTGTCCCGGGACGAATGATAAAGCAGTCAAAAGCGACTGATGGTTGTTGACAAAATCACTGTCGGAGTTTTCCTTAATTGAATAAATCCTTATGAGCGATTATATCGCATCACAGTGGGAAAATGTGATTAATTTGATTCAATTTACAACTGAGAAGCGAGCAAGTCAATTTTGTGGGATTCTCTGTGACCATTGCTTATGATTTAAATCAGCAACAAATAAAATGCGTAGCTTTATATTCTTCCTTCTTCTTGATTCTTTTTCTCGTAAAATGAAAAGATTATTTGATGGGCAAATGAAGGGAGAAAAGCAAGAAAGCACAACAAGAAATTAGAGAGAATGTTAATGAGACGCGATCGTGAAAAAGTTTCGTCATCAAACTTTTCTCATTTAAAAGCGAGAATTTAATGAGTTGCACGCTTTTCTCAATGCGTAGTAAGTATCTAAAAGCTAGAAATCACAAGAACGCTTTTGTCTTCCTTTCTTTTTTCATTTCCATCTTTAATGCGTAATCATTATCTTCCCATTCTACCAATATTGTAAGAAATAGCACGGAAAGCGAAAGCAGCTTCATGCTAAAACAATTTAATGGGTTGAAAAGTCTCTTGAATTGAAAATGAAGTGAAACAAATTTTGTCTGAGACAGCAGAAATGTACGAGCATGAAACTGGAACATAAAAGTTTACACAAAAACATCTCTTAAAATGCTTCTCAGTCTTCTCGTTTTTCACATCCTTTATGTTTTATTTTTAGAAGCCCGTAAACGTACTACAACAGCTTTTGATATTCTCGCCCAGTATAAATTTCATGAGTCATTTACAGTAGGTTGATGGTCTCCCACAGATTAGGATGAAGATGAAGACGAGGAAAGAAAAGTCGTCGATGAGAAATAACAAAAAGCTAAAGAATAATTATGAGAAATTAATCCTTTTTTTGCTTCTATTTTCTCATCTTCTGTTTATTTTTGTTTCTAGTATTTCTTAGGAATAGTTGACTTAGATAGAACTGTGTAGGCGTAAAATAAAACAGATCTGATTGTAATGGCTCATTCAGCAAGACGTTTCAGAAGTGCCTTGATTTCTTTCTGCTTAAACACTTTCAAGCTATTAATGAGCTTCAATCACATTCTTCAATATCAGTTTCGTTTGGATAAGTTCATTAATAACATTGAGCATAATATTAAAGAACCAGAAATAGATTCACGTATCTCTTCTTGTTACATCATGTTATGTTGTTCAAGTATTCATCCGACGATATCCACAAATCTGATTTGAATGAAACATTTTCTCCCCCAAACACGCAGTTGATTTTCCATTTTCTTGTTAGCTTCTTTAAATGTCTTAACAACCTCGAACATTAACCTACATACTATAAAAGCTTCATGTCACTGTTTGTCAAAACATTTAATGGAGGAAAATGATGACACTAGAGTTTGGGTCGCTTCGTTTTCTTTTTTTTAGACTTTTTTTTTCTTTCCTGATTCTGTCGTTAATCTTCCCCTCAGACATTCAATAAACTCAATATGTTGTTAAACGATGCTCATTTTTATGGAGTGCCATGTCACTTTCTTTATTGTTTTTCGATAGCTTTTCTATCCTTATCTCTCTTCGTTGTTGTTCACTAGATGAACAACTTCTTTCTACATTTCATCATTTCAAAGCAACATATGCTAAGATAAATATTTAGCAAGTAAAAAAGGAGAGAGGGAATCGATTAGATAACAAGTTTGCGGCATCTTGGACAGTTTATTAAGGTTTATCTGATATATTAGGAACAACAAGTTCATGAAAACTTTCATTCAAAGCTTTCTTCTTTTTTATGCTTTTTCAATCTCTGATGATTTCCATTGTGAACTTTGGTCGATTTTTGAATGATTTAAGCTCCTCATAAATATTTAAGTGTTGGGATATTTTTCTTTTCAAACACTGAATCAGCAAAAGATAAAAAAAGTTTGAAAGATGTTGAAGCAATAAAAACAGATGGTCACTAAATTTAGTGTTCTATTATTTATTTCGTTCTCCTTTAGCTTAACTTTTTTTTGACTCATGCATGTATGACATGACAGGATATTAATTATCGAGGGAAAAAGCGACTTCGATAATTTATGGTTTTGTATACGTAACACAAAAGCATTTTTTCCTCTCCCATATTTACAAAGTATCGTTGAAGTATTTACCAAAGTAACGTTCTGCTTCGAAAACCACACCTGAAGTATCTTCCACCAGCCGCCAATAAGTGTTACATTTCGATGTCGTATATGTTGTGCCAAGGGAGATAAATAAATCATTATTACTCTTTTCTGCTAAAGCTTTTCTGTGGAAAATTCTTTCATACAATTTAAAATTATCATCGACACATTAAAGTTGAGTAAAAATATTTATTTATTGAAATGTTGAATATTTTTACATTTTTTTATCGCTGGTAAAATGCTTTGAGTGAGTGTGAAAAGAACGGAAAAAGGGGGAAGAGTAGGCAACATTAATAGATGTACGAATTCGTGACATTTAATGTCAGAATTCATTACAAATAAAATGAATATAAAATAAGAGTGAAAGGGAAAATCTGCAATTTCCATTCGTGATGTAAGCGAAAATATATTTAGATATATGGAAAAGATTCTCATCTTTCATCATAATGAAAAGGATGTGCGATAAAAATAAAAACGCTGTCAAAGTTCAGAAGATATCGCGTTACGATATTTCTTTTTCGACGTCAAAATATCATGAGACACAACATTAAATTGACGTTTAAATAAAAAGCTTAAACATTATTTCTGTGAATTTTTTAATGCTCATTTAAATGTGAAATTTTATGACGTTAGGCTTTTCATCGGGTTGTTCTCGTTCATTTCAAGTCGCACATATTTGCATAGTTTTTCCACTGATATTTATGCTAAAATGAAGATATTTTCTCACTTTATGCTATTTTAAACGATAACTCAATTCATCAATCCATTTAAATCATGTTCACATTGTAAATTGAGGAAATTATTTCTGGGGAGTTTATTTACTGTTATTTCATTCCTTTGCCTTTTCAATTTGTGTTTTTAAATTGAATTTCAAACCAAGTCTTGGGATTTATGACTATGACTGGGTAATAACATTGATGTGCATTTCGAAAAAGGCTCACTTAGTTGGTAGTTCAGATTTTGTTAGTGTAAATAAATCTGAGAAATAAGGAAGTTTGAATAGGAAATCGGAACAGGAACTTTTGTTGCTTTCTCTTCAATTTTACCACCTGGAGAATCTCTTGCTGTTATTACGAAGCTTTTAACGGGAAATTTTCCGCTTCAACTTTAATCCCATAACAAAGAATTTGGGGGAATATTTGCACTGACATAAGCCTTTGTTTCATGCCTTGTTCGAAAATTTATTACATTCATAGGAAGTCGATCCCATGGAATCCCCCCGAAAAGCTCTTAATTATGATAAAAATCTCAGCTGCACCTTTATTACTTAAAAGTACTCGAGGCTCAAATGGGTATTTCATTAGGAGGTCCCTAACGATTTATTGATGAAGGTGCGAGGGTGGTATGAGTCAGTCATCACCTGTAACTGACACAGAATTATTGCAAAAATCTTTCACCACCCGTTGATCTGAGTGCGCTTAAAAACTCATTTGGTCACAAAGCAAGAGAAAAATGAAAAATCATTCTTGTTGCTTTTTAATTTTCTTCCCTCTGCCACTCATTTGAACGCTTAAAGCTTCCTTCTCCCCTATCATGAGTACTGTGACAGATATCACAGAATAATTTAATTTTTTTTCTCTCTCACTTTTCATTTTCATTTTGTGCTTTTTTTCAAAGTTATTTTTCATTGATTTCTCATCTCGATTGTCGCTTCTGCCAGCGTTTCCTTGTCATAGAAAAAAAGTAGAAACAAGTTCACTCAACTTCTCATAAATAATGACTTCCGCAGCTCCCAAAAAATGTTTCGAAAAAGAAAGAAAATTTTTAAGCCAATTGAAATTGTGGTCATTAATCAAATATAATGATGCTCAACATGTCCCAAAAAAATGAGAATGGAGAGGATGAAGAACTGTTTGATTGAAACTTCTAAGCTCTAAAGATGGTGGAGGAAGTCTGTGGCTCTTCATTAAGCCTCTGGTTGCTGTTTATGGAAGCCCTTTTGTGTTCATCTTCTTTGTTCCGTTTCTAAGTTTTGTTGTTCACCGTGGAAGATTTTTGTGAAAAATGTCAACTGCAGAATTTTTTAAGCTTCTCCAGACGTTTTCAACTCAAGCGAGTTAATGAACCTTTTTTCAATTTCGTTGTTACACATTAATTATACACACAGCTCACTTCATTATGCGGAAAAGTCGTGGAAAATTAATTGAAGTTGAAATGTCAGTCAAGTTCTTAAATTGCAAGATCTAATTAAGAGGGAAGAAATTAACCGCTGGGAAGAAGAAGAACTGAAAATATGGAAAACTTTAAATGACTCACTGAGTACCTGAATAACTGCTGTTTGCTTCATTTGCAGCTAATTGATTTGCATCATCGTAATTTCTATTTGTCATTATAAGAAGTTACAACATATTGAAGCTTGCTAACATCGACTGTGCAATTAAACAACACGAGTTTCCATTTTTTCTACCTTTTCAATTATATTCATGACTTCATTTTCAAAGCTCAAGGAATTTGAATGAAAATTAGTCTTATTTCAAATGACGAAAGCGGAAAATTAAGAACTTTTCTTTAGCTGTTACATGTATCGTAATCTTCTAAAATTCATAGAGACTTTAAATGTGAATTCAGTAGAGTAGAAGGGAATAAAGAAAAAAAAAAGGTTTCGACTGGAGGGAAACGAATTGAAAAATGACGAAGGATTTCTATTTCATGTCATGTTGTTACAACTTTCCGGCTTAAGATTATTTATTTGGTAAAAATGAAGATTTTAAATTCGATGGAAAGCCTGGATTTATGTTGCTAGGAGACGAAACCTTTTCATAAGAGTTACACATTTTAGCAACGTATTTGAATGAAAGTTTATGCTCAATTTCTATTTATGATTAATTAAATTTCTATTGCTATTGTTTCATTTCAGAATGTATTCATCTATCGAAGCACCATCATCAATTTCATCCGATTTAAATCATAAACAATTTCGATATCATTCAAATGCCTTTAACGTACACCCAACTGCCAACACGACAAAAACAACAGCCGGAGCAGCAGGAACATTGGCCCCTATATCAAAAGGAAGTACCAAATCAGTTATAAGGCCATCAACTGATGCTCATATCAAGCAGCAGACGTCATCAAATTTCAATAACAATAGCTATAGGAATAAATTCTCTTACGGTGCCTATGATTCGACTTGTAGTAATAACAATATCGAAAATGTTAAACATAACATTAGGACGACAATGTTTAATGAAAAAATGTAAGTCATAAAATTGTATTGGCGTGTTGTGCATTTTATTGATCAATTTTCCTTTTTACAATCCAACAGTATACCCCGTGGGCCTTACTTACAATACAAAATGAGTGAAAACGACAATAAGAGTAATTACATGCAGCCGAATTACTACCACAAAACACCATCAAATGGCAGCGGAAATGGAAATGTGGAGGCGCTTAAAGAAGAATTTGATGGGCGGGGAATTTTACCGCGTGCCAAAATTACAAGCAATTCGGTTTTAGAAAAATCGGGTGTTGATTACAATTTGCGAACACAAACGATCGGACGTTATCGCCCTGTACAACCAACAGCAACAACCACAGCAAATATTCAATTGAAGAAAGCGATTCTTTACGAGAATGCTGTTCATTTGAACAATGAAAATCCTCACAACTCTTTGCGACAACAAAATGCTTTCTCTTGTCATACGCTGCCAGTTACGCGACGAGAAAACCAACAAAAAGAAATGATGAGTGTTCGTTCTGGGAACAGCTTGAATTACATCACACTCGAAAGTGCTTTGAATGTTAAAATTTTTCATCAACTTACTCCAACACAAGGATGGGCAATGTTATGTCAATCGGTTCAAGCCCTACAAGATTTGTTTTTATCAGGTGAGTGATGATAGAATAGAATTTGTAATTATTTTTACACTCTCCTGAACTTGAAAAGAGTAGGAAATGTGTTGAAGAGAATTTAATGACTGGAATCTGTTACTTTAGTCTATTTCTTAAGAAGCATAACTTGAACCCGGAAATGAAAGTCCCGAAAACTTCAAATTTAATGAGGTCAAGTTGGTTCCTTTTGGCATTTGTACAGAACTAGAAGAAATGGGAAAAATGTGTCGCGGAAGTGTTGTCACGAAGTCGGAAAGAGAGAAGAATTTAACGAAAATAATTTTCGGCCATGAATTTAATCACATTCCACAGAATCTCCTCCTTTCTAGCTCTTAAATATCCTTTGAGACTTGAGGGTAAGAGATGACAATAAAACTTTTTTTTCTTCCTTCTTTTCTTTTGGAATCTTGTTATACGCAAAGGAAACAATTTTCCTGCATCCATTAATGCTGTTATATTTTATGAAAGGGTTCACTTTAACTCGAAGTTTAAACGATTCTCATAACCACTTTAAGAAATTGAATTTTTTTCCCATTTTCTCTTTTTCATAAATTTCAATTTGTGAATTTTTTAAAAATAAAAATTCCCTTAGAAATCAATATCGCCACTTAAAAGCTTCCGTCAAAATTAATCTGAATAAATCTCCTTCTTCGTAAATTCACGAATTTGGTCGATTGGGAATTTTTGCTTGGTTTCAAAACTGAAGAAGAAAGGATTTTAATGTTACATTTAAATTAAAGGGTCGAGCGAGTTAACAGTAGAAAGATTAAAGGTTTCAGCTTGTAAGCGAAAAAGTGAGATCAAAAAAGGTTCGAGTTGTTATTCTTCTCTGTTTTTTGTATATTATTTAAATAATTCTGCTGGTTTGTCAGAACGAAACGGAACAAAACATTGAAAACACAAATATAGTGTTTAAAAGCATGTGGTAAATTATTTCAATTTGATTTATTAAATATGCAACATAATTTAGTTTGCTCAACAAGGATCATTTACAGCGAAGAGGAAGGAAAACTTTTTTTATTTTGCAATCTTGTTAAAGTGCCAAATTAATGCAAAGCGCTTTTCGCCACGTTTGTCTCCATCCATCCTTTCTTTACTTTATATTTTATTTTTTTATTCTTGTTTTTGAATAATGAAAATTCACGAACATCGTGCTGGAACGAAGTTAATTTTTGTTTTTTAATTCCATTTGGGTTTAATAAATTAAGATGAAAATGTTTTTCGGTCGTTTCTGGATTTTCTGTTCGTGTACCTTTTTAATTCTCATGCATAATTTACGGCGTGAAAATACTTTTCCATTCGTTGAGTCTGAGAAGGTGGAGAAGCGTTAAAATTAAGTGCGATTTACGAAAAAAATTGTATCTAATTGTTTTAAGATATTTTAACATCGTTTAGATTTTTCCTCGACATTTAAGCTTTTACAAAATATTTGTTCTGAATTGGTTTCCCCTCCCCTAACTTAGTTATGATCCCCAAAAATTTTCATGAATATTAATTTGAAAATTATTGAATTTAAGCTAACAAAAGCAATATAGAAATTTTTGTTATCGAGCCAATCCACGCCTCAACATTCAAAAACTTTTCTTTCTCTCTCGACAACTCAAATTTATTTATTCATCATAAAAGACATTGAAATAAAATTCACAATGAATGAATGAAAAGATGACGAGAAAATTCCTTTATTTTCTTTGCACTTTTTGGATTGTTTTATTCATCAACCATTTCGTCTCTTGATGATAAGACGATACAGACATGAGTTCGTTTGTGCATGAAAAGAAAGGCGAAGATATCTCACAAAAAGCAGTTGAAAGTATTAAAAAATAGTCATCAAGAAAGACAAAAAATTCATGCGGAAGTATTGTTCACTTTAATGAGAGTTTTCTTATTTTTCTCATTTATATGAAAACGGAAATTGCATTCCAAACTTTGTCACCATGACGTTGACATGTTGAGCTTGGAAAAGTTTTCAAGATTTTAGTGCCAATTGGCGAAATATTCTGATATTTCTATTTATCATCCGGGCTAAGGTCAAATTGATATTTATGAGATATTTATGTTAGTCGGTTTTTCTTTCCTCATTTTTTCACGGGATGATTCTTTTGAGGATCTGATGTATTTGCGGGGTAGAAAGCGAAAAGAAGTTCTGGAAAAAGGTCGGAATATAATGGAAAATAAATGTTTGTGTTCTTTTACTTGGAGCGTTAAATTTTTTTTCTCTTTTCACTTCCACTTCGACACTTGTAAATTTTCTTTTAGTGTAGCATTAAAGTTGATGTAACAAGAATGGCGTAAAAAGCTTTTCTCGAAAATCCATTCATCTTCAACATCAATTCCACTAACAGAAAGCTTTAGCAAGACATAAGCTTAAAGCTTCTGATTAAGTGCTTTTGACAGAAGTACGATTCAATACTTTATTTAAACTATGCCTAAGAAAATATTCTCAGCAAAACATTACAGACGTCATCTCATAAATTTTATTGACCTTTTCTAATCCATCCATCTATTTAATATCTTTATCCTACACAAACGCTTCCCAATAATTAACATCTACATTTAGCTCGAACAAATCGTTGTGAAATAAAAGGAAATCGAAATTAATTAAAGTATTTCATTCGAGTAAAGTGCCTGTTCCGGGCCTCGTCATTGTCTACAATGAAATTCTTTCCTAATTGCCAATTTTCCATCAATTCATTTACGGGTCTTGTGATTGAATCATGATGGCATTAGAAGTTCCAAATGGAGGAAAATTAAACATCGATTGTTCGATTGTTGTTTTTCTGCCATGGATCTTGATGCAGACAGAAAAAAATTCCCCTGCCATCATTATTGATCCCTTTTGTGTTGTTTGTTAAGAATAAAAGAATAACAAGGGCACTTGTAGAGGATCATTGTGTGAAAACAATCAAATGGAAGTATATTGTGAAGAAAACAAAGGAATAACATGCAAATTTAATTTATCGACACTGCCAATTCAGAAATTAATTGAATTCGAATGATTTCGAAGTTTCATGAATTAAAAAATGTTTAATTTCAGATTTCTTGAATATTAATTTCGTCGTCTTTCTTTTCATATTTTTACGATTATCATCAAGTTTATGAAAAGTTTATCGAGAGTTTTTTCTTTGAGTACTTTTTATTCATACTCACTGACGACACTCAAAGCTGCTTCATCCTACGTTCAAATCAAAAAGTTGAAACAAAGTTTTCCACGATTTTCCAACAAAAATATTTTTGTTACGTTTTCATTTCTTAATCTCCAAGAAAGTGAAAAAATGTTTCGTTTTTATTCTTTTCTGTTCTTGTTTGTTTTCCTCGTCTCCTACACAGACACCCAAGAAATGAAGAATTTATTTCTTTGATCGAAATAAAGTCTTAAACTGTATCAGCGTTCATAATTTTTGTTATTTGCGTCAGATTCAAGTTGAACGAGTCATTGACACATGAATATAACGAGGCGAGAAAATCTTTTTTTCTCGCTAATTTCTGTTATGAAAAGTAAGATTTAATCAATTTTCATTGGGAGACTGTGCGGCTCTCGTGAAACAGATAATTAGATTAATAATCTGGTCGGTTCTCACTTCATCCGAAAATGGATTTAAGAAGGAAAAAAAATGAGCGAAAAATTGAATAATTAAATTTCAGTCTGTTGGGAATTGGAAAGCCAACATCGGAACACTTTTCATCCACAAAAGCAACAAGACTAATTTGTCTCGTAATATTATAATTATGCTTCTGAAATAATCTAAGATTCCCCTCCTAATTATCTAATTTTTTGTTCTTTTCAGAAACTCCATCAATCAATCGAGTTCTACCTGTTATAACACCAAGAAATTTTTTATTAACCACAAGAGGTCGAGTCGTGTATGGATTATTGACAATCGATAACTATAACGAATATATGAGTGAATATCTCTCAGAAGAATTCAAGAAGACGATGGCAGGAAAGATTCTAAACTACAACGAAGCAGATGTTGAAAAGGTGAGAATTGATAATTAAAGTTTCACCGAAAACTTTTTCCAATCAAAGAAGAATTTCTTTTACAAACCATAAATCATCAACAAAAGTTGATTAAAAGTTTAAATTGATTTTCTTCTTTTGCTTCTTCTTCATATCAATGCAAAGCCAACAAAATCTCACATGTTGGGCTTATTCTCACACAGTTTTTCCACAACCCCATTGGTTATAACAGAAAGAAAGTCTCGAGAAGTTGCTTATTGAAACTTAATAAATTTCCATTTCTGATATCTGAAAAACGAAAATCGATAAGCTTTCAGACTTCGGGTTATTGCAAGCTTTCTTTCCCGTCTCTTCCTTATCTGGATTTTCACTTAAAACAAAGGAGAATAATGTGAGAAGCTTTACTCGAATAAAACTTCAAGGGTTTGAGTGTGAAAAGGCTCTGGACCGAATAAATTCCCGTGAAAAAGGCAATTGAAGAAAATTGGCTTGGAGAAAGTTTCATGAAGATTAATGTAAACTGAAGTTCTTCAACTGATGGTATAGCATTACTTATAGCGCAAGAGTTGGAGAATTTAATTCTTTTTCCACATTCAAATCAGAATTCTCCCTTCATTGCTGGCAATTTTTTTAATATTAAATTCTAACTCCGACAAACGAGACAGAAATTTCTGAACACTCGCTCTTGTAGACCGTAATTTGATTTATCAAATCATAACTCTAAGCAACGACTACAGTTCAACGTCCACAAAAGCCTCATTGAAACTTAAGATAAATTTAAATAAATAAGGTTGTAGGAACATTTACTTCGTAATCTTATTACAGATTAAATTTTGAATCTCTCCAATGAAAAACCTTCGCTGAAGTAAACAAAAAGCGAAATCACCTCGCAATAAATACAAACGAAATGAAAATTTTCCGAGAGAAAGATTTTGATATTATGAAAACTTTTCCACTTCAAACTGAGACAAATTCATTGGAATTTATTTTAACTGTCGTATTAATGTTGACAACGCGATTTGTTGTCAACGTCAACAGATGAAATTCTTTCTATTCATAGAAATTAGGATAAAAAATTGTCTAATAAATTTGGAAAGAATATTGCGAAGCTTCATAAGCCACATGGGGAAAAATGAGAAAAAATATGAAAAATTTGGTAGATCTAATTAGACTTTTCATAAGTATTCAAATTTGCTTTTTAGTACTCGCCGTACACCTTAAAAGAAAAGTTACAAATTTCCGCTCTGATGAAACATAAACCGAAAGAAATATCAATAAGAAAATTCCAACTTAAAATTTCTTTCTTAAATTCAAATTACCGTCTTTCTCGCCCCCACATCAAAGCTTTTGTTTTATCGAAATTATGAAAAAAAAGTCGAACTGTGTAAGCGAATTTTACGCATCAAAGAACTTTAAATCATAATTCAGAGTTGGAAATGTTTGCGAATGGGAAATTGTTCGAGTGAAAATCTTTGAATTTGATCGGAAATGCTTAATAAGTAAGTAACACGCTACATCCCAACAACAGACTAAGTACCATTGTATGTTTATACTGTAAACTGTTGGAATAATTCATAAAGCTTTTCATGTTTTCATTCCATGCTATTTGAATTATTTAGCATTTATTTTAATATTTATTGTAACTTCAGCTGATTTTTCTTTTCAATACACTCCCATCCTCCGCATGAACATGGAAAATTAAATGAAACAGAAAAAGACATTTATCTCGGTGAATAAATTAGTTTTTATGCAATTAATTTTGATGAAAGCCGTCATGTTGTTAGAAGATTTTTTATTCATAAAATGTTGAATGCATTTTTATAATTGGAAGAGCTTTCAAAAGCATATCTTCAGCATAGTGAGTTACTTTATACACATCATAATCTATTTAATTATATTTTCTACAACCTCACATGGAAGAAGAAGCTTGAAAGCATCCATAGAGAATAATTTAATAGAAATAAAAGTTCTAAAAGAAAAAAACTGAAAGTATAAATTTCCTGCTACGTTTCATCCTTGCAAACAGAATTTAGTTCCACATCGAATTGCTTATTTTGTACACCTGCCGTCATTTCGCTTTAATATCATCCTAAAAAGCAAACTTAAAGGACGAAAAAAGTAAGCAGGTAGTTTCTCGAAGTTTCACGAAGCTCCATCGAAACAAAAGAAAATTATTATCTGACTCGATCCTTTCCTCGGATGTAATGAAACTTTCTAGTTATCCACTTAACTAAACAAGACTTTTTCTTAACTATTTTATTTCAAGATGTGGATTTATTCGCTTGGAAAAACTCTAATGAAGACAATGCCGACAATTCTTCCACAAGAAGGAAGTGAACTTTCAGTGCAACAACAACACCACAGCTCAATTGTGTTGCAGGCAACAATTTGGAAAATGTGCAAGAGTGTCGAAGAGCGAGCATCGTTAATGTTCTTGTTGAATGTGAGTATTTTCTTTCTTCATGGATATCTTGAGAATAAAAATTTTCCGTAGTTACCGAGAATTTATTTCATAAACTTAAAAAAAAAATAGTGGAAAATTTTTTCTGCAAATACTCGAAAGATTTTCTTCTCTTTAATCCGAAGTTATTCGTATTCAGTCTTCCTTACATTGGGTTTTCTTATTTTTCTATGGGAAAAGAAGTGATACGCTTGGGAATTATTCAACGATGATGTAAATATTCACTTTTTGTGCGAGAAGAAGAAACTTTTATAAAGAAAGATGATGCCAATGGCAAAAGTTTGTCTGGTGAAATTTGTTGAGCATTCGTTCTTTAATATCAAGAGTGATGCAGTCAAGCGCGAGTTAGTGAAAAGAAAGAAAACAAAAATTACTTGCTTCAGGTTAGGCAATAGTAAAAGCTCTTCAAATATTTCCGGTGAAAAAACATAAGAACGATTGACTTCAACTCAGATTCATCCCCGGTGTTTTCCATCAAATTCAAGCATGTATCTCAATCTGCCTTGGGACGAAACGATTCAATTTCATGTCGTTATTCCCTATGGTTGAGCTTCTTGTATTTGAGGTCTAGCAAATGATTTTAAAGCTGGTGATCCCTTACGTCTAAGCCAAATGGTCCATTGAGACTTTATGAATCGTACATTCCGCAATCGCACGCCTTCTAAGCAAAGTGGGAAAAAAGGATGAAAAAAAGGAAAACTTCTTGAGACGTTTCAAACGATAAAATTCAATTACAAAGGAAAAACACGAGTGGAAAGTTTTCCTTTTCTCTTCTCCTTTAGATGAGAATGAAAGCAAAGCTTTTCTCTCCGTGCGTAACATAATCAAGCGATGTTGAAGAAGAAAAAGAGAAACAATTTTTATCTCAGATCTTTAACAGCATAAATTAACATTGTTTCGACTACGAATAATACGAGCGGAAGGGAGAAAGTCTGTGATAACAAGGAAGATATTTTTTTTTCAGCAATGATTTATAACGATTTAATGATACTTTTTGCGGGCTCATTACATCGGTGATGTTTTATTCGATTGCAATGCGACAGATTTTTCTATCTCTTCTTCTTCTATGAGCACATGACAAGAAATTGTTGGGAATAATTTAGAATGTGTTTTCAAGCATTCTTTATATGTCATATCTACTGTATCTATTCAGACGAACGTGCTTGGATAACGATTATTTGTGTGAAAAAAACAATCATCCGAAGAATTGAAACTTGCTATGGACGGAAAAACAAAAATGAGGGAAAAGTCATAAAAAATATGTTTATTGAGTTATGAAGCGTTTATTACTTCATCTTTCGATCCGAGATTTTAATAAAAGCTTCGCATTGTGTAATCAACTTCGCTCTAAGACTATTATTCTCTTTATTTTTATTACTCATGCTTTTTAGGCATCATCAACACTACTTTCAATTTCCTTCCTTGTGGACACTGTTAGCTGTGAGAAGTTAAGCGTATCGTCGTCGTCTTTTCCTTATTTTTTTGTGAATTGAGTTCTCCGCAGGCTAAGTAATAATGAAAAGCGGAATGATGATGTTGCACATCTTTTTTATGATGATAAGATGGTTGTAAAAGAAGGAAAACTCTTTCAGCCTTTTACTCCATTCTGTCTTAAAATTCTTCTTATTTTAAATGAGAAGCATAAAGAATGCCGTTCATCATCCATCTAGACATTTACGTTTGTTTCGCCATTTCAACTTTATTTACTACTTAAACTTAAAGTAACAAAATACGAAAAGAGAAAAAGAGCTTTTAAAAGCATGTTTTGAATCCTTTGAAATGATAAATCTATTCATTAAATACATGTCAGATTTCATTAATGAATTTCAACACAACATGAAATTGAAAAATCTTATTTAAAAGTTTTTAATAGGAAAACTGTCATATGAATAAGTCATAATGATGAAAAGTATCAAAATTTGTTACAAGTAGCGATGAGTTGTCATCTCATCTGATTAATAAAAGCAAAAAAATTACACACCAATAGCGTGACAACATCAATTTTCCTTTTTGAGTCTTACATCATTGAAAGTTGTTCGTTCTTGTTTCTTATGATGTTCTATCAGAAAATATAAAAGTAGAAGAAGTGCTTTGAAGACTTCAAATTACATAAAAGTTTACTTCACATTAAAATAACATATTTCTCATACTCGTTTCTTAATACAGTGGAACTTTGATAAACAGATGGCTGAAGGTGCATCAGTTAATCGAGGTATCAGTTAATCGAGGCAATTTTTCATACAAATTCGATTCAAGGGGACAAAAAATATCTGTTTATCAAGGTTTATCTGTTTATCGAAGTTCCACTGTACTCGAAAAGTTTATCATTTATAAATTTAATAAAATATTTATCAGCAAATATCAATCAATAAATCTTCAGTATCTTTCGTACTTATCAACGAGTTTTAATTTTCTCTTCGTTCCTAAACTTTTATCATCGATAAATTGTGGGAGGATTTTAAGTTGAGATGAGAAGCTTACATGTTGGTTTTATGAAGCTTAACGTTAACATTCATGCGTCACCGACAAATTCCTCTAAAGATAATCATCATTCCTTACAATGATTTTCTGTGAAAATACTGACATTTGTTACAACCAACGTGCTAATGCCGCAAGTCTTGAATGCTGAGCAAAGGGCTGAAAACGGCGGTAGTAACACTCGCTTTAGAATGACAATGAACTGAGAATGACAGAATATGATCCGTTCTCTAATGGGGATGTGTGAGAATGGAAAAAATGTTATTCTATTACCGATGGAATGTTTTTCTTCCATCTAAGAGCTTTTACTTGACTGAGGTGGGTTTGAGATTGTGGTTGAGTTGATTGATTTTTCGTCTCCTGCCGCCTGTTTCGTCTTTTTCGTTCTTTCGAAAATAGGAATGGAAAAAGAAAGATTATTGGGATTTCTGAGAAGAAGGATGGTTTTGCTTTACGACGATTGAATATGAAGTTCAGCTACAACTGAAAATTTTATGAAGACAATATTGAAATGAAAATCTTTCCATTAATCAATGAGTTGTTTCTTCGTTCTCGAGATGTTTCATTGTGTTGTATTAGTTTAATTAAAAAAACAACTCAGCATTTTCATTTGTAATTACGTCATAGAAACTTGTGTTGTTATATTTTCGGATAAGCTACGCTTCGATTCATTCAGATTGTGGGGAAGGTAACTTAATGAATGACTTTCCATCTTTAATTAATTACACCGAAACCAACTCTTTAGCATTTGCCACATCCAAAACACCTTCAAACATTTATTTCTTCCTTTTGTTTTTCTTTTATTTATTTACCAGATAATTAATTGATTAAGGATACAAAAGCCTGAATATTGAGTTTTTCTTGAAGACAATTTGACAGACATATGTAAACGAAAGGAAGGAGAAAATTGTTGATTGATTTAATTGTAAGAGATTAACGAACAACTTTCGTTTCAATATTCTTGCTTTTAAACTTTTTTCGTTCTCTTTTGGGACAAGAAATTCTGTTCAAATCCCTTTTAATTCAATCTTTTATTGACGTCATCTATTTATTCTTCTTTTCGTTTCTTTTTTTTGGAATCAATAACCGAGACATAGTGTAAGAAAATTTTCTTCGCTTGATTAAAGCTTTTGAATGCTTATTTAAGCAAGAGAAAGAGAGAAAATATATAAAATCTGCATATGTACGACCAAAAGTTCAAGCGAGCGTAAAAAAAGATCCTTTTAGTGTCCAAGCATGTCATTGCCAAGTTCAATCAAATTCTCATCTTTAGGATTACTAAGCCAGAAATCCTTAGGTCGAATCATCATTTTGGTAGCTTTAAGTGAATAATCACCAAGCCAATGTTCCCAGAAAATTCCATGATAATTTCTTGAATCACCACCAAGAGGCTCATCACGGTAAATTCCATTAAGATTTGATTCAGCACAGCTTGAAGTAAAAGTTTTCTTTGTTGAAATTTTTTTTCTTTGTGTCTGAAGTTTTTCTCACCTTTTGAACCACCAGCCAGATCCCATTGATTGTGCACATGGTACAGTCAAATTCGAGACGTCGTTGTTCCTGTCAAATGTGCTGAAAGGTTGATTATTATGATAGAGAAATGAGTCGGCGATTGAACCCCGATATTCATCAACACTCAACGCGTATTTGTGTGTTTCTGATTCTACCCTGAAATTTCCATATTCCACCCACACATGATTATCTTTAAAGTCTTCGAGAACAATACGTAACACCATATGTTGGTCGCATGTTAACCTGTCATGGAGAATCAGAGCTCTGTAAACAAATCCCTTTTATAAATCTTCAAAGTCTTACTTGTGAATGAATTCATTTCCAAACCAAAAATCTCTCGAGAGATTTCCAAATCCCTTCTTGTAATCAGCCCACGATCTGTTGAACATCTCAGGCGGATTGAAGTTGTCTCGTTTCTGGATAATCGTCCATGCAGTACCTTCAGTTGAATATTCACAATACTGTTGGTTCAAATCTCTTCCGTAATCATTAAGCTCACGTTCTTCACCGAACGTGTAAACTCCACTTCTTCCAGTCGTTAGTTGAAAACAGTTTGTTTTATGCGGTTGAAAATATTCTCGCGAAAAAGAAGAGAAATAAATTAATTTAATCTTCTTTTTATTTACTGAAACCTTTCAGTTGCGTTTTTTGTTTTTCTTCATTCATCTTACCTGCATTGTCTAAAGTTTCTTCATCGAATTCAGAACTTCCACCACTTCCATCAAAATCATTCAAGCGTGCTTTTGCATCGGAACTATATTTTCCCTTTGGGGTGACTTCTGATGCTTCAACAGCTTTTATCGCTTTTTCCGTTCGTTTTAACAAAGTGTTTGCATTGTTAGTAAAGGTAAGAATTTCATGTTCTGTACTTTTACAACATGTTAAAAGCTTTTTAAATTGATATGAATTTGTATCGAATATTCGAATGGTTCTTTCGTCAATTTGATTAGCGAGATTTGTGATAACATCGAGAGCTTTTTCTTGTTTCTTATTAAGATTAAACGACTGCTTGATTTCTCTCGTGGGAAACTTTTCTAGATTATTGTTAACTTTCATCATCAATATCTTGAGTGACGTTGATTCATCATTGAGTTCAGTTGACGAAGTCTTTGATCCTTTGATGGGATCCATTTCACGATCCAATCTTGTCAAACTACACGAGTTTGCGAGAAGCTTTTGTATTTTTGTCAATCTCATCAATATTTCTGTCTGTTCGAAATCTTCTTGACTCCAGCTCTTAGTACCCGATGGTTCTGCGTTCTTAGCATGTTTTTGCTTCACTGGTGCTCGATGAGTTTCCAACATTGATTTCGTTATTTCATGTAACTTCTCATTTATCAAATCCGTTTTCTCAAACATTTTTTGAACCTTGAAGTCAGTATTTTGCAATTGATTTTCGATGACGGGCAAGTTCTCTAGGCTTTTTTTAAGAATATCAATTTTCCGATCTGATGATTTGAATTGTTCACTCCATGAGCTTATGTGATGACGAAATACATCCCAAATTTGAGCTTTTTCTTGTAAAAATTTCATATTTGCATCTAAATTATTCATCGTTTGCATGATGTTAGCAATTTTGTCTTCCACTTTCGTCACATAATGAAGATTAAAAGCTTCTAACTGAAGTGATAACTTTGTAATAGCATCTACAAATCTGCCATCGTGAACATCATTCGAGCTTGTCAGAGCATCTATCGTAAAAGCTTCGACATGTTGATTAGATTGAAACGACAGATTGATGATGCTTAGAAAGATAAGCAAACAATGCTGTTGATTGTAGAATAATGATTTAGGTATAATTAATTAAATTCTTTTCAATAAAAAGAAGGAGAATAACATTTGGTTTAGACAGTTTTAAAACATTTATACTTCATAAAGTTTTAATTAAATCAATTTGTTAGAAAGCTTCACACTAAACACTTCTTCACATCTTCATCTTCAATTAAAAAATATATCAATAAAATTAATTAATTACACGCTCAATTAGATTCAAGTGATGTCGAGACAACAAATAAACACGAAACTTTAATCATCACATGAATATATGTATATACATTTAATCTACCATTTAATTATGTTCATGATGAAACGAAATGCGAGGAACAAAAAAAATCGTTTTGTTTTACTCACACAATTCATTATCTTAGACAGCAAAATTATCTTCAATGTTTATAAACAATTCTTTAATTTGTTTTGATTTCCTTGTCGGAATTACCGCTTACGAAAATGTGTTCACTCTCTTAACGATTAAAATAAGAATTCGCACCGGTTGGATTAAAGAACGGGAGACGACTGAGAAAACAAAGCTGGAAATTTTCTATTAAATATACGAAAAGTTTGAGATGACCACTCTCAAAATTAGATGCGTAAAGACGTCGCTCTCTATTAATTGAGTATAATAAATGAAGTTATTTTAAATGACGGGAGAAATTAAATTTAGATCGTTAATTATGGTATAATCTTCTTCTTCAAAGCGTCATAAAATTAATTTGTGTGATGAATAAATTATGAATCTGTTAAGGGTCAGTTGGGGTCGGCCAAGTTTGGGTTTGTTATGAGGTTAATAGTTAATCGCAACAAAAGTTAAAAAAGGGATAGTTTGATAGTGTTAATTGGACAAACAATGTAATTTATAGTTAAGGGTAAAAGGTTGAAATTATGTACAACATGGAAAGCTCTCAGGTGCATATGAATATTTATTCGAGTTTTTAATCAAATCCTTTTGTTTATGTGCATGCGTCATTGGTTGAATTTTCGATTAATATAAATTGCAAATACATAACAATGATGTGAACATATTATTTTCCATAAACATATGGAGACAGAACGTCTCATTGCTTCGTGGTGCATCAAAACTATGAAAAAGGAAATTTCTAAACAATAACGGTTTAAAATATTTCGAATTTTGTGTCTCTGCTAAATATTGTGATTTTAGTACTTTGACACCCTGAAATCAAAAATTGTGTAATTGTGTTGGTGAACGTTTACATAAATGTTAGTCGATTTGTTTGTTTACATCTTATTGCATCAAAAATTGAACAAGGAAAAGTCATAAGTTGTTAGTTAGATTTCGAAGCTATGGTATCAGAACACTCAAAATTAATTAATTTAATAGATAAGTTGAAAAGAAATTGGGATCAATGTGAAAAAAATAGTCCTGATGTCTTCCGCTATAAGCTAAATGTGACAAATGAAAAGGTTTTAGATGGAAATTTCAAGTTTTACGTTCAGGTATGTGAAGGTTTCTCAGAATTTCCTTAGTTATGATATAATTAACGAAAAGTTTAATTATAGCTTAATAAAGATCGAGCAATTAAAAGACGCAAGCCTGAAAAATTTGATTCAATCATCCCACCTTTCAATCCCAACGAATTCAACTTTAATAAAGTTGATAAAAGAGAAATTTTAATGGTTGAGGAAATTAATGGATCTCCAGTTCTGTTTCTTATTAACAACAGTCCTCTTACAAAATATCATTTGCTCATTGTGCCTGATGTAGAAGGAAATCATCCTCAAGTAATGACACGACAATGTTTAGAGTTAGCGATTGATGTAATGAAATCATCAAACGATAAATCAATAAGACTCGGTTACAACTCTCCAGGGGCTCTTGCAAGTGTCAACCACTTGCATATTCACTTACTTAGTTTAGACAAAGAGCTTTGGATCGAATTTGTTGTGAGATGAAAAAAGATTTTTTTTTATTTCTAATTTTAAAACTTTTTATTTTCTAGGAATTGAAAAATGTCGCTTCAAATCTTTTTAAAATTAATGACTCAAAATTTCCTGTAAAAGGTTTTTGTATGATTGCGAAAGAGACGAAATCTGATGCTGAAAAGCTGAGTAGAATAATTGAATATTGCTGTGCAAATAAAGTTCCTCATAATATGTTCTTCACAAAATCAAGAATGTCTGATGACATTAGAATATTTTTCTATCCACGAATGTTGGGAAATTTCGGTGCTGAAAAGGTTTACACGTCTCTCCTTAATGTAGCCTTCTGTGAACTTAGTGGCTACATCCCCATTGGAGATGAGAATCTTTACGAAACAATCAATGAAAATTACATTATCGATAGGTTTAATCAAGAGATTCAAAATGTTTGTGATATCATTGAAAATGACTTAATTAAAATCATGAAAGACTTTGAATAAAGAAATCGAAAATTTACATGAAAATTGTTAACAATTAATTTAAGTTTCAATTATTTTCCATTATTTCTTACGAACTACTTTTTATTCCTTTCAGATTATCTCAGATTATTGCAAAAATGTTCAACAATCAAAACCATTCTCGCATATCATGATGGAACTTTTCAAGCGAGTTGCAAACGATCCAAATTTCAACCAATTATCACAAAAAGATGAAAAGCATAACAAAAATCGAAGAAATCATTTGATAAATTCAACATCGATAAACAGCGATGGTCACAAGTGAGAAAAACTTTATAAAGGAAAATGAAATTCATTCGAATAATAACAATAAAATCTTTTCAGAAGTGATACGGATTCTGGTCGATCATCAGACTACCGAAGCGATGACAATTCTCTTCAAAAGAAACTCGCACGTATGAATGAAGAACCAGTGAAATATTTTTCACTCCCACGTCCGAAATACAACAGAAAATCAGAAAACATTCCAGTTGAAATCCCGAAAATCAAATATCGATCAAATGCTGAAGTTTTCAGACAACGACGAGTTGGTGGCAGACGATTCACCGTTGACATAACTTCAAGTGAAGTTGATACAGCGTTGGCTGATGTCGGCCAACAAAAGCCTTTATCTCGATCAATCAGCAATCTAAATAAACCAAAATATGACGAGATGAACTTTAAAACTCTTCCAAATATGAAGTTGGCTAAGAAAGAGTCAATAATTGAAGAAGATGAAAGTGACAGACCAAAAGGACCGGAATTTATAGTCAACTCAACTGCAGAGATTAAAACAATTGACATCAGCGATATGAAGGTAGATGAAAAATATTTTAATTATGATTATTTTTATCTCAAAAGATTTCATTTTAGTGTGCAAGTAAAGGCATTGTCAGTGTGCTTCTTCTCAATGGTCGGACTTACAACATTTCGTGCAATCCACTTGCAACAACAACTCAAATGATCTTCGAAGCAATCATCAAATCCGAGCAAATTCAGGAAAATTACATCCTCGGTTTGTGTGCTTTAATTGGTGGTGATTTTGTTTTCCTTCCTATGGACTTGAAAGTGTATAAAGTTGCACCACAAGTTTGGATTCAATCAACAACTAAGAAGGCCAATGATGAGATAAAGAATTCAATCTTTTCTCTCTACTTGCGTGTTAAATTATTCCTTCCAACATTGAGAATAATTTCAATTGAGTCACGTCATACTTTGTTCCTTCAATTACGAAAATCAATTCTTGAGAATCACATTGTTTGCACTGATGATGATTTAATTACACTTGGCGGTTTAGCATTGCAAGCTGAAGTTGGAAATTTTCAAGATGAGGTGAGTTCTGATGTTCTCAAGCATTAATCAGTTTAATTAACATAAATTCTATTTTGAAAGATGAAGCAAATTGAATATTTCACAATGTCACATTATCTACCCGATGGAGTTTATCAACAGAATAAAGAGCTTGGAAAATATTTGCGCAACTCTCATTTTAGCAAACGTGGTTTGCATCCGAAAGAAGCTGAACTTAATTTCATCAGATATGTTCAAGAGATGCGTGAATATGGCATTCATTACATAAGCGGCGTCTGGACACGTGATGACAAAATTGAATTAAATGTTTACATCGGCATTGGATTGAATGGCATAAAAATCTTTGAAAGAAATGTTGGAGGTGGAAATGTCAGCAGAAATAAAACAACAAGAAAGTGCAATAAACGATTAATTTATGAAGAGTTTGATTGGCTTGAGATTGAAAATATTTGCTTTTCAAAACAAATTCTTTGCATTGTGGTTCGGAAAAGCAATTTGAGATTAAACTTGGGATCTAAAGAGAAGACAAGATTGAAGTTTAAAATTAAAATGGACAGCAGAAAGTGAGTTTCAGTGTTTCCATTGCATTGATTGAAGATTTATTGAAATTTTCCTTCCATTTCAGATCATTTTTCGCTTTCACAATCGCTTCACATCATCATCAATTTTATATGAAACTTCGCAACAGTTTCGTTTCAATCAAATCAATTGCAGACGAGCTCAACATTCCTTTAGTCGATGAAAGTTTTATTCAACCAAATGTCAATATAAAAATTGATAAGTCATCAAAAACGAGTGGATTGAGAGTTAGAAATCTCAAGAAGTCAATGTTAAATGACCCTCGACTCTTGAAACTTAAGGATCGTTTCATTAGACGATCAAAATCAACTGTCTGTGACTTTAAAAGAACAACTGAAGAAACTGCAAATGAAAATAATCAAAACAAAGAAAACGAGCGACCACAATTTCCTTCAATGATTGACTTAGCTGTTAAATCACCGTCAGTTACTCGTAACAAAGTAAAAATGGGCACGCGAGTCTTTTCAGCTTCATATTTAAACAAATCCTTCGATAGTTTAAGCGAAAACCAAACAGAAATAACTCGTGTTGATTCATGGGGCGCTCTCTGCTTAAAGGCGCCGGATGCTTTCGATGAAACACCGGAGGAAGATGAGAAAGAAAATGATTTCTTAGATAAAGATAAGGAAGAAGCTTATGTAGTCGGTAAGTGATTGTTGTAATCAATATCATGAAAACTCTCTTCATTTCCATCCCATTTAGAGTCGAGTATTAAAAGCATCAATATCAACAACAACTTTTCAATGCCAAATGAAACAATGTCGCAATCACTCCTGGAGAAGTTCGAAGACATATCATGTACTGATGACCGCGTTTTATCACAAATCACAATTGTTAAAGATCCAGTCTTCTCATCTGATAAACTGAACTTTAAATCACAATCACTTCGTAATCTCACGACATCAAATGTCGATAATCTGATAACTGGATACTCGATGGGAATCTCAATTGTTCAAGGAAATTCCGATAATTATGTTTATGTTAAAGAACTTGTCAGAAACGGTCCTGGAGATAGAAATGGAATTTGCGTGGGTGATCAAATCGTATCTGTTGATGGAACGTCATTGCTGAATCTGCCCTACGATGAAGCTCTTCAAATTCTTCAGAAAAGTGGAAAAACTGTCACACTCATCGTATCGCAGGTTTTCACCCGAAAACCACTTAAAGAAAAGCAAAGTTTTGATGATGGAAAACTTTCCTTCGAGTCACCTACAAAGAAATCAATTATCTCAAACCTTATAACGACGCCGTCAAAGAGTCTTCCGAACTTAATGAATTCTAAAGATTATCAACTTCCAAAGGTAAGACGAAAGCTTGCGTCTATTTAAAAGTTTCGCTTGAAATCGAACCCTTTTTATAAATAACCAACGACAGTTGATACTTTTTCTTTCCCTTTTTTATGTTACTCTCTTTATTTTGCTATCCTATAAGCTAAACTTAACATTTTTGTTTTCATTGGACCTTTCTTTACTTAATGTAGATTGTTGCTATCATCCCTAAAGAGAATTTAGTAATTCCGAGTCAGAATAAAAAGACGAGAAAGTACATTGGACCCACAAAGTATCCGGTTACGCCATGCCGTAAAGAAAAGGATTTGAAACTAACCATCTCGCCCAATTCCCATAAGACTCATCTTTCGCTTCCAACCAACGATTTGGACACTTTAAACATTTAAAGCACATTAATAAATGAATAATCATAAACAAGAAAAAAAGGTCACTCAAGTAAGTTTGACTGAGCACGATGTGGACAAATTGACACATGAGAAACATTATCAACTTATAATAATCTTCACAAAACGGGAAATTTTCACGAGAATTCATTGATTTGATTTTGACACACATCTACACGACTTAACAATGAAGATTAATAAAAAGATTAAATATTTGAGAAAAAAATAAAAATTGGAAAAAATTGTTTTATTATTTTCAAAATTTTTATTGGATGAGTTCGTGGAAGAATTTTTGAAGAAATTAATTGAAGCTCATTTTAATTAATTTTCAATTTTAGAGAAAAAAATTGAGCGGACGTTTGTAATTAAACTTCAATTAATTATGAACATGAAATATTTATTGATCTGAAAATCGCTTTTTCATCATTACAAGGATCTCCAATATTTAATATTCATAGAATTCTCTCGTCAAATTGTTTTTCTATTCATCGAATTAAAACGAGTTCATGTTCATCGATTTAAGTTGTCCGTATGGCAAATGTCAATGTTTTTTTAAACTTATGGCATACCTATGTCCGATTTAAATGCGCCATTGCCCTGTTGTGTTATTCGGGTATTCATCGAATTAAAACGAGTTCATGTTCATCGATTTATTTCTTCTCAATCGAGTCACGACTTTATTGGCTTCTATTTAAAACTGTTGCTGATTAGTTTCATAACACAAACTTTGCTTCCAATTTCCATCAATTTCTACTTCAAACAAAGTTTTCTCATCTCTTATGTTGCTGTTCATTTATTCATTTCTCGACGATACTTTTTCCTCTTTCTTTCAAATCGAAAAATAATGGAAAACAAACGAATAACAAGCGGAGTTTACTGAAATGGAAATTAAATGAAGAAACAAATTCTTTAACTCATGACAACCAACAGCAGTAGACAACAACATTGGAAATAGAACAAAAACAGAGAAAAAGGAAAAACAATTTTTCGCGACTTTTTCATTTCATTTTTTATTCGTTTTTCTTTCAGTTTCATTTGAGTGTTTTTACAGACAGGACGGAAGACGTTAAGGACGGGAAAGAAATTAAGTTTTATTAAGTTTTTCGTTTTGTTGTTTTTGTTGGAGGCCGAATTGACATTCAGAGGATTTAAAAACAAAAATAATGGACTTTATAAAAAGTAAGTCGAAGACAAGAAATTTCACTCAAGAAAGTTGATCCGAATGAATGTTAATTCAATTAGCGTTGCTTTCCACATGGCGAACATTTCATTCTTTCCGTTAACGATTTTTCTTTTTCTGTTCACGTTTCCAATCTTTACTTTGACATTTTATTTGACACTTAACAAGATTGTCAAAATTGAGATGAAAAATCATCATTTCTTCTTTTGTTTCACTTCTTCTTGAAGCTGTCATTTCACTTAAGGTTAAAATGAACATAAATTAAGACTTTGACGCATTGTTATCGATTTTCCATTCAGTTTTTCCACATTTTTTTTCTATCATCAAACAAATAATCCGCTTGCATAATATATGAAAAAATGTTTTAAATTATTTTAGATTATTTGCCATTTTCCTCAATTAAATTACCAAAAATGAGAAAGTTACGACAATGGAGTCAAGATTGCTTTGCAAACATAACTCAATTTACAGGAAGGTGCAACAAGAATGATAATAAGAATTCAAATCTTAAATCAGAATCGACTTATGATGAAAGAAATTTCCCGACAAAAGGAATCTCAACAATTTCATCAGCAATACGTGAACAGAAAATTGACCCGAAAAAAGATAATTTCGGACTTTATGCTTTGAAATGCGACAGAAGGAATAGCACAGCAAATGCACGTCGAGGAATTCTTTTGAATCTTTCTTCAACTAACAAAGTTAGAACGAAAGTTGAAATCAACAGTTTTCAATCTGTTGAACAGAAACACGAAGTTTTCCAATCGTGCGAGAAACTAATGAATGCAAATGGGGTCATGTACGATGATGCAACATGTTCCGTAAGCGGAAGTGAACAAAATGTTTCAATTGCACCACCACCGCCTCCCAGAAGAAAGAAGCGACCACCAACAGTTCAACAAATTAACACAAATTCAAAGCCAATAAAAAAATTGAACATAAAACAAGGAAGCCAAAGTTTCTTGAAGTCAGATTCCATCGACAAGAATGAGAGTGGACTTTATAGAATTGTAACATCAAATGCAGAAGTTGCAAAGTTTTCAATCGAACAACCGAGAGAAGAAGAACATGTCGTGATGGTAGTAAAGACAAAAGTTCAAAATGCTATAGCAACGAAAGCAAAACCCGTGCAGCAACAAGTGGCAAAGGTCAAATCTTATGAGTTCAACAAACACCAACGAACTTCAAGCATTGGAGACATTCCTAAGCCACATTTTACGAAGCGTAACATGTCTGGTGACATAAGTGGTTGTTCATTTAAGTCAGAACATTCAATTGATATCTTTCAATCTAATAAAATAATGGACCAACGAAAAGTATTCGATGAATTTGACATTCTGTTTGATAACACGAAGAAAGAATCTTGTGAGAAAATGTCTGACCGCTCAGAAGATGCTACAGAAGCATCTGAGAAAGTTAATTCAATAAAAAATTTATCTTCATCTCTATCGTCTTGTAGCGATAGTGAAACAGACGACAATATTTATCCCCAAACGTCAAAATTTATCGTACCGATAAAATCAGAAATTACAGAGGAAAATTTCACCATGAAAACTGTTTCGGAAGCTGAGAACGCTTTGGTGTCATCACCACCCACCGCATCACCAACAAGAAATGAAGAAATTTCTTCAAAACCAAAAATCGTTTATGAGCAACCGAAACAACCACGGAATGTTGTTAAAAAGAAAATTATTTATTATGATGACAAAGAAGAGCTGAGGCAACTTATCATGAATCAAAGTCAATCGACAACAATTATTAACAATCATTACAACTCAACATTATTCCCAAAAGCGGAAGAACAACAAAGTGATAATATTCAATTTTTATCCGAGGGCAAAATGCCAATAATCTTCACTCCTAAGAACATTAAAGATTCACCAGACCAACAGTTTGGTATGAATGGTAACGTCATTACTTCTGGAGATTATCAAGATTCAAACATTAAACAGAAATCAAAAAACATGACAAACAGCAACAGCCTTCGAATCTTTTCAAATAAGGAAAATTTTGTATTCAACTTGTAAGCTCAATTTATTTGATATGCTTCAATGTTTATTTAAATGCTTTAGATAAGATGACAATTACAACACTTAAATATCCAAATATTGAAATGAAAATGTTTCAATGTTAATTTTAGTAAGAAAGTAACATTGAAATGTAATGTAAGTTTATATTTAAATTGCTTTTTTTTTTATGAATTGATGTGATGAAAAGATTAAGTAAGTAGGTCAAGTGATGTAAGTTATAAATGTTTCTATCTAAACAAAAACAGTCATATGTATTCAGAAATGTCTTTGAAGACAGTTGGGAATGTTCCAAAGATGATATTTAATTATTAATAAATATTCTAATAAGTTTTTATTGTGAGCATAAAGTTTGAATAAAAAATCATCACATCGTCGTTCTAAATTGCAAAGACGTGAAAATTGAAAATGAAGCACTTCAATGAATTTAATTTTCTTTTTTTATATCGCCTTTATTGGCCTCATGAGGTGTTTGAACTAAAATTTGAACGTTTTAGAACATAAAGACTTAAATTTATATTAAGAATTCATCGAATTTTTACATGAATGTTTAAACAAATAAATAAAGTTTGATTTAGAGATGTAAACTTAGATAGTTGGAAGCTTGTCATAAGATTATAATAAAATATTTATCAAAAGAAGAAATAAAATTAATTCATTTCATTGTTGATGAAACTACTTCCAGTTGAAAACTTTTCTTATTCGATATGCGGATTGCGGTTGCAACAAAAACTTTCTCTAGCAAGATTACAGCAAACACGTTATTCTCGTTTAGTGGTGGCATTTGATATAAACTTCTCGGTTGTCGTTGAAGTGTCTTAAAACTTTTCCATTGAAGTTTACGCCTGAGAAGCCTCAAAGCTTTACTGCAAAATCAGCGATTATTTAATTTTACGATTCTTTGAGATATATTTCAAACATTCTTACGATTTTTTAATACTTTCATGACTTTGAGTTATTTGAATTTATAGTGCAGAGATTTAGATACAAATTTATGGCATTATTCAAATTGTCAGTAATCTCGAAGTCTTTATCAACACATTCATTGTTGGATGCGAATAATTGTTCGAGATTTCCTATCTTGTCGAACAAATTTTCATCTACAGAATGAATTGAGTTGGAAGAAATATCCAAATATTTTAAGTTCATAAGATTTCCAAAAGCATTCGAATGTAAAGCTTTAATCTTATTATTTTCAATGTTCAAGTAGACTAATTTCTGTAAATTTTCAAAGATTCCGCTCTCGAAAGTTTCAAGTAAATTGTACTCCAAGTGCAACTCGTTAAGATTTTCTAAAGATGTGAAAGTGTTGAAGTTTAAAGTTCTTATCCGATTCGAATTTATTCTCAATACTCGAAGAGCATGAAGTGACGCCAAAGAGTCTGCTCTCAAACTTTCTAATTTATTACCAGACAAGTACAAAGTTTTAAGTGAGCGAAGACTCTCTGAAAATGTTCCGGATGGAATTTCACACAACTCGTTGTAACTTAAGTCAAGAAATTTTAAATGTGAAAGATGATTGAAAGTTTCATTTGTCACTGATGAAATTTGATTACGAGAAAAACTAATCCACGTCATGCTTCGACATTTCTCGAAAATTAAAGCTTCAAGTTTTTGAATTCTATTCATTCCCAAATCCAAGAATTCGATCTCAGCGCAATGTGATAAAGAATCTCGTGAAAATTCACTAAGTTGAACGTTCCTTAAGTTCAAATGCCTGGCATTCTCAAATATTTTCAGCAATGTTACTGGAAATATTCTTATAACTGAATCTGTTGCACAAATTATATCAACATCTTGATTGTTTTTCCCTTCATAATGAAAGAATTTAATTTCATCAAAATTTTCATTATCGACGTTAGTTAAAAACAATCCGTTTAATCTGCATGAGTACTTATCGTGTAAAGAAAACTCGAAAAGTTTATTATTCCAGTTATTAAAGCATTCATCAAGTGAAGGGAGAATTTCTGATGTTACATTGTTGACATTGAAGAACTCATCATCAATGCACAAGTTACCTCTTGCAAAGAGTATCTTCAAACTAGAAAGCATTTCAAATGTTTCCTTGTCAATGTCTTCGATTTGATTTCGTGCTATTTTCAGATTTCTCAACTTATTCGAATATCCGAAGACGTTCGCATTTAATCGTCGAAGTTTATTGTACGATATGTCAAGAATTTCAAGTTGGTTTAAGTGGGCAAAAGTTGAAGGCGCAAGTTTCATCAACTTATTACTGTTAAGCCGAAGTTCTTTTAAATTTCTCAATGGCGCAAAAATTTCATAATAAACAGTTTCGATTTGATTGTCATTCAAGAATAAACATTCAAGATTGTCAAGACCATTAAAAGTTCCCCGCTGCAGTTGATTTATTTCATTCATAGATAAGTTGATATACTTCAAAAGCTTGTTTTTATGAAACATTCCAGGAATAATTTCAGATATTTTGTTTCTATCTAACAAAAGCGACGTTAAAGCTGTGCAATCTTCCAACGAATCCACACACATTAAATTTATTTCGGCTGTGTTCATGGCAATTTGGGTTATTGAATTAAACTTTTTACAGATGGGAGGAAACTTCCCGAAATTTTTATAATTTCCTTGAACTTTTTTCACATCACTGTCACTTTTGAATTTGAGATGTTCTCCAAAAATTATTGATTCTTCATCAGATGCCACCGAATCGAAAACACTCAATGCACACATATATCCGTAGTATGAATTCTGTTCATATTTGCAAATGAAATTTGTTGCTGTTATTGCATTATTGAAGACAGCAAGGAATATTAAAATTATTTTTAAAAGCATTGCCAATCAAAGCAAAATATTGTTGTTTATATATCAAACGTCAAACGCCAACTGGCTCAAATTATGCGAAATTGACTGAACTCGATTCTTATCGCAACCAGAAGATAATGAATGAAATGCAAACGTAATTATTTCAAGTGAAGTTGATGTAAACAAGTAAATATTTTCCACTTGAATCAAAAAAGGAGAAATCAACTTTTTTTTAATAAAATTAATTTATTTCATCATGGCAATTGTTTCTGATTTATTTCATGAAATTGTTACCATAAAAATATTAATAAATCTGTTCACCCTCCCTCAATCGTGTCGTAATAATATCTACTCAGTTTCACGCTTTGCTTAGCAGCTCTGTGTTAACATAAAAGCAAAACATATTTTACATAAAAAATTATATTGACGTGATAAAAGATAAACTTTTCTACTTTGCCTCGTTTAATCATTAATCAGGGAACAATCAAAATCAAAACATTTTATTGTCGATCGTCAACAAGCCTGGTCGTAATAATAAAAATTTTTCAGCCAGATATTCTGTTTATTGAAATTTATTGTAAATCAATATTGATTTTACGTCATGAAGTCATTTCCATCGGAAGCGTTGAAAATATCTCCGTTGTTTAGGCATCCTTGTAAAAACCATTAAATTTAGATAAGAAAAACTTTGGTAATTTGCATCATGAGGAACATTTTATTTGCCAATTAAGGAAATTTAGAATTTAAATAGAAAAAAAACATTGTCATTGATTTTCAGAGTTTCCGATTCGATGGTCAAAGTTTCCGATTCGATGCTCAAAGTTTTTTCTTTCTTCATGTTGCGAACTAATGAAAAGAGAAATAAATTGTTTGGAAATTGTCCTCGTTAGTTGAATGGAAAGAAAATATATTACCACAGCATAATAAGCAATATTGCACATATTGTTACGGTTTCGAGCGAACTTCACATAACCGTCTTCACCCCATTGCGGACCTATGAGAGTGAAAAACATTTTACTGTACTTTATTTCATACTTCCTTGCAATGTTTGCTTACCCCATGAATTTTTAATCAGCCAATAGTCACCACCAACTACATTAAATTTAAGTTTAAAACTTTTCCATACATTTTGAACTCTTTCAAAACTTACCAGGATCAGTTCCATAACCAACTATCAGTACACCATGTTCAAGGTCAGTACAACACTCTGGCTCATAGTAGACTCCCGAAGAATAGTCAAAAAATGACTTTTCCATGCACATGACAGCTGAAACGGGACCAACTGTGGCTACAATATCCCTAAAGAATTAAATCCATGAATTTATAAGAAATATTTTCAGCAGAATATTTAATATCTACCTAAGCCAAGTCTCATTTCCTTTCAAAAAAGAATAAAAAAATTAAATTACTTTGAGATTAAAACGCAAGATTGCAAATTTACCTCTTGTTGGAACCAGGAACACTTGGTCTATAAATGGGTGTGTAGTTGCAACCGACATCTCTTTGTGATAAGTGCAGACGTCATCCTGGATGAACACAAAAAAAAAAAGGCACATGAAAATTTAGTTCATCCAGATACAATTATTTAAATGAGAATGTCTACCTCAGCAATGTATGGATATTCAAAATCACTGCTTACTCCATTTTCTTTTACATAATCTATTGCATATTTCGGCCACCCACAGCAACAACCGTAAGTATGTCTTTTGCTGCAATCGACCAGCTGTTGAGGTGAAACTGGTTCATCAGTTATATTCTTCCTTCTTAGAACGCCTTCGACGACACCAAGAGCACTGAAAGCCCAGCATGAACCACACCTTTGGAAACAATTTCTTTGATAAAGTTTTGGTAAGAATAATTAAAATAACTTTTTAAGCTAACCATGCTTGAGTCATAACTGGTCCAACTAAACCTTTTTCAACCCAGTTCACATAGTCACCCCCAGTTTGGAACTGTGGCAAATTGCGTGGAACTGGAGCTGAACGAGCTTCTGGTGGTTCTTTAATTCCTAACAAATGTTGTTTCTTTTCTTCGTTTGTCAAATCGGAATTCTCCCAAGTTTTAAGTTTGTATGTTTTCCTTCCTTCTTTAGCTTCTCCATTATGTTTGTCAATTTCAACTTTATTCTCTAAGAATTTTTTCATCGCTGCTTGTTTTTCTTCATCATTTAAATATTTTTTTCCAAATTTTTTACTCCAAGCTTTAAATTGATGCTCTTCTATCTCAACTTGTGTTCTTTTATGAGGTTTTGGACGACGACTTGCACAGCAGATATTCACAAGCAAGACAGATATAATCACTAAATGTAGATATAATTTCATATTGATACTTAACAAATTAGACGAAGAAAGAAAACTGAACGGTTGAAAGCTCGTTGGACCTTTTTTTATAGGATATAAAAATATTTTAAAAACACCTGTTAGATTGCATTATGAAGGCAATGTTTTCAGCTAAATTGAGCAAGAATAAAATTCCATTGCAATATCAATTCAATTGACTACGTGACGATTATTTAGTCAACCCCATAAGTCTAGAGAGCCCTGGGCTTGTACATGTCTAACATTTCCAAATTAAAGCTTTATGTTTATGTGTGAAGTGGTAGCTTCCAGGTGAATTTATGTTGTTATTTCATGTTTACATATTCTACACACCATCACATTCAACATAAAGAATTGACATGCCTGGGGATCAATTCTTTTTAAAGCGAAGGGTGACATGACGTAAAGTGATGACTTTTCTCTTAAAACTTACCTTGGAGCTTTGTAAATATTTGTCATCAACTTTAAACGGTGTCAAGATGAAATTTCATTAAAATTTCTTTCTCTGACAATTTAAAAATTTTTAGTTTTGATAAATGTTGAAACATGATGGAAAAATTAAAGTCATAAAATTATGTTTACATATGTTTTGAGCGATATATGTTTATTCCCAATAAATTTGGATTAATTTTCAGAAAAACCAAATTTGCATTTTCGTCATTTTAATTGAATTAATCTTTAATTACATTCGCAATTTACATTTTCATAAAAAGTTCAAAAAATATGAAAATTTAATTAAATTCAATTGAGTTTGTTGTTTGCAGGTTTTTTAAAACTTTTTAAAACAAATTTTCTACTTTACATATTTTAATGAAATTTATTTTTTATCTCTGGTAAGTTTCAGTGAATTTTTAAAATTTTTGGCTTTTCAACCTTTAAAAGAATGGATGCTGAGTGTTATCATTAAGTTAAAGTTGCTTTATAGAACAAAATCAACTGACTTCATTTAATGAAATCGTTTCTTCACTTTCAGTAAACTTGTTTTAAACTCAGCTCAGAAATTAATTTGAGGTCTTGGTTTTCTTTTGAAATTGAAGGCTCAGAATGTCTGATTACTTTTGACATGATGCTTTTCATTTTCTATATGGTGAACTTTTGTCTAGTGCCTGAAAATAAAATAAAATTACACAATAGAAAAATTAAAACGAATTTAAATTCTCTTACAGTTCCTTGGACCGACACTGAAGGGAACATAAGCATAAAGATTTCTTTCATTGTTGGTTTCTGCTTTAAATCTCATTGGGTCAAACTTCAAAGGATTTTGATAAATTTCTGGATTTCTTCCCAGGAAATACGGCGCAATTGTAGCCGCTACATTTTCTGAAATTATTATGTCACCAACTGATATTTCTTCTTTATTCTTCTGACCTTCAAACTTCTTTAAATTTGACACGAATAACTCTCCATGACGATCCACATTTTCAGTGAATTGTTGAAGAATATTGAAATGGAAGGCTGATGTAATAATTCTTCGTCTTTGATGCCACTTCGTAGTTATTTTGTTCGCTACCACAGAATAATAAAAAATTAAATCACAAAAATATACGCAAGAATTTCTATGATTATTTGTATTGATTCAAATGAATCTAAGTCTGAGAGAATTCTAAATGTCACAGTTAAATTTGTAGAAAACTTTTACAAATAGTGATGATTGGCACTTCACTTTTTAACTTTCTAGTAATGGTTAAGGTTAAATTAATTTCAATAAATATGTGACCGGTTGTTTATTTACATCTACAATATTTTTCATCAATTTGTTTAATACAAAATTTATCTTTTCTAATTTATGTTCCAATTAAAAATTCTTAACAAACATATTGGAAATGCTTTGATGTGTTTCTGCTGCCACATATTTCAATGTAAACAGGCAAAATGTTTCATTAAACTTTGTAAAACTTTCCAAGTCTGACATGTGCTAACTTTTCTAAGTTAGACCAAGCGATAAATTTGCAGAGTGTATTTGTTTGAACTACAAAGTGATACTTTTACATTTGAAATTTAATTCAACCCCCACACTTAATTACAATTTTGTTGTAGCTGCTGCTTATTAAACATTTAACACAACAGAATTAAGTTTACTCCAATGAATGCCAAATATCCATTTTCATTCCATTTTGATATTTAAATTTGATACAATTTTTGAACATGAAGCAAAAATCTTTAGAAATGTCAACCTTTAGTATTATGATGTCAAAGTCCTTTGACGTTTGATTTCATGTGAGCTTTTTCAATGTAAGTAATCTGCTTATATACAACATTGAAATGAAATTGAATATATTTTAATTAAATTTGCTTCGTAATGTTATCACCGCAATAAATTGCTTTGCTTTAATCTTTATTGACATTACTTCGTTTAAATATCAAGACAAGCTTTAAGGTAATTAAATTTAACTTATTTCTATGCAGATATTATTTTTAAATAAATTATACAACAGAGCTTTATCAAATATTGACAAAGACTGAGAGACTGACATTGTCTATCATGTACCTGAACTCGAACAACATGAGGAGCACAATAATGAATGTTCAGAAGTTCTATCTAAGATATTTATAAACAAAATAAACTCGTTGAGTAAAATTTCAAAACATTTCCTTGAAAAACTGAAGCATTCATGTCATTTCAATGCTTTCTTAGATCGGTAATTTGTTATCCGCTTTTCAACTTCCTTCCTTGTTTTGAACTTTCAGTCAAGTTCACTGAATCGTAAATATTTCAAACAAACTCTCAAAGCATCATGTTTGGTATCGATGTTGTGTCTCTTCCTTCTAGCAAAAAGAGCCTTTGTTGACTCAATGTTCCTCTCAAGTTTTAAACGGAACTATAAAGCAAATGTTGGTGAATATTAAAGCAGATAGAAATAAATACAATTTAGAAAATGAGATATTATTTCAACCATGATGGAGAAAATAAGATGAAAAATTTATTATTCCTAAGCATAAACATAAATAAAGTTACCACATTTTGAAATTCACAATAGAAGAGATCACAAATGACTTGATGATTAATCAACTTGAAAGCATTTGAAACACTCAATGGAAGCAAAATGATAACGAGAAACAAAAAGAAGTTTTATCGTCGTTGTTTTCAGCTACTTAAACTTTCGAATTATCTTGAAAACCTTTCCTCGAACACTGTAAATATTTGCTTTTGCCTAAAAATGATGTCAAGAGTAAAGCTTCCTCAAATTTATCCTCTCACTTTTTAAAAACTTTTGTAAAGCTTGATTTATTTAAGCTCTGTCAACCGGAAGAGAGAAGCCTCTCAAGATGTGAATTAAATTTAAACATCGTGAAAGTGTCGATACGGAGGCAAGATTATGAACCCTTTCAGTTGGAGGACAATTAAAGCGTCTTCCAAAAGTTTTATTCAATTATTTGTTATTCTGCTACTAAGGTGGGAAGAAAGTTTATCTTTAATAATAAGAATTCATCACAAGACGAAGTTTTGAATTCTATTTTTGAAAAATTTCTTAACGTTAATTACGAACATTCTTCCAAAGATTCTTTCCATCTTCTTATGTTTACTGAAAAATAAGAAATTTTCTTTAAATTTATTTTTATTCTTCATTATTCGCCTCATAAGGTTCATGTGTTATTATATTACATCTAGACTTGAGTAATGAATCTTGTTAAACTTATCAAAAGCTAAACGAAAGTTTATTCTTCTCTCAGCTTTTCTGTAAACAAGCCAAATAATGCCAGAAGAAGAAAGTTTGTTAGTAAAACAAAATCATGCATTTCATCCCATGAGATAAAGTTCAAAATATTTACAATGTTTTTCAAGTTGGGATTTTCCGGAAAATTATTTTTAATGGGGACTCAACATAAAACTGTGAACATCATTTTCTTCAAAGACTGAATGTAGTTTGATGCATAGTTTGATGATAGTTTTCGTAATGATGATCATCATCATAAAATGAATCAAAGAAAACATTTCCTTGTAACATCATTTGCTTTCTTATTCTCTCTTTCATGTTGACCTGTCAATGGAAATGACCAAAGAATTACCTAATTAAGGCATTGTTGAAAATTTCAACTATATTTAAGATTCAACCACAAACGGAGATTAATGAATTTGTTAATGAATGTAAAAAAGTAAATCAAAATATCCATTTAATTTAATTGCTTCAATCACTTAGTCAAGAGTATTAAGTAATCTTGACCACAACTCGTAAATCTTTTCTCTCATTGAATCAGCTTTAAGACTAGAAAGCTAGTTTTAATGTAATAACTAAGATAAGACTCGCTATAAGAACAATAGAAGAGCTTTGAAAATTTTATGAGATATGATGAGGATAATTGCAAAAGTTTTGTAGCTTTATTTCTTTTTCCCTTCAATTCCCAAACATAGACCTGGAGTTAAGCTTTTTCATATAAAAAGTTGTAAATTACAACAACATTTAATATTTATTGCAAAAGTAAATTCATGGTATTTAATAATAAATGTCTTCCTGTAGACAGATAGTTTTTAATCAAAAGATGCGGAACGATGCTTTATTTAATGGAATATGAATCTGTACATATGATGAATGGATTACAAGGACACCCACACCGGATAGCGCCTAATTTTTGGCATTCGTAAGCAGATTTTTTTTGTGAAAAACTCGTGATTGCGAAAAAGATTTCTTTATTGCCAAAACCTTCGTGATTTCATCGTTTTGGTGCGTTTCAACTTAAAGGTGAGCAACAAAGTCACTTTAATCTAATCATCAATCAACTTCATCTCATCCATTTAATTGAATGTGATTTATTTCGAAAGCTGCTTTATAGCGCTATGTTTTCTTGACGATTGTTTATATCATTTGGGTATTTATAGTTATTTCTTTTTTGCGTCTTCTCTTCAAACGTCATAAATGTAAACATTCAAGATTTTTTTTTCTCTCGCGAGTTTTCACTCATCTCGCAGTAGAAATAGTCAATGTAAGTTTCAGGTAAAGTTTTTCTTCGGAAATTCCATTATGCATGAGAGAAATTATGTGAAAACACGAAAGTTTTAATTCTCAATCCTCGCCATTCGATTCAACTCACGTGCCTAAACTAACTCTCACTCTGACTAAGACAACTCTTGGTTTGTACGTATTAAGTGATCATCTGGTGGTTTTCTCAGATTTGCCCACTGATGTTTTCCTCTTCTCACAGTTATTTTTTCTTTTTCTTATTTTTGAGGGAAAAATTACACAATCCTAAAAAAAACACGAAAAATTTTATTTTTGGTTCAGACGAGTTTTTGATTTTTACAAAGAGCAAGCTAAGTAATTGTAGGTCCATTTTAAAGATTTACCTGGTGTTTTGCTGGTTTGCTGCTGCTTCAATTTTCCATCCCAGGAACGACATTTTCCTTGTTAAGAGCAAATGGGTTATCAAAGTGTATCAAATGAAATTGTTCAGTGAGTGCAATAAAAATAAATTTTATTGTGACTTTTTTATGTGTTTATTGATATGATTTCAATCTTTCAATCTTTAATTTTCTTCGATTAAATATCATTAAAAACATAAATAAGCTCGTTATTTTAACATTTATGTATCAACATGAAAGATTTCTTGATAAATTTCTTCACATTTTAATTTTCGTTTTGCTTGAATGAATTTTATATTCCAAAAGAAAAAATTTCTGTTTTCGGAAATATTTAACATATTTAAAGAAATTGCATAAGTTATAAGCCAAAAATAATTTTTAAAAATAATTTTTGCTCATTCTTTTTTTGGCGATTTTAATTTGCAATAGATAAAAATATTTTCCATATTTTTGGCAAGGTGGGTGTAGGTAAGCGATCGTTAACGAGTGTTTTCTCCCTTGAGACAAGCTCAGCGTAATATTGAGAATGATTTCATTTCTTTTAAATTTCACACAACTATTGAGTGAATTTCTTCCAGAATTTTCATGTTTCTAAATGAGAAAAGTTAATTCATCGAATTAAATGTCCATAAATTTCTTAAAAGAAAAATAAACTTTGAGACTTTTCCGTTCGCGTTTTTTTTCAAACGCCGATCACCTCATTAAAATATTTTCATACACACTCAGACGAAAACTCCTTCCCATTAATCTCTCACGAGAGTTTTCTTCTTCTTGCAGTTTGGAGATCTTCACATGTATTTACTGAACATTTTCTTTATTACTTTTTTCTAATTTTCCCATTACGATTTTCTTTTCTCTCTTTCATCGTCAATTGACGTCATTTCAAAGTGTTTATCTTAATGATTCATTAACATTTCATTGTTTTTGATAGATTAACAGAAAATGAAATTATTGGATTTAAGCGTCAAGAACCTGGATTTGCGACAAAAGCCATTCATGCTGGACAAAAACCAGAATTGTGGAAATGCAGGTTGGTGAATGAAAACTTCTAAAAGAATATTTTAATGAATGATTGTTGATTTTTAGATCAATTGTTCCACCAATTTATATGACAGCGTCATACGAAAAACAAGACTTGGAATCCGGCATGACTGGCTATGACAATCCAACAAGAACCATTGTCGAACAAACGTTAGCAGCTCTTGACAACGGAAAGCATTGTCTCACATTTCCTTCTGGAACAGGTAGTCAAATGGCATTCATATCAACTCTTAAATCAGGCGATGGCATCTTATGTGGCGATAATATTTATACGGGTACGATTGGATTATTTCGTGAAATTGCAGCTGACCTTGGAGTTCAAGTTGAGTTCATTGATTTAACAAATCTTGAACAACTTAAAAGCTCACTGAAGTCTAACACAAAAATGGTTCGTTCAATAAATTTCTCGAGTTTTTTTTGTTCTTGAAAATTGCGAATATTTTAAAATATTCCAGATATGGATGGAGACACCAACAAACCCAATGATGATTATACAAGATATTCGTGCTATCGCCGATATTGTTCATAATGAAAGTAATGCAATACTTGTCGTTGACAATACACCATTAACAAGTTATTTTCAACGTCCTCTCGACTTTGGAGCTGATGCCGTTGCTTATTCACTCACGAAATTTATGAACGGTCATAATGATGTCGTCATGGGATCAATTTCAACGAACAATCAGGAGCTTTATGAGAAACTTAAGTTCACTCAGAACATTACGGGAATTGTGCCTTCACCTTTCGATTGCTATTTACTTTTTAGAGGCTTAAAAACGTTGTCATTGAGAATGGAACGTCATTCAGAGAATGCTATCAAAATTGCACGGTTTCTCGAAACTCATCCAAGAGTTAGCAAGGTTCTTCACCCAGGATTGCCTTCTCATCCACAACATAAATTGGCACTTAAACAATCGTACGGACACTCAGGGAGCTTATGTTTTTACATAAAAGATGGAACTTTGGAAATGACAAGAAAATTTCTTCTAACGTTGAATGTGTTTATGTGGGCTGACAGTTTAGGTGGCTGCGAATCATTGGCTCAAGCTCCATTATTATGGTTCGTTGTACCCACTTCATTCACAGATGAAGAAGTTAAGGAACTTGGTTTAACGGAAAATCTTATCCGATTGTCATGTGGATTGGAAGACGCTGAATTTTTAATACAAGATTTAAATCAAGCTCTTAATGGACTTTAAAACGTGATACTTTTTGAAAAGAAAAATTGCTTTATGTGCAATCAAAATATTTAGATGATGATGTTGATGAAATAAATGTCAAGTTTCATAATCTATTAATAAATCTTTTATCTAAATATTTTAAATTTTCATTCACAAAATGTTTTCTTCTTTTTTTAATTATTTTAACATAAAAAACATAAAACCGGCATGCGTTAGAGCATACATGCGAAAGAAACTTCAATCGGCGCTATTGGCTTTCCTCTCAAATATATAAAACAATTCATTATCATTTTAGGAATATTATTCATTTTCTCTCACTCTCCGTTCGCTGAAAATACATTCCAACGTTAGCTGCTTTTATTCTTCTTTTATGTATTATAAAAGCAAACACAGTGAAGCCAAGGGAAAGATCGGTTGGGTTGAGAAATAAAATGGAAAAATATTAGAACTGACAAGAGAAATTATTTGTTTGCGTGTGTTGAAGACAAGCAGCAGATATGAAAGCAAACAAAGAGCGTTTCAAGTGAGTTCATGTAACTAATGAGGATTCTTTGTGAGAAGCATGCAACACAAGAGTGACTCTACTGATTTTCTTTCCTCTCACACATGTTAGGCAATTTTACTCTTTCTGACGCTTGTGACGTAAGGTGAGTTTAATAAAGTTTTGTGAACGCCAGCGGCTTCGGGAATATTAATAAACAAAGTTTTATTTGGCATCATATAGAATAAAGAAATGTACGACACGACACTCATACACACATCAATATTTATTTTTTCGCTCAACAATCATTATTCCCCTCAGTCTCTTCACATTTTTACAGCCGTTCAGTTCATCTGCGCGGACTAAGTCAAATTTAAAGTGGAAGAAAAAAAAATTTTTTTTAGAAAACTTTCTTCACTTAATTTGCAGTTGAGTCTTGTTTAAAAGCAAAAGTTGAAATATTCAAGTCATGGGATCTGAGAAATTGCCGCAAGAAATGTCACAGTAAGAAAATTTATTACTTTTAAGAACTTCCATTTGAATGAAAGAAAAATTTGGGTCACTAAAGGAAAATTAAAGAAAGAAAACTGAAAAGTCACATGTGACTCGACGACTTGTGATGAAGGAAGGAAAAGTTTCAGTTTTCGAGGCCATAGAAATGCACATTGCTGTCTATTCGTGTTCGTAATGAATGATATCTAAAAGTTCGATGAACTGTCTGTTACCAACTAAACATTTTCATTGGCTGATGTCAAGAAATATTTCAATTAATTCCAAGCATCTATGATAACAATCGAATCTCTCAAACTCTCAATGAGTCGACAAGAAATAAATGAATGAGAAGAAAAAGGCAATGTAAGAAAACTTTAGCTGTCTGTAAGCGTTCTTCGTAGTCTTACGAATACATTAACCTTGACATTCGTCATAGCAGATGAGAAAAATCATATCAGCGAGCACAAAATACGTAAAAATAAATAATGATTTTATTTTGAGCTCTTTTTCACTCATCCGTGTTATTTGTTTGATAAGAAATTTTCGTGTAGAATTTTTTTTCTCGCTATTTTAATAATCACGATTATAAAATATTTTTTTGTTATGTCGGCGTTTCATCGTTGTGGCGTTTTTATCACATTACGTTATCTCTGTTAATATGAGTAAATTATATTGCTCCTCTGTGACATATCAAAGCTCGTAATCGTTCGAGTACTTGTTGTGTTGTCCAATGACTGATAAGTGATTGTCAAAAAGCGTGATAGCAAATAATAGAGTTGATAAGATAAGCCACGAGCGCAAAATAAGCAAAGCCAAACTAAGCCTCAAATGACCTCTAAAAAGAACAAATTTGGGTTAATTAAACTAATCTTTACTGAATTGAATACTTTTTATGGGAAAATGTAAACAAGAACTTTGCATTTCCACCCACGTTTTTTCTCTTATTAATCCAATTACAAACTATTTTGTTGTTGAGTTCTTGTTTGTTTCTTTTTTTAATATCAACTCTGTACATTTTAAACATCGAATGCTTTGATCTTTGCTTCGTGAACCATTCAAAATGAATGTGTCTAATTGAACATTTTTTTCTGTCATGTCATGCAAATGGAAAAATTAAAGAAAAAAAATTTCTCTTAGTTGGAAGGGAGCAAAAAAGGGAAAACAAAGAAAATGTCGACGAGAGACAAAGAGATGAAAAATGACTCACAAGATTTTTCTTTTCCATCGATAGATTAAGTCTTGGTGATGAAATGGGATTTCGAAAACAGGGACCTGGATTTGCAACCAAAGCAATTCACACTGGGCAGAAGCCTGAACAATGGAACAGCAGGTAGCTTTGAAAGCAATTATTCGTTTATGACTTCATTCCAAATCCTTGTTTTCTATGCTTTTATTATTTCTTTTTGTTTTCGTAGAGCTGTTGTTCCTCCAATTAGCTTAGCAACAACCTACAAACAATTCGGACCAGGACAACATGCTGGATTTGAATATTCACGTTCTGGTAATCCAACAAGGAATGTATTAGAAGAATGTTTGGCTGCTTTGGACAATGGCAAATACGCATTAACTTTTGCATCAGGATTAGGAACACAAACAGCTATTATATCGACCTTGAAGACTGGAGACGGAATAATCACAGGCGATGATATTTACGGTGGAACTAACCGACTGTTTAGAAACTTGGCAGTGAACATGGGAATTGATGTACAATTTGTCGACCTGACGGATTTGAAGAACCTTGAAGCTGCGATTAAACCAAATATTAAACTTGTTTGGTTGGAAACACCAACAAATCCAGTGATGAAAGTTATCGATATTAAAGCTGTAGCTGACATTGTCCATTCCAAAACAAAGGCATTCTTAGTCGTGGACAACACTTTTCTCTCTGCATACTTTCAACGACCACTTGAACTCGGAGCTGATATTGTGATGTATTCGTTGACGAAATATATGAATGGACATTCTGATATTGTGATGGGCTCAATTGCTACTAACAATGAAGAACTTTACGAGAAGTTAAAGTACTATCAGAATGCAACTGGAATTGTGCCATCGCCATTTGATTGCTATATGGTAAACAGAAGTTTGAAAACACTTTCACTGCGAATGGAACGTCATTTCAAAAATTCTGTTGCTGTTGCTAAGTGGTTGGAAGCACAAGCTAAAGTTGATAAAGTTTTGCATCCGGCATTGCCTTCACATCCGCAACATAAACTTGCACTTTCACAAACTTTTGGACACTCTGGTATCATGTCGTTTTATATTAAAGATTTTACTTTGGAGAAATCATCAAACTTTTTAAAAGCTTTAAAAGTTTTCACATTAGCAGAAAGCTTGGGTGGTTACGAGTCGCTTGCTGAACTTCCAAGCGTAATGACGCATGCATCAGTCCCAGAAGAACAAAGAAAAGTTTTAGGAATCAACGATGGCTTAATTAGAATTTCAGTTGGACTTGAAGATGCTCAAGATCTGATTAAAGATTTGGATCAAGCTTTCGCCACAATTTAAATATGTTTTCTGTTTTATATTCATTAATTCTTATACCAATTTTTCTACTGCAAATGTTTTTTGTTGTGTCATAATAAAGTTTTTGTTTTTCTCCTGTCTGTGACAAAAAGACTTTGTACTGTTAATTAATTGAAAAGTAAATAAAATTTATGAAGCTTTCTGATCCATCATAAATTGATTGTTGTTGATACTCACTCAAGTTTATGTCGTGTCAGGAATAACTTCCTGAAATTGATTTCTGTTAATGCATCTGTTCAGACGGCCCGATGGAAATTTCCATAAGCCGTCTGAGGGTGACAAATAAGCGAGACAGGGAATGAGGTCAAATGATCCCTTTTCCTGGTTTCTCCGAATTTTCGTCACCAGCAGCTTCATAGAACACTTGAGCCATAAAACTTCTTTTATGATTCAACGGTTTTTTCTAAACAATCCTCAGATTAATTATGACTAAGGTCTGGGAAGATAAGGGATAAGGTTCGATAATCCTCATTTCTGTCTTCTCTGAACATTAGTCATTGAGTCATAAAATCCCTTATTCCAAGAATTCCTAATGATGGAATTTTCTCGAGACCAAGAAGCCCTGATTGGCTTCCAAGTCTCTGAGGCTCTCTTACAGAGCCAAGTCCTCTCATTTCCTTCTCCCTCTTCATTTCATTCTTTTCCTATTTAAGTTAAGAATTCAACATTATAACTTCATTTTCAATTTAAAACTCCAAATAAAACTATTCAAAAAAGAATATCAAGTTTTTAATTTCATCTTGAAGCTTCTGAGCTTCAACAC